TTTCTTTTTTATTTTGTGTTAAAATATGGAAAAAGTGAAATTTTAATATTTAAAAAACTTGATTCATTATGTTCATATTTTTAATTTGATCCCCTAAGAATGAAGGACACTATATCAATAATTCATTCGTCATATCCGCAAATTTATGAACAATGTAAGAATTTGATATTTAAATTTTAATTCATTATGTTGATATTTAAAATTTGAATCATTATGTTTATATTTAAAATGTCATTCATTATGGATGAAGAACACTGTATCGACAATTCAATTGTCATGTCTACAAATTTAAAATATGAATTGATTTCATAAGTCTTGCATAATATTTTTAACCTCAAATCAACACAAACACAATGTACATTTGTTTAAGTAATCGAAATTTATGTTCTTTCCATAAAATATTTTACAACTATTTTGTCCATGATTGTAAACTCTGTTTAATATTAGTTGGTGTACATATGCTTTGCACATGAATCATTACGGATAAATAAATAGAACTATACTCCACCATTCCAATTGTAAAGGAGGACATCTTCAAGCATCAAGCTTTTAAATAGGAGGAAAGTCAAATTCCAAAACCTCTAATCATCTTTCCATTGTCATCATTCTCTCAACAAACAATCATAATCCCAAACAACACTCACCAAGTGGGGAAAAAAAAAAAAGTTGACTTGGGAAACATCCCGGGCTTTGACATAAAGGAAGAGTTTATCAATAATAAGAAAGAACGCCATCAACATGGAATCCGTAAAAAAACGTAGGGAAATTTCACAAGCCAACTAGTTTACAGACTAAACCAAAGGGAAGGTGTAACAAGGAAAAAAAAGAGGTTAATTTGTGCTTGCTTTTGACACTCGAGCCGCAATACCACATCATCTCAATGCTTACTCAACCCTTACCCTTGGGTCAGAACCTGAAATGAAACAGAAAAAAAAAAAAAAATTAATGATTCTGGAACTTCAACTATGGCCTGCTTACATTTATGGAGTGTGACATACTATTTAAGTGACAGGGAACTGGAAAAAGGCAATGTGACTACTACATCAGCGTACAGAAGATTTATTACTCCATATTTCTACAGTCAAAATATCTAAAATGCAAGCAGAACAGCACATTTCGTTCTGCTACTATTCTACTATTAACCATTCAATAGAATTGTAGTAAGCCTATACTAATCCTTGAGTGAAAGGTAATAAGGTTGTAAATGAAGAGCCAGTCAGCCATTATGACAGATAGACATTAAGAAACAACTCGTGTTTCAGGATTTTTAGCCTTCAAAGAGAAGTTCTGTTACATAATAAAAACAAATCTACTACTCTCCAATATCGCTCACTGGGCTGATGCACATATATGCTCAATGTTAATGCATGGGGAAGTTCCACTGAGATTTCAAAAGGAAGGTAAGTTATTTGCTAAGTCAATTGGCGTAGGGGAAAGAAATGAAAAAGAAAGTTTCATCTTGATTTAGCAAATTACACTTGCACTGAAAAAATTCAATCATGCTTCAACCTAATCTTCAGGTCTCATGCCCTTCTAGTCTCAAGACATCTCAACAGAAGTAATTTGAACCATACCCACTTTTACATAGAATATAGATCATAGAGTGCCATTCTTTAGGTAGGGTTTTAATATAGTCCACTTTTACCTAAACAGAAAAAAGGAGAAAAAAGCAATCATGAACAGTAAAGCAAGACCAGTGAGCCAGCAGAAATTCATAAGCAAAATCCACAAAAAGTAAATAAAATTATTTTGCCAACCACAAAGTAAACGAAAAAAATGGAGATAACAAAGATCATCAGCTTAACATGACATAAGCATACACATGCATCCAACCCACAGTAAGAAAATTCATTCTTCAAATTCAACTTACCAAAATCAGTAAACCTTTCCTTGGGTGAAAAAATAAACTTTGCTTATTAAGACAGCCCCTCTGTCTTACGCAGTTGCAACACTAACAGCCGCCTTGTGACAATACCTTAAAATTCAAGGAAGCCCAATGATAAGAACAAACTATTTTCAAAGAAAAAAGAACCATGCTGCCCATCATGATTTCATTTACATGTCTCCAAATCATGCCAAATGTGGCAAGCAGGCAATGACATTTCTTGAAAGTTGAAACTAATATTCGATAATAAAAGAACATAAAAACAAATCCAAAATATTTAACCGAATCATTATACAAAATAAATTGAATGCATGCACACCCACATACAGTTACAAGCAATTGAACCCCACAGTAACCCCATTTGAACTCCAACCATATATGCACTTACTTTCCATTCAATTATCTCAAAAACACTCGGCAAGACTGAAAAGAAAGAACAAAACCATTGTTGATCAAAATTTATTATCATCATTCACAGAATACTGAGTGAAAACAAAAAAGCAACGCACAATCAACAATCAAGACACAGTCCAACAATCCATTGCAGTTTTTATTTTCAAAATATAAAATCTTTTGGAGATTCGTTAATCAAAGCAAAATTTTATCTTTTTTTGTCTCTGTTAAACTATAAAATTTTTCTAGGCAATGGGCCTGCTGAACTTATTTTCAGCTCCATGAGACACACAATCCCCCAAAAGGCCCCATGGGATTTATGAATTTCAAACTTGATTTTTCCCGTACAGAAATTCTAGTGTTATTAATTTATTATGCAGAGCTGCTTTTTCACTCTAAAGGGACAAAACCATCATGCAAAATTATCAGTTGATAGATAATAGAGGATACCAACAATAAATGACAAGATCAAATAGTTCCTTATAAGATATCAGACAACAATAAGTTTACACGTAAAGAATAGTAGTTGTTGTGGGTTTTGTGCAAAATTTTATTATTTCGAGAACCCAAAGGAAAGAAGCTCTAACATCAACCAGCACCAAGAAGAGTAATAAATCAAGGAATCAGGCTAAGCAAACATGCTTTTTTGATAAAACCATTTTCACTGATCTCATATTGAATTGTCATTCACCAGCCCCAATTGAACAAATACGAAAAAAAGAGACTGCAGAACAAGACACACAAAAACTCAGTACCTGTTGAAGCACTACACCAGTGGTTCCGTAATGCCAAGACACAAGGTATGTGTGGGTCTGAGAGAGAGAAAGGAGGGAGAAGTGTGTGGATTGAGACACAATGCTAAATACGAAGAGGGGAAATGGATCTATTAGAGATGATGATGGATCTTTGGATCCTATCATATCTCTAATCATGTAGAACTGAAAAGTAATTTCACATTCCGATTGGTAACTGATGGAGTCATTGCAGCTCCACAAATCATTTCCCAAAATCTGTAGAGCCATAGATAACCTTAAATAAACAAAGAAAAGCTATACAGTTAACATAGAGAGATGAAAGAGTAGCAACTGATTGTTCTCGACAAGGAGAAAGACTTGAACAGCCGTAGTTAAATGCAGGAGAGGGAGAGAGAGAGATGAAGGGCTGAAAAAATGTGCAATACAAAAAGGCAGATTTGATTTATTCAGACATCTGCCTTATTGTATTGTTTGTGTTCAAGTATATAAATGTCCTAATTGAATTGTTGAAGGGTTAAAAAGGAAAACACTAGATTTTCTAAATTGTTGACATTTTATAGTAGTACAAATTTAGACGGGACTAAGTTCAAATTATTTTGTTTGGTTACGTTTATATGATCACTTAAATTTTGTCTTCCCAACTTGAAATTATGTGCACAAAATTGCCTGTACTTTCCGGTGCATTGCATGAATTCCGGCTACTATCTTTATCGTAATAATGTCAATGAGTCCAATGGAATTGATTTGAATTGTTCCACACTAGATTATTCACGTCTAACTTGATTTTTTAACATCATGTGGAGGATTGAGTTGTTTTCCTATGAGCCCAACTCAAACAAGCATTACCCAACTAGCCAAGTATTCTGAGCTTGGTTTCTTATGCATATTTGCGATATTTGGTAGAATATTGAGGTAGGGCTAATCTGACTTTATAACTTAGCAAACGTGGGTCATGTGCTCTCATAATTAAGGGGACAGGCATAATCAATAAAACCTTTGCATGATTGCTGAAAAGTACCGACGGCTACAGATTGAAGGCCAAGCCAAAAAAAAAAGGAGAGAAACTAATAAAGATGAGGGAATATAGAAGTACTTGCATAGTTGCAGCTTTGCCGGGGGGGGGGGGAAGAAGGAAGGAAGAAAGAAAGAAACGGAACAAAAAACGCATTCAGTATGCAAATGCATGCCAGTAAAGCATTATGTAAATTTATGTATCTTTCTCATGGATCTATTTCTGTAATCAATTGTGGTTTTACTACAAGTGACGACTATCAGGAGGTGTTTAGCTCTGTTGCAAAAAAGATATTGATTCATTTCTAAGTTATTGTTATTTCGTTAGACATTACATCCTACCCTGGAACAGCTCCAAATTTCCAATCCAACACTCCTCTTTCAGGCTCAGTGGTTAGGACAGAATTTCACTTGATTTATGCGGTGAAAGTGACATCACTCTGAAAGAGATGATTGGGACACAGTTAAAGCTGATGAGAGCAAGTTACCCTATATATGTTCCCTTGACTGGGAGCTCAGTCCAAGCTCCATATTTGTTATAGTAGTCACTCCACTGGTAAACCTTGTAAGTGATGCCATCTTTTATGCCAACTGAAACTCATGAAACTTCTAAATCTTCGGTTGTTAAATACCTACTGTACAGGGGCGACGTGGCACCAGAAGCACAACTGCATAGACTGTAACAGATACAGGGAAAGTTAGCTGTTATGAGATTTATCTTGAGAGGTACACGTGGATAGAGCAATGTGTGAATTCCCTCATCAAGAAGCTGAAATATGCTTGAATGACAAATTACTATTCCCATATATATATATTGGAGTCTGAATTTTTCTGTCAGGTAAAGTCTTAAAGAGCAGCACATCATTCCAGTATTTCTAGAGCACACACACAAACACAAGTCTAAAGTGATAGTTATTTTAAACCTAGTCATGAGACGTTGTAGAACTACAATGTTTTACAGTACATAATTAAGTACTTTTCAAAATTAGATAAATAAATAACCCAAAATTAAAATAAATTCAAAGTTAACATCAAATATACATTTCACAGGTCAGCTGTACCAACTGAAAGAGGTGGGATGGGTGAATTGGGGATAATCCTCAACATAGTTTCTGAGGGATAAAAAAGGAGGAAGGAGAAAAATGATAGATAGGCGAGCATCAATAGAAATAAAGGAATTGATGGTCTTCACTTATAATACTGAGCCAAGGCCTTGTTTTGAAACTTGTTGGCAACCAACAACTGTAGCGAAAGTCTACAACCATGTTGAATATGTAACCACAGGTGATTATCGATGTATATCCAAGCTCTTGAAATTTCATAGTCTTCACCGTGCATGTTCTTATTGTTTCAAAAGAAAATGCCAGCTCACATATAAAAGCATCGACTCTTATACTGAAAATGTTGAACCATTCACCTCTCAAGTTGCAGCAACTGCAACGTCATTTGCTTATCCAGGTTGAATCCTGCCATCTCTGCCTCCTTGCAGACTTCCTTACACTTTTCCAGCCTCCCAGAAGCCACATAAATTTTAATCATGTCTCGGTATATGTCAAATGTCGGAGAAAAACCTGCCTCCTTAAGTTTAGAGTAATATCTAACTGTCCTTGATAGATCATTCAAAGCAACAAAAAGCTTTATTACCACACGATAAGCAGGAAGATCTAAAAGACAATTGGAAGCTTCCATTTCCCATATCACAGCCAATGCCTCCCTATATTTTTTCTCAGTGTAACGACTATGAACCAGAGTAGTGTACATGACCACACTTGGATTGCAACCAGTTTGTTTGAACCAATTATACAAATTCTCCACAATTTCAAATTTTCCAAGCTTTATGCAGACTTTCATGATAGCCGTACAGTCTTGCTGTGTTAAATTCAGATATTCTCTCTCCCCTAGCTCATCCAGTAGGACCAATACTAGCCAGTGTTTATCAGGATTCTTTCCCAACTCTAAAATTAGCTTAGCATAAATGCTAAGATCCAACATTCTTTTACCATCCTTAGCAGCTGCAACAAGTTTCCAGGCAAGTTTTAAGCTTCCCGCCCTAATAAATCCCTTTATCATTGCCTCATAAACACTCTGGCTTGCCAAGCTAATGAACTTTTCCAAGTTGAATGGCATTTTTAACTCATGAGCCCTTGCCAAGACTTCAACAGTCGAAGCAAGAATATGATCATCAGGGAATAAAAGTGGTTGTTTCTGAGCCCAACAGAATATCTGTAGAGCTCGATCAGGAAGATCCATGTGACCCAACTCCCGGATTGTTAAGGATAGGGACCCTTTCCGAAGAAACCGATCCCACTTGTTGAGAATTTCAGACACATCTTGATTAGGGGGAAGGCTTCTAATCTCTCTGGCCAAATCAACCAAGAAACTTGGATTCTTGTACACTTGATGATAAAATGATTGTCGGGAAGAAATTGTTGTAGAGAAAGCTCCTCTTGCATTCTTCTTTGGTGTGGGAAGTCCCAGAGGTCGAAGCTTGTATGGAAGTGGCAGAGGAAGAGGTCTTTCCCTACTCAATTTTCCAGGTTTTTGAGGAATCCTTCCTCTGAAGAGGGATGAAATTGCTTCAATCTCATCGGAGTCCCAAACAGTATTCATATCATTTACTTCTTTTAATTCTTCTTCAGCATTTTCATCATCATCAGTATCGGATTCATCATGGTTATCAACCACGAGACTTCCATCAAGTGAATCAGGTGTCTCGTTTTTTAACAAAACCTCATGAGGATTGAGGTCAGTGCCATCGGTGTCAGGACTGTATTTCTTCTTCTTCTTCAAGAATGTGTTCACACCTATGTCTGGTGAAAACTTGGTGCGCCGAGGATATCGAAGGTTCTTGGGCAGTTTTCTATGGAAAATTCTGGTATTAGGTTGAGCCATCACTATTACGGGACGCAGGCCCGAAATTTTTTGCCCGAGTGCAGGTCTGATGGATCCTTCAAATCGATAAAAACCTCCAATTTCCGAGACGGGATACGGACCGCGGGACGAAAATAAGCTCTCCATATCTCAATTAGGACGTCGGAGAACTTCACATTTTTGTAGACTTGGAAAAAGTGCCAAAAAGGTACGTCACGAACGAAAATGTGATCACCGTCGAACAGGAAAATCATCAAACACTTGGTATGCCACCCAAAAACTGCACCCTAGGGGTTCACACGATTACAGTAGCTACATACCACAACATTCAGAAGCAATCACGTAGAGATATGTGAGTATTGCTGCGTGTACTTGAGCCGAACGAATCCTTGTCTGTGCAATTGCTACAGTTTGCTCATGAACTTTTTTTTCATTTCTTTTTCGGAGAAAAGTGAAATGTCATCCGTGGAAGAGACCCTTGGTAGTCTGCCGATCAGATTATAAGAATGAAGTCCTTTGAGTACCTTTAACCGGTCCGGGGGATTAATTAAATTGTGCATGATTTAAAAATTATAATTAAATAAAAAAAAGTGTATGAATAATCTATTTTTAATCGATTTGAAAAGAAATTAATTAAATTGTGCAATGCAAATATCATGATTAAATAAAAAAAGTGTGTTAATTTAGCAAATTTTACTTTGTATTCGAAAATATTTATTTATTTTTATTTTATATTTTCAAAAATTAAAATTTTTATATTATATTTTTAATATATTAAAAATATTATAATGTATCCCTTTCATTATTTACAAAAAAAAATGTATCTCTTTTATTAACTTTAAGTAATCACCCTCTTATAATATCACTGTGATAATTTTTTACAGAACTAGCAATGCACCACGTGCGTACGCACGTGAATAATTATCGTATATAAAATTTAATAAAAAAATTTAGGTATACATGTATCTAAATTAAATATTATCTCAAGTTTATAAAAATTATGTTTTTATCGTTCGTATTACATTATAAAATTTAAAAATGTTATCTATTTCCAACGATTCATTATTTTACCTATAAGAAAAAAAAATATAAAAATAATTCATTTTGAAATTTATTTGATTAGGTTTCAACTTATAATTCATTGAATAAAATAACAATACTTATCAATATTCTAATCAATACTTATTTTTAAGGATAACATAATCAATTAAAAAATTCATTAATATTGATATTTATACATAAAGAATAAATAATTAAAAGAGATTTTAAGGGTAATTTGAAGATTTAAACACTAAGGATATGATGGTAATTTGGCTATTTAACTATGGAAGAATAATGTATTATTTAAAATTTCTTTATAAATGTAAAATAATGAATCAAAAGTTTTTTATGATAGTATTAGTAGTATAGATATAGATATGTATATATATATATATATATATATATATATATATATATATATATATATTTATTTTTTTTTTTGTATACAAGTGTATTACACGTGAATCATTTTCAATATCAAATACTGTATATTATTGCTATAAAAATTATGAAATAACATCAACTGTGCAAATAAACTTTGTTTAAACATTTTGTGTAGTATCTAATGAAACTTAAGTCATGGACAAATTTAATCACATATTAATATGTAAAATTAGAGTTTCAATAGTGTACTCCAAATTTAATATCAGTCATTTCTAAAAGGATAACAAATAAAGAGATGTTTATATTTATGACAACTTTGAGACAATCTATCTCAAAATTCATTATCATATATTTTGATGAAAAAAAATAATAATTTGTGAACATTAATTGTTTCATTATTTACTGAAAGACAAATATTAAATTACACTTCAAATGAAATGTCATATATGCTTCATGAATATCATAGAAAAATAATTATCCATAAAATGTATATTGTCAAAATTTTGTTTTACCACATTTAAATGGTAATATTTATATTGTTAAAAATTAGCGTTTGGTACCTTATATCCTAGAGCAATTAAAAAAACCTAGTCGAACTATGATCCATATGATAGAATATATTGTTTCAATTATTCAATGTATGACAATAATCACGTAATTTTTTTTATACATGAGATATACTGATAAATACGCAAAATGAATTTCAGTGCTAAACAAAAAATGAACTTTATCGTGGAAATTAAACACATAGAAAGCATATAATTTAGAATAAATAAATCTCAAGGTATCATTTTCACAGTGATCTTCCACAATTGATCACGTTTGTTCATAAATAAAAAACAATTAACAAATAAAAAAAATTCAAAATGTTAGTATAAGTCTAGTTCCAAGTAAAATATAAATCATATGAGAAGAGCAATAATCTGCAACCCAAATAGAAAACGTGAGTACGAGAATAGTATTACTATTAATTTATGATGAAAATTAATGGGATTAATATTTGACTATTAGTTATTCGTAGCCATAAAATATTAGATGAAAAAGTTTGAATTCTATTTAATTAATTAATATATTTATTGCAAAAAATTTGTACCGTATGCAAAATTACACATCAATTCATATTAGATAAATAATAAAATAAACTTTATGATGGTTATCGTTGACATAATAATTGTATTAATGATAACTTATTATTTTTCATAAGGTAAATATGATTAATGAATTTATTGTAAACAAAAAAATTTATGATAAATAAATGAAAGAGAGATAGAGTCATTAACTCAAGAAATAAATAAATAAAAGTATAAAACATGAAACAATAATTATTATGAAAATAAAAGTATACGAAGACTCATTTGAATATATAATTCATATTATGTAATTAGAAAATAAAAGAAAGTGCAGTACATGGAATAATAAATTTTAAAACACGGAATAATATAAAAGGTCATTTGAATGTATAATTAATATTAGATAATTAAATAAAGGGAAAATTTCAATAACATCCCCTCTAGTTTTTGAATCTTCAATAACACTCCTTTTAGTTTAATTTAAACATCACTAACACCCCTTACCATTAAACTACAATTTCTAACAAAAAAAAAAAAAAATCATCCAAAATACCAAAAATGCCCCTACATAACCTCAAATAATTTTTTTACATAAAATTTTATTAGAATTCAAGATGTGAAATTTTTAAAAAAAATCATAAATAACAATTTTAGTAAATAATTTGTTAGTAAATACTAATTTTTTATTTACTAATACGTAAATTTAAAAAAAAATCGAGCCTATTAAATATATTTTTTTTTACATATTAAAATTTTAGTTGATTTAAACTCTACCCGAGTTGTTAGTGCCGATTAAAATTCTCTTTCGAGTCGATTAAAATTTATATTTTTTTACTTATTAAAATTAGTGTTAATTAAAATTAGATTTATTAAAATTTAAGTCAATTAAAATTCATATATTTTTATATATTAAAATTTGGGCTGATCAAAATTCAATGCAAATTAATTAAAATTTGATTTGAGTCGATTAAAAATAATTTTTAATTGGCTCAAACAAAAATTTAATTAGCCCAAATTCTAATACGTGAAAAAATATAATTGTTAATTGACACAAATTTTAATATGTAAAAAAATAAATTTTAATTAGCTTGAATCGAATTTTAATCGATTCGAATTTAATTACCTAAAAAAAAATAGAAAACAGAGAGGGTCTCATTGAAAATATACTTATCTAGAGAGGGTATCATTGAAGATATGTTTATCTAAAATGGGTGTGGATGAAGTTTGTCCTCAAATATATCATGGGCAATTTAGTAAAATTACATTCTACTTAATATTTTTAATTTGATAGGGGTGTTATTGAAGATTCAAAAATTAAATAGGATGTCCTTAAAAATATGATAAACTAGAGGGGTGTGTTCACGCACACTGCAAATTTCACACCATAGCGTCGAGATTGGCATTCCATGGCGTTCCAATCCAAAGGAATCACAGTGTTTCTCGCTCAATTCACTCGAACCAGGTACCTTTCACAATACCTTCATTCGTTAATTCCAGTGCTTCCTTTTTCAACTCTTGACCTACCTGTAAACCATGTGAATGGAGAACCTATGGAGAATCGATCCAATATCGACGAGTCTCATGTATTGGACCAGCTATCTGATCTGTTGTCGATCCGAGGTAGCTCTGCAATTCAAAATCCCATTACAAAGACGATTTCTGCTAACCAACTAGAAATTAGGGCAGTTGATGGATTTTTATCACCAGAAGAGAAATTAAGGGGCATTTTTCTTCAGAAAATCAGAGGTAGAAGTGCAATTGAACGCGCATTAACAGAAGTTGGTGTGGAAATAACTGATGATGTTGTTGCCAAAGTAGTAAACAGAGGCAATTTGGGTGCTGAATCGATGGTTAAGTTTTTTAATTGGGCGATCGAACAACCGAGCATATTTAAGGACATTGATACGTACCATATAATTCTTAAAGCATTAGGAAGAAGGAAATTCTTCACTCATATGGTGGAAATGTTACATGACATGAGGATGCGAGGAATAAGCCCTAATTCTGATACCTTATTCATTGTTATGGACAGCTTTGCTCGAGCTCGGCATGTTTGCAAAGCAATCCAATTTTTTGGGAAATTAGAAGATTTTGGGTCAAAATGTGATACTGAGTCCTTGAATGTTCTTTTACAGTGTCTGTGTCAGCGATCCCATGTGGGTGCTGCAAATTCATTACTCCACAAAATGAAAGAGAAAGTACCCTTCAATAGTATGACTTACAACCTGATTATTGGTGGCTGGTCCAAATCTGGAAGGATTAGTGACATCGAGAGGATTTTGGGAGAGATGGTGGCAGGTGGATTTGATCCTAATAGCTTAACATATGGTTACGTACTTGAGGGTTTAGGTAGAGCTGGTCGAATTAATGAGGCTGTCGAGATTTTTGAAAACTTAGGAAAGGAAGGGCATGCTCCTGATGCTAGTGTTTACAATGCAATGATCTCTAATTTCATTTCGGTTGGAAATTTTGATGAGTGCTTGAAATACTATAAGAGTATGTTGTGTAATAGCTGTGACCCAACTATGGATACATATGTCAAATTGATTTCTGCCTTTCTGAAAACCCGAAGAGTTGCGGATGCTATTGAAATGCTTGATCAAATGTTAGATCGAGGGATCATTCCCTCCACAGGAACTGTAACATCTTTCATTGAATCTTTGTGTAGCTACGGTCCACCTTATGCAGCTCTGATGTTTTATAAGAGAGCAAAAAAAGTTGGATGTAGAATATCTTTGAGTGCCTATAAACTGTTGCTTAAGCGGCTTTCTAGATTTGGTAAATGTGGCATGCTGTTGAATATATGGAATGAGATGCAAGAAAGTGGGCATCCTTCTGATATGGAGGTTTATGAGCATGTCATTAATGGACTTTGCAACATAGGGCAGCTTGATAATGCTGTACTAGTCATAGAAGAATCTTTGCGCAAAGGCTTGTGTCCAAGCAAACTTATTTGTAGCAAATTGAATAACAAATTACTGTCTTCAAATAAAGTAGAGAAGGCTTACAGGCTTCTTTTGACGATCAAAGAAGCTCGTCGAAATGATAATGCACAGAGATATTGGCGCGCTAAAGGGTGGCATTTCTGATTGTTGATATTTATCGACTAGCAGTGCAACAACCTTGTCTTCCTCTCTGCCTAATATTTCTTGCTACAAAGTATTAACTTGCAAAGTGGAAGCATAAGCAATGTGTAAGTGCAACGCCTCGCCAAAGTAACCTCTCAGTCAAGATGAAGGTGCCCCTGGGGGTGAATCTGCATACACCTCTAGTGAAGATGTGTCGACAAGAAGCCTATTAGGAAGTCCAGCAAAACAGGCAGCATTTGAAAGTCCATATACGGAATGTCCAGATAACCATTTCAGAAAAAGCTTTGAAGCAGATATAGAGATCCATAAGTATGGGTTTGATTCATAAATGTTAATTATCTTATCACCTAACCTTTCATATCTGTACAGCAGGTTTGGTCAACCGACATAGTTACTTTTGACAATTGATGAGGATGATGACACAGATTCAGTATGGGGCCTTACCAATGCCAAGGTGAGTGCATTCATATACACCTAAGGGAGAATTACTGCAACAATATTATCAAATGGAATTGTGTTGTACTATGGTCAAAAAGGGTAGACTTGTAAATGGTGACGGAATATGGCTTAAAATATCCCCCCCACCATTTACAAGCTTACTGTGCAATAAATGTTTGGACCAAATGGTCTCGTTGGTTTAAATTGTTTTCTCTCAGATGATCTATTTAAGGTCTCGTCAGAGTGTCAAACTCCAAGAAAAGGTTTTGAAAGTTGGAGTGCTTTATAGCTATCTGGTGACTCTGGTTCAAACTCCATTTCATTTTAAGTGAGGCCTTCGTCTTCTAATATTGTTCATTATGTTGATGGGATGGAAATCCTCGTGTGTTGCATAACGTGGATCAAGAGTTGAAGAAAGATGGACATGTTAATGTTTGGTGCTGGTTCAGCTGTATTTATGTCACATATGATGTTATGGCATGCCAGGATGAAAGGGAAGGAAAAAGACAATGTCAGTTCTCAATTACCTGAGATGGACATAATGGGAAGAGAAGAGAAAGGTGGGGAGTGGGGTGGAAGTCAGTAGCCGCTGTGTTGCAGCTGCTGAACATGCGTTATATCACGTGCTTGCTTGTAGTTGTTGCTTTGTAGTTGCATTTCAGTTTGCCGATTGTCTTTCAAATATATAGCTGTTGAATTTGTGTACTTCAGTGAAATGAATATTTCGTTTTCCCTTCAGTAAACTTGGTTAAATTAAGCTCTTGTACATTTTCTTTTTGTTTCAAACATAAAACAAGTTGTGGTGTTCTACCTGTGGGAAAGTGAACTGAATTCACCTTTGTTAATCCGGTCGATTCATTCGATCATATCTGGAGTCGACAGACATGACACGTTATCGGAAGTCTGAGGGTGGGAGTGGGGTATGTTTGTGTGGTGTGGGCGTCTAGGTACTATTCGAAGAATTTGCTCTTAGTTCTTTTCTATGCTTAAAGAAGCACCGCATAAATTGAAAAAAAAAATTCATAATTTATTGGCCAGATTTTTCGGTCCTTGGGTTAACATTCTTCATATAAAGTTGCAATTTTGGTTTTTTTTTTTTTTTCTATTTTGTTGTTTTCTATAAAGTGTTTTCTATGTATAACAAATTAAATAGAATGTGAAGCAAGAACTATATTTTGCAATTGATAGTTACAAAAGGAAGACATTTCCATTTCTATGTCCATGAATTCTAGATTTCATTTTCCTCTCTTTCTCTCTCTCTCCCAAAAAAAAAAAGAATCACCATCCCTTCGGGATTACCATTTCACGATCCTAAAGCCCTCGCCGAATGGTTTAGTCAATCTCATTAGATGATCAAACAAAATAAATCAATAAAAAAGAAAGACCACCGAGAAGCACATCATTTATTATTTAGCACCGGAGTAAAACAATGCGATAATGGAGGATAATCATGAACCATAAAAAAAGCCCGTCAGTAGTACACACGTAACACTTCTACAATACATGGAAAAAGGGGCATGAGGTGCAGTCAGGTGCTGTCAAGCTCTTTCTGCACTTGATCATAAGCACATAGGATTGATGATCGCATGTTTGCTACTTCTACAAGCGTCTCCAGAGCTGCATAAATAAAAATCACCACAAACAAGTCATACAACGGAGTTTGGGATTTTTTTTTTTTTTGGGGGGGGGGGGGTTGTTTGCATGGCGGTGGCCATGCAAATTCCACCCAAGGGTGTTAGGACCAAAAACAGTGGCTGTTATAACTGAAACTACATTCCATATTTCCACTTCAGTGAAGGATGAGAATGAGCAGTGTGTATTTGAACCCAGCAAGCCATTCTACAAGAAAAGGACGTTTAAATAGAGTGGCTTTAATTCATCACCTGTCTCAAATGAAAGTTGGGCAGCTCGAAGCTTAGGAGAAACCAAAGTTCCGAACATAGATAGTGATTTGGATCGTTCTTTCTGAACCTAGGAAAGGAGAAAAAACAATGAGACAACTCCACATACCCCTCCTCTGTTCAAATATCACAGCTAATAAATATATTCGTTTCGTATATATTTACATAATTTTCTCTCATCAGGATGAAACTTAATTTAAAGCAGGCATATGTAATAAGACACTAATATGTATACAAACGTTTGATTTTGTACACTGTTACGTTTGTTCAGCTCAAAGAAAAGTTATCTTCAATATCGTTGCAGGTGCACTGTTGCATGCAGTGACGCCAAAGGCAACAATTGCCACAAAGAAATCCCTTGTTAATGAGAATCAGACTTAACAGTAACAAGATGGAAATAAGTTTCAAGATCATTTTTCAGACACTTACTTGGGTGTCAACTGTAGGCGGAGATCCATCACTTTCTGGTCTTGTCTCCTGAATTTCTTTGCGCCAATAAAAAAGGGAAGTAAGAGGCAATAGAAGAGTAAAAATGCTGTTAAATTGCAAGACTATTGAAAAGGGTAACAGCGTTGGGACAGTCCTTGCATGATTCAAAGGCTTTGACTAACAGTTTACGAAAGTACCAGCGATAGGACAAAGAAGCAGTGGAATTGCAGAAAAGAAACATGACAACAAAAAGAGTGTACCCATTAGAATATAATTTATCCATCAGCAGGAAAAATGAACACATAATATGGTTGCAAAAATGTGTCAATATGTGTACCACTGCGCTGCTAGCATCAGGTTCCTATTCTCTATTATAATTTACACACTACAGGACCAAAACAACTACTCCTATACAGCACTATACTCATACATAAGTGCAGAACAAACATTTACCAGAATACTGGGATGAACCACGATGCCGAAGCTGTTGATTATTAGATTTCCTCCATAATAAGTCATCCTCCTCAAATTTTGATTCCCCTGGGCAGCACTTCTGATTAGTAGGGGATTCCCATTTGCACAACATGAAATGTGGTTGTTCTGTCATGGAGCCAGCTGCAACAGAAAGCATATTAATTAGCATCAACAATAGATCTTTATTTTGTCTTTGCATACCACATGTTTGGATGCAGGAGTGAAAGTGCATTTGCCCAAGTGCACACACATTCATGCATGTGACAGAGGGAGAGGGGTAGAGACTTCAAATGGTGTAAGTAAGACACTATCAAAATTTGTCAACAGCAATCATATGAACTTATTTTGTGTTTGAATTCTTTGAAAGTTTTTGGTCTCTTAGAGTGGGATAAAGATAGGATTTTGGAACTCCAAGCATTAGAATCCTTTGTAACTCTATGACATGATAGATTTCTAAGATTAGACCAAGTGCTTTTCAAGTTGACGCACAACAGAGCAAGTGCCATTCAACAACATATACAAGCCCCTTAACTGAAAATTTCACTTATAATCAACTGATTGTGTCAAGAAGGACAATCAATAACATACCATCATCATGATTAATTTCCAATGATGTCGCTGCAGAGTGGTATTTCAGGTCAAACAAGGCACCATTGACACGTGAAGTACCCATGGAATGTCGAGCACTGGCTAACTCCAGCCATCCCTGAAATACAAAAAATTTTGAATTCAAATCTGTCATATTAATTCATATCATCAGGGCACAACAAAATAAATTAAGAATAAATTGAAAGTAGGGAAGTGGTAGGATGTCTGACTTATGATCTAACAATGATTAGGGAGCATAAAATTCATGTCAAGATATATTCAGAACTATATTTGCTGCTTCCAAATTATAGCTATAAGAGTAAGGTGAAGCACCCTGAATCAATGGGGCTACTTCTGGATCTGAATATAAAAGGACACATTATGCAATTGTTCCAAGTATTATTGATTGGCCTAGGAATATGACTTTGCCATTTCAGTTTCCCAAAACAGGAATTTATGTGAGTAAATTAATCTTGTATGTTTATCAATGAACTTTCAGATAATGAAAATATTATTCCAACTCTTTCCTTCCTTCTTTGGTGCTCCTGTTTTATCAGATATTATCTGCATCAAGGAACACACACAAATCTACAGGAGAGGTCAGCTGCATAGGTGACTCACAGCAAAAAAGGAACAAATAAAACTCCTCAACTTTCAATTTTATTGAAACCAAATTGTTCCTGGATTGATTTGAAATTTTTACTTGTAATTAGAGGATTTGCACTACAGAATGAGCACCTATAATGCTTAAACTTTCTTTTTTATTTTTGGTCAAGCTATTACACGGGGAGGGGGAATTTGAACCTAGCACCTCTTGGTGCATGAAAGGAGTGATAAGCTACTGGGATGGACCCAAGGTCCTATAATGCTTAAGCTCAAAAACCAAGAATGAATAAGAATGAGCCTAACATCTTTATTCACACAATGCAATCATTAAAAGCTAACTCCGTCCAGCAATAAAAACAAGCACCATCCCTTAGCAAGACAGTCACTTCAAGAAAAGCTCAAGCATGACAATCATTTATACCAAAGATAGCTTTTAACAATATGATTATTTGCAGAATAGGTAACCATAGAACTAGGTTCGTCTGCATACTTTTTCAGTAGCTCTTATCCTTGAATCCCAGTTCAGGTATGGAGTAAAAAATGGCACACATTTCCCATTGCTGAGCTAATGTTTCCAACAAAATAATAACGGCAATCTGATAAATGAACAAAAAAAAACATCCAATAGGAAGATGGCCGATAATTGTTCAAACAGATAACAAATAGTATTCCCTTTGACAACTTACAACCAACATGCTAAAACTTTGTTACATTAAACCACACCCAGGTATTATATATGAATTGCATTTTATAAAATGCCCCATGGCTCTTCATCTCAAAATTTGCCAACTGTGTGATGCCTTTTTTGTTGTTACAAAAAGAGATGCAGATTCATCAAACATAAACCTAGAGGACAAGTTAATCGGCTTATATAATACAACACAAATGAAGAACGTACGGAAGATCTGTGATCTAAATGATTAAAGAATCAATTGGAATTAAGATGAATACAAGATTTCGGGTTGTAGACACCATCCGTCGAGAAATAAAAATTATTGAAAGAAGGATAAAAGGTTTTTTGGTGTCAACCTGACGAAGAGTTGAAGATAAGGATTCCATTAGAACTAGATAGCTGTCCATCGAATCCAGGAACTTCAACACATGTTCTTCTTCTTGTTGATTTTCTTCCGTTGATCCTTTTCCATTCTCAGAGCTTTTCTTTGTTTCCTTTCCTCCTCCTCCTTCTTCTTCTTCTCCCATGGGCAGATTATAAACGCCAACCTGTGTTCTCTTCCCTTTCTTCTTCTTCTGCAAATTTAGAAATCGAAAGTTGTTTTACGGTGCCGTCTTGATATATATAGAAGTAAGGCGGAGAATGTTCACGTTGTTTTGATATGGTGGTATACAGGGGTTAAACCAGCATTGTTCTTTGGTGGGGGCAATTTGAAAGTTAAATAACTAAAATAAATCAATCCAATTTATAAAAAAAAAAAAATTCAATATATTCCAAGTCTATTAAACCTGGGGGTTCAACTTGATTTGAGCAACATGATTTTAACTCGAGTCCAATTTAAAAAAATTAGGGCTTAGACAAAGATTTTTAATACTTATGTTGAGCTTGAGCCAAAAAATATCAATCCTAATTCAATTTGGATTGGGTTCGAGTTGACCCCTCGGGTTTGATCCAAATTATTATTATATAAATATAAATTTATAATTTGTACTAGTTGATCTAATTTTCAATTTAGTCTGCTGTGAGACTGCGCCTCCCTTAACCTTACTCACTCAATCAAAGATTTTTAACTCAATCTGCTATAATATATGTATCAGGTGGCCTTAAGAGAAATTCAAAATATTATGTAATATATTTGAATGTTATGTTTATGTTTCGTTAAACTGGTTGTCGGTTGTTAAATTATGTAATATATTTGTGTTATATTTGAAGTTGTTAGTTGTTAAATTATTTGAATATTATATAATATATGTATCATGTTTAGAACATTAACCTGAAAATTAGCTCATAAAATAACTCAAATTGAGTCCGAAATCATTAATCCGAATTCAATCCGAGACTGTCCGAATTAAACTCGGACAGTGCTTGGATTGAGTTTATCAATCTGAAATAGGGTTAAGGTTGAACATTATATACTTAGAGTTGGGTTAGGGTTGACTGTCCAACTTGCCCTAGTTGCACCCCTAATTAAACCGAACTAAGATAAAAAAAAATTTAATCAATTACAAGAAAATTAGTAAAGTTTAATTAATGGAACAATTAAAGAGGGAAGAGAAGGAAAGAGGAGAGATTATCGTTCGCGAGGAGTAAATTATTCCGGAATAAATTATAAACTAGACCTCAACTGTTTTATAAATTTTCACAAGGGCAAGTTTTAAGTACTTCTGAAATTTTCCTAAATTCTAATTGGGTCCCGAAGATTTTTAAAATTTCAGTGGGGCAACAGCCCCCAGCAAATCCGCCCCCTGTTGGTATATACGACATCGTCTCTCCTCAACCATTCTTTAATGGGTAAATTACACTAATAACCCTAAGATTTGTCATTTATTGAACTTTGATCCTTAAAATTTTAATTTTATCAATTTCATCTTCATATTTTACATATTACCATTTAAATAAATAACCAAAAATCATCACGCGTTTAACACCAGTCACAAGTTATGCACGTGATAAGTTTCTGTTATTTGTTTAAACGGCAACGTGTGACCTTGGAGGATAAAATTGGTTACAATTTATCCTTCTTTAATTTAATTCAATTTTTATGATCAAAAACAAAATTTTAATTCATTTTTTAAACTTAGACCAGACCAACGGGTCAACTCGAAAACCAAACTGTCTCTAGCCCTAAAATTGCGTTTAGCTCGTGTTTCTTTCTTTTTTTTTTTTTTTAAGGATAAGTTGTTTTGGAAACATTTAAGGATGCAACTTGGGTTGGGTAACCCGATTTCAACCCGAAAAAATTAGAGCTTAGACAAGGATTTTTAATACTTAGGTTGGACTTGGGTTAAAAAATTTCAATCCGAATTCAATTTGGGTTGGGCTCGGGTTAAGACCTCGTAAACCCGACAAATTCAAATATATATATATATATATATATAAAATATTAGTATTGATTTTTTATTTTTGTTCTATCGTTCTCGTTCTCTGTCTCTCTCGTTCTCTCAGTTTCTCTCGTTAAAAACTTAGTTGAAATTATTGGTTGTTAATTTAGGTGAATATTATGTAATATATGTATTAGGTTTACAACAATAAGCCTATTTTAGGCTCTACCCCAATTAAACTCGTAAAGTAACCCGAAATCAGTTCGAAATTATCAACCGGAGCGCGCCCAAATTAAAATTGAGCAGTACTTGGGTTGAGTTTCCCAACCCGAAATAGGGTCAGGATTAGGGTTGAATATATATATAATTAGGATTGATTGTCCAACCTGCCCATGTTGCACCCCTAGAAACAATGCCCAAAAACAACAAACAAAAAAAAATAAGGAAAATTTACACACAGACCTCTTGAGGTTTGTCATTTAATCACTCAGATTCACTGACATTTGAAATATTACACACATACACCCTGAGATTTGTACGTGCGTAACACTATATATATATTAATAAATTATACTTAGATCCCATAAAGTTTATATCTTAAGTTTAAAATATTATTCTTAGATAAAAAATACTCTAATCAAATATTTTTAATTTTACAACGAAAATTCATCTTCTGTTGTATCATTTATTGAAATAAAATTAAAATTAAAAATTTATTTTTTCTTAAAAAATCGTAATTAATATTTAATTATACTATCTATTGGAATCAAACTAAAAAATCAAACAAGGAATCTAGGTCATTCACAATAGAACATGAATTTTACATCTAAAATTAATGTTTTATTATTTCATTTAGTGAAATAAAAAAAAATAAAAGTCTATTTTTAAAAAAAAAAGTCATAGTTAGGATATAATTATACTATCTATTAGAATAAAACAAAAAAATTAAACAAGGGGTCAAACTGTAATGAACACAATATTTTTTAGCTTTAATTTGGGTAGTTTGGTATTTAATTTGGTTGTTTAAACGATCAAATTAAATTATAATAAATAATATAATTGTAAATTAATTATGATTTTTTAAGAAAAAAAATAAAATTTTATTTTTGATTTTATTTCAATAAATAATACAATAGAATATGAATTTTTGTTATAAAATTTAAAATATTTGATATTTTATCTTTAATTAGAGTATTTTTTGTTTAAGTATAATATTTTAAACTTAAGGGGTTAAAATATTATATACTTACAATTTTTAAGGGAGTATAAGTATAATTTATTAAATGATATATTTACATTAGGGTCTAAGTGTTACGCGCGTACAAATTTTAGAGGGTTTGTGTATAATATTTTAAATATCAAAGAGTCTGAGTGATTAAGTAACAAATTTTAGAGAGTTTAATTGTAACTCTCCAAAAAAATATCATCAAAAAAACAAGGAAAACAGAAACAACACTCACAGGATGGAGAATTAATGAGATTCAGGTTTCGAATCTTTTTAGTAACAAAATACATCTTTTTTTTGGGTTAATCTCATTTTGCACCTTAAAAGATTGTTCAAATCTTAATTTGTACCCCCAAAGATCAAAAATCTCAATTTACACCCTCAAATATAGAAATTTGTATCAATGTGTATCCCCAAAGATAAAAAATCTCAATTTGCACCTAAAATTAAATTGATAAATTATACCTAGATCCCCTCATGTTTGTCACTTAATCATTTGAACTCCTTCACATTTAGAATATTCCCCTTACATCTCACGACGTTTGTGCATGTGTAACACATAACCACTTTTCGTTGATATCTGTTAATATAATCATTAAAAAATATGATTTTATCCTAATAAAAAATTATAATTTCATATTATCTTTTATTTTGTGGATTCGATATACTCTAAAGTTAAAAATCAAGCTTACCATTTGAATATCCAATAAAATGTAGATATTTATATAAAAGGTAATATGAAAAATATTATATAAATATTTACATTTTATTAGACATTCAAATGGTAAATTAGATTTTGAACTTTAGAATATATTAAACCCATAAAATAAAGGGTAATATAAAATTATAATTTTTTATTAGGATAAAATTATATTTTTTAACGGTTATATTAATAGATATCAATGAAAATGGGTTACGTGTTATACGTGCACAAATGTCATAAGATGTAGGAGTAATATTCTAAATGTGAAGAGGTCTAAATGATTAAGTGACAAGTATGAGGGGATCTAGGTATAATTTATCAATTTAGTTTTTAGGTGCACATTGATACAAATTTCTATCTTTGAGGGTGCAAATTGAGATTTTTTATCTTTGGGGTGCACATTGATATAAATTTATATCTTTGAAGGTACAAATTGAGATTTTTGATCTTTAGGGGTGCACATTGATACAAATTTTTATCTTTAAGGGTATAAATTGAGATTTTTGATCTTTGAAGGTACAAATTAAAATTCGAACAATCTTTCGGGATGCAAAATGAGAATAACCCCTTTTTTTTCGTTAAACTATAAAAACCCACTTCATTCTCTCTTCTCCTAACGATACCCCTTTTCTCCATCTCCATCGCTTCTCTGTCTGTGCGACGTCCGTCGGAGCGACGAAGCCGGAGCTCTCTCTCGCTGCAACGAAGACCGAAGGTAACCTTGCCTATTGATCTGGTCTCCTTTATTGGGTTGATGTCCGAGCTGGATTTAATTACTATGGCACAAAGCTAATAAAACCCTACTCTTTCAGGGATACGTGGAATAACCTGTGGGTTTTCTTAACTCTCTTCTACTTGAAAGGAATTAGTGTGTGTCTTATTCAAAGAACTTGATTTGGTTGATGGTGGTTATGGAGGCAATGGTGAAAAAATATCAGCAGAAGTTCAGAAAGGTGAGAGACGAAATGGATCGATGGGACGAACTTCAGTCTAGATTGCTTTCACAGTTCAGGAATGCTTCTTCCATTATCCAGAGGTTACAGGTCCTTCTACTGCACATATATTGTATATATATTACCCTTTTTGTTTTAATCAAAAAAATTACAAAAATCTACATTTTTTTGACCAGGTGATTCAAAATCCAAAGAATTATGGTGCTTTGCAGTGTGTTGATAGTATTGGAGATGCACTCTTGGCAAAGCAAATGGAGTCTTTGCAAACTATCTTGCTTTCAATGAACAAGACTATGTATGTTTTAACCATCCCTCGTTTTTATAGCTTAATATTTGTTTGCTGGGAAAATGCCGGAAAGGACAAGAAACTAAAGTTGGAATCTTTGTATCTGCTAATCTATGTTTTTTGCATATAAAATGTCTTAATTAAAACACGAATTTTAGGATTTAGTTCAGTATGTAGCTTATGATACCATCATTGAAATGGCTGTTAAGTAAAAAAAAATTGTGTGGTTCCCTTTGGACAATGCTGAATGCTTACATCTCCTTGATCGCACTGTTTTACTGTAAGGTCACATCACATACTTTGATTATCCATATCATATGGTTTGAGATTTGATGTTGAGATTACCGTTGCTCAATTGTACTTTTTGTTTCAAAATTTGATGGTTTTTTTTATGTTGACATCTTGATTGTCAAACTTGGTGGATTATTTCAGAAGCATTTTTTTTGTTTGTCCATCAATTGTGAACCAATTTCAGGGTAGATTTTCACGGTGTTGTTTTGTCACTTGATAAAAATTTTCGTGACGGGAGGCAGCTAGTAAAAGGGGGGTCTATGCAGCCAACAATGAGACAACTGCAGCAGCAAATTGGTTTAAAACCAACTCTTGCAGATTGCTTGGACGGGCTTGGGCTTCTTCATGAGATGCACAATTCAGAGTATGGATTGTCTACAACTCTCGCATTATTCCCTCTTTTTCTTTTTTCTTAAACTGCTGTGTAGGAATGCTAAGTGGATGTTTCAAAGCTCGATGACGAATATTTAGTCGGTACCAAAAGTTTTGGTGGTCACTTTTTGGGACTAAATCCTAATTTGTTAATGTCGTTTTGGCCCTTAATTATGCATTAAGTCTTGGCCTACAATTCACACATCAGCGAGTAATTGTACTTTTCTTTTGAGCAAGAGTCACTAGTTGTACTAGAGGGGAGAAATTTAGTTTACATTGTTATAGCATTCCTTGAGTGACAGCTATCTGTCAAGTCATCAATTTCATGTATTCCCTTTGTGGATGACTCCCCGGTTTGTTCTTTTGTTTATCCTTTGAGGTTCTTTTCTCCTTGTTTTTGGGAGTAATTGTTTTTCCATTATCTATGTTCAAGGAAGTAGGTTAAATATTTGTTATCGGCTGAAGAAGCATTTGATTCTTGTTGTGTCTCCCAATCAGGGATATATTGGCAGTCATATGATTCCCGCACACATTTGTTGTGATCATTTTCATTGATTGGCTCTTCTTATTTGAGAAATGGTACAGGGTCAAATTTTTTGGTTCTTATTTGCTGACCTGATTACTTTTTTCCTCCTGATAATTGCTCACTTGATTACTTGTGTAGGTACATTCTTAAATTATCTGTGGTATCAGCACTTCCAGCTCTAACCTTGAAACCCAGGTAATGCAAAAAATTGGATCTTTCCCTGTTCCTATTTGAAGGCACCAAAGATTTTGCTATCTCTATTCAAATAAGCACTACGTTATGAAATATCAAATATACTTAAAACTCTGCAACCAATTATGGATCTGGATATAATTAACTTTCAAGTATAAGCTATCAGGTAATGGATCTCATTTGCCTCAACTCCTTTTCTCTTGCTTTTGAAATCTGAGCCTATTAAATCCTAATCTGTTGATGGAACTTTGGTTGAACATCACTATAATGGATCTCCAAAGATGATATATTGTATATAACCTGATGTGGATCATACTATTTACCTTACCATGAATTAGTTTAGTTTATTAACAACAGATATTATTTATCTAATGTTCCATGAATCCACATGCAAAAGGGAACTTCCAAAAAAAATGCAAAAAGGGGAAATTTTCAAACACTTAAAGCTCTCTTATGAATGTAGGACCTGCTCCATTTGCCCTTCTTTTATCGTATGTTGTAGTGACATTAACAATTTGAAAAAAACACGCAACATGGATGAACTTGGATTCACCTGGAAGAGTTTTGCTCATTTTTGTAGTTGTTAGATTAGGTATCTGGATGGTTAAAACGTATTCATTCATACAATGTATACTTGATGCACTCTATCCATTCTATTTCTTGGGATTTATGAAGGTGTCTTGACTTGATGTCATAACAGTGCCAGTGATTTGGGTGCCCTCCAGCAACTCCTGGTTGATCAGCCTAACATTCCCAATGAAGAAGGTTGGTAAATGATTCATATGTTGGGGAACATAAGTAAAATGATGGTTCAACTTCTGCAACCATATCAGCGTGTTGAACATGGTCAATGTAAATCTAGCATCGATCTACTTATTATTGGCTCATAAAACTGATAAAATTGAGAAGAGGACGTAAGCCCCCCTCCCCCTTCTTTTCTCTCCCGTCTCCTCTTTTCCCCCCTTTCCCTCCTTTTTTTCACTAAACTAATACAATTAGGATAACAATCTGTACTTTCCATAAGAGAATAGTGATGTACTGCCATTTACCTTCTAATGATCTGAGTATTCAATCTGTAGACTAGTCAGCCTTTGAAATAGTATTGAGATTAACTGATCACCATTAATATGTTTGACTAAATGTGGCAGAACCGATGTTTTGATGCGTAATTGAAGAAATGAAAATACAATATTTTTGGTTGGTATAAGATAGTTTTGTCTACTTTTCAGTAAATCTTTTCAAAGTCAAAATTGGATGAAGTTTTAATTTGTATACATGATTCAGCACTATAGTTATGCAAGTGTGCATGGACTGTGAAAATCTTTGAAAAATGATGTGGATGGATATGATAGTCATGTGACGTGCATTGTGTGGAACTTGTGAAGCATTATATTCCAACTGGCTAGTAATGCCTTCTTTTCATGTGTAATAAAAGCTCCAGTTTACTTATATTTTCTCATTTTTTGCTGTGGAATTTATAAGCTCTTCCTCATTTGTTGGGGTTATTTTTTCTGTTCCTTTTTTTTTTTGGGTTTTTGTGTTGGGGGGCTTACCACGACTGATATTTACTTCCAGACTAATTATTGGTAATGTTATACTTGGATGTTGTGCCAGTCTTAAAGTTTGCTCCTTCCTATTGCTTTCATTTCCTTGCAGTGCAATTCATATTTGACATCATATTCGCTGAAGAGATATGTTGATATGTTGTCCATGACGATGATTTGAAACCTTGAAGTATTGTGCGAAATGGAAGTCTCTTTGTTGCAGGAGACGACGAGGATGATGATGGCAGTGAGGCTCTTTTCTATGCTTGTGACACTACAAGGAATGCCCGTTAAGCTTCTTTAACCACTTGATTCGAGAAACTGGGAGCACATTTTTTTTGGATAGCAAGAAGTATCTATTTCGTTGTAACTAGTAACATGTCCTTTTTGATGTTTTATGAGATGTACAAATTTCTTGACATTGTTCCGATTTTGTTACGTATAGTTTCTCTCTATGTAAGTTATATCGTGTAGTCCCAACCCTATATTCCGTGAAAAAGTGAGAGGATGAAAAGTTGAAAGGATAAATAAAATATTATATTTGGTAAGGAAGGAAAGTATGAATGATGAAAAAATAGATGAATTAACTTTCCTTTCAACGCATTAAAATTAATCCCTCCTAAATCGGAAGGAAAATAGGAATGATGGTAAAGTGGATGGATTAACTTTCCTTCTAACGCACTAAAATCAATCCCTCCTAAATCAGAAAGAAAGTGGATGAAAAGTTAATTATTTGTGTTGAGATGTATTTTATTTGTCTATATTTTTATATGAAATTAATATATAAATTAAAAAAAAATTAAAATTAAAAATTTTAAACAATTAAATTAAAAAATATATATTATTTTTATTTTTAACTAAGAGTGAAAATTTTCGACTCAACACAATGATATGACTCGACCTCGATACGAAAATAAACATATCAGCTTGTAACTTGAGACGACACGACACAATTAGTTAAATGAGTTAAGTTAGGTTTGACTAATATTTGACATAAAACCGTAATGACTCAACACGAATTTGACACGACACGACTCGATTGTCACCCCTAATTTTAGCCCGCACAAAAAAAATTTTTTTTTTTATTTTCCATCCATCCAACCAAACGCAAAGAAATGAAAGTATATCTCTCCTACTTTCTATTCTCCCTATTAAACGGAGCACTAGTGTGGTGCTGCGTATATTAATTTGAACAAATTTTGGTTGATTTAGAATGACTTCTTTTTTTGCATAGTGAAAAAACACAATAATTTTAAACTCTCCGAAGCTTACATTAATTATTTGCACGAAATTAACATGATGTGTTAAATTAAACTAATGTTATTGGGACATAATTGAATGATATAATTTGGGGATATAATCAGTTGTCATCAATAAAATGATAGTGAAATGTATTTAATGATAGGTCCCACTATAACATTAATGAATTCATTATTTTATTATTGGTGACAACTCATTATATTTTCAAATTATATATATAAATTATGTCCCAATAACATTGCCCGTTGAATTAATAAGTCTTACCGACTCTATCAACATTTAACGACACATGATTTGGTGTAATATGCTTGGGGAACAAAGTAATTTCCTGAAGAAAAAAAAATTGACTATTTTAAAAGCTAAAATCACACCTTTGTTTTTTCATGAGCAAAGAACCTAGATGGCATTTTTGCTTCATTTTGTAAATGATGAAGCAAGAACATTTTCTAATCACCGAATTAGTCATCATCTATTCATTTAATTTTCTCGCTTGCCAGTGGCCGGGAAGGGATTGGATCTCTATTGCATTCTCAACAAGCATTGCGGTTGCTTTGCTCCGACTCCGAGTATAATAATAGCAATCTGATTGTTTAAATCTCTCTCAATTATTTTTTTTCATTTTTATTTTTATTTTGGCACACCATTCATTCACCATTAATAAGTAAAGCAAGAGATCCACTTATATAAAAATGAGTTTCACTTGAATTTACGATAGATTAGATGATAAGAAACATTTAAGAGAAAATAAAATGTATTGAGGGATTTTCCATTGCAATTATTGATATTATGACATTATTGCTGTTCAAATCCTTTTGTTTTTTCCTTGAAAGTACCTTTTTAACCTTAATGAAAAACAACCTTCCTGTAACCTTTGAATTTTTTTTATGCTTAATTTGATAATCTTTGGCTCCTTGCAGAAATTCATTACTTTTACTTGCCTGTTAAAAATTATAAATTTGATTTAACACAAATGATATAATTTAACCACCAAATAGATAGCTTATTGGAACGTAAAGAGCGCTGGATTTGAACACGACTTATGCTGCTCAAAAAACAACAAAGAACACGACTTAGGCCATTAGATGTCCAACGGCCAGCCGGCCAGCCAGCCAGCCAGCCAGCCTTGCCTTTGAATATGAAGTGAGTGAGTGACACAGACAGGGGTTGGCTCCCACCTCCACACACACCGTCCTTCGTTACTCTTTTACGTCTCTTTCTCTCTATTTCTCGCTCTTGCCTTGTTGTTCCTTGTCGGTACACCGATGACTATTCGCCTTGAGTCAACCCTTTCTTTGTTTATTAGCACCTACCTCTATAATGAATTTTTTTTTGTTGTTTGTCTTTTTACTTTGTGTATTGTTCCTTATTCAACTACAGCAACTTCTATCTTCCTTCCTTCCCTCCCTCCCTCCCTCTTCTCATCTTGCCCTTTCCCACCTCGACCGATAACCGAAACCCTAATTCTAAAATTTAGCAATCTTCGCACTCCATGGAAGAAGAAGAACTGCATATTCACTACTTCTTTCCTGAAATTCATAGAAAGAATTCTAGGTAATACGGTGGCGCGTCATCAGCTTTGAATTAGGGTTCTGGAAATCATTCAAGCTTTCACGAGTTCAAACAAGGTACTTTTTCTGACTCTAGTCCTGGGTTCGTATATATTTTTATATATTATCTTCCGTTCCAATTTCAATCTGAATTACCCTAGAAACACTGAATTCCCAACATAAGTTGTCTACTGGATTTGAATGAATTCTTTAGATTTTATTCCATATTTTTGATAAATGATAAGACATGCCGGTCAGCGTAATTTGTTTGATCATCGGATATATGTGTCGGTGAGAATGAAAGAAGTAACTTAATCGGCAATTTCTTTCTAATGGGTTGTAGTGATTGAGGATAATATTTCTTTGCATATTCAGTACGCATTTTGTCTGTGTTATTTAGATAGGAATCAGTTCGCCACCATATTGCGATTTTAGAAGCTATCTCGCAGATAGAAGGAATAGTATTACTTAGGTATCTCTACCTTCACTAAAGCTATTTATGCTAGAAGAACAAAGCCAAAGACAATCAAATCTGCACTCGTTCAACTGGATGTATGCTTTTCACTGCATGGTTTTTGATTATGTTGGGCTTGCTTGCCAAGAAAATTGAAGTAAAGATGAAAATCTATAAATGTCAGCATCCATTACTACACAAAATTGTCGCCATTCAAGCTTATTATACTTTCCATCACCACCAAGCAATCCGGGAATCTCGTGAAATTTGATTTTTTAGTTTAGTTTTTCTACTTTTCAAGAACTTTTGTTCTCCAATCACAATCTTATCAGGACTCTTTATATGGTTTTGTGTCAGTATGTTTTTTTTTTCTAAGGAAATTGTATGCTCTTCAAATCCAATCAGTTTTACTATTATTATTATTTCTTTTTTGTTTCCTTTTTCAAGTGTTCATCATTGCTCTGATAAAGATTGATATCTGTAGTAGTTGGTGCACAGTTAAGTTTAATATTGCTTCCATTGACAGGGATTTTGGGTTCGATGGCTGGAAGCTGGGATGGAAGTTATGACCTTGGTAGCCAGTCTGATGAGAGCTATCAATTTGAGAGGCTACATATAGAGCCTATCTATGATGCATTCATATGCCCTCTTACAAAACAAGTTATGCGGGATCCAGTTACCTTGGAAAATGGACAAACTTATGAGAGAGAAGCAATTGAAAAATGGTTCAAGGAATGCAAGGAGAGTGGAAGAAAGCTGGTTTGCCCATTAACACACAAAGAGTTAAGAAGCATGGAATTGAATCCAAGTATAGCTCTTCGCCACACCATTGAAGAATGGAATGCGAGGAATGAAGCTGCTCAGCTTGATATGGCTCGCAGGTCATTAACTCTGAGTAGTGCTGAGAATGATATTATGCAGGCTTTGAGGTTTGTCCAGCATCTCTGCCAAAAAAGCCGGTCAAATAAGCATGTTGTTCGTAATGCAGAGCTAATACCTATGATTGTTGACATGCTGAAGAGCGGCAGTCGTAGAGTTAGGTGTAAAGCTTTGGAAACTCTTAGAATTGTGGCAGAGGAAGACTCTGATAATAAGGTAATCAAAGGTTTATTAGGTTGTCGACCACTGTTTCTCAGATATTCCAGGCAGAGACCTGTTATCTATGGTTTGTCTTCTTTTGCAGGAAATAATGGCTGAAGGGGACACTGTACGCACAATAGTGAAGTTCTTGTCTCACGAACAATCCAAAGAGAGGGAAGAAGCCGTCGCTCTGCTGTATGAGCTTTCCAAATCTGAGACATTGTGTGAAAAGATTGGTTCCGTAAATGGAGCTATCCTTATATTAGTGGGTATGGCCAGCAGCAAATCGGAAAACATTTTGACGGTTGAGAAGGCTGATAAAACTCTGGAGAACTTGGAGAAGTGTGAGAATAATGTGAGACAGATGGCAGAAAATGGTAGATTGCAGCCTCTTTTGACACTACTCCTTGAAGGTGCTTTTTCTATTCTTTATACTTATGTGTATGCAAACAAATGGTAGTTGCAAGTCTATTGGTCTTTTCTTTCTCAAAAAATTTTGGGTGGAAATAAATTATTTTCGATTCGAGTCTTTGTTTGGAATGGAAAATGAAAGTCCCTGTCAAGAGTTTTTTCATTGGTAAGAATTTCTGTCATTTTGCCTTTATAAATTGACAAGATTGAGTCAAAATTGGAGAGAAGAAACTTGTGGATCACTATGATGAAACCTTTCAATCACAATGTTACATTCTCACACAAGCATGTGACTTTTTGGTTTTCCTCGGTTTGTTTGGAAAATTCAAATGGTTTTTTGTAGTATACTGGTAATATTGTAGCTTATGTAAAAGCAAGATCTAGAATCAATTTATTAATAGGAAGAGTAAATCAATGTCCTCATCAAAAATATTATTTCAAACATAGTTTTGTGGTTGAAAAATCCCAATAGGAACTCAAAACTCAAAATTTCATCCTCCGGGGGTGGCCCACACCCACTGTATTTTTGTCCTTTCTTCATTACTATTTATATGTTCTTTTTTTTTTTTTTGGTGGGGGGGGGGGGTTTGGGGGGCAGGGGAACATACACAACAGGCCGCTGGTCACATATTTTATATTTTTATATATTTGCTTTGGCCTTGTTAGTTAGTAGTTTTGAGAGTTTTTCATATTTTTTCTTTAAAGCCTTTTGTTATTTGGGAAATGGCATCATTTATCTCTCACTCTCTCTCACACACACACACACACACACACCAGCACACATACTTACAGTGGCGGATCCATGTGATGTACACTATCCACAACTCCTCCCATCTCGGTCCTCATTCCTCACCTTTCTCTTCTCTCCCACCCCACTACTCAGGGAAGTTAAAATATCAGGAGAAATTATAGGTTATTAAAGCCGATTTTTGTTTTTTTTGAAAGATTTAAATGATTGGTGGCTAAGTAGTGAGAGTGGAAGGGTGATTACATGGCCTTGTGTCATAATTTAACTGTGCAAAACTTGATTTTATAATATAAGAGATCAAAATTATGAGAATAAAGGAATTGAGGAGGGTAGGCTTGTCAAACCCATCTCAAATAATTGGAGTGTTTTATATGTCTAGAGTGATATGTTTTGCTGACACTTATCATTTTCATTCAATGATGTCTTGATATTCCGTTCCTTTAAATGTGTAATTGATGCAAGTGTACAGTATATAAATCTTGTTCGAAGTTTTAAGCACTTGTGAAGTCTGAAAATACTGCAAGTATCCAGGAAACCCTGCCCACAACATCGAACTGTTTCATCACTGTGTTCTTGCTTCTGGACTGACATTTACCAGCTGAATTTGTCTATTAAATCGTTAAAGCCTGGCTTGGATATGTAAGCACTCAAGAAAAAGAGAGGGGGTATATTTTGTAAAACTAATTCTCTTTGAATTGATTTGAGTATCAATTATCCTTGTGATATCTGAAGATTTGGAACCTATGAATCTCCTTTGCTCATTTTTTTATCATTCTACTAAGCTCTTTGTTGCCAAATGGATTGTTGCAGGCCCTCCAGAAACCAAATTGTCCATGGCCTCATACCTAGGTGAGCTGGTCCTTAACAATGATGTGAAAGTGTTTGTGGCCAGAACTGTTGGTTCGTCTCTGATCCAAATTATGAGAAGTGGGAACATGCAGTCTAGGGAAGCTACTTTAAAAGCTCTGAATCAAATTTCATCTTGTGACGCCAGCGCCAAGGTCTTGATAGAGGCGGGTATTCTTCCTCCTCTTGTCAAGGATCTGTTCATTGTTGGTCCCCATCAGCTTCCCATGCGGCTGAAAGAAGTCTCTGCAACAATTCTTGCCACCATCGTGAATTCAGGCTATGACTTTGATTCCATCCCAGTTGGACCTGAACGCCAGACTTTGGTCTCAGAAGACACAGTGCATAACCTGCTCCATCTCATCAGCAACACCGGCCCCGCAATAGAATGCAAGCTTCTACAGGTTCTTGTTGGACTCACCAGTTCTCCCACTACTGTTTTGAGTGTTGTTGCTGCCATTAAAAGCTCTGGTGCTACTATTAGTTTGGTTCAGTTTATTGAGGCTTCACAGAAGGATCTGCGTATGGCTTCCATAAAACTTCTGCAGAACCTCTCTCCTCACATGGGTCAGGAACTAGCTGGTTGCTTACATGGTACATCTGGCCAGCTTGGTAGCCTTATCAAAGTCATATCAGAAACTATTGGTATCACTGAAGAGCAGGCCGCAGCCGTTGGGCTTTTAGCTGATCTCCCAGAAAGAGACATGGGCCTCACAAGACAGATGCTCGATGAAGGTGCCTTCCAGATGGTCATCTCCAGAGTGGTTAGAATACGGCAGGGAGAGACTAGAGGCAGCCGCTTTGTGACTCCATTTCTAGAAGGGCTTGTTCGGGTTCTTGCAAGGATTACCTTTGTCCTGACTGATGAACCTGATGCCATTGCCCTGTGCCGTGAGCACAATCTTGCTGCACTATTCACTGAACTGCTTCAGGCGAATGGGCTTGACAACGTGCAGAAGGTTTCGGCCATGGCTTTGGAGAACCTATCCCAAGAATCCAAAAACTTGACTAAATTGCCTGAGTTGTCATCGTCTGGTTTTTTGTGTCTCAATCTTTCCCTGTTTTAGCAAACCACCTGTCATAACTGGATTGTGCCGGGTCCACCAAGGGACGTGTTCACAGAGAGACACTTTTTGTCTGTTGGAAGGACAGGCAGTGGAGAAGTTGGTGGCCCTTCTAGACCACACCAATGAGAAGGTGGTTGAAGCATCGCTTGCAGCACTGTCCACTCTCTTGGACGATGGGGTTGATATAGAAAAAGGTGTTGACGTATTATGTGAGGCAGAGGGGATCAGGCCTATACTTGATGTGTTAATTGAAAAACGAACTGAGAAGTTGAGTAGGAGGGCAGTTTGGGCAGTTGAGAGAATCTTGAGGACTGAAGATATAGCCTTTCAAGTTTCAGGTGATCCAAATGCGAGCACGGCACTGGTGGATGCTTTCCAGCATGGTGACTATCGAACACGACAGATTGCTGAGCGTGCCCTAAAGCATGTTGACAAGATACCGAACTTCTCTGGTGTCTTCCCAAACATGGGTTGAACCTCTTTTAGATGCTTCCGAAGGTGACAATTGGTGATTGAGAAGACATTGTACTGTTGATTTCTCCTCTTCTCCTTAATGAAGTTCTGCGATGTGTTCTATCTTGTGGTTTGTGAAGCATCATGAGATACAGGTAGATAATTTTCCAAAAAGAAATGCGTGTAGATAATGCTTTTGTTTCAATTTGTTATTTTGTGTTCTTTTGGTGCAGAGGGTCTTGGAAACTTTTTCTTATTTCTTCTTCATGTTGTCTTCATTTGTTCTTCATTTCTTCTAGCATTCACTGTATTAGCATTGGATCTGGGAATGTAATATTGATTTTGTATTACTCCTGTTCAAGAGTTGCAACAAAAAAAAAATCGGTATAACTATTGGCATCGTTTCTCCTTTCTTTTAGACGTTTCACTTTACCTTCTGTTCTTGCCCAGCAAACAAACAATTAGCGATAGCTTTTCTTTCAGCTTTATTGTGTCTTCCTATCTTATATGTTCAGTTGTTGCAGATAAAAATAGGGTACCAGTGGGTTAAATAATACAGACGTTTAGGCCCCATGCCACGGTGATACAATGTGTTCAGAACAAAAGAACTAAATTGATAAGGAATTTATCAAATTTCAGATTTCGGCAACAAATGCAGCATTCAAGTCCATTGGATGTGTTGAAACTTTTAGTCCATGAGGTCGAGCTCCTCCAGCTCCAGCTCACACCAGGTGGGGATGGAGTCGTTTGGATTCCAACCTAGTAGTTACTTTCCATTTCATATCTACAAGCTTATCAAGTTTAAATAAATATACGTAATAGAATAAATTCTTTACAGACAAACTTGTAAATTATAAATATTTACAGGCAAACTGTAAAAAAAATTCATCCGCTATACGTAAACGTGGAGGATTTATTGGTTTTATATGTAGTAGCTTACACCTATTGATTGATTTGGTAGGTAGGTTTATCTATAAATTTGGCATCCAGATTGGTGTTGGATTGGTTTTTGTTCGAAGTTGAGTAAAGAGTAAAATGGTCATTTCAAAAATTCCCTCTATTGCTAATAATATCTCAAACTATGGGGGAGCAATATCATAAGTCCAAACTACAGGGGCGTTTTGTGTAGTTAACCAAAAAGGCCAACTAATCTGACGTGTCTATTAATTCAATGTGGCCAATTTCTATTGGTTAATGATACATCATCTGCGTCGAGGAAAGACTGGGACCGTCACGCTCTCCTTTTCTTTTTTTGCTCAGTCGAATATTTAATAGATTTCTCCCGGAAGAAGAGGACAGAGGCCTGCCTCCGCGAGCGTATGTTGAACAACTGGCTGGAAGAGAGAGCCGGAAAAAGTGAGTTCGGAGAACGATAGCGAAGAATATGGCGGAGCCTCCGCTGCGGTTGATCTTCGTAGTTGCAGTATTATTCTCAATTTTATATACTGTTTTTTGTATCGATGACAAATGCGCTGCTTGCAATGCAGTCGCGGTGAGTAATCATCTCTCTCTCTCTCTCTCTGTATTAATTTTTTTTTTGTTGTGTGTGTGTGTAATGCAATCCCGCAAGCTCTAGATCTCTACGCTACTCCGTTTAGGACTAATTCATGCAATAAATTTTGGTTGGCCAAGTTCGGTTGCTGATTTCTTTCTTTTTTTGTCTCATGATTTGCAGGAGGAACTGGAGCGTGGACTGTTGAATGTAATGAGTTGTAGTTTTATCAGTTGTTTTTTGTGTGAGACATTTAGAATTTTTTAATCCTTGACACCTAGAGAATGTGGATGTAATTCTCCAGAAACATATAAATTTTAAGGCATAAATATTTACTTTCATTAAAATTCGTATTTTTCTCTTTTATCACCAAGTTACTAAAAAAAGAAACATAGTTTTACTCACTAACTTTCATGGAAGTCACTTCATGCTTTGTGGTTTCACATTACCCCAAATTATTTTGTCTGTAAATTTTTATATTTTGTACAGGAAAAACCAAGAAATCATTTGGACATGAGACACCGATTGGACCCGCATGGTCAGCGTAAAGGAAAGGTAATAGATTACAGGTATAAATCCATGCGCCAGATGTATTATATTATTTTAGTCCAATTTCACCTGCAGAGTGGACAGCATCTTTACCCTTTCTGGCAAGCCTTGAGAATATTAATCACCGGTTCTTTGGTTCAACTCTTCTGAGCCTGATTTGAAATGATGTTTTTTGCCTACCTTGACAAAAACTAACATTCTAGAAAAAAAGGAAAAGAAAAAGTGATATATTGTAAACTGTTGAGTCTGATCTGTATGACATGTGGAAGCTTTTGTCAAGTTCTTTCACCAGATGAGCTATTCTAGTAAAGCTTTGGTTTAACTGCATATTGTCCACTTTATGCCAATTCTCCACTTTATGCCAACAGAGTCAGTGAGCTGAGAGTTGTTGAACTATTAGATGGACTGTGTGAAAAGATGCAAGATTATACTCTTGAAAAGGTAATTCTTTGTTTGATTTGGATACTTGTTTGCCACTTTACCTTTTCTTACGTAGATGTTGCATATGTTGCAATCAACCTGATTGAATAACTTGCTTATGATTTTCACCTATTCTCATATATAATTGATAATTGAATGATCAGTGAACAAGTATTGTTTAAGTGGCTCTGTGCATAAAATGATCATTCTTTGCAGTCTCCACATCATGAGATTTTAACAATTTTTGGGGCAAGTAATTAGTGGCCCCTCATGAATGTTGATGCTAAACTCTCCGATTTGCAGGTTGATTCAAGCGGACATGTATGGATCAAAGTGAATAATTGGGATAACCTCACTACTAGTATGTATATCTAACTTCATTGGATAAATACATCATCTCATACTCAAGCTTACACGGACCCATAAAATTGGTGCCTAGACAATCACTATGCTACTTGTTTCAATGATTACTACTTGAATTTGTTCAATACATTTGCTGATTAATTATATGCAGCAGCATGCTGTTCAATTGTTTTTATTAATGAGAAAGAGAATGTATTGTGTAGCTGGCAACTAAATATTCTACCTGATATAATTTCCTTTTTAGAAATTCTTGCTGTCTAGGCAATAAAAAAGAGAAGGTGAAAGTGGTTTGCAAATTTTCTTACCTGACATGTTAGTTTTTACACGAGGGAATAGTTGATAACCCCAAGGGCCAGGCTCTGCCGTGGTCCACCACCCGTCTCTAAAATTGTCCATAGTGTGCATAATTGCTATGATTAGTATGTAAGATGGAGCTATAGTTGCTAATGCAAGAACCATGGGATGAATTCTGGCACACTTTACGACATCCTGAATAGAAGAGGAGCTTGATTGTACGGTGTATGACATATGAGGACATTCTACTCAAATGGCAAGTATGACATCAATCAAACAATTAAATATGATCTCTAAGCCTTGGCTCTGGCAAAGCTTGGAAGGCTTAGCATACATAGTGTAGTAAGCCTTGAGGTTTATGTCTATTACGACTTGGCCGATGTGTGACTTGGCACTTTCTGTTTCGATATCGTTTCACATTCAATGTAAATGACGAGTATTACATGACACATCGAGTCATCCAAGATGTCTCCGCGTCAACCCAAAGTTTGAACCTCTTGTCATGTTCAATTTTTTCTATCTAGCATTTTGTACATATCACCTTATATCATTTGTCGATTTCGCGATCATTGTCTCTCAGTGCACTTTAGTCAATGACCAATACTACGTCTTGAACCATGTCCTCGGGTGAGCACAATTGGTTAATCCTCTGGGATAGAACTATAGCTCTAAGTATCCCATGGTTACTGAGCTACAACCCTGCCCACTCGAGTATTGGAGCCACATTATGCATGCACCAAGGGATGCCCCACCAAGTTAAGTAGCCTTGGGACTCATGCACGCGGTTTGCACAAGGAAAATGCTATGCTTACCAAAAAAAAAATTTATTAAATAAATGTGGATGGTTGGATCAGTGAGTCTCATAAAAAAAAGTTAATAGGGCCCATTAATCCAATTATCTAAATTCATTTGGTAAACTTTTTTGGTAAGCATAGCATTATTCTTTGCAAATAGACGCTGATGGGCACAATCAATGCACATCTTAACCTGATTGAATAATGTAGTAAATAACCTCATACATCATCCAATAAAGGCAATTCTTTGGAGTGGTAAAAAAAATCTCTGCCAAATTATTCACTTGAGGAATATTTTACCTTTTGTCCCTAGTTACGTAAGTTTTATGGTGTTTCTTGCTCAAAACCTTCTTTTTACTCATATTGATAATGATTATGTATGTCTAAATAAGTTAACTCCTGTTTAAATTTATGGAGAGTTTATAATATAATGAAAAGTTTAAGGTTGTTAGTAGGGTTATACAAATTAAGATTGAATTGAGAAAGTAGTCAATAATACTGATGCCAAGAGATAATTGAGTGAGTCTTTCTATCACATTGACTAGTCTTGCACAGTTGTAGATAATCTTCTTATAGAAAGAACATGTTCATAAATTGATTGTAGGTCAAAATGTAAATACTTGAGAGCACAAAAGATAGATTAGAATAATACCACTGAGACCTCAAAAACTGACATAATATTTTGACCTAATGATGTAACAAGTAATATGATCCCATCAAAAAAGTCTCACAATTATAACTGCTATCATATTATTAGACCATGCCAATTGCCGCATCATTTGAACAATGTTTTAGGTCAGATTTTTAGGTCTCAGTAGAATTACTCTTGAAAATTTGGGGTGGTGCTGACTGGGATTGATGCAAATCAATATTTAAAAAATCACATCCAACAAAACTAGTTATTAGTTCACTCAAAGGGGTATGATTTAGGTTGATAGTTTCTTACAACAGAGGAAAAACCAATTGTGATGTAAGTTGAGGTGGTAAGATAAAACTTAATGGCTTGTAACATAATGTTGGCTCCTGGCAGACTCCGATGGAAGTTTAGATGAGTCTCTAATAACAAATAAATTACAATTTGATAGTAAAAAGGTAACAAAAATCAAAATGTTATTTTTTTATATAAGGATGCAATAAAGAAACTGAAGTGGTTACTATATTTCACCAACAGTAATTTGTCACTTATTTAGGTGTAAAACACACTATATTACTACCAGTTGATCCTAGATTGGTTAGTATCTTTTCTTCTTCATTGCACATTGGCATATATAAGCTTGCACATGAAGATAAAGTGAGGAATTGATTTTCACCTGAAAAACATTCAGCAAACGCATCTTAAAAATTAAGTCATTGTCCTTTCGATTGTCATGAAAGCATTTGTAGTTAACAAATACATGGTTTTACGTGGGCATGGGTGCAGCTCCAGTTCTTATTTTTTGTTCCTGATTATTTGAGCACATTGATGCCTTTTGAGGAATATATCCCCTTCGTTTTCATGACAGATAAACAAGAAGCTCGTGCACATTCAAAGGATATATCAACTTATTGTGGAAGGTTAGTCATAAAACATTGAGGCCTCCTTTCAGAGGTTACTTCTTGAATTTCTAATTTATGTCTTGGCTGAGTGTGATTATTTGTGTGCCGTTTAGTTTCTCTCTGAAGTCATATTTACCCTTCTAACCAATGTTGAGCTATATGGCCAGGTTACTAGAGGAAAGTGAAGATGAGGTGAGTTTCTGTTTTCTGAACTCATCAATTCAGGTTTTTCTGGCACAAAATTCTAAAGATACTATTTATTCATCAACTTAGTTGGCAGAATTGATAAAGAAAGGATCTGTTAAAGTGGGAGATGTTAGCACGGTTTTATGTCAAGACCTCAGTAATCATTGTAGCCCGACAAGGTAATTTTGAGGCCTAGAACTAGAAGTGAAATCATATTGTTAGTAAAATGGTTAGGTTTGTGTTACTGTTAATTGGCTAGTTGTGAGGAGTTTAACACTTCTATTACATGTACAGTGGTCACTATCGGGCAGGAAGTGATGGCGAGGAAAATATAGACAGAGAACTCTAAATCATTAGAGACTTTACAACTGATTTGATGGGAAGAGAGGTGTAGACCAAGTAGTTGGTCTTCGAAGGATTTTCCAAATTTTATTAGGTGCAAGCTGAGACATTTAAACTAGTCAAAATTTGCATGTTTCTTGGCCCAGAAGTTTACTATTTATTGGTGACTGTGTAACTAAATATTTTGTGATTCCCATTTTTTCTCTACGATCATGTATCAACTTTTGGTAATTTACTCTTGCATCAAGCAAGTCAAAATTACGGACTGTTTCACTTATATTATTGTTGGGACTACCGCCATCACCCAAAGGGATGATTACTGAAAGGCAACCAGATTTTTGTGGTGACTGCTGCTGAGTAGCGGGGACAATGGTATCATGTTTACAACTATATTGTATCAGAGGAGGTAGTTGGCCGTGTTTTTTTTTCTTCTGTTTTATTCATCGTAGTGCTTGAGACCGGAACCCAACATCCTGCAACTGAATTGAAAGCTGCCTTGAAATGAAAACTTGCTGCCAAGCATCACCAAACAAATAAAGTTTAACGCCTCGAGCCAAAAAGCCACAGTGCAGTTCTTTCATATGAAGTAGAAAAAAGGGTAACAAATTAGCAACTTCTGATGCATTGTTTTCTATTATGTAGGGGAGGCCTTTCCTTAAGAAAGTTGGCATGTATAGCAAGCTGGCTCAACTGTCTTATAATTTCTAAATCTCGCCTGATATTTAAGGACAAGGTTTAAGTACAAGACAGCCAAAAAGGGCCCAATAAATGACATGCAAATTGCAAGTTTTAGTGGTAAGCAAAAATACATCTCCAGAATTCTATACACTCGGAGTAAATTGTCTATGCAACAGGTAAATCAAACAGTGAATTCTTCCAATTAATACAACATTACTTTAGTCAAATGTACAGTATACAAACACAGAAATCAAAACCTGCATCAGTTTTCTTCGTTCAATTCACAAGTTTGCAACAGATGAATGTCAACTGGTGGCAGCAGCATGAGCAACAACAGCTACATGTTGGAGTAAAAAGGTATCCCTGTAAATTTTAACATCCACCTATTTGCGCTGGTCCCCCCCCCCCCCCACCCCACCCCATTTTTTCTTTCTCCTCTTTTCCATCTTCTCATGAGTTACTTTCTAATACACCTTTCAGAAAATTCAGCCCTTCTGCTGAAATACTCCTCCTAACTCGGGTTTGGGGTATCTCTATTCGAGGGGGAGGATCCATCGAGAAACAGATTACAATAACTGTCAAATTATCACATGTATTGCGCTTGAGGGCTTCCCTAACCAGCTCTCTCGAGCATCTTTCAGGATCATTGTGTAGCATCAGTTCTTTCCTTGCCATTGTAACAGCATACTGGCTGCTCATCACGTCCCAGAGGCCATCACAACCCATTATCAGAAACTCATCATCCTCAGTCAATGGTGTCCCCTGCAACTCAGGCTCTGCGCTTAAGGGGCAGGCAGAACCTTTAGGGCCCTTCATGTGCCAGTCTCCAAGAGCACGTGCCACAGATAATTGGCCATTGAGGTACCCATCATATATAACTCCACCGAGTTTTTCTATTCTTAGTCTTTCAGATGTGCAGTTGGGTTTGTGGTCCTTAGACAGCTCAATTGCTCTACCTCGTTTACCCAGCACAGCCCGACAATCACCAGCATTGGCAACTATCATTGTTCTATGAACAGTAAGACAAGTGTCAAATATAATGCAACACCTAATCCTCCAAAAAGAATATTCCCCCCCCCCCCCCCCCCAAAAAAAAAAAAAAAAAGGAAAAGAAAGAAAACACACTACCTGACACAACCACACACAACTAAAAAAGCAAATTCAGAAACCTATCCATTCCAAGAACAAAAACAGAAACAACCTAAAAGTGGATTAAAAAGTGTCCAATACTCCTCACTTTACTGTTAAGAACAAATATGATAAATTCATGGTTTTTTTTTAATGTACCAAAAAAAACAATTAGTTTTTCCAGTGGTACCGTGCACAAAATTATTCTTTGCAATTCCATGCAGAAGTCAGGAGCCCAAGAGACTTCTGCAAGAATCAGCTTTTTGTAAATGCAGGGGAAATCACTCTGCAGCCCTTCTCAGACTGATTTTGATGACATCATCACATTGTGTCATCATTATCTAGATCATATTTCTAATGGGAAAAAACAACGAATTTCAAAACAGGAAAAAATCATGGCTCACTTACCTTCCAAATATCAGAGCAGTCAATGCAGTGGTGCCGGAGGAGATGTCAAGAGAACTATCATCTGCAAATGCATGATCAGCTGTCACGAAAGCATTCTTCATTGCCTTCTCCAAACACACAGGAAAATGGGCGTCCTCAACTATAAACTTGAGAATGTTCTTTCTAATAAATGATGCTGCATCAGTACCACCATGGCCATCAAACACCTGTTGACTTGAACTAATAAACGTCCATTCAAGAAAAAGTAAAACAATATTGAATTTGAAATTTTAATAATTTAGCTCATAAAATCATGGCAGCAGAGGTGATACTTCAAAAAATGCAAATGCCCTCAAATTGAAGATAATAAGAACTACAGACTACATGTAATTTGAAAGAAAAATTACTACGAATAATACCTAAAACACATTTCAGGTGGAGCTCATTCAGAGCAAATTAGCACAAGAATTTCATTCATTATAACATTCAAAGCACATTTTTAATAATTTAGTTTATGAAATCATGGCAGAAAAGGTGATACTTCAAAATAGTACCAACCTCCAAATGACAGATTATTACTAAAGGCCACGAACTGAAGATAATAAAAACTATAGATGATGCATTTAAAAGACAAATTATTACTCAAAATAATATTCAATGCACATCCCACTTAAAGAACATTCAGATCAAATAATGACTATGAATCTTATTCAACAACACTATTGTGGACAGTAGGTAGCATACTAAGAGTCCAAATAAGTTAGCTATATTACAAAAATCCACTTGCAGGCTGATCATTTAAAAAATGGAGAGTAGGTTTCCTTGCAATTTGCCCAAACTATGATGGTGTCATCCAGTTGGATGGGACCTGTAAATTTTCTTGTGTAAACTAGTGTGCCAAGTCGAATAAAAGGCACTGATCATGATTAGACACCAAAAAACTCATTTAAGGCCAAAAGGAGAAATGGCTCATCAATAGGGATTTAATGATTATCCAGCATCTATACAAGCTTGAACCCAACATATGCAAAAAGAAACCAGACTGACTATATTTAACAATCGGAAGGCGGGAGCAGCATTACGGTATAGTAAATCAACATCAATATTCACGTAAATGATATTTTGTTACACACCCCATAAAAAGCTCCAGGAGAAGGGAAACCTGCACTGCCACCCAAATGTTCTAGAAGATCGTCTATACATATGTGTTCATCCTCCATGTACTCCTTGGGTCCTTTCTCAGCACAGCTTCCTGATCGAAACACCGGTACGAAGTCTGATTTTCCATCTGAAGGTGACTTGATGCTAACAACCCCATTATCTAAATCCTTGAAAAGTTCAAGTAGAAAAGACTTGATTGTAAATCTTTAGATAGTCTCAAAGAAATGGAGAGAAATAAAACACTAAATGAAATGACAAAAAAAGGAAGAATGGGCACAGCTTTATTTTGTTGCAAAATGACAGAAATAGAGGAGAGAACTTGGAAAATTTAATGTGTAGCTTGAAAGCCTGCGACGAGGTTTCAAAATGTACTTTCTTTTCTTCTTGCTGGGTCGCCTAATGCAACCTAAACAGAAAGATATGCTCAAAAGGAAGAAAAGCACAAAAATATTGCCGGGATATATGAGCAAAAGCCTTCTACTTTCTTGTGGAATGGAATGTAACATGAGGAAGCTGACAGAAATTTAAAACCAAATCTCAAATGTAAGTATACAAAGTCATTCTACCCAAGTGGGCAATTCTTACTGCACACGCTCTTATCAAATTGTCCTATTGCAACCCGTTTCAGTCGTTATGATTTGGCACCTCATTTCTGGTATATAAAATCAATTTGTGTACATGAAATGGTGGCATAAATTCCATTTTCATTAATAAGGCCCACTTCTCCCTTCCAACCCTCACACACACATGAAAAGAAACGAGAGTCTTGTTCTTGCTCTCCCAATTCAAGATGACAGAAATTTACACTTTAGTCCAACCCAGAAAGGAAGACAAGGCTTTGGGCAGTATTTGGGCTAAGTCAAGATTGGGCTGAGTTAACAAAAAACTGGCTACTCCTTTACTACCCACTTTGTATATACATCACCTTGAATGGGGCCACATAGCAACTTATTTCAGCCGCTAAGATTTGGCTCACCATTTCTCATTCCCAGGAGCAAAATTGTATATATAAGTGGTGGGATGAATTCCATTTTCATCAAAATGCATTCACTTACGAAGATTATCAACCAACATACCACACACATGGGACAATAGACCCATTGAATTCCAGTTGATTCCCAACTGTAACCTGATATGAAGTGAACTAAAAATTTAGACATTCTACATCTTACTTTTTTGCATTAGGGCTTAGACCGAATTCACTTCATTAGGTTCAATAATTTGTAGAACATATAAAAGTTTAAAACTGCAAACATAAAGAAAAGTTTCCTAATACGAATCCTAATAAATGAAATCACTGATGGACACCCTAAAACAGTTGGAGCTTAATTAGTAAAGGATTATATTACCAAGTCAGTAGCATCTGCTAGTGTAGCAGAGCTTATGCAATGGCGTACAACTGCAAGCTGCTGTGGAGGTCTCCCATTCGTAATTTGCTTCAAATTGTCAGGATTTTCTGAAATTTTATCTTCCATGGAAGCCACATAGTTCTTTGTGTAACCACCTTCTAAAATTCTAAATGGAGGTGAGAAATCAGTGCCTGCAGCCATATACTTTCCTGGAACATGAACCAAGGTCCTTGAAGGCTTTAATGAAATCCTAAACACAAAAGATTTTTCTAGCAGACCCAATAACCGCAAATTATGATTGGGACTCCACTAAACATCAAAAAATTTTGTAGGCAACCCAATTCCAAAGGTCAGTAGAAACCCCAAACGACAAAAAGTCTAATAAAACAAAGCCAACTGGAAATAAGGCTTCTCAAAGTATTCCCCCATTAATATTAGTACTTAATCTCTGTCAAACGTGGTTCCTTTATATTGAAAACGTGTATTCACAGAATAATTTCCAACTGCACACAGAACAAGGCCCTCTAACACTATCAAACCCTAGCAATCCACAGATCATTGTCCGCAATTATCCAAACCATCAGCCTCTTCTTGTCAGCCAATCAGCAGAAACATACGAACACATAAGCCAACCACACGTCCCAATCTTCCCAAACCCAGATCAGATTTCAAATCATCAAACAAATTCATAGAGTTGATCAAAAAGAGTGAGCTAAGACGATAAATTTCATACATACAACAATCATTACAACTCTTGCAATAAGTAAGCAAAAGCTCCTAAAAATCACCTAAATTACCACGATTCAATTCTTTATATAAATACACAGTAGGAAACCCTAAAAAAATAAGGATTTCTCACAGATGACAAGGATGATTGATGTGCTTTTGCCTCTATGTTAGTTGTCAAGTATTGAAGCAAACCCTAAAGGAGAAGAAAATGCTAGAGAAATGCCAAATAAAGAAAAAAGAAAACGAAGGATCTAGGAGAGAGACAGAGAGAGAGAGAGAGAAGTATAAAATTATAGGGGGGAAGTTGTTTCTATACGGCTGGCAACCGGTAATTCCAGGTAATCCGGTCGGTTCTGTGGCTGTCCTGTCAGGAAGGAGATGCATAGAATTATTGACACGTGTATATTTTCTATTGACGGATCTTCTGATTGACCGCATCACCTTGTTTGTGTTCCTGTTCATGGGATCAACACCCCCAGAGTGTCCAAGCCGTTGGATCTTAGCACGGTGGTGTGCAAGGGTGGGTTTTGAAGTCTGTTGCTTCATTTTTGAGTTTGGGGATTGTTTGTCGGATTCACGTCTCTTTAGTGTATCCTAGTAATTGGCATAACGATAAATTAAATTAAAATTCGAAAAATCTTACATTACCTAAAGATTATTTATAACCTAAAATAATTTATCAATTTGAAATCAAGGTAGTCTATACTAATATCCAAAAATTTTGACATAATTTTCTCTAAAAATAGAAACTCATAACAATCATCATAATTCATCATATCACCACAATAATCAATAGATATTCAATCATCAACACATATCCAACCACCAAAATATTAAACTAATCCCTACTAATTTCAAGAAATTTGGACAGAATTTCCTCTAAAAATAAAAGTCCAAAAAAATCTAAATCTGTCTCTAAAACTTACAATTATAAATATTATCATAATCACCACAACCATGTTTATCCAAATTACAAAAACAAAACAATCATAATCATGTATAATTAGTTAATTGTACAAAAGACGGAACACAAAAAATACACACATGCACAAATAGAAAAACACATTCATCTTCATTTTCATATCCTTCCATGTATATCTGAAAATATTTGAAATATAACCAATTATCGAAATATGTGAGGCAAAATAAAATAATTTTAAATTCGAAATATTAGACCCCTTACTTTTATCGTTACTTAGATTCAACATAAAATTGATAATTATAACACTATCCCAAATTTTATCACCAGTGCCACAAACACATTTTAGAAAAATAAGAAAGTATGTGTTCCTAGAATATAAGATGAAAAATGCGAGTGATCTTGGTTAGTGGAAAACTATCTCACTCAGCAAGACTTTGGAACCAAATAAACCCACAATCTTTTTTCCCAATTGTCAAACAAAAATCAACTATTTTTTAGTGAATTACCAACAAAATTGGGACTTTAAAGGAAAAGAAATGAAATGAGAGAGAAAATTGTCTTACTTGTGTAATGGTGTCATGTGAAATTGTGCACTCCACCTAGCTCATGTTCCACCCACCACTTTCTTTGCTATCCACCAGCCTCTAAATCAAAAAATTCTCGAAAGACCACTAACCACATTCATTTCAATACCACTTCCACTAAGCTATGTCATACCCCTATTTTGTGTGTGTGTGTGTGTGTGTTATGTATTATGTGTGCCTGTGTTGGGTGTGTATGTGTGTTGTGTTGTGTTGTGCGTGTGTTGCTGACGAAGTGGCGCTGCTACTAATGGTGTTGTTGGGGTGTAACACAGAGAGAGAGAGAGAGAGAGTTGCGGAGGAAGCAGAGGCAAAGGACGTGATTAGGTTGGGTTGGATGTGATGGTTGGGTTTGATTAAGTTGGGTTGGATGTGATGGTTGGTTTAGGTTAAGTTGAATGAGATGGATTTAGGGGAAAAATATATGGACTTTTGAATTTGAATGAGATGCATTGTGAGTCTTTGGATATTTAAGCCTTTCGATGAATGAAGACCGTACGATCGACTTATTGAAGCCCCGGTCTATTTAGATATATAGTTTTTATTGTTTTTTGAATATCATCTATCATTAACGTGTAAAAAAATTCATTTATTATATATAATGATTTCACTTGAATATATAATAAATGTTGTGTCAAAAAAAATTAAAAAATATATATATATATATTAAAAATTATCTCACCCCGTGTTTGTCGCCCCAAATTAATAATTTTTTTCTTTGTCAAAAATAATTCTCAACTTCACATCATTGGTAAAGTTATTCTTGAATGATTTTTTTTTTCTGGTTAATAGAAGGGTGGGGGGGCAAAAAAAAATCACACAGTGATCACCTTAATAAACTCTCATTAGTGAGATAATAAGGCTCTTGATCGAATCTATTACTCTTTTTAGAAACAAAGTTAACTAGACTAAAATAGCGATCAATCATCAAATCTCAATGTGAGCTCAAAAATTTAAATTTTTAACTTTAGGGTAAAAAGTTCGGCCACAATCCCCACTAAACCATCCCCAAGTGTAATTCTTGAATGCTCTACATTCTAGTAAACATGTACCGTTAAGACTCTTTTCAAATTTAAATGAGAATAACAAAGATAACAATAAATGTTGGGGCGGATACATCATATCATCCAGAATATTATCAATTTTTAATATTAAATTAGATTTTTTTAAAATAAAATTAAACACGTGTATTAATTTGTTATCAATCATGCGTAACTTGTACCAGTTATAGTTTTTTTTTGATATGAATTGTATTTTAATTTTTACAAGTTATAACTTTTATGATTGATTATAATATTTTAGAATTGATCATGTCATCAACAGTACAAATTAAAATTTAAACCTTAAAAATATAATTTTTTGGTAGGATAACAATATCATAGTTTTCCTTTTAAACTAGACTTCTTTTTTATGAAGAATTATATGTCAACCTCTGGTACTTGTTAAGGAAATGTTAATAGCCCAACTAATAGCATAACATTAGTCAATTAGTAAATAATCAATGTGTTTTGGACACCGCTAAGCTAAAGTTATGGCTAGCAATGAGCAATATTATTGGGATCTAATTTATTCACATAAATTTACTGATCTAATTTATTATGATTTTTAGATTGACTGTAGACTCCATCAAATATTTAAATTTAGTGTTAATTTAATAATTCTTATGAAATCACATTATTATGTTAATAAATTAAATTAAAATAATATTATACGCTAACAATGGCATGAGCATCAATCAGAGAATATGCCCTATTCCTTTACATTTTGTTTGGTTTGAAGGAAAATGGATGGATGAAAATTGAGAGGATGGGAAATAGGGTAAAAAATCAAAGTTTGGTTAGGAAGTAGAAAGAGGAGAGAAAGGAAAAAGAGCGAAAAATGATAATTTTTCATATTTTTTATTCCTCTTATCAAATCAACCCTCGTTGACATGGCTTGCCAATGGAGCAATCGTGGAGGAGGAATACTTTACTATTTTGGTTTTTTCTTCTGCTTATAATAGCACGTTTATTTTAATGCAAATAAATGCCTAGAAATGTTCATTATTGACAACTCAGTCGGTCAATCACTCTTACAAATGACAAGGGATGCTGGTGATGTGGTGCACAACTTCTCACGATAAACCACCTGTTTTGGATCATAGAGATTCGATTCAATGAATAAAGGGCCCACAAACCTAAAAATTATTTTGTTTCTACAAGCTGCCTTTCAAATGAGGGCCAATCGAAAACTCTTTTGTAAAACTATTTATTTATCTAAAAATAATTCTTCAAACTCAATCAACAAAACAAATTTAATTTCAAAAACACAAGTATTTTAAATTTAAATTAACAAAATCAACGCTCATATTTAAAAAAAAATTGTTCTAACTTACAACTACTCAATAAAAGATGATATATTTTTTCATAAACCAAAGGTCATAGACTTAGTAGCACTATCGTTTCAACAAGTTTATTTTCCAGCAATTGAGTGTTTTTTTTGCTGATCACTCTCTCTCTCTCTCTCTCGAGATTGAAATTATTCCAAACCACTTTATTCTTTCCTTCGTCAAAGAAATGAACCCCCGACTCTGTCTCCTTCCTCAACAGGTGGTTATGGCTCTTTTGTAGTTATTCCATCCACAGAACTTGCACGTGATTGTATCCGAACAATTTGTTCTCAAAATTTCAAAGCTGGAAGGTGTCCCATGTCTTGTCTTGTCCCAAACAAAGGAAGCTTTCTCTCAGCTTCCCCTGTGAAGACACTTCCCTTTCCTAGTTTTTCTGGACAGTTCTATTTCAAGTCCATATTCTCTTTGCTTATTTTCCAAGCCATTTCTTTTTGTTCGGAGAGTTATAAACCATAATTCTGCAATTTTTCTCTCTGTCTCAGCAGAACAAAGGGTATGCTTGGTGGCTTTGGGGTATTCAAAGTCAGATTTTTTTCCTCGCTTTGCAGGTGGGTCTTCTGTCGACTGGATTTTAACTACACCATTATGTCACCTGACCCATACACATCTAATTTGTATGTCTTGTTCAAGATGTATTATTATACAGCACTAGTCATTGAACCCTACTTGGTGTATTTTATGCTGTACTTAATGGTTTTCTTAGTGCCTGTGCTTCTTATGACGCCATCTGTTTGACTCTATCTATTGAGCATCCTCAACCGCCCGTGTTTTTACGGCATGGGTTTAAGGTTTCGGTACGAGCATAGAATCTGATTCTTGTTTCTGGTTTCTGTACCAATGGGCCTATGTCCAATGATACTCTTTGTTTTGTCGAGGTTTCAAGTCTCCTCCTCTCCCCAAAAAAAACAAAAAAAATTGTTTCTGCTTGCTGTTTTTTGGTCCCCCCTCTCTTCGTCTTACTTTTTGGTTGTAGGTGTTGTTTTTCTTTCGGAGTTATTGATTAAATGTTTGGGTTATATATAACTGTTTAATCCTGCTCCTTAAGAATGATTAAGTGCATACGCTTAATGTTCTAGCTTTTGAGCACTTCCACCGTCCTATTTTACATGTTATTGGGAAGTAATGGTTTTTGGTTTTCACAGATTTGATGTGGAATCCCAAAACCCATGAATCAATTGCGTAGAATTCTCTTTCCAAGGTGGTGTGTCGGATTTTTATGAGGGGTGCAGAGACAGGAGTGCCATTCATCTAAAAAATGAATGTAATTTGGATTCTTCCTTCATTGTTGCTCTATTTTTTTGGATGTGCCTTCAGCGGGAATGTTTCTTCAAGACCAGCCGTTGTAAATATTGGAGCAATTTTCTCATTTGACTCCACTGTTGGTAGAGTTGCCAAGATCGCAATTGAGGAGGCTGTTAAAGATGTGAACTCCAATTCGAGTGTTCTCCATGGAACAAAACTTCTTGTAAAGATGCAAAATTCCAATTGCAGTGGGTTTGTTGGCATGGTTGGAGGTATTTTACTTTCTACAAATTTGCTTAGGTATTCGTTGACCGCTTTTAGTTTCCAAGAAATATTTAGGGGAAGAAAAGAAAATGTGAAATATCAGTTGAAAAAATCATAGGCAAATTCCTGGATCACTCTGTAAGAATGTGGAGAAATTCCAGGCGCCATGAAGGGAATCCAAGCAATAAGCAGATGTTTTTGTATTTTTTCCATTTAAACAAGGAGGCTCACCTCCGCTAAGCTAAGTAGTTGTATAAGGCTTAATAAAGTGGACATTCCGGTCTATTTACGTCCCTGGAACAATGCAAATTTAATTTTTCAACCACTTTAGTTCCTTTGTAATCCCACTGCAAAAGGAGCATAGTTTCTTTTATTTTCCTACCGAATGAATATGCTTGGTTTTTATATTTCTTTGATTCAGTTGTTCCGATTCTAAATGTCTGTCAATTCCACGTAAATCAACTGATAAGTGTTTATTGGTTACAGCTTTGGAATTTATGCAGACTGATACTGTTGCAGTTATTGGCCCACAGTCTTCTGTTGTTGCTCATGTAATATCTCATGTTGCCAATGAACTCCAAGTTCCCCTCTTGTCTTTTGCGGCTACAGACCCCACTCTCTCTTCTCTTCAGTTCCCTTTTTTTGTTAGGACAACGCAGAGTGATTTTTACCAGATGACTGCAATAGCTGAGATAGTTGATTATTATGCTTGGAGGGAGGTAATTGTGATTTTCCTTGATGATGATTTTGGACGGTATGGTCTGGCAGCATTAGATGATTCACTTGCAGCGAGGCGCTGTAAAGTCTCCTACAAGGTAGGGATTCCCCCAGGACCTGGGATTAGTCGGGCTGACATCATGGATATTCTTGTTAAGGTTGCTCTGATGGAGCCTAGAGTTATAGTTCTGCACGCATATCCTGCTGCAGGGTTCATGGTGTTTTCTGTGGCACACTATCTTGGAATGATGGCTGATGGCTATGTATGGATAGCTACAGATTGGCTTTCATCTGTTTTAGATACCTCGTCACCCCTTCCTTCTGAGACAATGGATACAATACAAGGAGTTCTTGTTTTGCGTCAACACACACCAGATTCAGAGAGAAAGAGAGCATTTTCCTCTAGGTGGAACAAGTTGACTGGTGGTTCTTTGGGGCTAAATGCCTATGCACTATATGCTTATGATACTGTTTGGTTAATTGCTCATGCTATTGATTCATTTTTTGAGCAGGGTGGGATTATTTCTTTTTCTAATGATTCTAAGTTACGTTCTGCTGAAGGGGGTAATCTTCATCTTGAGGCAATGAGCATTTTTGATGGAGGAATGCTCCTGCTGAAGAATATACTTCAGAGTGATTTTGTTGGTTTAACAGGGCATATCAAATTCAGTCCTGACAGATCTCTCATACTTCCAGCATATGATGTTATAAATGTTATTGGAACTGGTTTTCGACGGCTTGGTTACTGGTCTAATTATTCTGGTTTATCGATTATGCCTCCTGAGACACTCTACTCAAGGCCATCTAATCGTTCCAGGTCAAACCAAAAACTGTATAGTGTTATCTGGCCTGGAGAGACAGTAAAAAAGCCCCGTGGATGGGTTTTCCCAAACAATGGGAAGCAATTGAAAATTGGGGTACCCAATCGGGTGAGTTACCGGGAATTTGTGTCGCAGGTGCAAGGCACTAATTTTTTTAAAGGATTCTGCATAGATGTATTCACTGCTGCAGTAAACCTACTGCCATATGCTGTTCCATATCAATTCATTTCTTATGGAGATGGACATAAAAACCCCAGCTACACAGACCTTGTGAACTTAATCGCAACAGGGGTGAGTATATGACTATATAAGTATACCATAAAAGCATGATCAGATAGTTTTTATGCTTAGCTAAACCTTTTTTTCTCACTTGTTCATAGGGTTTTGATGGTGTCGTTGGAGACATTGCAATTGTCACGAACCGGACAAAAATAGTGGATTTTACACAGCCATATGCTGCATCTGGACTTGTTGTATTGGCCCCATTTAGGAAGTTGAACACGGGGGCTTGGGCCTTTTTGCGACCATTTTCTGCTCCAATGTGGGGGGTCACTGCTGCTTTCTTTCTTGTTATTGGGGTAGTTGTATGGGTTTTGGAGCACAGGATAAATGATGAATTCAGAGGGCCGCCTATGAAACAGCTAATGACCATCCTGTGGTGAGTTCTTTGATTGGACCTAGTGATGGTACATGAATACTTGTAATAGAAGTTTATTATGTATGTTGGACCTAGTGATGGTACTTGAATATTTCTAATAGCAGTTTACTGCGTATTCGTTTGCCCTTGACATATTCCAAACTTAAAATAAAGTGCCTCTCGATTGCAATAGGACAGACCCAGTTGATTGAATAGTATTGAGGGAATTGATTGTGATATTGTGAACTAGGTAGTTGATTATGTACTACAAAAGTTGATGATGGTGAATGTTGTGGAATTTTATAGTTTAATTTCTATGACTGCGAAAGAACATTTTCTCCAAATCATCACAAATTGGTCAAATGTGGAGTTGTTTACTGAAAGCACTGGTGTATGACTATTTTTCCTTTTCTTTGCTGGCAGGTTTAGCCTCTCAACTTTGTTTTTTGCCCATAGTAAGTGGAACTCAGGTTCTTATCATTAATTTATGTACATGGTGGGAACGTGAAGCAGTAATTTTAACTTTTGGATTATGTCTTCCCTTATGCAGGAGAGAACACCGTGAGTACCCTTGGTCGAGTAGTACTAATTATGTGGCTCTTTGTGGTTTTGATAATCAACTCGAGTTACACTGCAAATTTGACCTCCATACTCACAGTGCAACAGCTATATTCTCCCATAAAAGGAATTGAAACCTTGAAAGAAAGCAATGAACCTATTGGATACCAAGTGGGCTCTTATGCAGAACATTATTTGGAGGAAATTGGGATAGCTAAGTCTAGGCTTATTGCCCTGGGATCACCAGAAGAATATGCTACGGCTATTCAACGTGGCCCTAAAAAAGGGGGCGTTGCTGCTGTGGTTGATGAACTCCCATACGTAGAGCTTTTCTTGTCAAGCCAATGCAAATTCAGGATTGTAGGTCAGGAGTTCACCAAAAGTGGCTGGGGTTTTGTGAGTATCTGTATTACCTTGTTTCTTCACTTCTTGTTCAGGAGGCATGTGCATTTGCAAGCATGGCATGTTTGATTACGTGTAGCTAACTTATGTCCTGAGATCCCTAATATAGAGTCAAAAAACGAAAAAATGCTGTTTATGAGGCATCTGAGGAAGAAGTGTAGGTCATGCAATAGTCAAACAGGTTGGGAGAAGCCTGGCCATGGTTTCCTTAAAAGCTCTCTGATAGAGGAACATCTTCTAGACTCATTTTTCACTATTGGAAACACAAATTGATTCATTCCAACATTGGAGGCACAATAGGCTGGATTTCAGTGTGATTTGCAAAAGAAAGAGACGGATTATTTTTGGTTAGTAGTTTTGGCGAGCATAAGCCTATAAAAGTGTACTTCCAAATAGTAAGAGGGAGAAGGAGAGGTGGGTTGAGGGAGGGCAACTTATAGAGGCCTCATTGTTTGATTAATAAGATTTACAATAGAGTGCGACATAACGAACTACTTTCAGTGCAATTTGTGATTCCTTATACCTCCTACGGAATCATCAGGATGGTCTGCTATGTTTGAAAATTTCTCTTTTGGTGTTTGAGTTAGCTAGCATTAAATTTCTAGATTCCTACTTCTATATTTGTTTGGCATCAGTTTGCCTCTTGATTAGGTTTTGAAAGTATCATGCATAATGAATTTTTTTTGTTTCTAGATATTCCGATATTCAAATTATGGAACTTTGTAGAGACCATTATATAAAGTGGTTACGAATAATCCTGTATATTTCTGACTCAAATTGATGGATTGGTCCAAGTTAATTGGTATCTTTATTAGGTGTGACGTCAAGATAGCATTAGTAAAGATTATAAGGTTCATCTTCTCTTTTGTTTACTTCTTCGAAGACTATAACACAATCTAAACCTCAATCACAATCATATTTTACCATAACTCGTAACCTGAAGCCTTTTCCTAATATCCTAATCCTTTTCGTAACTCTATTTCATGAATCAAACACATTAGTCCCAGATTTTCTTATGCTCCAAATTCTAGCAACCTTTATGTATTTCAGCAGCTTGCAAAGAGCAAGACCTAATTTTAATATTTGTTTCCCTTGCTGCCCTGAACCCAGACGCTAATATGTTATGCCCTATTTCCATGTATGACCCCTTGAACCTCACTTCCTCTTGTCCAAAAACTTAAGCCTTGGTGTGGTAAACAATATCTCATCATTTAATTGAGTATGAACCATTCTTCTACTCCAATGAGTTGGACTGTGTCAAACTCTTTAGTACCAGGAAAAGGAAAGCTTGCTTCAACAGATATTAGTTGGATTCTTTGATGTAATAGCGATACTTGTTCATTGTTCTGGAAGCATTTGATAGCTCTCTAATTTATTGTACAATTTATTTTGCAGTAGGCGTTGCATCTTCTTACGTCTGTTTAGTGGAAATATAACTCATATTTCATGTATATCCATGTGTACACACCCAAGCACACACACACAAAGACACAGTTTTGGAGCATCTTATGAATGAGAAGACATCTTAGTTATTAATAGGACTTTATGCAATGCTGGAGCCATTTTATGGCCTGAGGGCCCATGGCTTGGATTGAAATCTCTGTCTCCACCTTGCCTTCAGCTATGCTGCATCATTTGCTGCTTTCATTATTTTGATTTATGTATATATATATATTTTTTTTTTCACTACATCTTGTAATGACTAATTTCTACTTTGATTTATGTCTATTGAACTTCCCAAGTAATTGTAATACTTCGACATCTCTTACCAGTGATTAAGATGTTAATGTTATATCTTACTAGGCATTTCCACGAGACTCTCCTTTGGCTGTTGACTTGTCGACTGCAATTTTAACTCTGTCTGAAAATGGGGATCTCCAGAGGATCCATGACAAGTGGTTGATACGAAGCGCCTGCAGTTCAGACAATACTGAGATTGAATCGGACAGGCTTCACCTAAAGAGTTTTGCTGGCCTCTTTCTTTTATGTGGAACAGCTTGCTTCATTGCTCTCTTCATATATTTTTTGCAGATCATGCACAAGTTTCGCCATGCTGCCCCTCCTGAATCAGTTTCAGATGGCCCGGGTAGCTCACATTCTAGGCGTCTGAAGACTCTATTTTCATTGATGGATGAGAAGGAAGACCCCTCAAAGAGAGAGACAAATAAAAGAAGGAAAATGGAGAGATCGTATTCAGAAGATAGTAAGGATAGTGAATTGAGAAGGAATCCGAACAGTTAAACTCAATTCAAGTGGCGAGTGTTTACAGTTCTTAATCAATTGTCTATTTCAAAAGCTGGTAGATTATTTTATATACACGTCAATGTAAATCTATGTGATGTGTATACACTGCAATGGTTTTAAATATAAATATATATATATATATATATATATATAAAAGGTTTTTCATCTACACAGATTGTACTGTCAAATCCTTGGCCCCTAGAAGAAATTATTTTCAAAAGGCTGAGAAAAAAAATAACGAACTAGGCTTCGTAGACTTTGCACTCCTCATCAGCAGGGTTCGTCTTACAAAAGTCCTCTAATGGGTTATTAAAGTCCTCTAATGGGTTATTAAGCTCAAGAAGAAGAAGAAACAAGAAGAAGAGAGAAGAAGGAAATGATTTTCATTCATTCATCGAACCATTACAAAAGAGGAGAAAACTAATATAAATAGTAAGGAAGAAAAATTACAATTTGTTATTCTGTACAACTAATGAACATATGACATTTGTAAAATTCTAACAAACTCTAATCTACAATATTACACCCTAATACTCTCCCTCAAAGTGGCTTGTAAATGTCCTTTACAGCCATCTTAGACATCAAAGAAAAAAGTTGAGGAGATGGGAGAGGTTTAATAAACATGTCAGCCAATTGGTATTGAGATCTAATGGGAAACAATTTGAGAACTCCCGAAGTAACTCTGTCACGAACAAAATGACAATCTATCTTGTTTAGTTCGTTTATGAAAGATTGGATTAGAGGCAATATGTATTGCAGCTTCATTGTCACAATATAGCAAAGCAAGAGAATCAACCTTGACTTGAAAGTCATTAAGAAGGTGCTGCAACCAAATGAGCTCATTGGCAGTAGAAGAAAGAGCTCTATATTCAGCTTCAGCTAAGGATCAAGAGATGGTAGTCTACTTTTTGGCCTTCCAAGAGACTAAAGAGTCACCAATAAAGATACAAAAACCTGTAATAAAGCGTCGAGAATAAAGGCATGATCCCCGATCAACATCAGAGAAGACTCTCAGCGGCAAGGAAGAAGTAGAAGAAAACAACAATCTTTGACCAGGACTTTGCTTGAGATAACGAAGCAAATGATGCACTGCCTTGAGATAAGGTAGTCGAAGTTGAGCCAAGAATGAAGTGAGCTTGTGAACTGCAAAAGTAATATTTGGGCGAGATAAAGTAAGATAAAGAAGTTTCCTAACAAGTCACCGATAGTTGGTTATATCAGGAAGCAGTTCACCTTCAGTGGCAGTTAAACAAAGTTTTGGATCCATTGGAACAGCAGTGGGCTTACAAGCCAAGTATCCAGCGTCCTCAAGTAATTGTAAGGTGTAATGACGTTGAGAAAACACAATACCTTGCTTGGACTGAGCAATCTCAAGACCAATGAAGTACTTGAGACAACCAAGATCCTTGAGCTTAAACTATGTATGCAGAAACTGTTTGAGCTCATCAATAGCTTGAGGTGAAGGACTAGTAAGGATGATATCATCCACATAAACTAGAAGAGCAACAAAAGAGGATCCATGACCTTTTGTGAAGAGAGTAATCAGATTTTGACTGCAGAATGCCAAACTTGAGCACAACTTGAGAAAATTTTGAATACCATTGTCTCGAAGCTTGCTTGAGACCATAAATGGACTTGTGAAGTTTGCACACTAGTTTGCTTGGAGATGGAGAGGACTCCCCCTGTCGAAGATAGCCGAGAGGGAGATCCATATAGATGTCCTCAAAAAGATCGCCATTTAAAAAAGCGTTGTTGACATCAAGTTGAGCTAGATGCCAATTATGTGAGGCAGCAAGGGCAAGAAGAACATTCACAGTCACTAATTTTGCCACTAGAGAAAAGGATTCAACAAAGTCCAAACCTTCTTGTTGTGTATATCCTTTGGCTACCAAACGAGCCTTATGTCGCTCAATAGATCCATCCGATTTAAGCTTGATCTTGTAAATCCATTTGTAGCCAATGGTATGCTTTTCAGGAGGAAGAGAAGTGACTGTCCAGGTGTTGTTTACTTCCATAGCTTTCAACTCTTCATGCATAGCCAATCTCCATTCAGGAAACTTCACTGCTTGGTGATAGTATTGAGGCTCAACCTGAGAGGATACACTGAGCACAAGCTGTTTGTGTGAATTAGAAAGACCATGATAAGATATGTAGTTAGAGATTGGATAAGATGTGGAAGTTGAAGTATGAGTAGGAGAGCCAGCAAGTAAATTGCAGTGATAATCCTTCAAGTAATTAGGTGGATGAATTACTCTGGTAGATTTTTGAAGAACAACATCACTAGATGTAGAAGGACCAATTGCTGGAATATCATCTACTAGAGTAGGAGCTGCTAAAGTAGAAACAACAGCACAGGGAGAAACAATTGGACCCGATGAAGAAACATTGGGAAAATTAGTATCAGAACAATCAATGGGAAGATCAGCTGGAACATCAGAAATAACAAGTGAATCATGAACATGTAAAGAAGCAAAATCTGAAATAAAATGAGCTTGTAATGAAGAATGTGGCAGAACCAAATCTGGAAATGGATCAGTAACTTGATCTGAACTAGTAATAGCATGAAAAGGAAACACTGTATCTCGTGAAAGAAAAACTTGTTTAGTCTCCACATCATAGAATTTATAACCTTCACACCAGCTGGATAACCAAGGAAAACACAAACTCGAGCACGAGGTTGGAACTTGGTTCGATGATAAACTAATGTGGAAACAAATGCTAAACAGCCAAAAGCTCGAAAATGAGTGTAATCAGGGGTTGTTTTGTTTAACAAATGAAAATGTGTGTTGTGCCTCAAAAGTGGAGAAGGAGTTCTGTTAATCAAGAAAATCGCAGTAAGAACACAATCCGTCCAAAAGAAACTGGAATCCTGGATTGAAAAACCAATGACCGAGCCACATTCAAGAGGTGTTGATGTTTTCGCTCCACAACTGAGTTTTGTTGGGGCCTATCAACACATGAAAACTGATGCAAAACTCTCTTATCTTGGAAAAACTCAGCAAAAGATAATTCATGTGCATAATCAGATCGAAACATCTTTTGGCATTAAACTGAGTTGAAACCATGTTGAAAAACTTCGGTACCACAGAGACATCATCAAATTTATTCCTCAACAAATAAACCCAAGTAAAATGAGTGCAATCATCAACAAGAGTCAAGAAAAATCGATGACCAATATAAGAAACAGTTTGATATGACCCCCAAATATCACAATGCACAAGATCAAAAAGAGATTTGGACAAATGATTATTGGATTCAAAGGACAACCTTCTTTGCTTAGCAAGAGGACAAATATAACAAGGATCCGACTTATGTAATCTAGTTACATCACATTTCAACTGATCTTTCAAAGAATCAAGTCTCTTAAAGGAAATGTGTCCTAGCCTATTATGCCAAATATGAGCAGAAACATTATTGACAAAAGCATTGGAAATAGAATTCAAACACTGAACATTAAGAACATAGAGATCTTCGACTTTGTCACCCTTGCCAATCATCCTCTTGGTTGAAAGATCCTGGATAACAAAGCAATCAGGAAGGAAACGCACTGTAAGGCCAGACCCAGTAACTAAAGCACTGACTGAGATCAAGTTGAATTTGAATTGAGGAACAAACAATACATCTTTAAGCACAAGGTCAGAATTCAGTTTAACATCACCAGCAAAATGGACCAAAATTTGAGAATGATTTGGCAAAGTAACTGTTGTGTGATGAATAGAATACAAAGAAACAAAGGCATTGGCTTGTGAACAAATATGTCGAGTAGCTCCTGAGTCTACAACTCAGAACTGATTGGATGAAATTGGAGGACTCAAAGACACAGAGAAGCAAATACCTATGAGGCAGTTGGTTTGAGAAGGATCAAGAGTATTGGTGACCTTTGTTGAGTTACTCAAATGTGTAGAAAGCATGGACATTAGTTGTTGATATTGATAGGAGTTCAGATTCTAAACAAAACCTCCAAACGAATTAGACTGATCTGTTCTATCATCAGAAGTAGAAACTTGATGAGCAGCAGCATTAGAATTGTTGTTTGGATCTGAATTTATATTCAGGAGGATATCCATGGATCTTGTAGCAACGATCCATAGTATGTCCAAGAATCTTGCAATGTATGCAATAAGGCCTGTCTCTTTTTCTGATTCTTAAAAGCACTGAAAGTGAAATTTTGAGAACCAGATCCATCAGATTTAACAACATCTGTTTTCACAGCAAAGGCCAGTGTGCTAGTAGAATTGCTCGAATCAGAGGAAGAATTAGTCCTCCTTTGTTGTTCCTCTTGAACAATCAAAGAGAAAACACGATTAATGGAAGACATCGGATCCATGAAAAGCAACTGACCACGAACTTGAGAGAAAGAATCATCAAGTCCCATTAAGAAGGACATTATGTACTCCATTTGATTATGATTGTTAAGATTTATAACTCCACCACAAGAACACTTTCCACAATAACAATTAGGTCGGTAATTACTCAGTTCTTCCCATATAGTTTTCAGCTTTGTGAAGTAAATGCTAACAGAACTCTGTTCTTGATGCAAATTCATCAATTCACGTTTAAGATGAAAAATTCTAGGTCCGTTCCTCTGCTGAAAATGATCCCTAAGATCTAGCCAAATCTCACGTGTAGAAGCAACAAAAATAATACTGGCAGAAATTTCCCTTGAAACCGAATTCAAGATCCAAGATATAACAATATTATTATTGTGAATTCAGGAGTTGAACAGATTATCATCAGTACATTGTGGCTCAGGAATGGAACCATCAACAAATCCCAATTTGTTCTTCATAGATAGGGCAATTAACATCGCGCGACTCCAATTGGTATAATTCTCACCAGTGAGCAATTGCGAGACGAGCACTTGCCCAGGACTATCAGAATGATGAAGATAGTAAGGATTTGAAGGTTCTTCAATGATGGAATGATTCGAATTGGTACGCTCTCTAGAATTGGAATCACTCATCGAGGGAAGAGTCACCATATCGAAGAGAACAAGAACAATCAATGAAGGAAGAAGAAAACAAGCAAATTTGCAGCGGATCAAATCTGCTTTGATACCATATTAAGCTCGAGAAGAAGAAGAAACAAGAAGAAGAGAGAAGAAGGAAATGATTTTCATTCATTCATCGAACCATTACAAAAGAGGAGAAAACTAATATAAATAGCAAAGAAGAAAAATTACAATTTGTTACTCTGTACAACCAATGAACAAATGACATCTGTACAAGTCTAACAAACTCTAATCTACAATATTACACCCTAATATGGGTCTCCGCTCCCTTGCACAGGCATGTCTGGCCACTTGCTTGCCACCAGATGTGCCAAATCAACCACCTGTTGGCTGCAATTGAAAAACACATGAACATGAGATACAGTTGCATTCTCCCATGAACAATTTATTGGCTTCAAATATTAATCCCCAAAGCATTGTTTATGTTGAGCTCAACTTCAAGCCAATGAATTTTTTCACTAGACTATAAAAGGTATATATGTACCTGTATCCCCAATCATTATCGTACCAGGCCACCACCTTGACCATGTCATCTCCCATGACCATCGACAAAGAGAAGTCAATGGTGGAAGAAACATTAGTGCACCGAAAGTCTATTGACACGAGAGAGATGTCACATACGTCCAATATGCCTTTCAAAGGTCCTTCAGCTGCCTTTCTAAAGGCTGTATTCACATCTTCAGCTGTTATTCCTTTCTTCTCAACGTTCACAACAAGATCAACAACAGATACGTTGGGTGTGGGCACTTGGAGGGCAATGCCATTGAGTTTGCCCTTTAGTTGTGGTAGCACCAGAGACACATCCTTGGCTGCACCTGTGCTTGTTGGGACTATGTTCAATGTTGCAGCTCTTGCTCGCCTCAAGTCCAGGTGTGAAGCATCTAAAAGCCTCTGCACGCAGCATAATCAACAACATATTCTGTTTGAGCTAAAACAATGTAATTTTCTCTAAAGATTTTTCACTATAACCTAGGACAATGTGTTGTTAGAGCCTATGAAACTATGGTATTTGAATTGTATAATCAGCTAGGAGTGTCAAATGTGTCGGGTTAAATGATTACATGTCGAGTTAAACAGGTGACAAGTGAAAAATGTATAAACACATACACGACACGTTTAATAAACAGATAAAAACTCTCAACATAAACACGACCCGTTTAATAAACGCGTAACACAACACCACTCGTTTAACACGTTTAATTTTAAAAAAATTAAATTAACAAATTTTAATACTCCACTTTTTTTATTGTCAATTGCACTTACCTCAAAAAAGAAGAATTTTTAACCAAATCTCATATCTCATAAAAATAAGACTTGAAGGCTTAAAAAAAATAAACAAGAGATCATTGTTTTTTATAGGCAACTCGATCCTTCTCATCTCTTCTCATTTTTCAATGTGCGACAAAAACAAAAAGCATTGGTTTGCCTTTGTTTTTGAACGACTACTTTATTTCTTTTTTTTTCCTTTTTTTTGGCTAATTTTTTAAAATAATTATTAACTTATTATTATATTAATTTTATTTAAACGGATAAACGTGTCATAAACAATTTGTCAGATTTCATCCGAACATGACCCGTTTATTAAACGTGTTTGGCGTATCAATCCGTTTATCACTTAAATCTGTTTAATTCGTATTAATTAATCGGGTCATGTCAAATTTTAAGAGCCTTATAACCAGTTTGACCAACAAAAAACAAATACCCACGGTGGACATTTTTTTTCTACGTTCAGTTTACAAGTACCCGGTCCCCAGTGTACGAATGAGTGGCTGTCATTGTTCCCTTGACAATACCTGTAATTGAACGAGGGAGACATCACTGAGTACAGTGTTCCCAATTACTATCGGTTGACATCAATTATATGCTAAAATCCGATTAAAGTCACAGCCCGCTGGACCTTGCTATATCCACTGGCCATTATTTTGTTATTATAATGCTTTAAAAACTGGGTATAAAAACTGATGCTCACCAAACTCCTCATCTATGACCTTCACAAAAGGAGCCAAACAATTTGTGGTACAGGAGGCATTGCTGCAATGCCAGAATCACAACAAATTTTGTTAGATTAATGCGTAAGATTAGGATTCCATAAAGAAACTCACCTTACAATGTTAGAAACTTCATGATCGTAATCCTGTGCATTTACACCTATCAGCACCTTTTGCTGGAGCAGTGAAGATGACTTTCTTGGCGCCAGCCTGGGTGTGCTTCCCAGCACCTGGCCCATCCACAAACACACCTGTTCCCTACAGTCACAAGATTCAATTAGTTTAGGCCTATCTCAGAATTTCAGCATGTCAAGACCAAAAGTAATATTCGTAATAATTATTCAGCCAGTTTTCCCCTCATTTCTGCAATTTGGCTGATTCTATCAGGATGTCCAGATCAGGTTACTGAGAAGAGACACATGTTAAACAGTAAAACAATGTGTAAAAGGACATAGATGAATATTAAGCGCCAATTCCAGAATTATGCAACACAGCTTCAGTAGAATTGCACATAAAAAGCATCAAACGTGATGTTGTGCAGCTTCCCAAAAGTATTGTGCAAGATAGCCTAATTCCTTAAGATAAAGAGACATACAACTGATCAGTTCTGTTTAACGATTTGTATACATTTCTAAGAGATACTGGTTATCTAGTGTTTAGTAACGTAAAAGCACAGATAGGTTCTGACTTATGAGAACAAATTGAACAGAATAGAAGGGATCTTAAAGTTTGAGATTGGGAATAAGAACTTTACCTCAATAAAAATGTCAATGCCAAGGTCGGCCCATGGAAGCTTTAGAGGATCCCTATTAGAGACAACCTTGATGGGCTTGCCATCAACACTGATAGTCTTATTGTCTACTACTTTGACTTCTGCCTTGAAAGTGCCCAGCATGGAATCATACTTCAGCAAGTGAGAAGGCTGTACTTGCAATTCAAGGTAATTAGTCCATAATCAAGTAGAACTATACTTTCCAATTAACGAGATGAGTTCTGAAAATTATGGCTATAGGCCACTACAGGGAATTACACAGATTTACTCACATCCTTCTACACCTCCACTGTCATTGACGACGACAACTTCAAGTGGTGAGTCCTTGCGACTATGCCAACATCGGAGGAAGTTCCTGCCAATTCGTCCAAAACCATTGATTGCTACCTTCAACTTGGCCACTGTTTCTCCCTTAGCAGGAGTTGATCCTGCAGTCTAATTTTAAGACAGAAGAACTTATTATAGTCGCTCCATGTAACGAATATGTTTGCATCAAGGTTACCATTTCTGCTTTCACAACATTCATCACTTCAAATTAAAACATCTCACCAATCACTTTTCTGTTTATGTTGATCTTATGTTGGAAGTTCTAAAACTCAAGGTCCTTCACTTCTTCTATAACCATATATGGTCCATAACATCATAAATCATGGGTTTTGAAAACTTAAAATTACCTTTTGTATTTTTGGTCTTCATATATATATATATATATAAGTTTGGATAACCAGATTATCACCAATAAACTCAACTCAGCCTTCATCCCAACAAGCTCATCAAATTAAATACCTTTAGACTTCTTTGATTCCATACTGAATTTCCCCAACTCCCAACCCCAACACAGATTTCCTAATATTTCCACCATTTTTTTTTTTGGCCAAGAGTCTGTTTTCGACATCATAAGGATGAATTTCAAGTCAATCTAATCACTGAAACGCCATATCAAAAATTTACATTGTATTTTTCCTTTGGTTGGTCCAAAATTTACTGTGGCTAATATGCCCTCAGATTATTTGTGAATTTTCAGCAAATAATGAGAACAATGGTTAAAATATATGAAGATACCACGGGAGTAAGTTGTGCAGCAACTGCATCAAAGAAGGATGTGTCCCTAGCATTATTGGCGACAGTCACACATGAACTGGATCGAAGCCCAGAGAACTCAGCTACTTCCAATCTGTAACACTCAAAAAGAACTCAGTTAGAAAGGAACAAAACCACTTGCTATTGTATAAGCTTGCATAATTTACAGAGAGAAATTTGAGTACCTTAGAGGAGCCCTGAGTGGGGAAAGAATGGGAGGTCTTAGAGGGAACCCTTGCCCTAGTTGGGATTCTTGAAGAAGCCAGAGCTGCATGGGTGGCCATGGCTGCAACTAAAACTATGATGAGAACAACTTCCTCACAATTTATACTTTCAAATTTGTTTTTCCAGTTGCTATTACAAATATGTATCCATGTCAAATTTGTGAATAAAGCTACGGTTCGAATTGAGTAATATGAGCGTGTGGTATATGAAAACAAGAGATACGATCATGTTTTGGCTTGCAACTTTAAAATCTGAACCACAGATTTTTGAGCAATCCGTTGTATTCCTTGCATGTCTCTGTATATCTTTTTCATGTTACCAACATGTTATATACCACAGTTGGATGGAACATATTCATATCGTCTCATTCAAAAAGTCTAAACCATCAGATTTTAACTTGGAATTCTTTTGGATGATGGGAAATCAAGGTTGATGGTGTAGAACTTCTGAAATATTAACTCTGTCAGTTTTAGGTTAGAACAAACAATACAGTACAGCCAATATTAGAAACCTTGGTCTGCCTTTTTCTTCAGGTCAAAATATAAATGAAGTTGCAAACGGCATTCACCCAGATGCAGTTTTGGCGCCATTGTCCAGCCCCAATTTGAAGTGTTGGGTGGGAAATTGATACTCATAGCAACCTAAGCTTTTGAGGATATTCCGTTCCATGTCCTCCGTTTTTCTTTCTTAAAATCTTCCCAATCACGTGTTATTTGGAATAAATTATATGCACAAAACTACTAGCTAATCATGTACATTGATCAATCATGGGTGTTATGCCGCAGAGAGACTCGAACTCAAGACTTAAACCTCGCCCCTCTCTGTTCGACCACTGCACCAAGTTGGGGAAAAACTCAGCTGGAAAAAACTAAGCATACCTAGACAACAATAAGGTAAATCAGAATGACTAGGGCTATCAGCAATGGCTCGTGTACCAGTCGATCTTGCAAAAACAGAAGTAAAGAACTATCTTCAAATGGATGGAAGACTTGACAAAGGCAACCAGTTAACGAAGCAATAAGAAGAGAAATGTGTCCAGGCCATTCACAGAGGCCGCACATCAGCACCGTGTTAGCACAATATCTAAGTAAATCATCAACCAAAAAGCACATCATGATAGAAACAAGGATAGCGTGTACAGCCTTTCTCCTCAATAGTGACAATCCAAAAGTTTGCTCCATTATATTGAAGGTAGTGGTAAACTGCTAGTTTCCATCTGCATATAGGTGTGTCTTAGGCTGCAAGCCCAAAAGAAATGGCGTTTTCTGCACAAATCCTAGATCAACCTTTTCCCATGCAAAAATAATAATCACAACAAAGCTTTCCATAATACCCAATAAAGTGATTGCTATCCGAGGTCTGTGTAAAAGAAGCCGTTCCATCATACCACTTGTATCAGTGATAAATTGAAGACAAAGAAATCAACTAAGAGTTACTAGCACTCTGGAAATTTAATCAAGGATTAAGTAGAAACATATGAAATCACAATGAGCCAAATGATGTCATCTATAACATGAACCTCCGGGCAACTGCCAAGGCATGATTAGAAAAAAAGGATTCTATAACAACATGAAAAGTATCATTAACAACAAAAAAAATGCATATAGGAATCCTAAATTCACCCATCATCATTATACAGCAGTTATATAATTTGTGTTACCTTCCCCCAAAAAAGAAATCAATAAGTTTCAATGGATCCCACCTTCTGAGTAATGGATCCCTTTTATGCCATGTGTTTACATCCACGGTGAATTCTCAAGCACCCAAATCCATGACTTCCTCATAACTAGGTAACCAACGCTTACATCCAAGCACAAGTCAAACACAAATTGCCTTAAAACATGTAACCACCGAGCATTTCATTAACAACCCCCCCTTCTTCTCTTTACCATGGTTCTAAAGTGATTGAACCATTTACCCATTTGTGTTTACATCTCAAATTTAAGTTCTACAACAGAGGTCTGGTTGTAAAAACCTGCCCAGTTGAAATACCAGTTAAGTACCAGACGATACATAGGCACACAGCTAAAGTAATAACAGCTTTAATCAGCCCAACATTGAGCACTTATTTGAGTTTCATTGAATACGTACTCATGCTAAAAACAGCGGCATTAAAAAGAGCACAACCATGTGGATTTGAAGAAGAATCGAAACAAGATGACAAGAATCCAGTTATTACTTTAATCCTGCAATACATCAAATGCAGGATCACTCGTGTGATTGCTTAATCTCATCTGAATCCAGTATAAGCAGTCTTATATGACAGTTTCAACTTCATCTGAGTTCACAGCCACTCCGTTCAGGGAATCTTCAGGTCGCAGCTGAGCAGAAACATCATCTATAGCAGAGTTCAACTGTTCAATCTTTTCAGCCAGTATTTTCCGTGTTCTCTGTGAAAGGGATACGTGTAAGTGCATTGCAGACTGAGAAGGCATATAAAAATGTATTACTCCAAATAGTTGGCTCTTGATGACCGTTTTGGTCCAAGAAACTTATGCGGGTTTGAAACGAAGTTAATAACAATCCAATGTTTTATTATCTTTAACTTGGGAATTAAAAATCTTGCAAATAACTCCGGTTAAACAACTATATATTTCAGATACAATATTATAAAAATCCAGAACTTCTATATATTTCACCACATTAGTGTCGTAATCTTGTTTACGAATGGATTTGGGGAAAAGTAATTATGTATCTTAGGATTAACTATTAATAGGATAGAACAGATGGAATGGAAACTTTACACAGCCATCAGTTTACTCAGGCACAGTGACTGAATAAAAGTTGCCAGAGTAAAGATGCTTTCCATGTGGAATGTATAGAGTATACAGTCGTCAAATCTCAATAAATGCAGAAGTAGCCCAGCAAGCAATTAAGGAATTCACAAATCAAAATAAAAAAAAGATGAGTATAAACAACTCCAAAGAGGAGGAGGAGAAGGAGAGGGAACAAGGAGAAAAATCCTGCTAAAAACTTTATAGGTGAACCACCAACCTCCAAAGCTTTCTCTTCATCATATATGAATTTGGGCAATTTCCTCATTAAATCCTTTTTGTCAGCTCCGGCAAGTGCCTTGCTGATCTGTAAAGAAAAACATTTCAGTACACTATGATTCTTCATAGTGAATCATATGGCTTGCTGCTTTCAAATAATAGCACACAAGGACCACTTGCCACCAAAAGTAATAATAACAAATCCATTAATTGATTACTAATCTGTATGATTAATTGAATAATAGGCACACAGATGGCAGAGAACTAGGTGGTACCCAACAATAGTCGGTCAGTGACGCACCATATGCAAATCATACCTGAGGTGCATACACACAACCAAGTGTGCCAACAATCAATCCTCCCAAAACAAACCCACCGACAAAGATGCTAGTGCTGCCGGGCCTGCCTCCGTCCCTATATTTACAACAAAGTAAAAGAGTATCCATCAGAACTTCCATTCATATAAAACCATCAAAGGAGAAAGAGAATATGGGAAGTTTATACTTTTCCACATTGTAAGCTTAAGCCATTGATTGCTGTAGTTTCAATTGAAACACATTGATCTTCGGACTTTGGCATGGGTGTAATCTGGCTGTCCTGTCCAAATCAGTGACAGAATCTAAAAGAAGTACAGGCATTGGTGAATGTGACTCTTTACCATATGCCTTTTTCCAACCCAAAACAAACAACCTTATTTCAAGATTCAAAGTGTTCTTATTGATACCGCAGGGACTAAGACTGGTATAACACTATGAGGGTGTAATTTACCGTAAAAGAGGGAAATTAAATAAAATAAAATAAACAGCTCATAACATAACACAACGAAATTCAGCACCTATATTTGAAAAAAAAAATCATCAATCACAAGGGTTAAGGGAAAAAATAATACCTATACCCTGCTTGAATTGTAAGTGCCCTTCTGGAAGTGGGAAATTGTACTTTTCCTGCACATGGACTGCATGACAAGTTGGTGGAGCCCACACTTCTAATACATTGATCCCCTGATTTCAAAGGAAAGCCTAGTATTAGATTCAACAGTAACAAAGACGTTGAAATAATTACAAAAACTATAAATTAAGATCAAAAGGATAATGCAGTCATATCCCTATCAAAAAAAAAGCAGGTTAATGCAATCATATCCCTATCAAAAAAAGAAGGACAATGCATTCTTATATTTGCTAAGCACCATTCCAGAGACAAAGATACACTGAGTAGGTGACATTTCAAGAATGTCCATTACTGTTTCTTTTTTTTATTCTCTTTTTCTTTTTTCAATTTTTTAGGGATGGACTGCGAAGGATTGACAAGCACATTAAAGAACAATAAATCAACAAGGCTGATATAATTGTAACTGAAGATGCTGTTCAAACTCTTTGCAACTCCTAAACTTGACTGGTTCCCCGGCAAACTTTACCAACAAAAGCCAATGGAACCTTGAGCAAAGTATTTCAATTTGAGTTCTTCCCTCAGGAAAAATTACCAACAAATCAATGGAACTTTGAGCACACTGTGATCCTGAATCCACTAAATGGGACAACAACACCAGAAGACAACATTTAGCAGCCCTGGTCAAGGGCTTAAGATCAATGTAACACTTAGATCTCCGGATGTTAATTGAAACCAATATTGCCAAAAAAGCTGGAAGCATTATGCTACCTGAATACAATGTGCCCAGCAACTGCTAAGTATGTAATCCAATGATTCTTATGATGACCAAAAGATAAAAAAATCCAAAGGTGTGCCGGAGTCACTAACGTCTAGGAGAGGGTGCAGAACCTTGGCAGAAAATGGGTTACACCTGTATTGCTAGGCATAACTGCTGAAGTAATGCTCTAAGTACATTTTGTCCAGGAGGACTAGAAGTAAATATTCAGTGTAAGTGACAACATTTCACCATTGGCACGTGATGCTACGTGGTGTTACCATCCAATAATAAATCTACGACTACAAGTGGGCATGGTAAATCCTACTTTTTTATATGGGTAGTTATTTTCTTAAATGGATAGAGAAATTACTAAATTAAGTGGGTATCCACTTACCTACATGTTAGTCTGTTATTGGATGGTCCCACCATGTGAAAATGGTGACGTGGTCACCGTTACATTGAATATTTTCTCGAGGACTGGGACTCCAAATATTGACCCACTTGTCAACTACCAGAAGATTCACAACGCCATTTGATGGCTTTGTAACATCCAACAGTCTCCTGGAATCCTATTCACTGCCACTGAATAACTTGTTTCATGATAGCCACCCATACAATAACAAAACATGTGCGAATTGAAACTCCAGTGTTGTGGCCGTTATATTCAACATTCCTCTAGTTTTATTGATACCAATATCAAAGTTGGCATGCTTGTCATTCCAAATAACACAGGCAGTACAAACTACCCAATGAGGCACCTGCCTAGGTCACATCTCCTAATATCTGTATTCATTAACTTCTTTACCAAAAGGCCAAAACCCCAAATGTCCCTTTTGTTACATGAACTAGTTCGTCTTTGATCCTCCGTTCGGTTCTTGGACAGAAATCGGTGAACCAAAAATTCTGGTATCATTTGAAGCATCTTATTATTTTGAAACTTGCATGTTTTCCAAGAACCAAACAAATAAAAATGGGTGAAACGTAAATAAGCACAGTCAATAAGATATATAAAATTCCGAAATAATGTTTAAATTATATTCGATAGCGATAAGCAAGAAACATAGTACTAAACAATAGAGAGATGAATGCGAATTAAAACTAAATACCAGATCAAAGCAATAACTCTCATAATGACATTCGTAATCAGACCGAGCAAAGAAATGTAAGTGTTCGACAATTTACCAGTTGGGAGATGGATTGAAGAACTCTTTGTTAGAACCAAAGAATTTGGTAGAGCACTCATTGATTAGATATTTCGGAGAGATAAAAGCTCGGGGGGTGGAGAGAGAGAGAAATCCAGAAGATGAAAATAAAGCAGGTTATATGTTTTTTTTTTGTTCGATGAAATCGAGGCTTGCTTGAAAATTGAAATATGCATTGCGCGAGGTGGAAAAATAGAGGAAGTGCTTCGGTGGCGTGTGATCAAATAAACATAGAGTACACCCGGGGGCGGGGGCCCCGCGACCATTAAATAATGACGGTCTTATGATTGCCCACAACATTTTTAAGATGCGAGTACGGTGGTATAAGATTAATAGTTTCCGAGTCATTTATATTATTAAACCATTTCTAATGAAGATTTTAATTCAAAAAACTTAATTTAGTATGGATTTTTTCAATGAAAAAAATTAAATTTAAATTTAAATGAGAACAAACTAAAATTTAAAAGTGCATAAATATAACCATTAGATCTTTTAAATGATGGTGTAATCTCACGATTAGTGAAAAATGTAAGAATTTTAATCTCTAGAGTTTTCCTTCATTTGGTATGAATACGAGTCTAACATTGGAAAAAGTTTTGGGTGCGGCTATTTTCAACTCACAAATCTCTATTCTCACCCCATTTAATTTTTCATTATCAAACTATTAATTCTATCCTTTTTATACCCACCTCATGCTACATACACTCAATTTAATAAGTAAACCAACTTTATATTTTGTCATAACTAGAGTTTCATTCTCTATCTCATCTCATGCACTCAGAAAAATATATTTTTAATATGTATTTTTTAAGTAAGATACATGTTAGTATTACTTCTCAATTTAATTATATGTTTGATTTTATATTTGTTACATAGATTTTTATTATTTTCGCTATTATTTTGATATTTCTGTCCGACCAAACATATGATGTTTAGCATTCTTTTTTTATATTTATAATGCAATATTATGAAAAATATTATTTAGACTTGATTTGGAGACTTAATTAAATGTAACTATTTGATTGAAAGTGAATTTTATCAAATATTAAATTTATAATTAATTCAATGACTACATTTTAAATTAAATCCATAATTAAGTCTTCAAATTATACATCTCTCTATAAACTAAAATAAGTTAAACATCTCAATATGTGTTGACATGAAATGCAGACCGGATGCATATGCATTATTTAATGCCATGTTTGGATCATTAGATAAAGGAGATAAGAATAGGATAAGATAACCTGTGTAACGAATTTTTTGATTGAGATAACCCATTCGGGCCTATCTAGTTCGCTACATTAATAATGTAATCCAAAGCTTCGGCCTTGGCTGATGTTATCCCTTCGGTGGGACAAAATTATTGGGAAAAACACTGGCAAGATGAGAAGTGAGAAAAAATATGACGTAGTTAAACAGGCTCAGAAATCAATCATAAAATCTATATATATTTCTATAGGAGGCAAGTTATTTTGTTTCCCCCTCCCCTCCCCTCATTTTAGATTTAAAAATAAGAGCACAATGCATATCACCGTGGACCCCATTTCGTTCAATTAACATTATCAATATATGTTCTAATGTTTCGCAAACATAATGTAACTCGTCGTTGTATTTGACTAACTACCATGGCCGGTTCCTACTTCCAAGTTCTAACCTACAACAAAACAAAATGACATTGCATTTACCAAAGATTTTAGTAAGTCAAGCGAATTCCAATTTCATATCATAATCCAACTCAAATTAATCTTATAGTGATCTTGCATCAAATGAATCAAAATTTAAAATCATTATTCTTGTCAAAAATACCAAAAAAAAAAAAAAGGGACAAAACAATCTCCAATTATGGAGTCATCTAGATAATGGTGAAACTGTAATTGGTGTAAACAGATCTATGTTATATAAAAAAATAAACCACATAGATAAGTAATGTAATAATAATTATAGAAATTAACGGACGTTTGTGAAAAATATCCATGAACGAGAAGGCTTTCGATAAATAAAAAGTAAGTCAAAGATTCGAAAACATATTCCAAGGAAGACAACAAAACAATATTCAAATAATTCAAAGGTCCATGTTGTATCTACATTATTAAAAAGAAGATTATTGAACGGTTATGAGAGCATCGGTAATGAGACAACACAACCTTTTGAACGACAAAGTCCATGTCGAACAAAACAACACACAGGAGCCAACAATTCTTAAATGATCGTGTACACTTCAATAATATATTTCTAAACTGCAAGATGTGATTTAATTTTTTTTTTTTTTTGATTTAAATTTCATTTTCAGTTATCATTAAATTAATAATAGATCTAATAGTAGTAACTATTTATAATTAATTTTTTTAGGAGAGAGAATGAAAAAATAAATTAAACTTTTAACCTCAAGAAGATAAAACATTCTAAAGGCTCGTTAATAACTATTTATAATTAATTCAACAGATCAAGTCAGCTAACTAAATGTGAATAGGATTTTTTAGCTTAATTTTTTTTCTCCGGATAAATCAAAATAAAATTACTTTTGGCTAAATCTTATAAATGACCCATAAACTATAATCTTTAATTTAAATTATTGTTTGAACATTTAATTATTTTAAGTTGGTCTTAAACTATATAATTTATTTTAATCAATCCATTCTATTAAGATTAATTGATAAAATTAACTGCTTAATGATTAATATAGTTGAGTGACAAATTTCAACAATTGGAAATTTAAGAGAGAATTTAAAATAAAGTCTATAATTGAAGGGGTATTTATGAGATTTACCCGTTATATTTTAGAGAGGAGAGTATTTGGGGTGAGGATGAAAGGGCAGTGGCCGGCCGTAAGAGTCATAGTCCCTCCCGCTCCAACTACTGCTGAGTCATTACTGAGTATTCTATTCATACCTAAAACAGAAAATGTTTGATACAACGCTGCAGCCAAAATCAAACACAATATCAGAATAGAAGTCTAACCACTTTCCTTCTTCCATGGCTCCGTGATCGATTAATCGTAGTCCAGAAAACCTAGGACTGAAAGTCAAGTGAGTGATTCATCTTGAAATGGGGTTTGATTCGTTTGAACTTCTGGATCCAGATCAAACTCAAACCAAACCCATTCCAAACTTTGAGTTTAAGTGATCCAAGGCAAGAGAAAGCAAGAGCTCGACCAACTCTGAACCACAACTTCTGGGACTCTAATTCGGAATCTCATACAGCGTGTGGTTAGGATTAGTTCTTAGTGTGGTCCTTTGGCTCTAAATGCCGTTGAGTGGCATATTTTGACTCCGTTCTTTTATCATTCATGGCTAGGCGTCATGGATGGGAACTCCCAGCCCACACGTTTCAGGTACTTACCTCTCCTCTGCCTTCTAATCACTCGATATTCAGAATGTGGGTTTATTTGGGGCCTTTGACTTTTTAAAATTGATTTTTTGTTGCTAGATTTTCTTTGTGATATTACAAACTAGTGTAATTTTGTTTTACTTTTCTGTCAATGAACATGTAAATTTTTGTTGCTGTCGGTTCTTAAATAGTTGGCACTGGTAACTATGGGTCATTAGGTTCTTTCTTGTTTGATTTTTTTCTACTACATCTTGTTTAGTTGGTTACCATGTGTATCCTAAAATTCTTGCAGCTCATCTGTTTATTTTGCTTTTGAATTTCCAATGCAGAAAGAAGTTTATAAAAACACATCCCAAATAGATCTTATGCGAAAACTGTCTGGTTCTTATCATTCCACAAAAGCACATGTTTCTGACATACTTTGCTCTATCTTTGTTTTGTGAAGAAGAATACGTTATGGACTTTGTTTCAGTTTTGCAATTAGTCCTTAGCATACACTTATTTGAAAAGAATGATTTAGTGGGTATTCAAGTTGGGATTTGAGATCAATCCAAGTCACTTGATGTGAATAATTAACCCTCCATTGCTGAGTTTTTTAGTATTGGAAATGTATTTTTTGTAATGTCTGTGAGCACGGAGGCCACTAACTGAGTTTCCTGTTCTACTACTAACAAGATAGATAGAGAGAAAAAAAAAAAAGCAGCATCACACTACAGTTACACCAAACTGTGTTGAGTTTGGAAATCGTAACTTGTAAGTGCATGTGATCATTTTACCTCTTTTGTAATTTGATTTGAGTTTGGAACTTGTTGTCTGGGAGATGTATTTGGCGTCATTATAAAGTGTTCTTTGCTTTCCCGGCTGACAATCTTCATGGCAACTCTTTATCTTCAACAGTGTATAGCTATGGCTGTTGCTTGATATATAATCCAATACACTCGCAGTATCTGGCATCTTACTTGTGTCTCTAGCATCTTTATCCTAGTGTAGGGGATTAATAGAATGTGAAATGTTGGTTGCAGTTATTCGGTTGATTTTCGTCTGTCAGTTCTTATAGTTGTTTATCACGGCCACGGTTGTTATCCCCACATCGATGTTTTAGCTAAATATTCATTTGTGGTAGTGTAACTAAGATCTGAAAAAGGCAAATCTTTAATAGCGCATTCCTGTCTACATTCTTACAGATATGACACATCATCATCTTCTGAGTGCATATTTGAAAGTCTTTCACATCAAATTTTGTTTTAGGAGACCTATCTACATCCATTTTCACTCAAGTTGTGGGACAGTTCTATTGATCTCTGTGATGATGTTTTCTTCTCTCTCTCCTTTTGATTTCTTACATATATTTTGAGGCATGTGATGTCATTCTTACTTTCATTGATGCGCAGGTTGTAGCAATAACAGTATTTTTCTTGCTATCGGTTGCCTTCTATACATTTTTTGCGCCCTTTCTTGGAAAGGACCTCTACGAATATGTGGCCATTGGTTTTTATTCCTTCTTGGTAAGCATAACAGCTGGCTGCTTTTCCTTTAAACTTGGATGAAAAGTGCACCACGATCCTTTGCTGTCTCTATTTGTGACTTATTGTCTGTGTTACTATTTTCAGGCACTCTGTGTATTTGTACTTTATGTTAGATGCACAGCTATTGATCCTGCTGATCCTGGAATTTTTATTGAAGCCGACAAGACACCAGCCATTAGATCCCACAATGATGCAGATTTTCCTGGTTAGTGATTCAACTGCACTTTTCTTCTTTGAAATTAGAGAAAATATATATATCCAAACTAGTTGAATCTCCATATGATGAAAGGTCAATGGCGATTTGATCAGTAGATTCAATTGTTGGAGCACCCATGAGTGTTCTATTTCGACTATATTCACCCAAAAATTGATCTGATTGTCCTTTGCAATCAATTACAAATGAGTACTTATGATAACAATTGAGTTGTTGATCAGCGAGTTCCCCTTGATAAGTCCAAGCTATCAGGATTTGCATTTGTTGAGGGAGAAGGCAGCATAAGATTATGTTTTGAGTACCACTCCATTATTTTGTTCTTTGGATTATTGTTTACGAGCTTTGTGGCATGACTAGGAAATTCATCTTCTCTTGAAGAGCCTGGCAAAGCAGGATTGAATAATGGAGGAAAAGCTGAAAGGCATGGTTCAAGTTGTTGCTCAAAACTAGGGGGATTCTTTTGCGGTTTTCTTGTGAGGCAAGATTGCCGCAAAGATGAAGACCTTTTACAACTACAAACTGGAGAGGAAGATGCTTTGTTCTGCACATTGTGCAATGCTGAGGTAAATTTTTATGGGAGAAGTTTTTTGTATCTCATGCATGGTTCAAAGTCGTGGTATCGGTCATCAACTTGGAGGGTACTGATACACATCGGTCGTGACGTTGTGGTACAATATCGGCCGATACACTCAACACGCTAGATAAAAGCTCTAAAAAAATTTGAAAAAATCATAAATTTTTTTTGAAAATATAAACAGCATCATCCATGCATCATATGCCCACAATACATCAAAAAACACATTAAACATAATTAAAATGAAACATAAGGGCGTTACCGAAAATATTGATCATTATCAATATTCAACTAATTGAAATTGAAATATTAATATTGATATATCTAATTATTATATTAGATTTAAAAAGTACCGATTTTTTTAGGATTAAAAAATATTGATGTATCTAATCATTATATTAAAAAATATTTGATATTCTATCTTTCATTGAAGTATTTTTTATCTAAGTATAATATTTTAAACTTAAAGGGCCTAAGTAATATATGTTTACAAATTTTAGGGGGGTCTAAAAATAATTTATTAACAGATATATTTACAGTAGGGTCTATCTGTTTCGCTTGTACAAACTTTAGGGGTTTGTATATAATATTTAAAATAATAAGGGTCTAAATAATTAAGTGATAAACTTTAAGGGGTGTGAGTGTAATGCTCCAAAAAAAATTGATTTACCGACAACAAAGTCTTTTATAACTTTGTTTGAGAGTCGGTCCTTCAGAGCTCAGTCTTCAGACGCTGTGTATGGAGAGAGAGAGAGAGAGTGGTTTGATACGCTGTGTATCGACGATCATTAGAAGACTGGTTCGCAAAAAAGAAGATCAGGGAAAAAAAATAGAAAAAGAAGAAGAAGATAAAGCGGTATGGGGATCTCTCTGATCTGTATTCAATTCTACAGGTATGTCATACAAATGCTTACAATCTTTATGGTAGTGGGCCTTTGATTTTCGGACTGGTTGAGGGCCTTTTACAGATGTGAGTCTTGAATTCTTCATCTTTTTCCTTTTTATTTTGGATTCTTGCTATTTGCTCAAGATTTTGGAGATTTTCCACAAGATTCGATCATACCAGACCGATCCCACTATGAATCGTCCGATTCATACCGAGTTGCTCCGATTTGTGCCGATACGTCCGAGTCTTGCCAAGATATCGCCGAGTCAAGTGAAAATCGGGATTTTTGCATAACGGATATCGATATCGGATCGGTAGGGGCCGAGTCGTATCGGACTCGGCCGATACTTTGAACCATGATCTCATGCCGTGTATTTTACTGTCGTATAAAATAGTAAAGAGATTTTGAATCTTATGGTGAGCAATTTTTCTCAAGTTGAAAATCAAGTGATGTCATCAAAATCAGTCATACAATATCCCTCCTTCCCTTTCTGGCCAGAACAAAAAAGAAGTGAAAGACTCAAGAATATTCTGAAGTCTTGCTTTGAATTACTCATGCTTATCTCAATGTATGCTTCTGCCTGGGACATGAGCTCATTGTTTGTGGACATATGATGTGTGAGGGAAAGGAAATAGGACAGAGCTAGCAGGAGCTGCATTTGAACTGGGTCTCCTGACTCCTATTTTTGGGGTCGACTTCATGAATCATGTTTCTCCATTGTGCACTATTCAAATTAACTCAACAAGGCCTTGTCTCCATTATGCTCTATCTAGGTTCATATTTTTCGTTAAAGCATAATGTCTTTATTTATCTCATTAGTATATATATTCAAACTTAGAAGACTGTGCTTCCCACTTCATATTCTGATCCCAATACATACCAAAGCAAGAATTTGAGGAAAATGTTGTTTTGTAGGTGCGCAAGTTCAGCAAACACTGCAGAAGCTGTGATAAATGTGTTGATGGATTTGATCATCATTGCAGGGTAAGTCTAATCTTCAATTTCTACCCAAGTCTCCTGTCACGTGATTTTAAAATGCTCTAGTTTTTTGTTAAGGCCCAAGGGTATGTGATTTCTGATGTGATAAGTAGTTTTGTTTGCTATCCCTATGCAACATGCCCCTATTATTCATTTGATATTCATAAATATCTGGGGAATTAACAGTTACTTCTCTTCTCTTCATGCCTAAAATAACTTTTGGCATGGTGACCTGGGGCGCAGTGGCTGAATAATTGTGTTGGAAGGAAAAACTATATCACATTCGTGAGCCTTATGGCCATGAGCCTTGTCTGGGTAAGCTCAAAAGATGCTTGGTTGGATTTTATTTCAACTTGCTTATCTTAGGCTTCATTGTCCTTATGAGTTGTTCCCTTAAGCCCAACTAAAGAAATTGTTTTGTGGATGATGTTCGTTTGTGCGCCAGCTTTATTTTGAGTGTGGGGTGGGAATTGCTGTCCTTATTCGATGCTTCACTCATAGAAAGGCAACAGAACATCAGATAACGGAAAGGCTTGGAGGTGGATTCTCACAACCCCCATTTGCTACTGTTGTGGTATATTTCCTTCTATCCTTAATCTGTTTCCTTACGCTAATTTATCATGGTTTCACATCTTATTTTGAACTCAACACAGTGAATGTAGTTGTATCTGCAGCTACTGTTATTTTTTTGCCAGAAAATTAACCTTATGTGGTTTTTTTTTTCAGGCCATATGTACAGCTCTTTCTTTTCTGGCCACTGTGCCTTTGGGAGAACTGTTCTTTTTCCACATAATTTTGATTCGAAAGGTTTGTTTCTTCGATGTCCTCTCCTTAACCCTCCATTCCCACCGTTTTTTTGTGTGTGCGCGTTTGTTGTTTTTTTTTTTCCGCGGCCGGGGGGCGCACGAAAAGAAAAACACATAAATATAAAGTAAAAAAGAGAAGGGTAACACATCATAATCTTTTGTTGCAGGGTATCACAACTTATGAATATGTGGTTGCCATGAGGACCCAAAGTGAACCTCCTGGGCCCTCATTGGATGAAGGAGATCAGCAGAGTTTGCCATCCTCACCAACAAGTTCTGCTGTGACTGCCATTAGTGGAAGAAGCTCTCTTGGAATGGGTTTGCAGTATAAAGGTGCTTGGTGTACTCCTCCAAGAATCTTTATGGACCTCCAGGTACTGCTGCCTTGATTTTATTTTGACAAACTGACTACAAGTGGGTTAGTGTAGACTACTTTGATTATTTACCATGAATAAAGGAAGCTAGGACAACATAAACATAAGCCAGATAATAGTTCAGATTTCTTTTGAAGTACTGTGGAGAGAGTCGAAAGCCACTGGACAAGATTACTTATATTATCATCATCATAGGAACCTCCCTGTATATGACACTCTTTTTACACAATATTTCTATCTGTTCCGCTTTAGGAATTGTTTGTCTGGTTGTTTCTATTCTTCTATCTATTCTTAAGGGTTGAAGTTGGACTATCCAGTGGAAAAAATCTGGGTCACTGTCATTTTGAATATTACATGCTCTTTTTTCAATGACTAAAAGTTAGTGCAGCTGCCACTTCATGATGCCAAGGTTATTGTTTACTATATTTGGAGGATCATGATTCCTTTCATGTGCATTTGCATGCACCATCTTTTGATATCTTTTATGTTTGTGATAACTTACAAGGATAAAGTTTTTATATTGAAACTTTTGTGTTATATAACCAGGATGAAATTATCCCTCATCTGGAGCCAGGCCGCTTGCCGTCCACTGTTGATCCAGATGCAATGCAGCCACCTGACAAGGGGAAAAAGTTGCCCCAGCGTCCAGTCCGTATCAGTGCGTGGAAGCTTGCAAAATTGGACTCTAATGAGGCAGTGAAGGCGGGTGCCAAGGCTAGAGCTTCATCATCTGTTTTATGTCCAGTAGGTTCCAGACATCATCAATATGATGCTGATCATTTTTCCAGTAGCAATGTGAGTGGCAGAAGCAGTCCAACCAGCACCAATCATGGATTTCATGAAAGAAATGCCAGAGCAGGGACATCTAGGTTATCTCCTTCAAAGAGTTCATACCCACCGAGTCGGGCTAGCAGGGACGATACTGAAACGTGTGGTCACAGCCTTAGTAACTTAAGCAGTCCTCATCCTTCTAACCTCACCCCTTCTCCATTAGAGCAGCCGGCTTCAAACAGAGATCACGTCAACCCTGTATATCTATCCTCAACAGATCAATCTCCTCGGTCAGCAAAGGCAAGTGATGCACATCAAACTAGAGTTAGTGATTTACCAATGAGGAGAAATGTGGGTGCTGCAGAAAATTCAAGGTCTTCCGTGTTTTGGGATCAAGAAGCTGGGCGCTTTGTCTCTGCAGCCACCAGAAGTGTTGGTTCTTCCTCTCATGTATCCGGAACAGAGCTTACATACACAGGTCAATCTATATTCTTCGGGGGTCCCCTTGTGAGTGAAGAGTCGAGCAGAGGGACAAGAATTGGCAGCTCCCTGCCTGCTGGTCCTGACAGAGGTTCCACGTCGAGTTACTATCAACAGGGTAGGTCACAAAGAGGCGGCCAGCTTCCTGTGTTTGTTCCAAGTGATTCCCAGCAACACTAGGTGGAAGGCAATTAAACTGAGATGGCACACAAACCAATTTGTTCCTCCAGAAACATAGAGTTTAGATTTTAGATTTCCACTTCCTGAAATTTTTGTTTTGTTTCTTAATCTGGTGTTGCTCTTACTTGTCTACTCTACGTCACCGTGGTTTAACGAAAGAAAGAAACAAACGTATCGATGCATTTTCCGTTCATCATATGTAGCAGCTTGCCTTTAAAGTCCACACTTATCATGAACTTCACCGTCACAGAAGCCCTCCAAAGAGTGTCTCTACATCCCGGTAATTAATGCACGACCAATCAACCGTTCTCTTTGAGATGATCTCGTTAAATTAATACATAACGTTTTAAAGCACTGTATAAATCTATGTTGGAAAAAAGAAGATGGGATTACTTGGGCATAGCCCAAATGGTTTGAGTGCGTGTGCTGCTGTTTCATATCGGTTAAAAATAAGATTAGTTGTGTGCATATAAACTCTTGATCACTCCTTCTCTTGTAAGTTGATTTTTAGGGATAAGTTTTATACACGAGTTCATAACAGTGTGCCTAAAAATCCTTGATTTTTTCCCAAACATAATCAACGTCCAGGGAGGAGCCTAAAGAAACCAAATTCAGTCTTCTTTTTCTTTATATGCAACTGACAATTAAATCAGACCGTTTCATACTACCCAGCTTGGGATTTGGGGTACTAGCCAGCTCACATGCTGTTTCTAATCCAACCGTAAAAAGTGTTGGCTATTTGTTACTCAGATTAGAGAAAAGAATTATAAAAATAGAATAAAAATGTGAGTGCATAAAAGTCTTTGTAGTATAGTGGTAAGTATTTCTGTTTGTCACGCGGACGACCCAGGTTGGATCCTCGAAAATGGAGATATACTTTCTGCACGTATTATAAATTTGATATTTTCTTATGTTTGTTCATCAGTTTAAATTTATGAGCACACTATTATATCATAGTGATTCATTTTGTGTTGAATGAACGTTATGGTTGCACTCCATCTATCTGTTTGCTCAAATGCCACAACGAGCTTTGGATTTGTGGCATTGTAAATTAAAGTAAATTATACTTCACGGGGAGGGAGAGAGAGAAAGAGAGGCTGGCTATTGTTTTTCTTTTTATGTGGTTATTTTTTCACCTCATATAACTAAAATCCCTAGCAACACTCTCGTTAACAGGTTCTTAAAGGGGCAACTATGAAATTACCCACCACACTGATGGGCAATCTTCGTAATCCTCAATTTCCAACTGTCGCTTCTGTCCGTACAATCCCGGTTCAGTTCAGTTACAACTCCATTGACAAACCATCGGACCCGTCTTCTCTGCCAAAATCAACTCACAAGTCAGGACACAACACAATGGTCCTTTGCTCATCAACACCCAACATAACCTTTCTGAAATTTCTCTTTACATAGATTTTCTTGCCCCTTGTACCTTCGTTTTTTTTTTTTTTTTTTCTTTCTCTTTTCAAGATCTCTCAACAAGGCGGTTCGGCTGAATCGAATTGTAGAAGAAAATGACTGAAGGAAGTCCTAACGACAGGCAACTTGATAAGACACCCACTTGGGCAGTTGCTTTTGTCTGTGCAGTCATGATTCTAGTTTCTATATTGCTGGAGAAAGCTATTCATGGAATCGGAGAGGTAACTGTGGATCATATTTCATTTTAGAGACACTTTCAAAATAAATTATTAATTCTCCTTTCAGATTTAGATGGGACCAGTTTGTTCATAATTTTTTAGAGATAATGTGATTTTCCCTTTTTAAAGATTGGGTCTATTTTAATGGACTGTAAATGGCGAAGGGGGCAAAAAAAAAAAAAAAAGTAAAAGGGTACGACTCGCAGGTAGGAAGAAGCAGCTAATGAGATTTTTCATATGGTTGTTTTTGCAGGAGAGAATCCTTCCTTCTTTTTTATCTTTTTCAATTTTTTTTGCGTATTCAGTGTATGATTAGTGGTGCTACCACAAAATTTAACAAACAAATAAAAAATGATCACTGGATTGGAGGCAAACAGGGAAATGTAAATATCTATATTTTTGGTTCCAGACCTTTGGTTCAATGGTACTTCTTATCTTGTAGCCCTTCTCCCCCCAAAAAAAAATAAATAAATAAAAAATGAACAGATGACCAATTGGATAGCTAAGCCTCGGAAAAGAAACTTGTCAATGCCTTTGTCTTCTTCTCTCTGATTATTCTTGTTTCTCCTCTAGAAAGTAGCAAGTAATGTTCTAAGTTGGTGGGGCACCCTGAATTGGTTTGGCATGGAGCAAGTTGGAGGCAGCTTTGTATTGATCTGATTATAAACATTTTCAACTCAGGTTTGAGTCTGGAAAATTGGAAGAAAAAACATCCTAGAAAGCTGTATTAAACACTGGAAGATTTTTGGGGAAAAAAAAAATCAATCTCAAGTAACTTTGCTTCTTTATTTTTGCCTTGTGGTTTCTCCGTCATCTCTAATGATTTTTTGGTTTCAGTGGTTTCACAAAAAAAACAAGAAACCTTTGTTTGAAGCTCTCGAGAAGATCAAAGGCGGTAAGCACTGCAACTTCTCAATTTTTCTCCAGCAGCAATACCTTTACTGGACATGTTTCTCAACTTAGATGGATCACAATTTTTTCTCAACTGTCTTTTTAGTGATTCGCTCTTGGTGACCCAACTTCCTCTTCCTCATTGACTCTTGCAGAGCTTATGGTTCTAGGATTCATATCCTTACTTCTAACATTCGGGCAGAATTACATTACCAAATTATGTATTCCCTTAAAGTTAGCAAACACCATGTTGCCGTGCCCCTTGAATAAGAAACACGAGGCCCCAACAGAAGATAAGGGTGCAGGAGAACATCATCGGAGGCTTCTATGGAATGAGCATAGAATCTTAGCAGCAGATAGTCTCTCAAAAGAGTGCAAGCCTGTAAGTGTTTTTTTTGCTAGTTATTTTAGATTTTAATTTCAGTCTTCTTTGTTTAATTTAAGAAAAATGACAGGAACAAGCTTAATCTGGTCATTCGTATCTTATAACTATCTGATTATCTGCTTAAAACATCCACTTCAAGGGAACATAGCCGTGAACTCCTATGAAGTATGACAAATAGGTTTTGATAGTGAGCACATAAAGATAAAAACCTCTTAGTCTGCTTCTTTGATCAACGACTTCATGAAAATAGGTGATTGTAACCAGTGCACAAGCCTCTGCGGAGCCTGGGAGAAATAAGTCGTATGCATCCTTATTTCATCAAACCAAGACCTTTCCCTCTATTTCTATACTTTCTTTGATTTTTTTTTTCTGTTTTTGAACCTCCTTTACAAACTTTATGGTTACATATATGTTTGCCTCTTAGATCCATCCTGAGGAGATATTATGTCTAAATTTTGTTTGAAGACTCTTGAGAAGGTTGAAAATGACAAGAAAGTCATACAGTTATGAAACTTCGTCAATGACAAAACTCTAAGCAAAAATCTTAATTAGAGGAATGTGATTTTCATGGAATCAAATCCTGTAGGAGTTGAATCATTTTTCTTTTCTTTTGGATGCATGATTCTTAATGATGAGAGCATCGAACACAAGGATTATGAAACATCATTATGATAAAGGTATAGATACACTTAAAAGTACACAGGTGTTAGGTTCAAGTCTGTCAACTCCCTCCATATCCATTTGGCCACTATTCTGTGGGTCTGTGTCCTCTCAGTCTAGTAAGTTTCAGTTTTGAATTTGTATGCCTTCCCCATTCAAGAAGGGGGGTCACACTTGAAGGTGTGAGAACATACATTTTAGGCCCACTCCTCAACAGCTTGCACTTTAAAGCAACTGATTGTCTTGGTTATAGGAGGTCTTGGGGTTCACGTCTCCATCTCTTCATTTAGTTTTCTGTTCTGTTTTTCTATTTACACTGCGTGAATGTAGTTTTCTGTGGTTTGGTTGCCTCTCTACGTGCAAGAGGGGGTTGTATATGAGGGAGGATGCAAGACTCGAGAACTCAATGTATATTGATGCTCCATTCCCCAAGGGTCATAAATTTTATCGTAGGTGTTTGTCTAAGAGTTATGCGAGGACTATAGCTGGTTTGGGAAAGATCCTATTTTAACAGAAAGCATGCCTGATTTTTCAAGACACAGTTGACTACATCTCAAGCTGTCATTACTTACTTTTTCTCCTGTAATATCTCTTCAACAAAACATATCTGCAAACCTAAAATACCATCGGAAGGTATGTGGTCCACAAGAATGTTTGTAGTGTGGTTTGGTGTCTCTTCAAATCAAATCTGTGTTCTAATAGAAAGTTAAAAAATTGGTATCTACTCTCTGACTGAATAATGCCTACCCTTTGTTGCCAAGTTGTAACGCCTTAGTTTTGTCCTTCTTAATTTGTTTATGTCTCCATCACTTGACAATGTATTGTATTCAAGTTCTTAACTAACAAAATTTCTTGTCAATAGGGAACCGTGCCGCTCATAAGTGTCAGTGGATTACATCAACTACACATCTTCATATTCTTTTTGGCAGTGTTTCATGTTATTTATAGTGCCATAACAATGCTGCTTGGGAGATTAAAGGTAGTATTTTTTTAGTGCTTTTGCTTTAATACACTCAAAAAGTTTTATCATTTCTAAAAAGAACTGTGTGATGCAAGTGGGAATGGCATTTGATTCTGATATTTGATTTTTTCAGCATGATTTGTATTTAAAGTTGTCATTTAATGTTTTCTTAATATGCAGATTCGCGGGTGGAAAGAATGGGAGCGTGACATAATTGATTATGACTATGCAGTCTCCAATGGTATGTTTTTTTGATGAGAACAATTAATCTAATGTTTGTTTGTATCTTGATATTTCATAGGTAAATAAATAACTTCACTCGTGAAATTTCTGTTAGTAAATTATGGGTGATTTTGTGTGTGCCTACAATGCAGACCCTGCAAGATTCAGGCTTACAAAGGAGACATCTTTCGTGAAAGGGCACACCAGTTTCTGGACCACAACACCAGTCCTTTTTTATGTTGTAAGAACAGTGAATGATGTTTGCTAATGTGTTCAAGTTGTCTTCAACAAAATGAACTATGAGACTGAAGGCATATAGGGTGTCAATGTTTTTCCTTAAGCGAGGTGGGAGATTTTATTTCTGCCTGAGGGAGTGTAGGTGGGCGGGTGAGTATTTGGTGGGGGGAGGGGGGAGGGGAGGGGGGAGGCAAGAGGGTTGGAGCTGGGTTTTAATGTGTTCAAATATCTATGTAATTTGAATATTGCTGTGGCAACTGAAACTAGGTCTTGATGCAGACTGGTTTGGTCTCTATGCGTTATCCATTAGCTTCAGTTGATACTTAATTTGTTCAATGATTTCAGGTATGCTTTTTTCGGCAATTCTTTCGATCTGTTCGTAAATCTGACTACTTGACAATGCGCCATGGATTTATCTCCGTGAGTTTCTTGAGATGAAGAATTTCCTCTTTCTCTTTTGGATAATAAGACCAAACTGTAAGAAAGTTACCATCAATTAATTATTTTATTCCTGTAGGTTCATTTAGCACCTGGAAGTAAGTTTGACTTTCAGAAATATATTAAGAGGTCATTAGAAGACGACTTCAAGGTAGTTGTGGGAATCAGGTATAGTTATGTACATTATGATTTAATTTACAATTTTTTTAGCCTATAGATAATGCTCTGATATGCCGCATATCCATCTGACTTAATTCTTGGCACTACTTCCAGTCCAGTGTTATGGACTTCTGCAGTAATATATCTGCTTATTAATGTTAACGGTGAGTTTTTCTTTTTCATATAATTTCGCATTTTAGGATGATGTGGTTCTTTATGTGTTATCCCAGTTAATCTACCTATCAGCATCCAAATTCTAAGATCTCTTGATGTATTATCTAAGTAAATTATCGCAGGATGGCAGGCTTTGTTTTGGCTGTCCATATTGCCTCTAATGGTAATAATTTTTTGTTGCAATATAATTCTCGCTAAGTGATCTCTGCTTTAGGAAAGAGGAAATACTAACTATTGGATCTGTTAAAGGTAACCTTAGCAGTTGGAACGAAGCTCCAAGCAATTATAACACAGATGGCTGTTGAAATCCAAGAACGACATGCTGTAGTCCAAGGCATCCCCCTTGTGCAAGTCTCTGACAGAAATTTTTGGTTTGGCTGGCCTAAGTTGATTATTTATCTCATCCATCTCACCCTCTTTCAGGTATGAACTTGCCTCTTTTGTGGGTCATATATCAAAGATAACCTAAGTGATGGAGTTTCTGTGCATTCAATGGCTTATAAGCCACCAGCATATTTCACAAAACTGACGGGAACCATTGATTTTTCAGTTTCCCTGATGGAGCTACTGTTTTCATTTTCTGGCCTAAAAAATCTCTCCTATATACTTTTTGAAGGGCCAGTATTTTTTTTTGGGGGTGTGAAGGTATTGAAAACTATCTAACAAGCCAATTCTGTCTTTTGTGTGTTCAGAATGCATTCGAGATAACATATTTCTTTTGGATAACGGTAATGAACTGCCCTGCTCTTTCTTCCTTGTTCTTTTGCATATCTGTTACCAGTTGTATGAAGTAATGTTTTGTGGTACAGTACGAGTTCGGGTTATATTCTTGCTTTCATGAGAATTTCACTCTTGCAGTGGTAAGAGTTGCTCTTGGGTAAGTCCACTTTGTCTGGAATCAACTTTAGGCAAGAATTACTTCCATAAGTCCACATTCTGCGTTCTAACCTTTTATAATATATCAATTTCATATTCTAGTTCATGCAATTTTGCTGGTAAATTATCATTTTAGCAACATTTTGGTAGTCATTTGAATGCATTGTCACAAGGGAGGTGCTTTGATACACCCTGCAGTTTTTCCGGACTAAAAGTAGCAGAAACATTTGGTTCTTAAACATTGAAGATAAGAACCATGATGTAGATAGAGAATTATCATTTTTATATTGAACATTTGGTCCAAGTAATGGGGAGTTTTATTGGGCAGGATAGGAGCACAATTTTTATGCAGCTACATCACACTTCCACTCTATGCCCTCGTTACACAGGTGAGCCATACTCCACTAATTGCTTCCTCATGAGCCTTCTTTTAATGCCTTTTGTTCTTGCTTGTTGGTAACTGGTGACTTCTGTGATTCAACTACACAAAACATACACAATTTAAGTCCGGAATGATCCCAGATACGGAGGCAGTTCTACTTCAACTAGAAAGTTTCTTAACTATCAATCTCCAAGCTTTCTTGTTTGGAGATTCTCACGCATTCATTCATCAACACATGTTTCATTGTAAAGTTTGAATAACATTACGGTGCTTCTCCCACCTTTCCCTTTCTGCTGCTGTCGGGAACTTTTTAGATGGGATCAACCATGAAGCAGTCTATTTTTGACGAACAAACTTCCAAGGCATTGAAGAACTGGAAAAAGAGTGCCATGAAGAAGAAGAATGACGGAAGGCCAGCATCAGCTCCCACTCGGACTTTAGGCGGGAGCCCAGTGGATCAGCAGAGAGTTCCCCAACACGTCCTAATCCCCATATGAGTAATGCTGCTACACATACAGCCAACATCATTGCCAGTGTGGATATTCCAGCAGAGCACCCTTCCCCTGATTACAATGGTTTGCAGTCTAGTAACCGTGACCTCCTAACAGGTCCATGATTCTGGCAATAAGGTGGTAAATAGAGGGTAAATGTTGACAGTGTGGTTGTTTATTCTGTACCATACTTCATGTTATGTATGTATAATGCACAGGGGGGGTTTGAAACGAGTATTAGTTTTGTTTCGTCTAACTTTTGAATTTGGTCTATCTGGAACAATGTACTGGTGCAGTGAATCGGCTACAAACCCTTTGTAGTCTATTGCCCTATTGGTCTAATACAGCTCGCTTTTAGTTTTTTTTTTTTTTGTATCATTTTAGAAAGTTGTAATTTTTTGATATAAATTTCTTTTCAGTTCCTTATGATTGTCGGACAATTGGTCCCCATCCCATTATTCACCCTGATTATCCTTTCTTGCTTGAGTTTTAGTTTCTTGATCACATGTAACTTGGTTGATTAGTGGATGTAGTGGACATGATGTAACATTGTATATATTACGGGAGTCAGACCTATGGTGTATATTTTTCATAAGGAAAAATTGAAAGGAGGTACATCAAATTAGACTTAATTATAAAAAAGTACACAAAAAAAATGTTAGGTAATTAAGTCTTTAATTGATACTTATTTGTATTTAAGTACATTATTTGAATTTTATTAATTTTTTTGTGACATTTTTGTCCTCCACTGATCTATGTGTATTTTCTTTGGAAAGTGGTGTATTAAACATCTCCTAGTTTTATGGGAGAACTTTAATATTTCATATTTGTATGTCCTCCCTTGATTCATGCTAATTTTTTTTGAAAAGTGATTTTGTTTGCAAATTATATTTAATGCATATTGACTCATGCGTTATATATATATATATATATATATATACATATACTTGTTGTTAAATTTCTTATCTAATTTTTGAATTATCTTTAATGCACCTCAAAGGTATGCACTTCATTTAGTTATAGCATTACAAATATATTTGTGTAAATTCATGATTTTAGGAAAGTTCTAGTTCATATGAACCTAATCGACATAAGAATTGGTCTCCTAGTCATCAAATAATGCACGTCTTATGGTTTCCTAGTCGTCAAATTGTGTTGATTGAGCTTGATAAACTACCTTTTTTTGTAGAGTTTTATCGTTTAATTTGTAATATAAGTTCTCAATATTCCTGTCAATTGAAACATCGGCAATTATGAGACGTTTGCACATTTATTCATTGATTCTTCCTACTAATATTACCAAGATCATGGGTCGATTTGATAGTTGGTATGGGTATAAAAATATAGTGCCATACTTTTTCCAATACTCATGGTGGACTGGGCTTAATGATACGTTGTTTTGGATTGTAGTTTGTTTTGTAAGTATTATTACTATTATATAGAATAATACATCTAATATGCATGATTGGGTAGGCTGAGTTGAGTTGTGTTTTGGTAATTCAATATACAACTCAAACTCATTTAGAATATGTTGAGGCTGTGAAAGAAGCTAATGGTCTTCGTGCTGATGGATGATTCTCTTTTTGCTTGTCCTTTAAGATGTAATATATTGAATTACTGTAGAAGGTCAATACATTTAGTGGATGAGGCAGCAGATACTCTGTTTTAAACCTTCATATCCCAAGTGGTGGCTTAGAAAAGGATTTTTTTTCGTCTTCCTACTCGAAGGACCCTTTTTTTTTTTTTCCCCCCAAGAGTAGCCTGTAAATATCGTTAATCAGTTACCTCAAATGGTCCACAACACATCAAAATAAGGCACTGGAGCTGTTGTATGAGCCAATTCTACAAACTTCTTATCAGTCTTTATACTGCTAAAAAAGCATAGACTACCAGCCTGAAATGAGGAGGAGTGGGGAGCAAGGTTTCCACATGTGGCTCATGACATGGAATAGAAGTGGGTGGCTCATGCTTTGTTTGGTTCATGGATTCAGTGGGTGTAAAGGAAGGAAGGAAATGTAAAGGATGTGATGCATATTAGTTTGGCTGCCATAGAAAATGCATATTAGTTTGGCTGCCATAGAAAATGTAGTGTCATATACAATTGGAATCAAACTTGACACAAAATTAAAAATTATAAAATTTGACAGATGTATCAAAACACAACAAAAATAATGAAAATTTACATAACGCACACGAAATCAAACATAAAATTAAATCAAGAACTAATACTAGTTTGTATCTTATTAGAGAAATTCATATTAAAAAATTATTTTTGTGAGTTTATGAAGTAGGAGAATGAATGAATGAAATCTTAATTATAAGATGGACTTACTTATTAAGGGGGAATATATAGTATGAGTGAAGTTACTTATTAATGAAGTAAGTATAAAAATGGTGAAATTAGTAGTTTGATAATAAAAAATTAAATGAAATAAGAAAGAATGGACGGATATTAGTGTCACCTTTGATTAATGTTAGGACAGCCCAATGGCTTATCCCATGATATGAACACACAAGTATTGTAATGTAACAGCTGGTACCCACGATATCAATTGCTTCATCTAACCCCAACCTTGATGAGAGATGAATCATGGGTTGGTTAGGTTTCAACTTTCGTCAACCTTCTGCTGGATGGCTTTTGACTTGGGTTAAGGTTAGTGCAGACCAGAGTTAGTTTTATTTCATTATTTTTATTTTTATTTTTATTAGTGGGCCTGCAGTTTAACTAGCATAATTTAATTTTTTTATCTGACAATTTAATATTGATTGGGAGATGTCTTCTCTTGTTGTTATATGACACGTGTTGGATTTACTGGGGTGGGTGGCTCATGGCTGCAGAGGTGGCCCAAGCTGCTCCAGCAGCATGTAAAAACACGAGTCTCTGTCGTTGAATTGAATGAAAGTTTTGAGGGGTCTGAGATTAGGTGGCTGCCTATCCATAAGATGTTAGGACCAGGACCATATATGTCGTGGCATTTCACTCGGATATCCCTCTTTCCTCCCTCCCTCCCTCCCTCCCTCGTAGTGCGGGAGTAGTAGTAGTAGATATAACTAGATATACAAGGATGATAAATTGAGCTACGTCTTTTTTTTTAAAATCTATGGTTTCCTTTTAACTTAAGCAAACAATAACTCTTTGATTAGACGTCAAAATATGATGATTGAGATATGAGAACCTTGTTTAATTTACAATTACCTCCATCTACCTAAAACTTGAGAAACATTATCCCCCAAGCCCAAGTCCAAAACTAAAACTAACATAAAAAGTTTGAAACACCAGGGGATGGGATGGGATGGGATGGGTTCATGGTTTAAAGTCACTGGTATTGAGTATCAATTTGAAAAGCACTGAAACGCGTCGACACGACATTATTGTGTGATAAATAAAAAATGTCACATGGAAGAATAATTTTTAAACACGAGGAGAGTTCAAGTTATATCTTAATGATGTTGGGAAATAATATATTTGTTGATCAAGTGACAATAACCCAAATGTGCCTTGTGGACATTTTACAAAACTCTAGCTCAATTGTAACGAGATTTGTAATTTATACAAAATGAGAAATAATATTAAATTAAATAGGATTCGATCAAATTATTTCAATATTGGCCCATATTTTGAAGTTTGGTTGGGCTTATTAAGGACATTGAATAGAAATTTGGAAGCTTGCCCCAGAGGGATTGAACAGGTTTATCAGATTAAACCATTTTAAATTGTGCTTAAAACAGTTCGTTAGCTAGTGTTAACGGACTGATAGATTCCTTATAAAACTATCAAAGCTTTGCTGGTTTACACAATCCAATAACTTTTCGCTTCAAAACCACCGACTACTCCTCCGTCTCTCTTTCCTCAATCCTCACCGCTCCTCATATTCAAATCACATGAGTCTTCGTTCCACTACTGTCACCGGCGTAAATTCGTCGTCTCCGCCTAAGGAGTTATCTTCGCCGGACGTCGATACCGTCGACTCTGACTTCGTAGTCATCCTTGCCCTGTGCGCCCTAATCTGCGTACTCGGCCTCGTTGCCGTCGCTCGCTGTGCCTGGATACGCCGGATCTCCCGCAGAACCAGGCGCCCCTCTACCCAACCTCCTACGGCGAACAAAGGCCTCAAGAAAAAGATCCTCAAATCTTTGCCCAAGCTCACCTACGCCTCCGGTGACGATGACGCTGGAAAATTTTCCGATTGCGCGATTTGCTTGGCGGAATTTGTTGCTGGAGACGAAATCCGAGTGTTGCCGCAGTGCGGACACGGATTCCATGTAGGATGCATTGACCCGTGGTTGGAATCTCATTCGTCGTGCCCTTCGTGCCGTCAAATCCTGGCGGTGGGTAGGTGTCAGAAGTGCGGTGATTTGGCACCAGAGGGCAGCTCGAGCTCGGTGGCCGGAGCTGAGGCTGAAGCCAGATCGAAGCAAAGAGCAGATCATATCAGTAGCTTGTTGCCTTAGCATTGATCTATCTTTGGATATATAATAATAGTATTAACAAGGGTTCCGTTCTAAACATGAAGCAATTAATGGTGTAAATAATAGGAGTTGAGTGGAGTATTGTGTTTGTGTACTACGCCATAAGTTTAAGAAAATTATGATTCCATTTTTGTTTTTTATAGTTATATCATTATCTGTCTGTTCGCTATTGATTTCTTTTCTTACTATATATGTATTATTATTTTCAGTCTTTTTGGAGAGTCCTATTATTAGCGTTCTATTTTTAGTTATTGTACATATAATATTAAAAAATAATAAAAATATGTCATGTATAAAATGTTAATAATTCTTTATTTGTTTTATTTTGTTTTCTTTAATTAATAATAATTATAAATTATCCAATTCAAATTTAATGATTGTATAAAAATACGACATCACAATGTTTATTTTTTACTTTTCAATAAAGCAATATAATAAGATAAGATTGTGATATGTTCATTTTTTGAGGTCATCCACCTAATTTTTTGTCATGTAGGAATGACAATAGTTGGTAAACAACCACATGGTAAACCATAAATTTATGTTGAAGATTATCATTAAATATGTAGTTAATGATAGGATTAGGAATGAAACTCCCATTCAAACAACTACCACCACCTTTTGTTGTCCCAACTTACTCTAGTGCTATTATATTTCTTATAATATTATTCGCTTTAGTTATTTTATGAGCCGTCCAATCCAATAATAATAAATAATATATTTTATGAGCCGCGTTCAATCTTGTATGCTATGCCCTGAAAAATGATTACTAATTATTGTCGCTATTAAAGTAATGGCTTCCTTTATATTACAAAAACACTCTGTTCCTTCCACCAACCCCAAATTTTATCTATTTAATTTAATAATCCATTAGTTTGTTTGTTTGTTTTATGTCTCCCAATTGTTAATACTTAATTCCTATTTTAATCAACTTGGTCCTCAGAAATCTCATTAGTTTTATTTTTTTCTCAACCGGATTCATAAGATATTTTAAAGGGAGTTTTGGACTTGTTGCAATTAACTCCCAAACCCGACCCATCGAAAAGTTTTATGGATCCATTTAAGAGAAACCGCACTATTCCCAGGGCCAGTAAGCTCAATGGGTTGAATGCCCTACTAGGGATCCTGGTGGCCCATGAGCCCAATGCTGACCAACACAATCCCGGCAGCCCGACGCATCGAGTTAGCCCCCCAGAGTTGAGTGAGCACTGACAAGTAGGACGACCGACTGTGCAATGAGAAACGGTTGAGAATTTGTTGTATAAGAACACAAAACAAACTGGTAACTTGCGGAACCCTAACCCTAGCCCTAATTTTTCCTCAAATTTCTCGAATTCTTGGCATTATTATGTATATCCCTTTTCTATTGCCAGGATGAAAGATAGCAAATGGCTTCAACTATGACTCTACAACTTCATGCGGTTTCTTTTCCGGTAATAGATTTCAAAATTGATTCTTCGTTTTTTGCGTCGGCGCACTTTAATTGATCTCTTTTATTCGCACATGGATTTGATTTAGAGTTTATATTGTGTTGGGAAGCATCGAATTGCGCCAAATGAAGTGGAACTTAAGACCGTATTGGGGTTTCATTGTCAATGCCTAAGTTGGAATCGACAACAGAAGACGTATCCGAGGTTTGTATTGAGGGCGTTTGGTGATTCAGCAAGTTCTGAAGAAGATAAGCGCATTCATGATGAAGCAATTGTCGTAAAGACTCGGACAGAAAACGTGGAGGATTCCCGAAACCCTGTTTCAAGATGGAAACACACTATTAGTTCTCTCCCTCCTGCTATTTTCTTGGTAATTTCTTCCTCTTTTCAATTTACTTATTGGAATGCTTCATTTTGTCTTGCTCAACCAAGGTGCCATTTTCTATCAAAAAAAGAAAGGAAGATGGAATATAAATATCCAAATTTCACACTTGTTTGACTTACTGATATGGCTTTATGAGTTTGGCGGCTCTCTCCTCATAAAGCTGAAACGGGTGGTTTGTTTGAAGGAAATGTTATCCAAGAAGCTGGGATTCACAGGCCAGATTAAAAGAAAACAACATTTTGGTATTTTTTTTAAGTTGGAGATATAGCAAGCAGTGTTGGCATGCCACATCAGTGTGTTTTGCAAATGTACTTTGAAATTCTGGTTTCTGTGGTATGTTTGTTGTGGGTCTTCACATTTGTCTACCCATGATCTTCTTTTTGAGGCAAAATATCTTTTTTCTTTTAAACTGGTGTAAGTTGGTGAGTATATTCAATTTTAATATGGGCTGACCAGCTTGGTCTAGTTCACGTTACTAGGTTAGAATGTAGGTGAAGAATTTTAAGGTTGATAACACTGGTGCTTATGCTTATGTTTTCCATTTGCCATTCCTTATATTTCTTTTGTGTCTTCAGATGAGAAGGTATTCTGGTAACAATTTCGCTGTGGGGATATGTGTTGCGGCAACCTTATTTGTCATTGCTGTGAGATTTTATGTGGCGAGGAAGTCTAGGTACAGTCGCCCTGGCTCTGTAACTGATCTTGTCAGGCGTGGCCAGCTAAGATCTGATAGAAGAGGCATGTATGATTCAAACCTGTGAGCTATGGGTGTTTGTTTCTTTATAGTTTTTAGACTGTAGTTTCGAAATGGAAAAGTATTCACAGAGACCATTTACATAGCACTATCAGGAAAATGTCATCTTGTCACCTGCTATGTGTTCGCTTTTCAACGATTTCTATGATTATGACATATTGTTTGATATGAAACTCTTCCTTGACAGCTCAAGGCCTCTGAAATATGAAGACCCATTCAATAACCCATTGGTGAAAATTGGTAAGAGCAATTCCACCATTGAGATGTGTGGAAAGGTATATCGTTTAGCACCAGTGACTCTTACAAAAGAGCAACAAGATATACATCAGAAAAGGAGGTCACGTGCGTATCAGTGGAAGAGACCCACAATGTTTCTTAGAGAAGGGGATTCAATACCGCCCGATGTGGACCCTGATACAGTCAGGTGGATCCCAGCAAATCATCCTTTTGCAACTACTGCAAGTGACATCGATGAAGATTTAGCACAAAACAACGTGTATCAGAAGCATGGTGTTCCATTCCGTATTCAAGCTGAGCATGAGGCACTTCAAAGAAAGCTTGAAGCCCTACAAAGTGTAAGCACTTTTAAAACTTACGGTTCACTTTACCAGCAAGGAAAATCAGACCTATCTGTTTGATATCCTTTAGTGATTCATTGCCTATAATGGATCAAGTAACCTCATAGGAAGCACTAACACTTCCCTTGGTTTGCATATTAGTGTCAGACACAGATCGATAGATGGACATGCTTTGGCACATGCTCAGACATGTTGCCAAATTATCTCGACTTCTTTTTTTTTCCAAAGATTTCGGACATGCTGGGAAACGCAGGGATACTTTGTAAGGCATTATGCAATTCTTCCCTTTAAATTGTGGTGAATGTCAGATGTCTAGAAGTTACTTAAGAATCGAAAAGATTAGAAGATGCTGTTTCCTTACGACCATAGGCTTCAACCAATGTAAAAACCACAAATTGATTGAAAAAGCGATGCAATACAAGTTTTTGGTGCTGTCCCCCTATTATTAGGACCATATTTTTGGCATTTTCAGGAAGTTTCAATCGGTCGCTGCTTCCCCTCTGGAGACATACTTGTCATGCTAGAAGTCATGCATGAAGCTTTGAATGGTTCCCCTTTGTTTAAAGTTTTTTCGTTGAATTTGGGTCCAATGATTTTATTGTGATTGCATAAATGTGAGATTGAGTGATGCTTGAAGCTTTTAATGGTAGAATGGATGTTGTACCTTACTATAATTAATGAACTTTGTGATCCCTATTTTGGTTAATATAAGGTTCCTTTTATTATGCAGTCATGAACTATGAATGTATTATCCCGTGTGTTTGCCATCTTCATGTCCTACTTTTTTGAAAAAGAATTGTGTCAGTCTATCTGTAAGCGCCCTATCCAAGTTTCCCAAATCCGTATCCATATTCATGCCCGTGCTTTTTATGGAAACAATGCATGCTTAATTTGTGGTCTTCTAGGACCACATGATAAAACCCAACTTGATTCCAATTGATGGAATTTTAAAACTAGTCCTACAGTTAATGGTCTTATATATGATATCTGCATCATCAATTATAATTCTGAAGCATCTGATTTCCTAGCGCAATCTTGAAATTTGCTACATTTCTGATGACTATTAGAAAATGAATGAATCAGATTATTCTTGTTTACTTGGTCTGTCATAAATATTTTCTAGTTGGAATTCATCTTGTTATGGAACTGCTCAAGTAAATATATGTTATTTTTGAGGCTTCCATTTTTAAATTAGTTTTACTATTTCTCGAGTTTATATTCCAGTGACGAATTTATAAGAAATATGAATACTATAAATACTGTTTGCTCATTTTTATAGTATTCATCTTGCTCATATTTTCTATGGTTCTGTTTGGCTAAAAGTATATCTTGGGGTTGATCTATATGAATTTTCATGTCTTTTAACACATGCTAGCAAATCCTTACTGATTGTGCGTTTGATATCATTTTACTTTGCGTGCTTGTAGGAGCAAAAATTAAATAATTTATTTGTTGATCCTGGAGTCGCCAAAGATTTTGAGAGACCTTCCAAATTCCATCTGAAGTCTGATGAGCAGAAAGAACAGAATCCTTCTAATAGTCAAGGGAGCTCTAAGCCTCCCGAAACAGATCGTGCTCACAATCCCTTTGAAAGCATTTGACCTCTGAGGGGGTGTGGAAGATCCAACCTTCATCTGATTCCCAGCAATATTCTCCTAACCTTCATAAGTTTTGTGCACTGTGGAGACCAAAAGTTAGAGTTTTAAGAAAGAAAAAGCCGAGTTGTTCATTTAGTGGAACCAGTTTTGAGTCCTCGTGTTGCCAAGTTCAGAGATCTAGTTTGAAAGCAGTGAAGACTGGAGAATGAGTAGAATCTAGTGTTTTATATGTTTCAGAAAAAAAGGTTTTATCTATCTTTACACACAATTGCATTGTATATTTGTTGAGAGCTTGGTGTTGGCAATATATTTGTAAAGGGACAATGATATCATCCAATCCAAACTCTAGTATAACTTCAGCACTGATTCACTTGTTCGTGACAATTGCTGGTTTTCCTTTTGTATCATATGCACTGAATAGAGGAAGTAATAGGAGTGGACTGTGAACAGCAGATCGAACTCTCTTTTACCTCTCTGAACAGTAATTTTAGTATTCATTTTTCTTATCCCTTGGCAGACGGTTAAGATAACTACAGCCAGCCATCAATGAATAAGCTTTAATTAAGCTAGGCAAATGAACATACATTTATTTGATCACCATGTGCGTCCCTGCTGTGATGTTTTCAACACACTGGAACTTGGATGATGGAACATGTTAAATCGAACCCTAAAATTGCAAGATCTATGCATGCAGCTTCGTCCAAGTTGTCTTACTAGGACTCTTTTAGGCATTTTGGTTGCTGACTTGATCATCCCCTGACATTGTACCTGTTCTGTCCCAATGATAAATACCAATTTACCGACACCAACTGTATTGTGCCATTGTGGTGGTGCTGGAAGTGATCGTGGTTGTGTTTTTTATTTCCTTCCCTCTGCTTCCTCTTCTTTTCTGCGAGTTTAGCAAATGGAGGGAGGGGAGGTTTCCTGAACCATTTTCCAAGATGAGTATTGCCGTGTTAACTTGATATCTTCCTTTATTCAAGTACATGGATTACACCCTAATTCAAACTTTGCCATACAATAACGCAAAACATTTTAATCCTCAATGTAATCACAGTGCACAAAACTCGCTGGAAGGAAGCTGAATTGTCGAGCGGTATCTTAGCAGCAAATGCAATGAAAGAACTGACATGCTGGTCAAAGTTCCTCATCATTCATTCTTGGTAATATCAGCCTGCCTTGCACCAACAGCAAAGAATTCTGTGATGACTTCTAGGGGCATACCCTTGGTTTCTGGAACCCTTAAGAAGATGAAGACCAAGGAGATGACACATACAGCAGCATAAATGCCAAAGACACCAGCGAGGCCAATTGAATTGAGCATCACAGGCAGCGTGTAGGTAACAATAACGTCACAAATCCAGAAAGCTAGGGCACATATGGCAATGCAGAGGCCACGAACCCGTGTAGGGAATATTTCTGCGCAGAGGATATTTGGGATTGGCCCATATCCCATAACAAAGCAGCAGAAGTAGACTATAACACAGATGGTTGAGATTACTGCATGAGCGATAGTTCCCAAGTCAAAAACATTGGCAACGACTAGGATGATGAGTGACAATATCAACACCGGTATAGTAGTGAGCAGCAGTGTCCTGCAATATGTGTGATAGCACATTTAAACCAATGGTGAAAGGAAAAAGAAGAAAGACACACTTTGATATAGATATTTATCATCTGCAGATTGTTTTCTAAACATGCATGGTTAAGAATTAATTAGTATTGCATGAAGCCAAATAAAAGTCTTCACAGTGGCTAACATCAAAAGACAAGTTTTTATTCCAGCAATTTTCTCATTAAGATGTGACAGAAGTAGCTCAAACACACACATCCCAGTCTTAGAGCTGCTGTACAATTGTACTAGATGAGTCCAATATGAAAAGTTGTCCAATAATATGAAACATGTAATTTTATCATACAGCAAATAAATCCAATGTTTCATCCAGCTCTCAAATGGTATAGAAGAGATAAATATTGCTCATTAGATTCATGAATGTGTATGTGCATATGCATATGCTTCTTCTTTTGAAGCAATTGGAATAGGACAGCTCAAAAAAGACAAAAAAAACACTTGCAATATAAACACAGTCAAGCGCAGGTTCCTGTAGAGTGCTATATGCACAACCTATCCAACACAGCCGAATGGTACCAGTGTTCTTGTCAGTTGATCTTTGAGAAAGTGTCAAGACAGAAACCCTGATTGTCATCAGTCAAAATTGCAGAATCGAAGAGGAAAAGAGGACAGAGAAACATGGAAAATAAGTTACCTTCTGCCTGAGACATCCACGAATCTCATGGCGACAGCTACACTAGGAAGCATCAAAAAATTTGTGAATGCACTGATAAGGAAAGAGGCAGACTCCGAACTAATGCCAAGGTTGGAAAGCAGAACTTCAACACCTGCCTGCTCAAGAATTTGAGGAGTGTAGTACATGACCCCATTTATGCCAGAAAACTGCACATACAACAAAAGAACATATGAGATGCAAGCAGCAGTGCAACTAACTATGAAGTTTAAGTGTCCTCAATCCACCCCAAAAAAAATAAACCCAAAAGGAAAAAATTAAGTTCAAACACCAAAATCATATTACAGGAAAATCACTTGCCAATTAGTTCTAAATGTCCAAAGAACATATACTTCTCTTCTCCTGAAAAAAAAGATATCAGGACATTGAATTACTGCCCAGCCACAATACATTAACTGCCCCACCACACCCATCTTATGTTAAACTCACTAGGCCAAAACCAAGGAAACATCAAGCAATAGGGATCAAGAGAATAATCCCTTAAAAATTAAGTGTATGACTTAAGGTAGGGATCAAGAGAATAATCCCTTAAAAATTAAGTGTATGACTTAAGGTATGTATCCCTGTTGGATAACTATTAAGTCTATAATCGTATGGGCCCTGTGAGGGAGTCCTATGTAAAATTCTGATGTCTTCGAACAAAAAGAGGAATCATTTTGTTTTAAATTAATGCAACAAGAAGTTGAGAAACTTACAAAGTCCAACTGAATCATCAGGCAGATAACATCTCATGCTGAGTATAAGAAAAGTTTCAGAGTGTGTGTCTGTGTTATCAGAATCTATTCAACCTTCCATAAATTAAAAATCCTCTCAAAGTTTCAGGACGACTGTATCAAGTTTACACCAAGACAAGAGAGGGCTCTTAGAAATAGGGCCAACAAGGTCACATACTTTTGTATTCTTTTCAATGAGGGGGAAGGGACAGTAGGTTGGGGGCAGAAATTATCAAAAGAAACTTTATGCTACCTGCTGAAGTATTTGAATTCCGATCCCAACAATCAATGCACGCTTGACTCCTGGTTCAAGAAGAGCAGCCCAAATTGGTCCTTTTGAAACAGTTTCAGATGGATGAACCATTGCAGGTCCAACGGGATGTTGATCCATAAGTTCCTTGGAATACAGAGCAGGCTGGCTTACCAGAGCAGCAGCCTGAATAAACTCACCATCGGCAGGACCATCACCATATGGAAGTGAAACAAGAGACCCACGCCTTGATCCAGGTACTCCCTCCTGGTGCAAATATATCCTTTTAAAGCCTCCTTCCTTCTTTCCATCTTCACATTCTCTCTCAGACCATTTCCATGCTAACTGCCAACCACCACCAATGCCCATACTACTGACTGCTTCGCCAGCATTTCCTTGCATGAGACTGCTATGCCGTCTCATGCTTAGAATGCTTCCATGGGAGGGAGGAGGGACCATGTCCTTTTCCATGCTTGTTGTTTGGCGTGAGATCAATGGGCTCTGCAAGTTGTCATCAGAGTCTGCCCCCCCAGCATCTGATGCATAACCCTCACCTTCCCTCTGCAAACTCTCTTCATCCCACTGTTCATTTTTACCTTGGGGCTCCGCTGTACTAAACATACTGCCAAAATTGGGAAATAGCATGCTTCGCATACTCCCTGCCTCAGGGAGCTTCTCATGGACACTGCCAAAGAGAGTCACAAGAGGATCCATAAGAGGCACACTCTGGTTTACCATGCTTCCTTGGCGGGACACAAGACCAAGACTACTATGTCCAGGCACAGGCTTGGCGACCCAGGAAAGGCCCTCCTCAGGTCCATACAATTTTATAGAGTCTTTTTCAGCAGTTGGTTCCTGATCATCCACAAATTCATCTGCTGGACCGATGATGTACTCTTCTAAAGATGTCTCCCCACCAACAGCCAGACCTTCAACCAGCAAAGCCATCTCACCTGTGGATGGAAAAGCATCAACATAATTAGCATAATTAAGAAAGGATAAGATTAAAGTTATACCACACCACCAAGTGTTCCTAGTTCCTAGTTCTAGTTGAAAATCATAGAAACTTAATAAGAGTAGGGCCCACCAAATTGGTGACATATTCAAACAAAAGACAATTCATCAAAGTTCAAGGATTTGGACTTTTCAATGAAAAAATGGTATTGTTCTGATAATAGACATCAGAATTGTTCTAGCATTTCAAATGATTCTTCAAAGATTCTTTGGATGATATGCAGGGCAAAAAAGATTGGACAACAATATCACAAGAATGAAGATATACACACTAAGTGAACAAGACATTAGACATTTGTCCTCATCAAAAAATAACATCTTGGGTTATTTGAGTTGTTTGGGCTTTGTTGGGTGGCCCCTTCAATCTATCTCATCTGTGTTCTTGACAGAGTACAAATGGGGTGGTAGTGGAAAGGGGGTTCCTCTTTGGCATTGTGCGTTCTTTGCAATTGTTTGGGTCATTTGATTGAAAAAAAATTCGAGAATTTTCAAGGACAAAAAGAAGTTGTGGAAGGTTTGTGGGCCCGGGTCTTTTTCCACTCCTTTTTTTGGGTTTCACTGAAGGATTTTGAGGATATCCCTCTTTTTTGTTTACATCAAGTTGGATGGCATCTTGTGGAAGATGATTTTGAAGTTTTGGTGGTTCCATTTTTTGTATTTTTGTTATCATTGTAATAGGGTTGGACTTCTTGTCCACCATTGCTCAGATAATGTTATCTTCAACTATTAATGAAACTTTGTTTCTTATAAAAAGAATAACATCTTGGACTATGACTAAAAGCTTCTACGGCAACCATGTGGAGTAAAGACGAGTAGAGATTATAACATAAGGCATCCAAGAACTTCAAAAAGCATCAAGGTATCCACTACGTTGATGGTCATTTATATGGAAGTAAAACGTTTGCGCTAGATAAAGAATTAGTTTAATGATATTAACTGCAATTTTTTGATTATATTAATGCTTCAAAAACAAAACTTTATGCTTGTGGAGTAAAGAGACATGGCCGGCAAAATCCCTTTCTTCCACAAAAGTTAGGCTCTTTTGAGAAGGTGGAGGATTTGGCTCTCCATGTGTTTCTTTCCTATGTGATAAAAAAAAAATTCATTTGTCCTACATCAGATTTGCATGTGCGCATGAGCCTCAAGTGGTAACAAAGACGAGGTGTAAACCTCAACGTCGCGAGTTCAAATCTTAATAACCCATTGAGGCTCTCATAAATATTCTAATTCTGGCGTGGATGACTTACCTCTACCCGAACTAGAGAAGAGATTAGTCCAGGTTCGTGTATGCTGGCCCGGATACCCCTGACCATTGAACTTAAAAAAACCACCTCTACAAGTTAAGGCCTTCTGATGGTGTGTGAAATACATTTATACTATTTCTTTTCTATGTGATGAAAAACATGGAGTAGAGAGTACTAACACCTACATGTCAAGTTTCTGCCAACTGCACAAGTTGATTGCAAAGAACAATAAGTTGATGTTCATCTATATGTTAACAAAATCAATTTTCCAAATAAAGTATTACTTTGATAACATTAATTCCCTAAGCATTCACTGATGTGTTCTTCATCTCAACACAAGATCTGCTCACAAAGTAAACATACTTATGCTTTTTACACTTTTTTGATGTTTTTAATTCTTTCTCAACTCAACAAAGCCTAAATCCCGACTATTTGGGGTCAGCTACATATATTTTCTCCATTGCACTCTATCAAGGGTTATATGTTCCATTAGAGTATAAGCTATGGTGTCCATTTTTACTACTTCATTCACTATTATTTTAAGTCTACTTCTACCACTCGTATTACTATCGATATATATCAAATCAGTCTTTCTCGCTGGTGCATTATTAGGTCTTCTATAAATAAGTTCAAACCACCTTAGTCGATTCTCTCTTAATTTATCTCATATTGGTGCTACTTCTATGGTTTTACAAATATACTCCTACTATTGTATCGAAAATTCAATTATTTCTGAAACTTCCAAGGTTTTTGCACTATCGTTATAGTGCATGACATATCTTGCATAGGTCTAATTCATGAGCATGTGCTTATATTCATTTATTGCACATATAATCAAACATCTGCATGCACGAAAAGAGTACTATTGAAGTATGTGATAAAATTACTAGATAATACTTGTTCTACCAAAACAAACTGTGTAGGCTAAATACAATTCTTATAGTTGCTCAAGCAGCAGGAGTCAAAACAAGTAACATCCTATGTAGTGCAGCTCTTTAAAAAGTGAAGGGAAATCCTCGTATAGATATTCATCCGGTAAAAGATAAATGCCATGAATGTAAACAAATATATGACACCAGATCAAGTGAAAGAATTGCATGAGTTTGTTTTGACGAAGAAAGCAATGATCCTTTTTTCGACAATTAGCCTGTGGACCTGATGGCACGAAGCTTTATTGTCTAAGTTAAAGGAAACTATGACATCTTATTTTTTCTAAAGCATATCTATAAGAATCTAGTTTCACCGCCAAAGCTCTCATGTCAAGTTCCAAATACATCTGTGGTACATGAGTATTGAACTTTCAATATCATGCTGCACACAGTATAAATGTATTGGCAAGGCATATGCAAATAGACAAGTGGGAGCTTAACCATTTGACTAGGGGGAGTTTAACCATAGGTTACCTGTAATGCAGGAATGATGAGATGTGCTCTTAAGGTAGATCTTATGGCGGTATACAACTCAGCTAGATGGAAATTTCCTTTTTGTAGTGCAGTTGACTCCGCTGGGTTTCCTAAGGAAAATAGTAAATTGGGACAAAACTCATATTGAGTGGAGTTGAGTTGTGGTTACTCCAATGTACGGAGTGAAATATGTGGAGACAAAAAAAACTAGTGACCATGTAGGAAATTGGCTTCTTTATGTGAAGAATCCCAGTTCAATATTTTGGGGGATACCATTATATCTACTAGGTGCCCTTGATAGAGCAGAAAAACAAGATTCATTTAGCCGACCCCCCCAAATAATTGGGATAAAGTTTTTTGTTGAGTTGAGTAGAGTAGAGGAGACCATAATATCTACTAGGTAGAGAGCAGAAGTGCAGAAGACTGCAGGTGCCTATTAAACTCAACTCAGCCTAATAAACTCACGAGGTTACTTTTGAGGTACATGCAGTCTGCAAACACATTTCTCCAGAGTTTTGATAAGCTGGAGGATGCTTATCTTCACAACTACTTCTCTTATCCCGTGATGTGGACAGAAAAAAGTGCATGCAGAACAAAGTAAGCTCTTATTCTCTTGTAACTCTCATTTCATTCAGGATGTCAATGCTTTTGGCTGAAAGCAAAATGAAGTATCCACACAGAATCCCCATCATGCAAACATTAAGAGAAGGAAATTTCTACGCTGATAGGATGGCGAATCTGGGAATTCAGCAACAGGAACAACCCGTTGTCCTGGACCGTCCCCCAAGTTCAATGGTGAGCCCACTGGAAAACGACCTTGCTAGCATCTCCTTTGTTGGAGGATATAGTTAATGTTTTTTAACTTTCCACTGTACCAAAAAAAGAGCAAAATGAAGTATGCTACCAGACACCCTTTTCTCGAGGTAGTATAGGCAAGGATCAAAATTTCGTTTCGAAGTACCGTTTCGGTCAACTCAAAAATAGAAACGTTTCGGAAACATTTCGGAAACGCAATGGAAACGCAGAAAAATATGAAAACGCATAAAAACACAAATGCAATCCATTAATTTATAAAGATATGCTAAATAATTTATTAATTCAACATATTTATTAGGTTAACATCAATTTATACAAGAATAAATTTAAATTTGAGGGAAAAAAAGGCTTGACTTGAGGCGAAAGTCACTTAAATTAGTTTCAAACACTTAATTTTTATGGAATAAACACATTTTTACATAATATTAAAGTCTTATAATACACATGAAATGCTAATGAGTACATACTTACATGGTTACATCCATTCCCCTGTGGAGTGTCGAGCAGGCTCATACATCGGTGTAGGCTCTGGGTAGCTACTTAGAGAAACTCCATATGTGACATAAATATGATGACAATAGTTACTCCAAATCATATTATTACGGTAATATAATCCAATTAATAATACTATTTTATTATAATACTAATAATGAAGGGTATCAAATTAAATTAATGATACTTATGTATACTTAAAAATTAAATGTAATTGCAGTGGGTATTAAATGTAATTACTGTAGGTATTAAATATAATTACATTAGGGTATTAAATGTAATTGTTAATACTTATAACAAAAAAAAAAGCAAAAAACTTGCACAACAGTGAGGTATTAAATATAATTATAGTATGTATTAAATATAATTATAATGGGTATTAAATATAATTATAGTAGGGTATTAAGTGTAATTATTTATTCTTATAACAAAAAAATTATAAAAGACAGAAGAGCAGTGGGAATTAAATGTAATTATAGTGGGATATTAAATATAATTATAGTGAGTATTAAATGTAATTACAGTGGGTATTAAATGTAATTATAATAGGGTATTAAATGTAATTATTCATAATGAACCGAATATATCACTGTTTTGTCGAAACGGTTCGAAACAATGCCGTTTCGACCGAAACGGTCCGAAACAGTACCGTTTCGACCGAAACACTGGAATTTTGTGATTCAACTACTGTTTCGTTTCGGAGTGTTGAAATTCCGAAACGTTTCGGACGTTTCGGACGTGTCGACACGACATTTTGATCCTTGAGTATAGGTAATAATATGCCTGTTTTATGCTTTCACAAAACTGGGCCTTACAGAATGAGTCGTATTCTAATTCTAAGATGCACACTCATTTTATAGCCTATAGCAAACCATTTAGCATCCAAGTCAAGGTTACCAAGTAAATCCATGAATATATAAAGAGATTAAACTGATAGCTCAAGACAAAAGAATAATTATTCGCAAATATGAAGCACTAATGAATGAACCTGAAACATCTTCCCTGCCACGTAGTTTCTGCAGAACTCGTTTTGCCTCAAGCATTCTTCCTTTACTCACAAGCCATCGAGGAGATTCGGGTAAATACAACACTGTCAATGCAAAATAAATTAGAGAGGGAACAGAAAGAACTCCGAGCATCAATCGCCAGCTTGGTGAGGCCATCAAGGACATTCCGAAAACCATACAGTATGCCAAAAACATTCCACCGGAACCAGCAAATTGTGGAAGAGTATTTAGCATTCCCCTTATTTCTGAAGGGGCAGTTTCAGATACGTACAAAGGGACCAGAGTAACTGCCAAACCAATACCAAATCCATCTAGTAGCCTTGCTACAAGCAGGACATAGACATTAGGCGACCACAACATTATCAAACCACTTAAAAAATAGAACATAGATGAGAGGATAAGCATTGGACGCCGACCAATCCAATCTGATATGGGCCCTGAGCAAGTTGTGATAAGTGTGGCTCCAATGAGTGACATTGCCACGACGAGACCTTCTATAGTAGTCTCTAAAGTAAGCTCCTTCTTTATGTAGACAACAGCTCCTGCAATTGTAAAAATATAACTAGGAAAAATCAAGGTTTCTTTTTGCCTCCAGCAGTTGCTAATTAACGACACAGAATGTCGAGCAAGGAATGGGGTTTTCCTTTTGCACCTTTCTTAAGAAGAGAAGAAGCTAAAACATAGACAAAGAAGCAAAGAAAAGATAGTCTTCTGTCACCGAACCAATGAACATGATATGCCTACCAGAAGGATTCAAATCAGTTAAGTCAGTGTTGTTCTCCTCCACAAAAGTGGCATTATTATTAAGGGAAGAGGAACTTCCCATCTATAATGCTAAAAATAAAATGGAAATTTCTTCAGGGAGCATTACTGGGTTTAGATTCAAAAAGCAATATTGAGCATCCGATGAAGAAAGGTACCTGCAATGGTTGCATTATCCCAACCTTGCAAAAAATTGCCAATTGTGGCAGCAATAGCCACTAGCACAGCCCCGTTCATCTTTCTGATTAATGAACTCAACTCCCAATCTTTCAAAATAATCTGAAACAGAGAAACACAGATCAATGGATTGAATAACTGACCATTCCCATCAACAATCCCGATCTAATAAACTCTCCGTCAGGGGATTTAAATCACTGCAGTCTGCAGAAATGGCAGTGGGTTTGCATGCCCCAATTCTAGTATCTAAACAAACCCATGGTCACTGTATTAATAAATCACAATTCTGCTTGTCTGATGCCATTATATACTCATATACAAACTAGTATTTATAATAACAAAATCCAGGAACGAATAAACAAGAAAAATTCATCAACATCAATAAGTCTAACCTAGTGACAAAAAGAATTCAGCGATCCAATGACAGAAAACCTTGTTACCTTCTAGGAACCAAAAGGTCAGCTTTGAGAGACACTTGAAATGAGAGCAAAGATCTTGGACTATCAAAAGTAAAGCAAAGAGGCTCGTGGGCGTGTGTGTGTGTGTGTGTGTGTGAGCCCGATAAGAGTACAGCTAAATGGCACAAAAAGCTTTCCTCTTTAGGGACATCAACGTAAATATCTACTGACCAAAAGAAAGAAAAAAACACAAATATCAGGGAACAAGCTAGCTGGGTTTCTTGAATGGAAATCTTCGGTGGATACTGACAAATTAAAGCTTCAAATAGAAGTTGCAGAGAGTGAGAGAAAATGGTTCAAAACGGAAAGGACGCACACCAACAACCCTTCGGCATGTGTCAACATACTCATTAATTTTTTGACTGGAAAGAACACACATCAAACATGAAGGAATGAATACCAAGAAGAGAAGAACTCAAATAGAATTAAAGTCTATAGACAAACTTCAAGTTTGATTTCTGAAGATTACTAGGTAATTCAAAGGGGAGAAAAAAGAAATTTTGAAATTCAATAAATTTGAACTGGTTTGGAGAAATTAAATTAAGTTTTAAGGTTACAATCGGAGAAAGTAGAGAACAGACAAATCAACCAACCCACCTTGACCCTCCAACCAAGTCCAATTGGATCCAGAAACAAAGTGTTATACGTATTGTAGATTGTATGAAGGAGGTACTAGGGTCTCTAAAGAGTTGTAATCAATGTACCTTTCTCTGTTATTACTATTTGGCTCCGTCCGCTGGGAATGGACAAAAGCTCGTCTTCTGATACGAGTGAGGGATCGAAAGAGCGACAGATGGGAGTGTCTGAGTGAGCGAGTGAAGGAGACTGGTTGTCCACGATTTTGGCCCTGTGTTCGTGCTAAAAGACTGAATAGACATAATAAGTTCCCATAATTATGCAAATCATGACTTATATTCTATTCTCTACGTATCTCTTTTGCTTTAACTATATATATAATGATGTTTCGGTATACTTAAGAGAGGGGTGGGTCAGGGTCAGGGTCAGGGTCATGTGTCTGACAAAAAAAAAAAAAGGTATTGTTTCACCCCCCTAATAGGAGGAGATTATTAATCGTTTCCAGGTAAAGAGTTACAACAAAAAAAATGTTTGATAAATACTTTAATTTATATCAAATTTAATAATAGTTCTACATTAATTTTCTTAAAAAAATTAATCAAATTCATTGTCCCAGTCCAAAATCCCATCGATCTCTTCCATCCCACCGGAGGCATCCACAAGTTTGTTTCTTCCAATCAATCACTGACCTTATAAAAAGAAGTGATAATATTCTTAACATTTTTCCCATGCTTATTCTTCTTTTGGTTGCACGCACCGTCTGCTATAGCTTTAGGCTTGTATTTCTTTTCTTGTACCAGCTCATTCTTCTCTTTATCATGCCATTGGCTGTTTCCTTTTTCTCTGTTCACCGAACTCCGCATATGACAATTTATCAGAGACACCATGGACAATCCTCAAATGAATGAATTTCAAGATTATTATTTTTTTGACTATAATTCATACACTAAACTTCGAAAAAGAAAGTACAAATATAAATATAACATGTTCAAAGATTTATTTCATTTGACACATATATAGACATGACACACATCATAAAGCTACAAAACACAAATCATGTAGAGAGAGTAAAGATGGGTTTTTTTTTTCCCCAAAAAATTGGCCAAGTCTTCCGCGTGTTTTTCCAATTTTTTATGTATTCAAAAAAACATTTTTTTTAAGAAAATTGGTCATACTCTAACAAATTTGCTGGAAAAAAAATATACTTACCAAACACATTTTTATTTTTGAATTTTATTAAAAGTGAAAATAAAAATGAAAAACTCAAAACTGGAAAGTAACAAGTGTGGATTGTAAATCTGTTTTCGCAATCAACAATGCTATTTGGATAAAAAACATTTGTTGACTCTCAATATTACTATTATTGACTTAATTGTGAAGAGAATTACAAAATATAAGGGTGATAACCGTGTTGTATTAGATCAGATTTGTATTTAGTATTAATTTAACTTATTTAATTAATCGTATCGTGTCAATCTATTTATTTTTGTGTCATGTTCGTATCTAATACTAGTCAACCCTAACATAGCATGTTTAATTAATCCAATTATGTCGTGTCAATTTATTTATTTTTATACCATGTTCTTGCGGACTCATATAACTTGTATTTAATGCTCAGTGTTATTTCTTATTTTCTCTTGTCTCAATATTTTTTTATCTAAATAGAATTTCTATTTCACAATTACGTTAATTTGGAAAATACTAATATGACTACTAAACAATTAAAAAATGTGGTAAAGAAGGTAAAAAAGTTTCCTGAAAGGGTTGTGATTGGGAAGGCCAGAGGCGACTGTTTTCGATTTCTCTACGCGAAAGTTGGAGATGGCGTTTATGAAGGGAGAGCCGTTGGTAGCGAAGCTGGCATTGCTGGCCAAGTACGGGGTGCTACCGGGAGCCATGATAGCTGCTTTGATCTACTCTCCTCCCGATTACGCCTCTACCAAGAAGCATCATGATTCCTCTTCTCCATCCAAGTAGATACGCCCCGCTCCTCTTTTCTTCCCCACTCTTCCAACTGGTACGTAAACGTGTTCTTCTTATTGTCTTTATGGTTAGGGATTCTATCTACTCTACTCATAGATGTTTTATTAATTTGAAATTGACGTCCGACTTACCATGCTTGATCTAGGGTTTACGATTCTGCTACTCAATTTTCTGATTAGGGATTTTTTTTTTGTATTTTTATCTGCTTGTTCTAGGCTCGAAAGGTAGATTATTGGAAACGTCAAAATCTCGGACTGTGACAACAGTGTTAATTGATTAAAATTCTCATTTTCTTCACAGAAAAATTGAAGTCCCGATTGATGTGCACGAATTATTCTTATGATATTTATTACAGTTATGCTAGTCGTTACTAGGGTTTTGATATAGATTTTTTTTCGATAAGAAATTGTGATATGGATTTAAAATCTAAAGATTTACCACATATTTGAAATCACTAACTTTTGGAGTCCATTGTTTGGGTAAAAGGATTTAGTTAATGGATTCTTGATTGAAGGAGTACAATTGTTTTCTAATCTATAGAACTTCTTGTAAAATCAATTGGGGCCATTGTCTCATCTAGTGTGGATTGGGGATTGAATCAGGCCACCTCCATTCACTACCAAAATAACAAGGCCAATTTTACACCATCCCTGGATGGCTACAAAGGTTGAGACCGAAACCACATTTCCATTTGTCCCCTGTCTAATATGCATGCTAAGTATCAACCGATATCAATTCGACTTAGCCGAGTTATTTCTGATTTAGTACCTTCAAATTTGATACCCCTCCACGATTTGTGTAAACTAAGAGACTCGTGTAACTCGACTGAGTTGTTCGAGACATCTCCGATTCAACCTTCAGTTGTTTGAGTCATTGTCATTGAATCGACCAATTTCATTGCTATTGAACTTTTGCTTCTATGTAGCATTCCATATGTATCACCCATTATATTCCGCAATGCTATGACCTTTGTATCTTAATACCTCCGAGTCAATGATTGGTATTGCGGCCTTGAGCCATGTTGCGGGGAGGGGGGGGGGTTCGAGAGACACTCAAAAGGATTTTAGGAGGGAGAAGACAATGGTGGTCAAACTAGACAAGAAAACAAACCCAAATATATAAATGCCCTATATTTGCATCAAATGAAGTTTTCTTGGGAAAAGACTAACGTCACCCTATTGTAGGGAACATTGACATTTCCATGTATATATATATATTTCCAAGCACATTTATGATGTATTATGTATATCTAGAGAGAGAGAGAAAGAGATGTACAAATATAAAGTAGATTTTTTATTTCTCAAAAGTAAGTATTTTTTTTGGTGGGGAGAGAGTTGCATACGATTATGAGATAGTAAAACGGAGCAGTACTCCATCAATTGCTTCTGAACTATACTAAACTAGTCGATCCTCACCTTTCGTTTGTTTTAAAAAGGCTTTTGGCCTTGTTGCTTTCATAGTAAAACTTGGATGATGATTCGTACCCTCTGTAGCTTACAAGTTTACGTCCATCCATAGTCAAATACAGTTCCTTTCGATTTCTCCCTGGTAGCTGCTAGCCGAGTCCGGCCAATTGTGTATACACTAGCCAAGCTGACTTGATGAGGAATCCGTTCTAGCAAACAAACACAACCCTTACACACATGTGGGAGCACTCCTTCGACCCTTCCTGCATATCCCTATAAGACTGAGTAGGCAGGTCAAGGTCCTATGAGGTACCCACTTCTTGGAGTACCCTCTGTAGGCCTACAATCAAGTTCATGAATTTTAGACCTCAAATCCTTGGTGTTAACATTTATGGATTTTAAATCTCTATTTCGTGCAACTATTCATCGCTTAAGCCATAAATGAAAATAGGTCCTAAAACTTACTGCAAAAAATGATAGATTAGAGCCAGACCAAAACATGTGTTGCAAATTATAGTAATTATTTCTTTCTTTTTCTTTTTTCTTTTTAAACAACAATTGCTATTTGCTTAATTAATTAATTTTGATTTTAGTGGAACCCATTAGAAAATGTTCATACCAGTACTAATATGATATTTCTCTATGATTTGAATCCTTTTCCGAAGTATGGCATTTTCCTTTTTTTTTTTTTGGTTGAAGACGTGTGAACTTGTGCAAGAGAAATGACAGTGAAGTCTGTGATTTCTTTTATGGAGTGTACATTGCCACTATAGCATATTCTAATCCAACTGGGTAAAAATAATAGCTTCAACATGAAAACATCTTTTGTTTTTAAAATAGGGAGAATTTCATTTTGCACCCTGAAAGATTTAAAAAATATTGTAATGTGACCCTTCTATCAGTTTTTATTGCTTATTCCTTCAAAAACCATCACATTGACGTTGACATACTGAGTAACGAAAACTAATAGAACGGCTACATTGCAAACACTTTTAATGCATTGAAGGTGCAATGTGAGAAATCTAATATTTGAGGGTGTAAAATAAAAATTCTTAAATCTTTTATTGTGCAAAGTGTAATTCGCCTTTTAAAATATGGGCATTGCATAAATTTTGTGGCCTATGGCAATTGAAAACATTTTCCATCTCAAATTTGTTGCACTAAATGACATCAGTGGAATCAAATTAAGAGAGAATGAACTTGTGTATTTCTGACTGGTATAAAGATCCATTGTTGCACCAGCGATAAACAATGATGATCAACCAATTGATCGAAATACTAGAGGTAGAGATAGATTAAAATTAACTTCAAATTAAATTGTATAAAATGACATGGCAAATTGTGTTTAGTAGATCATATGACTATTGATTGAGCACAATGACAAAACATGATTTATGTAGCCAATTTCAAGTAGTTGGGGCAATATTTTGTTGTGTTACGTTGAGTCCTATTGGTCCAGATCTTTGTATTTACTACTTGTGGTTAAGAAAAGATTGTAATGTTTCTAGATGCCTTTCTTGAGCATTAGAATGGATATTTCAGTCATCGATTGTGCTAGGGGTGTGTTACTTGAGCATGTTTATAACAAAATTCCCGTGCATTATGCTTTCTATGTTTTCTCTTTCCCTGTAGTCTTACTTATGGATAAGCCTAGGTCTCTTTGGTAATTGTTTGAAGTTGGAACCACAGTTTCTGATGGCCCAATTGGGCGAAGTTCTAATTCAGCTTGTTGACGACAATTATAAGCATTAAAAAGTATAAGGTACACGCATGCAACTTTATACAAAGGCAGCAGCAGCACATCTGTTCTTACAATTGGCATGCCTTCTCCTACAAGAACATAGGATATATTATATAACTAACTGGTACTATTACTTTTGACCCAGGAACTTTATTGACCACTATGCATCTTTGCAGCAGCCTAGAGTTCCTTTGGATGGAGCTGGTATGTAGTAATCTTCATAGTCACTTCGTTGCTGTATTTTGGTTGTAGGCTGGTGGGAACTTGAATATGTTGTCCCAATGAACTTTTTAAGCACTCTTTCTTGACTTGCTCTACCAACAATTGAGGAGCTTTTAATAAATGCCGATTACTTCTGTGGTACCATTGTGGAATGTATAATCTTTGTGCATGGACTGCTTTTTAATTGATCCTTTTCTCCTTTTTCGTTGCGCTCTGAGTATTATGTATCATGTTGAAATTTGTCCAAAGGTTTGTTCTAATCTGCAGCTGCGGATTAGGCCTCAATATGAATTCGTAGCTTAATGTTTAGCTCTATGTAGTGCCCTGCAGCTGGCCGACACAAAACATTTAGAGAATGCAACTTATTTCTACATAAGATCTCATCCTTTTGTGGACCAAAGTGATACAAACAAACCAGTCCAAAGAAAAAATAAACTCGAATACTGTAACTGTTGCATCATTAATTTTGTTAGGCGTCTCACTTAATATATAAGGGAGGCTTCCTTCACTATATATTTGAGTGTGTTATGTACAACATGACCGAAAATTGTGTTTTTTGGCCAACTGCAATCACTACCTTTTAGCATGAGAGGATAAAGAAAGGCCATCAAAGAGCTCTTAGCATCCCAAGTTTTCAACAAATGGTTGGGGTTGGGAATCTAACAACAAAGTTACGACTTATCTTTTGAAGTCCCGGAAAAATCACTTTGTATTACAAGTCTACAGACATGATGAGTTGCATCGTTACTGCGTAGGATATGTCACGAGCCTTGTGTTCAAATGTTTCCTTTTGATGGTCTTAACACCTTATGCTAAGAGCAAGGTACAAATCATTTTGAAAAATATTAGTTTGAGATTTCCCCTAATGTTGAATTGTGACATTTTTTAGGGATATGTGGTTCTTCATTTCACTGGTAATATTATCAGGGGATAAGGTATTTGAGATGGAGTTTAATAGAAGACACCAAACAAGAGGAAAAGTCTCGCTTTTATTCAATCTATGCAACATGTGGAGGGAAGGACTGGTTGTAATTTCTCTGCCTCTTGATTGTTGCATATAAATTATCTATGTTGTGTGATATGAAAACTAATATATCAATCAATCAATCAATCAATCAAAGAGGGTTGATATTACACTAACCTAATAAAACCTTCTTCTCATCTTGTGGTGTGGGGTATAATAAAGCCAGTTGAAATTGATCAATGCTGCAAGGACAACAAACACTCGAGTCATGATGCGCATTCATGTTCTAAGATAATATAATCTATCTTACGTCCTTGTACGTATGTTCCATCTATCTTTGCTTTTGTTTTTTGTTTTTTATATTGTCGTCGTTGTCGGCGTCAGCCTTATATTTTGTCAAATATTTTTTTCTCTGCTACTTCTTAATTTTTTATTTTTTATTTTTTACTTTTCTCTTTCAAAGATAAAAGGTTTAACATTTGACCTCTCGTAATATTATTTTATTTATCACATAACAGTCTATTTTGTTCTGCAAAAAAACAAATATTATTTCACGTCATATACAGAACATAAGACATCATTTTGTCTTCATGGAAGACGAAACCAGAAGAACCCCAGGAACAGTAGCATATGACTATGGGATGTCGTACCTGTTTTTTTTTTTGTCGTTATCTGTGATGAAAGTGGTTGTGGACGTGCCATTATTAATTAACGAATATTTGGTTGGCAACACCCCATGCCATACTTTGATTGATTCATACAGTATACTCTCTTTTATACACCAATCGATAGTGCTGTTTCACTACACACAACACAGGCCTACTAGACTAGGGGTAGCTAATCGGGTCCTGCAAAACCTAGCCATGTACAGTTAACTGCACATGCATGCTTGCAGGAGGGACCCAAGTCAGAAAAATTACACGTGACGTACATTGTCAATACAAAATTATAAATGTCCAACGAATGCTTAACCCCTATCTATTTCTTAGATTTTTTTTTTTGTTTTTGTGAGTAAACCAACTTATATGTACCATAAACTTTTTTTGTGATTTTGTGACAATAGTACCATGTGGTGTGTAGTGTCCACACTGAAAATTTTCTGCCCAATTCCCATCATCAATCTTACAAACATATCCCCAGCCAACACCACCACCACAATGCCATTCTGTCCTTTCTCCACCACCACGTCGGTCCTCCCCCAAAGTGTTTAAAGCATCAATTCACGAAGCAATAATGAAGCAATACAATTACAAATCAAGGAGTGTAACTCTACAATCACATAACAATAATGAAGCAATACGAAAAAATAATAAGCAATACAAATGATAGACAGCATAATCTCTCTTAAAGGGATCAAAATGGAAACTCATAAATCTGAAGCTGCAGCACATATTTATCCATATATAACATAAATGAGTTACGTGCACGGACTGCTTATGATGGGTGGCAGCCCACAACATTTACAGCAACATTGCATACATAATAAATTTCTATAGAGGAAGGTATGAATATTGTATGTACTGTATAGCCCATGCTTATAGCGCTAGGACCAGAAGATGTTAATTAAAGATGGAAAGGCCAAGAATCTGCCGTGGCTTTGATGGAAGGATCTACAAACACCTGAAAGCCGGCATTGTTGAAAGCAACTGGAGTACTGGACATGTCATTAAGAGCATCTGCTCCAGCACCAGATGAGAACCCCATTACACTGCAATCCCACCCAAGAAATAAAGGATTCTTATAGGTGGTGCTTTGCTGATTCTTATATGCCCCGCGTAACTTAGCATCAGATTCAGATAGTTGAAAATGGAAAAAGTTGGCTTCTGTCTTGCACTGTTTTGGAATAGTGGCTGCTGCTGGTTCCTGATGTGAGAGGAGAGACTTGAAGAGGATGGATGGTGATGGTGATGGTGATGGTGATGGGGATGGGCCGTGGTAGTTGGTGTCTGTGTCTTTGTTTGATGTGGTGATGCTGTTGGTGTTGGGAGTGGGTAAAAAGGAGGGTTGGAAGAACCCATTTATTGAAAACAGGTTTGGTTGGGAGACAAGTGGGTGGGTTAGAGATATCAGCTGGTTACTTTCTTGACGGTGATCAATGAGAAAAGAGTTTTGGAGGGAATGCATTGGGTGGTTTTGGGATGGGGATTCCAATAGTGTTGTTGGGGTTTCAAGCAGAGGAGGTAGGGAACAACTGGTGTTGGGAGATGAGGAAACTTCCAACAGGTAGCTATTATGTCCTTGGAGCACTGGGTTTTTCTTCTCACCCATTTTGTGCACTATTCTGCATATTACCCATTCCTCCTGCAAATTAAAAGAGACATTTCGCAATCATAATTTACACGAACTAAAACATATATATATATCAACTAGAGTAATGTTATTGAAATCCAAAAAATTGAACTAATTTATTAATTTAATGACGTGACAATAACATAATCACATAGTATTATTGTGACGATAATAACATTACACTATGAACTAACACTGCTACGTTTTCTTTAACTTCTGTATTTTAACATATAGTTGTTTCTTTCTCCGGTCTGAAACAATTTCAAAGTGCAGGCACTTTCAATATAAAACATGCTCTATCTAATCTATCTATCAGAAAAAGAAACGAAAAAGAAAGTAGAGCAACTATGATAAGTTTCAACCATATATTGTGTTGGTTACTGATCTTCTACAAACAGTACGTAGCTTTTTCGATTCTCTTTTCACAATGATGTCAAAAATAGTCAAGTGACAGTGGGCAACTCCTAATCGGCAGGTTTTCTATTGCCAATCTCAAGGTAAGTCCCATCATCCAAACCCACGAAGAAAAGAAGAAGTCAAACCCTAAAACGAATTGTTCAGGGGAAAAAAAACCCTAAAACGAATTGTTCAGGGAAAAAAAACCCTAAAACGACAAAAACAAAATATTTGGGTGTAGGGTATCATAAATTCGATTATGAGGGCGCACGTTAGAAGTGAAGCATGCGTGTGGGTGTTACCTTGCACGTGTGACTACTGTAGGAGAAGTCGCCGTCAAGGCGGTACTCGTGCATGACCCATTTGGTCTTCTCACCACGAGGGGCTCTGCCCTTGTAGAAAACCAGCGTCTTCTTCATCCCAAGCAGTGAACCACTCGAAGCACTGTACACCTCTCTGTCTTTCCCTGTCGCTTTCCAATACCCAGCCCCTGTGGCTCTGTTTGTTCTCAACCCAGTTGGGTACTTTCTGTCTCTCAAGTTGAAGAAATACCATTCTCTCTCCCCCATTTTCGCCACTTCTGTACAAATACAATCACACATACGTTGCAATGATCATAAGATCAATCCAGTTCACCAATTTTTTTTTTGATAATGAGAGTAATTAATTTGAGAGAAAAGGCGAAACTGCAACTAAAACCGACTCTCTCTCTCTATCTCCAGTTTTTCCGGCTGAGCATTGCGCTTGTCTCAACACGAGTCAATGTGAAAATGTTTGATATTTTATGGTTTGTACAAGGAGAGAGATTTTTTGGCCAAGACTGTACGTATGACTGGCACTAAAATGTAGGACATGTATCATGAAAATATGGGGTGGCTGTAAGAATAAAACGCAATAACCAAAGAGAGATATGTCTGAATGATTTAGGTCGAAAGCTGCTGAGTCGTTTATTAAATTCTGGTTCTAAATGTACTAAAATCCTTATATTCATTGAGTTGTTTGTACATGCACACAAACGGGAGTAAGTACTGGACAAACAACTTGAGCCACAAGATTGCAGAATCAATGCTGTGTGACGAATCAACTATAGTGCTCCGGTCTGTGACTTCTGTCTTAGCTCAATAAACAAAGAAATTGTTGGAATAGTTTGTGGCATTATTTGAGACAGACTGAAAAATATGTTTATTGATGTTTTCCATGACTTCAAAATATGTCTGAAGTCAGATTAAATGTTACACCTATTAATGAATTTGAGAGTTCAGATTTGTGCAGTATACGGGGACATGCAAAACAAGTAAAGCTCAAGAGAAATCAACTATTCTTGTACATAGGTTAACCTTCCCATGCTATATTATGTCATTGACTTGATCAGAAACAACGTACCCGGAAGCTCCCAAGGCTCACATCTGTTGAGGTCTACCTCGGCAATCTCCACACCGCAGAAACGGCCGTTAAACACTTTTGAAGCCAGATAAAAGGTAATAAGCTCTTCATCAGTTGGGTGGAATCTGAACCCTGGTGGCAAACCCTGCTCGTTCACGTCTCCTCCAGTCAGTTCACACAAAATTTCTTCCATTCCCAACATCTCCACACACGCACGCAGGATTTGTGCCTTTGTGGGGGAGGGAGAGAAAAGAGAGAGAGAGAGAGAATACGCTTGAGGTTAGGGAGGGATGCTTATGAACGAATGAAGGGTTTATTGTGGGTTATATACTTGTATGGCATAACATATCATGAAGCCAAATGTAGTGAGAAGCACTCAAACCGAAAGAGAAGGAAAACTATGAGAGAGAGAGGGCGATTCTGGTTCATAAAGCCTATGACAGTAGCTACAGATGCCCACCTGAAAGGGGTACCAAAAATAGGTAAAAAAAATTCAGAAAACAAGAGTTGTGTGGAAGGTGAACGGGGTTAGTAAATGCGAAGTTTGTTGCAGAGATTTATGCGTGCGTGTGTGAGCATGTTTAGATATTGAGTCAGATTTTCAGATGATCATAGACATAACACAACACGAGGGTAGCCCTCAGAAACAGTGAGATCATCCATGATCCCTCCACCTAACTTCTTTTAGTTTTTACAAACCCCAAAAAGGTATATTGCAGCCCTAGCTAATACCCACAAATACAAATATACGACCCCACTTTTCGATGCACCCTCCTCAAATTTTGAGAGATTTTGTCTAATTTCATATAATTTCTTAAAAACTTTTGGCTGTAAAGTTAATGACTTTAAAACTGTAATGGCATTTCAAAATCCAACGCTGCAGCCTTCTGATTTTCTAAGGTGCTAAGTTCTCAAGCTTTAGAAATGTGTCACAAACGGGAACAAATATTCGGTGAGTTATACACAAGACATGGGGCAGTTTTCAGTGGTGTACACATTCAATGAAAAGTTATGAATAATAAAAAATGAAAACTATGGTAAAAAAAAAATGAAAAGTTGTGATAATAATAACTCTGAACTATATAAGTTGAGTTTTTCAAAAAAGTATTCCGACAAAATAATAAGTGATAATCGTTTGTTGAAAATGTATAATATTTTATTGGTGAATGTACATCACTTTATACCGTCACGATATAGATACCAAAAAAATTGTACTTCATTTAGCAGTGGTGGTGCATAATCTATTTTGCTTTTGCCATTAAATTCTCAAGTTGGGATTGCCAGAATAGAAAAATGGGATGCTCTGAAAATGAAAAGAGCGTTAAAATTTTCTCACTTTTCTGTCGTGACTAGCCAAGCTTTGCCACATTGGTCTGAGAGGGAGGGGCTGGTTGTGAGCCAGTAATTAACTAGTAAATTTGTATGCACGTCGATTGGATGTGTATTTTCAATGTTTTTATACAATATTCTTTCTTCTGGACGCAGATGAGATGGCCTTGCCAAGATAAAGCAGCTGAGTTTTGTTTTTTCAATTTCCTATTCCTCACACTGTATGTTAGAGAAAACAAACAGCCAAAACCCTTCATTACGTCGCACAAGAATTCGAGGAGGATAGGGTGTTTAGAATCTGGGTATTAAATTGAAGGTCACCTAGGCATAACTAAGTTAGTGTCTAAAACCAGGCAAAAGATAGCAACTGTGAAGAGGATTCAATGCAGTGCACACACACACGCACGAGGACAATAATAAAGATAATTTTGTATTGTTGTAGGGTTACATAAGCCTAATGCATAGCACAGAATAGCATAGCATGGGTCGGTGGTGGGTACGTACGTCGGTAGGTAGCAATTTCCCCATTAATTAACACCTCTGTGAACATCCCTATGGATTACTGTACATGGTCCTTTAGGTCTCAGCTAGCTAGCTAGGGAATTGATTTCTCTCGAGATTTGAACTTGTTTTATTCCATTATTGTAACCCCATTGCATTGCATGAGTTTACTTGCGGCTTTGGACGTACTGCTCTGCAACCTCAGACAATCAATTAAATTTTCCTCACTCGAAAAACAAAACGAAAAGTACTGAAAATGAAAAACCAAAGAAAAAAAGAGAGTTCGGTATGGATCTCTGCTCTCTCTTGTGGTGACAACATCAATCAGGACTTCCAATTTCACAACTAGAATTTGATATACTAATTAATGTTGTCTAAACAGCAAAATAAATGATCATTATTTGACACATTATCTAGCACAACAATATTTATTAAAAAATAATATTAGGCTGACTAAAATTATGGTACAAAAGATGTCAAAGTTCATTGATCCCCACAAATGAAAAAACCTAATAATTCCTAATTAGTTGTTTGAATTTTGTCCTGTTAATTATATATTAAGATATCGATTTAGTCGGTATTCGATTAGTGGGTTGACCTTCGCTTCACTCTCTTTAACTTCTGTCTTTGTAGTATTTCTAATTAAAAATACCAATATCACCTTGCTGGTAATACCTAATTATAGGAATGTTGGTAAATCTCAGTTAATTAAACAAAAACGCCAAATGATGGAACTGAATTTTTTTTGGGGGGTTTCTAAGACTGAAAATTTGATATGTTATTTTATATAACTGGAGTATTACCCATAGTTTCTATGCATGCCAAATTTCTTACGCTACAAATCTTTTTTTTTTCTACATCTAGCTAGAATTTTGATCGCAACAGTCTATTTTACTGATTAATGGTTGAAACAAGTAACAGGCCATGTGATGCGGCCGTGTGGGAGGTGAAATTTCTTCTTGACCAAAAAAAAAATGAAACAAATATTTTAGTTGATGGTGTGTTCCGTAAAACTGAGTAGATGTGAAGTGTTTAAAGATTTAGAGATTAATGGGATGTCCACTCAGAGTTTTTAGGTTCTTGTGGAGTTAAGTTAGATGACAAAGAATAAAGATGAATAGATAGAGAATTTATAGTGTTTTTAGCTCAGAAGTTTGGTTAATCTATTTTAATGGAATCTCTTATCATGGGGAGTTTTTTATTAATTAAGAGGAAAGAGATTACACAATGTAAAAGCATAGATGATTGCTTGATTCTAAATGCGAAGGATTTGGCCCTATTTATAGTGTATAATTGTCTTGCGTGATCTCTGTAATTCTCCTGTAACCAATGTCATCCTAGTATAATTAACGTGATTTTCCTTGAGCCTGTTGTGACCTATGTATCATAATATTTGGCTGTTACGGGTTGTATTTTCTAGGTGTGACATAACTTTTTAGAAGGTACTAGTTGCGTTGTCATCACATGCACGAGGGTCTCATTACTAAAAATTATTGACCTGCACATCTCGGGTTAGTGATCATGAACAGCAGGATTTGAGTTTAGAAATTCGAGTTGGGTGGTCCGTGTTTAACCTTGACTAATTTTTGGTTTCATCTTCACTAATAATAAAAAAGGAGAATGAAGGTTTTGTATTATTTTCTTAAAGATGGTTATTGTACGAGTGATTTCTTATAATGATTTTGAGATAACAACTATTAGCTAAATTTGAATGAGATTATTGAAATAAGGAACGAAGTTAGAAAAGGACCAGGAGTGTACCATGCTTATTCCCTCATATGCTTAAATAAGTTGACGCCCAAGATTAAAAGGATAAGTGTATTGCACATAGCTAGTTTAACATGTATATTTGAGTTCTATCTCAATAGATTATTTATACCTTCAAATAAGACCATGTGACAATCATTTGAGCATATCAACAAGTTTCTTGTCATCGAGTTGTGCAATAAGTGTGCCCTGTCATGCCTCATTACTTGGCGAGGAGGAGCAATCATAACTTCAATACTCGAGAGGTCGAGCATTCATTAGTTTTCACTCCTATCCATCAATTCATCTTGAATATCAAGTGTTTCATGTCGAATATTTATAGTTCTACACTGAGCATTCAATTTAATTCTCCCAAGTGCTATTCACGTCAGCGAGGACAATGAGCTCTTTTTTTTTTCCGGGGGTTCGATATAGGAACCAAATTAATATGATAGGGTAATGATTATTCGTCACGTTACAATTACTCATTCGGATAGTCCGTGAATATGTCTGTTCCCTCATCGAGCATATTTACTCGTCCTTGGGGGTGCTCGTCGTTTGGTCCTGACCCATGGCAGTCGAGGGACGCACCTGCTGGCTGCACCATGCTACAAGTCGACTCATTATTAACGAGCCACTCACATGTTATCAGTAAATTATAATATAAAAATTTATACAAATTCAATTAAGTTCACAGATAAAAGTTCCACTTCCCATGACTCTCCACTCTCCACTCTCCATCTCTCTCTCACGTCTAACGTATAGACGCGTAACCCACACATCAATTTAGTGGGACATTGAAATGCTGAAACCAAAACCCAGCCCCCGGCCCCCAAACCATGACCCAACCACCTACGTCCACTCATTCCACCCCAAACCAACATCCCTCCATCCTGTAGAACCATCCAACCAGCCCTAAGCCACCACTGACCACCCTCATCCACTACGCCGTTTCCCAGCTCTCTGTCAACCCATTTAGCTACCCTTTTCTCCGCGATCCACACAGTGCACACCCGCAGAACCCCCATCCCTTAATTATTTGATTAAGCGATGCATCCAATATCGAAAAGGAAGGTAAACTGCATGGGGCATACTGAAGCACAAAAAAAAAAAAAAAAAAAAAAGGAAGAAAGAAACAAAACGGGAAAAAAAAGAAGGAATGCCCGTACGTAGTCCTGCTACAATTATATGACTCATTCTGCAATCCAGCATTGATGATGGTAGTAGACCTAACCTAACATTTGCCCTCACTACTCCTCCGCAATATATTATATCCAATATTGGTGCCCATTGATGTAGACAAGACGCTCTCTTGTAATATTGGGGGGTCTCTGGAAGGATGTAGTTAATATTCATTTGTGTCTCTTTGATCGTAAGAAAAAAAGGGAAATAATACAAATGAAACTAACTAATATAATTAAAGATTCAAATATCCCTGAACAATTAATCCACCAGAGAAAAGAAGAGAGATTAATGCATGAAAGATGTGTTGTAAGTAGAAGTGAATAGAATGGGTCCTACCGCCGACGTACGTACCACGAGGGGAAGCATAGAATAAGACATGGTTCAGTAGGGTGCAGTTATCAATTATTAGAAGAAGAATGGTTATGGTTATGGTTATGGTTATGGTTATGGTTTTGGGTAAAGAGAGTTAAAAGACGTTAAAGTTAAACGGTACGCACGTGCGAAGGCGGCTGCCTGTCATCAGACTTAGAGTAGCGACTTGTACAGTGGTGCAGGTGAAAAGGGCGGGACCACTTCCCACTTGGCTTTATGTTATTGTCATTTTACAAGGAAGGAAGAAAAGAAAGGAACCAATTATCAATTATTTTAACATAAATGATGTGCCAAGCACCTCACTCTCACTTCATGCTACACGATTTAATAGTGTTTATATTGAGATGATGAGTAAGAATGATGCTAAAAGATAATAAATTTGACATTGTTTTTATTTGAATTTAACACCGAGTAAAGAATGCAATCACACCTCTCTCTCTCTTCCTCAACTCTAAACCGTCAATTAAACAAGTAAACAATTGCACCAGATTAATCGAGTTGGAGGATGAATGTCTGTATCATCATAGAACCTTACTTTAATCAAGAATCTCATTATTGACCGAATCAAGGTGATCTAATTCATTGGCCAATGCAAAATCTCACCTCTCTCCTCAATAAATACCTAACAACGGCCAATCAACTGTCCCCTGCCCCTGAGCCTGAGGCCTTCCTTTTCTTCCGCCACATAACGTTTTCTGATTCCTTCAGCTTCTAATGCCTTCTCACAAATCCAAGGATCCCTTGTTCCTTTAGTGGCCATTTAAATAGTTCAGGCATGTTATAACATACAATATTTGTCAATCCCACCCACATCAAACATGTTGATATGAGTCTAGCTAGGTTTTATAGGATTAGGTTATATAGACGAATTGATCGCTCTGTCAAAACATGAACAAAATAACTTGGCTGATTAACAGTCATTTGTGTAACTGGGTTTATGGCTGGATTTTGAATCCCTTGATTGTGTTAAGTTGACCCATGCCTGGTGGTTTTTAGAGACAATAAATTCGGACCCGATGGGTTTCTTCTAATAATGCTAACTACCTGGTTTTGACTCATTATTGAGCGTGCACGGCTTGGAGGTGAAATCCTGACTTTCCCTAAGAACGAGGCTGTCAATTACGCTGGGTAAGTCTCGTGTCAAAATACACTTTATCCATATACGATTCGTGTCTAACAAATTATATATAAACGAGTCGTATCGTTTATGTCTTTTAATTGATTTTATTCATACCCGTTTCGTTTATTAATTGTGTCGAATCGTATCGTGTACATTTATTTACAAAATGGGTGATTTTTAAAAAAAAAAAATCAAAATTTTTAATTTGATAAAGAGTTGTTTTATATTTTGACATCTGCAATTTAAAACTTAAATAACTACCTTCACAGAGTCATCTCTACGGAATTGAATTGCCTTAATCGAAGCCCAGCCCAGCATTCAACCCTTGCTTGTATTTGCTAAAATTGCACTGGGTTAATTGGTTCAGACCTACTTCCATTTGGTCTAATGGGCCTTAGTCCTCCTATCTAATAGTTAGGTCCAACCCAAAGCTTTAAGTGTTACCATTCAAAAAGAAGCGTCCTTGACCAAAAATAAACGTAGGCATTGCAGTTTCCGATGTTTCAGATTAAAAAGCAATTCATGCCCCGCCCTGCGCTGCTGATTCCAAGCATCTGGATCGGATCTTCATGGGCTCCATCATCTTCTCTCTCTTCTTTTTTGTTGCCTCTCAGAGTTGAATTTTTGAGCTGGTGGTTTTGTTGCTCTATAGATTAACTGTAACACTGGTTGGGAATTTTTATCCCCGAATCAGACGTCAACTCTCTAGTTGTATTTGCATGAAATTGAGGCACCATTATGAAGTATTTTCCCTTAAAAGTTAAAAAAACGAAACGTACCTATTTTCAATTATTAGGTTAGAATTAAATGTAAACACAATTCCAACTGAAATAACATTGACAATTAAATTGGGATACATATTTGGTGGAAAACATGATGGTGACATTCATAAATAAATATCTATTTAGTCATGTAATGGTCGATGATGCAACTGGTGATAATGTGTCATGTCTGCCACAAATACTTGCCTCACAAGGTATGGCACAGTTGTCTAAGGCTAATGGGTACTATTGGTAGGAGGTTGTGTCCTCCCTGTTTCCACCATGTTACAAGCATCTGCAGATACCAAAAAACTTGTTCTACGGTTCATTTCTTGCTGAATTTGCCAAGCTTTTTGTTCTCTTTCCTTTTTCCTTCATCGCAATTTGCATGATAAGGAGACAACACTGCAGGGAATGGAATGAGTGAGCCCCAAGACTAAAAAGGAAAAAGCACATAAGAAGATCAGATCCTCCCCCCAAAAAAAAAAAAAGCAACCTAAGTTGGACCCGTCAAAGCCAATCATTTGGTATGCTTGAGATTCACATACACTGCTTTGGGCAGACGGGAATGGAGCCTTGGAGCTTGAGCTAACAAATCATAAGCTCTTCACTTCTCTCGATAGAACCGTTTTCTTGTTTTCTGGTTTACTTGTTTCTTCTTGTTTTCCCTTTGAAAAAAGAAAAGCTAGCAATCCAAATTAAAGCAGATGAGTTCACCTAGTTTTACCAACAGACCCAACACCCAGCATCCACTTTACTGTTTATTCTTCCATCTTTTCCTATCTCCCCTCCCAAGGGCTATATAAGTTATCCTTCATTCCCAATCTTTTTATCCATATTATTCCTTCCCTCATTCCTATTGTTCCAATTCATTCTCTCGTTGTTGCTCTGTTTCTCTCGTCTGCTAATATCATCAAGTTCATCATTCCTTCATGGAGGTACTACTACTACTATTATAATTTTTCTTTCTCCTATGACTTAGAGTGTTATCTCTCGCTGGGTGCAATAGTGGAGTCATTCCTATTGTCTCTTCATGTTCATCGAATTTTGGAAATTGTGGTGTCAGTATCAAGTATATCTTTGTCCATAACAGTTGAAATGTAACTAGCTGGGAATGGATTCACTTCATTAATGCCAACTATCCCAACCACCCCTGTTCTGATAAAATGGGCAATAAAGCCACAGTTTTCTTGTCATACGAGATGATTAGTTTCGTAGGGAAAACAAGTCTTTATGGGATTTGAGTTCATTAAATGGTGCTGGTTGATGTCTTACATTCGAACATATATACACCATCTGCAGTTAAAATCCCAAATCTTGCGTACTAGCTCGTTCTTTTGCATCTTTCCTTACCCTGAAATATTGTTCGCTGCAGACTATTGAATTGAAGGTAGAGATGGTAGGCATACATGAGAAGAGACTGCGGAAGTGCCTGTCCAAATTGAAAGGTATTTTGTGCTCTCTATCTTTGTCTCTCTTTGTGTGTGTACAGTTATATAAGACAACAGAAGAACGCTATGTTAGGCTATCATTTACAGCTAACAAAAGATTTTGCATTACATGGGAGAGGCGTAGCTAAAGGTTCTTGTCTGATGTGCTTTTTAACACTAGATGCTGGGAGTGATTTGACTAATATGACAATGGATTAGAATACTAACATTGGCCTACTTGATCACTTCCAAGTTTTTGAATTTGTAGTTGATTTTGTGTGGTTTTTTGACCAATTTGATTTCTTGGTTATTTATATACATGACAGGGATAGAGAAAGTAGAAGTGGATGCAAATAGTCAGAAGGTGGTTGTAACAGGGTATGCACATCGGAACAAGATACTTAAAGCAGTGAGAAGAGGCGGTTTGAAAGCTGACTTCTGGTCTGCCCAAAATGAGCTACTCAGTGCATATGCCAGTGCCAGTTACGGAAGCTTGAGATTCAACAACTTCAGCTTGTTCTAGAGAGAAACAAAGACAAATATAATATTATTTAATGTGTGTGTTTTCATATTTTATTTTTTAATTTTCTTTATCCTTTTTCTTTTACAAAGAAACTCTCACAGGTCAATTCATAGTTAAAAGAGTGAAATACAAGTCTTAAATTTTGCAGCTTTGCCAAGATTTTTGTTGACCGAGTTTTGAATCTGCAGTTGTTTGTAATGTAATCATGGTTAGGACTAAAGAAAAGGGGGGGATTCTATCCAGCCACCTACTTTTGCCCTTTTGTAGCCTCCAGACACGAACCATAAATAAATGCCATATAATCGTATTTGTTTTGGGTTTTGCTTCCATAAGAAAGACTAAACTTGTAATTCAATGGCAATTTGCTGCTCTAATTTCTGGAAAAGTCCATACATTTTGCCGGGTAATTGGTATATATATTTAGAGTTTATGATATCATACAGGTTGGTTAACAGATGTGTGATGGAAATAATTATATGTTCTAAAAAACGTTATAGGAAGCTCCATGATGGTGCTCAAATTTTAATCGGTCATCTTTTGTTTGTATTTCTTGCGGCCACCGTTTCAGATGTAGTGTCTCTCTTTTTTAGCCACTTACCATACTCAGATGTTGGAATGGTACTCAATATATTGTTGTCATTTTCAGTTTGGCTGCAACAAAACTAAGAAAGAAAAAATCTTTTGTCAAAGTCACTCTTTTTAGCAAAATGTTAGGAAGCGAAAATACAAATATAAAAAAAAGGTGTAAAATGTAAATCCTGATGCAAATTTGTTATGTATCGGGCTAGTGGAAATAAAAGCATAATTTTCAGGGGTGAAAAAAAAATTTATGCGGGTTAGATTAGTATGGAAAAAAAAAAAAAATACACTGAAATGCAAAAGCAACCGCCCTCCAATCCATCACCATGAACCAAAAATAGTCGCATTACTACGTACTATCATGATCCCGCCCAGGCCCATTGAAAAAGGCCTAAATCAATCCGGCCCACGTAGCGTTTGCCAAGAAAAAACTGTTGGAATTAATTACAGTTCACGGTCAACGGAAGGAACTTCGTATCGGTCTTGTCTGAAAGTGAAAGATGGGGTGTGGGGGGAGAGAGAGAGAGAGATCAGAGTGAAATGAAATTACCTCCTTTTCTTGGACAATCGATCCTCACTCAGCAGTGTTTGTGTTCAAATGTGCAAGTAAGTAGGTAAACACACAGGTCTACATATATAAATATACATTCGAAAGCATAAGAGCGAGAGGATGCATTTAAGCGAGAACGAGGGGATCGAAGGCAACATCTTCGTGATAACGGGAGGGTTGGGGTTTGTTGGCTCTGCTCTCTGCCTCGAGCTTGCGAGAAGAGGTGCGCGCCAGGTCAGAGCATTCGACCTTCGAACTACGTCTCCTTGGTCCCAGGATCTCCACAAATATGGCGTCCAATTCATCCAAGGTGATTCCAATTCTTCCTTCACTGTTCCATCAATTCGGGTTTTATTCCCATTTCGTCTGATTGTTGGCATGTGAAGAATGCAAGCAAAGAGAACAATTGCTCAAACCCCCAATATTTTCGACGGAATTTCTTTCATTTGCCTCAAGCCTTCAAAGCAATTATATGAGGGCCTTTTAATGTTTCATTAGTATGTTCTATTCGTCGATCAAACTCTGATTTTTTAACCTAGGATGATTACTTGATTGTTTGATTAGTGATATTGACCCCAAGGGTTTCGATCGTATTACATTTAATAATATGTTACAACCATTTTTGACTCTTTTTTTCAGTATTTTTGTGTTAACTATATAGTGTGTTGAAACCTACATACATAGAATGCTGATTTCTGTGGTACATTGATCAATCATTGATAAGATGATATATTAATGTTATTGCTATTGAAATTACCCAAGGGACCTATGTGCTTTGCAACTGTATTTGACAGAGATTTATTTATGTTCGGATCTATGTTATTATTGCTCTGCCATCAACATTTCTGCAACAAACGCATGATTGTGTTTGTTGATGCAAACACACTTGTTCTTTTTACCCCTTGCTCCAACATGCTCATTTTTGTGCAATAATACTTGTAAAAATTATGGTTGGCCGTCCATTTTCCTTTTCACTGAATGAACTGAGAATGAAGCTCTATTGGTTTAGTTGATCCTGCTCTAGGTTCCAAAAAAAAAAACCCAATTTTTCTAGATTTCTGTTAACGTATCGTAAAGTTCTAAAACGTTCTTCAAAAATTCTAATTCTGATCTTTGCTTACAAGGTAATGCAGCCATACATTCAGTTAACTAATAGTTGTTATAGATAGTTATTTTGGCTGGGACTCACTTGGCCAATTATTTACACTGATAGGGGATGTCATCCGCAGACAAGATGTTGACAGAGCATTACGTGGGGCAGACTGTGTTTTCCACCTTGCTTCATATGGCATGTCTGGGAAAGAAATGCTTCAATATGGTCGTGTCGATGATGTGAATATAAATGGGACCTGCCATGTCTTGGAAGCTTGTGTTGAGCTCACAATCAAGAGACTTGTATATGTGAGTACATACAATGTTGTATTTGGAGGAAAGGAGATCGTGAATGGAAATGAAACCTTACCGTATTTTCCTATGGATGACCATGTTGATCCATATGGCCGAAGCAAATCTATTGCTGAGCAGCTAGTTCTGAAGAGCAATGGTCGTCCTTTCAAGTAAGCAATTCTAATCTTAGAGTTTTATTGGTATAACTGTAAATTATTATTCAGTTGTAGGTGTAGTTGAAGTTCTGGTGATTCAAGTATTGTAACATTCCACATCCACACGGATTTGTACTAAGTGTATTATGCTATATATATTTACTATCTAGTATCAGTTTATAAAATTTGAAACATTTTGTGCAAACAGTTCTAGATGACATGCAGAAAACAATTTTACTATTCATCAAAGAGCTGTTAAAACTCTCAATATGATGTATCTTTACAAATAGTGAAAGAAACAGGCAAAAGTTATAATGCAAAGTGTCGTAGTTATTCAGCCTGGGGTTCAGCTAGGATGGTCATGGCATTAGTCGACCTTTGGTTAGGTGTTCACAGTGGAGTGTTGATAATTGTATGTTGGTGATCATCTCTGATAACTCTATTTTTCTTTTTAAGAGGATCCCTTCTTCTGTTTTCGCATCTTCAAATTTTCTTCCATTCTCTCCATTCCAAACTGCAAAGAGTTTTCCTTTATATTTTTAAATTTATATTGAGAGAATTGATATGGATTTTCCATCTGTATCCTTGGAAGCTCATCTGGGTGTAATAATGTGGTTTATGCAATTATATAGTTTTCCATGTTATATAGGAAGAAGAATGGGAAATGTCTCTACACCTGTGCAATTCGGCCTGCTGCTATATATGGACCAGGTGAGGAGAGGCACCTGCCTAGGATTATATGCCTTGCCAAGCTAGGTCTGCTTCCATTCAAAATTGGGGATGCAAGTGTGAAATCGGACTGGGTTTATGTGGATAACCTTATATTGGCTCTATTATTGGCTAGTATGGGACTTTTGGATGACATTCCTGGGAAAGAAGGGCGGCCAGTGGCTGCTGGACAACCATACTTCATATCGGATGGTATATTGGAAATTCACTTTCTATTGTTTTTAGACCTAGTACAATTTAAGTCCTTGAATTTTTTTATCTTTTTGGGGGGGAGGGGGGGTCTCCCCAATAATTATCAGTTTAACATCTAATTGTGCCTTGAGCAAGTCTGTCATTTGACTGCATAATTGTCTTCCTTTTACAGGGTCTCCGATCAACAATTTTGAATTTATCCGCCCGCTTCTCAGAAGCCTGGGATATGACCTGCCAAAGGCGTCACTTGCTGTCCCTCATGCCCTTCTTCTGGGAAATTTTTTCTGGGCTTTCTATACTATCATGTATCCTTGGTTGAGCCAACGATGGCTTCCTCAGCCACTGATACTTCCTGCTGAAGTATACAAGGTTAGTTATGAAACTACCTACTTATATATAAGTATTATTACAGACTTAAAATGGGCTTGTCATTGCTTACCAAGACACATCCGGTAATCAAGAAGTAGATTTGATGGTGAACATTTGACACGTTGTTTGGAGCTATTCAGAACAAAGACATGAAAACTTCTGAATCTCATAAATACGAAGCCATATATATCGACGTCAGTCACTTTATTTATTTATTTTTTATTATTATTATTATTTTTTTTTTGGGGCGGGGGGGGGTGCTGTGGAGGAGGGTGGTTTTGGTGTTTCCATGCCCGAGACAGGGAGATATAGCACAAAATCACACTTCCTGCTTGAACTTGAAAGACAATTATTTATTCTGGATCTGCTGCCTTGATTTGACAGTTTGATAAATCGTTGATGCTTTGATTTACACCTTACTATATTACCGTGACTAAGAATTTGTTTTGCAACCGCGTGACATGAGACCATGTGTTCAGTCAGCAAAGCTAGCTATTGTGGGGCTGTGCTTTTAGAATCCATGACATAGGCTTTTATTCCATAAAATAGAGTATAGGAATTGTAGTTGTCCTTGAATTGTACTTTCGGATGATGTATCGCAAAAGCTAGATGTTGCATACAGTGGTGTATTGCATAACTTCTCGATATCTTGACAGGTTGGTGTTACCCATTACTTCTCTTTTGTAAAAGCAAATCAGGAGCTTGGCTACATCCCAATGGTGAGCCCTCGAGAGGGCATGGCTGCAACTATCTCATACTGGCAGGAGAGGAAAAGGAGAACTTTGGATGGGCCTACGATATATGCCTGGATATTTTGTGTGATGGGAATGGCTTCGCTATTCTCTGCTGCATACTTGCCTGATTTTGGACCAGTGTCACCATTGAGAGCCATTGGGCTTTTTTTCTTCCGCTCCATCTGGGGTTTAAGGGTGGTTTTCCTTTTATCTACTGCAGCACATCTTGGTGAGGCTATATATGCATGGCAACTTGCAAGGAGAGTGGATCCGGTAAATGCAAGGGGCTGGTTCTGGCAGACTTTTGCACTCGGGATGTTTTCATTGCGCTTTCTGTTGAAGAGGGGCAGGAAATAAGCTTTATTCAATGTATTTTGCAGTATGGCAACTCTAATAGCACTTTCGAGAAGAACAAAAGTGGGATGAATGATAGACGAGATGGATGTTTAATTTTAGAAATGTGGCTATTTGCAAGCAGCCAGACTGACATGTCACACAGAGCACAAATGCCTTCCAGGCTAGCCCAAAGACATTTACAGGAGCTTAATTGCCAGTTCCCCATGCCTTCAGGCAGGCTCAAGACGGCCAAGCTTGTTCTGCTCTAATTAACAGCCGGAAGATTTCATGGAATCACAGCTGAAAACCACAATGATATAATTAATTCTTTTTTCTCGGATAAAATAAAACCAAATCAAAAAACATCATTGGGAGTTACAAGATCATCATACCACATTCCACACTCAGATTACTTTATTCGTCACAACCGCAGTAGTTGAAAAAAGCTGACGGGACAAAGAATACTACAACAGCCAAACACATACGAAATCACGACCTCGTTCTCTAAATTCCTAACACCACAAAGCTAAACTGAAAAAAAACAGAGAGCATCAAGCATCTATCATGACTTGGTAGGTGCTCTCCGGGAATACTAATGTCAAACTAGAAAGTCACCTATGGTTCTTATTCTGCACAAATAAAGTTACAGGCATAAAATACAATTACTCTGCTCAAAGGCTCCAAAGAATCCGCAAATTAGTTCATGCCTCCGCAAATTAGCGAGTAACCGAGACTGAAAAAAGATCACTTCCAAGGCATGCCTGACATGCCTTGGAGATTAGTGCCATTGTAGACACCTGCGCTCTGGTTAAGTGGACTGCCGGGCCCTCCAGATGACTCACTAAGAGTCCCATGTGATGGCGGGCTGCTAGCACCCGTTGCACCACTGCCTGGGTTGAGGATTGGGGGAGCAGATAAAGGTTCCATTTGGTTTACATGCTTGGATTCCTTGCGGCCATCTGCAATGAAACTGCCAACAATGACCTGCAACAGGAAAAAAAATCCTCTAGTGCTGGGGTCGTGGACAGACACATAAACAAGATGAATTGCTGACAACGGCAAACAGCACCAAAGAAACAAATATAAAAAGCAAAAATAAATCTGTTGGCCTGTCCTGCACATATATAGGCCCAAAACTGATTGCCCCTCACTGGTTTGCTAACAGGTAGGGGTTGCTATGGTTATGTCAAGGTAAAATCATCCAAAACTGGTTGCCCCTTGGGGCGTGAGTCGAGCTTTGTGTAACCATCAAGGGTCAGGCCAATTGCAGAATTAGATACAACAGAAAACAGGGGAAACTAAAAAAAGACAACATGCAGATAAGCTGGAAATATCCAGCCATAACATATATGACGAGCTCCATTGAATCCAATCTTCACTTCTCATTCAATCCAGATCAAAGATCATGCCAATGACATTTTTTTAACTTGCTCTTGACCTAGGTTATTCATATAGTCGCTGATAATATTGCGGGCCAGTGAGTAAAGGTCGTCTCTAATTTTTGTTGTCAAGGCTTCTATGAAATATCACATTCTTAAATTGAGTAGGATTACAAAAGCCATTCAACTAAGTGAACAGCTAGACCCAAATTTATTATGACTCGCTGTGATGACCTTTGAAAATTCAATCACAAGAATATTAAAAACCAAGAAGACCATCACTCTTTACAACTCATTGTTTTGTCAGCAAAATGCATTTTACCCCCTCACACTTTCAGCAATTCACAACACTTCATCTCTTTGGGGTTTCAAAACCAACATTTCACCCCATCTTATGATTATGCACTAACATGCCAAAGTTAGAATTTCCACCAATTAATTGTCAAAGAACATAAGTCAAAAAATTTAATAAAATAGCACATCAAAATGACTTTTATACCCTTATGTGCATTACTTTTCTTCTCTTCTTTTGCTCTAAAATAAACCAGTCTATTTTTTTCACCTAAAATAAACCACAAAGAGGTGAATTTTTTATCCTTGTTTTATTCATCCACACAAACCCAAAAAATGAATGTCTGGTGAAGTAAAGGTATGCTCTGAGATACCATTTCTATCAAGAAAAAAAAGAGGTACATCACATCTGTTACTCAGTTTCAAACAGGAAAAGTGTAAATGGTTGCTGTCTGATAAAAAATCTTCCTTAGGGAACAAAGGAGAAGATGATTTCCTAAGCTCATGTAATATGCTAGGAAGGAAGCTTCACAAAACAGCAGACAAACCTGAACGGGGGATGCAGCAGTCAGAAGACCTGCCACACAACCACCTAGAACACGCCCATCTGGTCCAGCTAACGAGACACTCAACCCACCTGTTCTGCTCCGCTGGCCACCAACCTCTGATAGCAGAAACGAACCAGAAAGAGACAATATATCAAACCGCCCCTGCATAAGAAAGATGATTTATCAAAAATAGACCATTTAATTAGTAAGAACATTTTTCATTCCAAAAGATTCCTATCGAATGGTGGCAATTCTCCATCTGAAAAGATCACAATAATAATACTCCAACAGCAAATAGATTATGAGAGGTCATGGTAGCTCGGGATAAATATAGGGTTGAAGAGTACAAAATATTTGAGCACTTAGAAGTATTGCAAAAAATGAGTTAAACATCAGCAGAGGTACGTACAGACCAAAGAAGAAAATAAATAGGGTCTTCCCACTTGTTCTTGAATTAGTTTATTTCCACCAAATTCCAACTCCTCAAATATGGATTGTTTTGAACAGAAAAAGAGCAACAGATCAATAGCTTGACCACTGGGTACTGGTACATCAAAAATTTGTACATCTAATTATCTTTTCTATCTGTACATGCACTAGTAGTTAGAACTTGTAAAGCTGTCATTGAGAATCCACTTATTTTAATTACAAGACCTTCAAGTTTAATGTAACAGCAGTAGAGAAATGATTAAGAATGAAACAAATCTCATTAAGTTTCCACTCGAAAAAACTAACCTCATAAGTTGCAGTTCCACCAGATGTATTAGCTTGACGTAGAGTCACATTGGAGATGGCACCATTTGCAGACAAGATGCACACAGCCCTTGGGCCATGCTGAGAAAAGGACATTATTTGTGATGACACATCCTGCAAACCCATTTAATCAGAAAATTAGTAAGATGTTCCTCTGTCATAGAATTTATAATATAAATGATCAAATTTATAATAAAAACATAGAATCTGTAAGCAATAAAAGCAAGAACCACAAATGCTAGATTAGAGTATGTTAGGATAAGTGGAAGAGTAGCTTTACTTCTTGTTACGTCAAGAAATCTAACCAGAAATATGATGGAAAAAAGGATAAATCTCATCAATATTGAGTGCAAGCATTTTGCATGTTCACATTTTTCTTAGAAAGTAAAGAAAATATAATACAATATACCCATGGGAAGGACAAAGCCAGAAATCACAGAATTGATGAAGAGTTGAAAAGACTTATAATAGAGGGTCAAAGGGGGTCACAAAAGATATTCATACCTCAGAGGGGGACCAGCTTAATCATACTAAATAGGTTAAAACATCTCTTCATATTTTCATAATCAGGAACTTCATGAAATTCCCCCAGAGATCCTTGGCAAATATATTATTCATATTTCCAAATCAAGTTTAAGCATGACGATGGATAATCAGAGATTTTAACAAGCAAAGTATTAAAAAATAAATATTAGTGTCAAGTACTTCAATAATGTTTAGAAGCTAAAGTCATATACAATTAAGATTAAGCTTTTAATGTACTGAACTCTCTTATCATTACACATGGGCAACATATGTTAGCCATCATGCAAGTTCCTGAAAATGCTACGTCTTTTTAGATTGTCACAACTATGAAATTTCAAAGAACCATGACTTCAATTTTTACTCAAACTCAAATTTGCGTGAAAAATATGATTTGATACAAATCACTTCAATAGACAAACTCAAATTTGCCAACTTCTTTCCCTCTGAAACTCTTAATATCTTTCCCCTATTTCCACCACATTTTAACTCCTCTCTCAAATTAAAGTTGAGGCAATATTTCCTATAAATGAACACATACTCATTTTTTGTCTTCTTATTTCTTATATTATTCCTTCAAAGTTCCAAAAAATAAACCATCCTTGATTGCTAAAACTTAAAAAACAAAAAAAAAAAAAATCAAATCTAGCCGTGACAAAATGATGTTCATGGTGGATGATCTTAGTTTCAAAGAAGTTATTATTTTTTTTATATTTAATAGAGATTGGAGATAGAGATAAAGTAGAGAGATACACAGAACAAGATAAAAGATAAACGTTGGATACATAAAGAAGGGTGAAATATGACCATTGGAGATTTAAGTATCGTTCCATTTGGTATGAGTTTGAATAATGAGGATTGAAACTTATTTTTAGCATGTTTTTACCCAAATTTAAGTTTGAGTTGAGATTTGAGTAAAGGTTGGAGGATTTTAATAAAGGTTGAAGATACTCTAATAAACTTAAGAAACAACCCATATATCATTTTTCATATACTAGATCGTGCACACTTGCCTTGCACGTAGACTTTTTTATGGTTTTGTTTTTGAAATAATTAAATGAATACAATACCAAGTACCTACTTATAAATCTAATCTTTTGAATATTCCTATTATATAATTTGTGTAATTTATAATCAACATAACACTACATATTTGCAGAACGAATATTAATTTTTATTGTTTTATTTTCTCTTAAGTCTTGATGAATTATCTTCTTGTAAAACTCTACCTTAAAATTTTAAAACTTTTCACATGATGTTAATTATTTAGAATAATTTTATTTGCAACATCATAGTAATGGTACAAATATATTTTATAGTATGTAGGTATATATAATTAAAAAATATCACAGTTACTTACTAACTTATGAAAAATATGGAACTGAACTATTTAAAGTTATGGTGGTCATTTAATTATAAACAATTGGTTGAGAAAATTTAGGAAAATTAAGTTGTGATAAGTAATTTAATATGATACTGAACATATTCGTAACATCGTTAAACGATACAAATAAAATGATTTCTAGTATTGTCAATAAACATAACTAAAGAGGATTTATTAAAACTAAAACATAAAAGAGAAGAAAATGAAAAGGTAGAGTTTAAAAATCTTATCCAAATTATATTAAAATAAATCTTATACTAAATAAGACTCTAGTGCATTTATGCAATTTTGTCATTAACTAATGAAAATAGATAGACATAAATATAAGTAAATTTAATTATTTTAACAATTAATTTTTATCTTTTAAAAGAAAGAATATGAAAGTCTTGGATATCTGTAACATTAATGAAGTTTTATTAATATGAATTCCACATTAATAATATCAATATTGTGAGAGCAAAGTTGTCCAATTAAAAGTTTAACATCAATCAAGTCTCATTAATATGAGTTCTAAATTAAATAAAGCCATTGTCTTTATATATTCTTTTAGGGTTAAAGTAGTCAATCAAAAATTTTTCTTTGTATTGTACTTTTATTAGTAATATAGATTCTTCAGTGGGTAGGGTTGCAAATTACAGAAGCGCGTAAAAAATAGGGGCAATCAATGCACACATTGAACACAAAATTCAAGCAGTCAATGATGATGTAAAATGAATCCAATCTAACTGATTGTGGTTCATTAAGGAATAAGATCCATTAGACAGAATATAGGAAAATAATGATGTCAGCATCTTTTAAAAGATGGAAATTCCCCTTATGTGGATAGCACACTATCATCATCACAATTTGGGCTTATTTGACAATATTGGCACAAGTCCTTTCTCTACAAAGTACAAACTGCCACATTTCGATAGAATACCTCTGTGTAGATAAGATAGAAAACCAATGAATAAGCTATAAGTTTTACAGCCAAAGCCAACTGCAGAAAAACATAGTCTCGCAGTGATATCTTGAAAATAGAAACTCAAAGGCCATCCAACTTCCACAAGAGAAAGATGCCTATTTGACTCTTCAAAATAGATATCAACTACTAGGGAAAATCAGACCTCTTCACTAACAAATTGTGGTGTTCTTTACTACCGTCCCTTGAACAAATTTAAATATTACTTATTTACTAAAAATCTCCCTTGCACCTTTGCCCATGTACCACTTAGTATTCCCATACACTCAAAAACCTCAAATAGCCCCTAAAAATAAGGACAGTATGAATTCAGCTGAAGCCGTTAAATTTCATCAATAAAATTTTAAAAATACCCAAGAGTAACTTGTAGAATTACACCTACGTGTGTGTGTGTGTGTGTATACACCGCGCACATGCGCACATATAGAAAGAAATAATTACTTCTCTCACAACTCAAAACCGACCACCCACTACTACTACCACCACTGATCACCCACCCAAAAACACATCTAATCAAAACTAATAGAGGAAATCTAAACAGATCCTCCGCAATTAAGCAATGCTCTAAAGTATGATCATGTCTCAGTTCATGCAATCGTCAAGAAGAAAAGTAAAGAAACCACAATTATTCAATGGTGTACAGAGTTGTTTGTCAAGTTTGTGTTACAAAAATGAAGGCAGTTTCACTGATTTTGATGACCATCAAACATTTCAAAAAAATGGGACTACATAGATATTGTGTTTGGGGTGGATACCCAAAGATAAGCAAAAATCTGTTTGCTAAAACTTTGTTGAGTTTAGAGAAACAGCTCTCGGATGAGGACGTTGTTAAATAAACATCTCTCTACATATTATATATGTATATAAAATTTAGATTGTGATAATGGGCCACCGATCTCTCTCTTGATCAGTAGTTCAACAGAATTTTTGGTCAAAGAATTGCAATTGGTCAATTTTAGCACCATTTTCTAGACAACAAAATAAAAGTGGCTAGTCAAGTGATATAATGAACTATGAAGAGGTTGACCTCCAGGGTTTAATAGTCTAAGGTGATTAAGTAATATTGGGTCATAGGTGATGGAGGTTTTGTATTTAACGCTTCTAAAAATTTGTTCAGGAGTGCAATTGTTGTAGAGTATGACATTGAAGCCATATGAACATTGCCATCTACAAAATCACAATAAACCAATGTCCATTTGAACCATTCAAGGAAAATAGAAATGCCAAAAAGAAACCTCTCCAGCTTTGACGGTGATAACATGCGGTGTAAATCCAATGCCCGCTGATCCTGCAAGCAAAAACTTCGTCAGAGATATTTCAGTCAAAATGTTTTTTGACAGCTACAATGTTAAAACAGGAAAAATGCAATATGAAAAGGAAAGCTCATAAAACAGCCAAAAAAGTGTAACTTTCGCCTGTATTATAGGTTTATACTCATACCAAACCAACCACCACAGGTGTAGTTCCGGGAGCTTCGCATAGTGTCCAAGAGGCTTATTTTCTGTTCTCAATAATTGGTCGGATACCCCAAGAGAAAGCCCTCAACCAGAATATTTAGAATTCCTTTGTTTTGAGGGCGACAGGGACACCAAACTTTTTTTAAAAAATGGACCACCCCTCAAAAAATCCAAAAAAAAGGTACGGAAGAAAAAGAGAAAAAAAATATCCTTTACTCAAAACATATGACCAAGGAGCCAGTATTAATATGAATCCAGTTAAAAAAATCTATTTATATAAGTCCCAAGTCTTTCAGGTCTCTGTTTACAAGGGAAAAAAAATGAAAATTACAACAGGGCAAAAAGTTAAGATAATCTCACTAATTTGGGCATAAACTTTTTTTCTCATCAATATCTGAAGCACATGACAATAGCAGGACTTAAAGATAACTTAAAAAAGCTAGCAGAGGCAACCAGCACAGCACAGCACAGCACATAAGGGCACATTGGTAATTTTGTATGTATGTTTCTGGAGTCAGATCAAGCAGATCCAAAGTTCCAGCACAACCATACTGCCCTTCCTTTTTCCGATTCATGCAGTTATCCAGCCATAAATATACCACAATACATCCCCTTCACGCAAATACTATAACAAAATGTAAGCTATTCATGTCCCACAGAAGAACCCAAACAAATTAACCACCTTTTAGGTTTCAACAGATAAAAAAAAGAAGTAAGAAACTATAACTAAACCCAGACAATAAAAGCACAAGAACAGGTTTAATTCGAAACAATTGTTTGCCTAAAGAACCCAACAGCATCTACAAATATTCCATGTTCCACCATGTGACAGACAGACATATTAAAACATGACAAAGATCGCATAGAAAGATATAGAGGGAATAATAGCAAGTTACCGAGGGCTTCCAATTGTTGCTTCTTGCTTGAACCCCGTGGTCTGCCTCTGCCCTTCTTCAATGAATTCGGCGAGGCCAATCCTCCCGAAGGAGGACCAGCGGCAGCGGGAGGCCCCGGTGGGGGAGAGAAAGAGCCGCCGGATGTATTAACCGTGACGGCTGGAGGTGTGAGAGCCAGTGCCATGGTGCCATCAGCCCCGTACTTCCTGGGTCTCCCTCTCTTACGCTTAATAGAGTCGCTCGTATTCATGTTTAGGCTATGTGGCAAGATGAGGCCTCCGGCCGGAGCTTCAACAGAGGCACTGGTGGGCTGGAACGGAGGGGATGAGCCAGAGAAGGGTTTGTAGACGGCTGTTCCCTCGCCGCTGTACGCCAAACGCATGTTCTGTACCACCGGCTGAGACGGTGCTGGTGGCGAAGTCTTCTGAAAAGCGCCGACGGTGAACGGCTCTCTGCTAGTGATCACTCCTCCTGTCTCAGATCCCGACATCTTTCAGCGGGTTTCAGAAATCACCCCTCAAAACTCCTGAAAATACATAGCAAATAGATGTTATTGCGTAAGTCTTTCAGATCAGCGCTACGAACTGAAAACACGAACATTTAGAACTGTTACTCAGCTCAACTTCGTCTCCCTAGGGAGAAAAAAAAATTACACTGCATACATATTTCAAATAAAGTACCTGAAAAGATTCACCCAAACAAAACAAGAAGAAGAAGAAGATAGAATTCAACCAACAAAAACCCTAGCTGAGCGCTCACTTAAGACATTGCTAAACCCCAACCCTAAGGACCTAATCTTTAGAAGGAATCTTTGAGTAAATCCACTGAACTGAAAGGAAAAAACCCCGATGACTGCGAACAATTAGTATGAAAAGCGACAGACTTCGCGTTAAACTTGCAGAAAATTTCCATATTTTCAAACAGATCGCAGGAAAAATAGCGAGTAAAGCTCAGAAAATTTACACCACTGGAACCATCAGTTCTCCGATTTTACTGTTTATAAAAATACCATACCATACCTTACCTTACAAGAAAAACAGAGGAAAACATAAGAAAATAGCCGAAAAATATAAAAAATCTTACCAAAAAATAGGAAAAATTATGGAAAGCAGCGAAGAAATGAAGGGGGTGAGAAGATGGAGGAGAAGAAATTGTTAGGGTTTGCGAATAGAAATAGAAATAGAAAAGGGCTCTTGAGAAGCTTTTTCTTTGAGAAATTGTATGTAAATTAAATACTAGATATCTGTGTTTTTTTAAATTACGGGTTTTTCATTTAATATAAATAGAAAGAAAAGAAAAGAAAAGGTAGGCCGAAATTGCTTTCATTTAAGTTTATTTTATCTTTGAATTAATTAACTGGAACGCAACGCAACGCAACGTCTTCATTTTTATTTGTTTGGTTTACTCTCGAACGAATACAAAAATCAAAATACTCGCTCCGTCGGGTGAACACGTGGCGAAGATGTAACAGGTGTCCACTCTGCTATTGCGAGTGTATTGCTAGTTTTGTACTTTCAATGTGAAAAGATAAAGGTGTTCTGTTTTTTTTTTCATTTAGAGTCAATCAATAATCATCAGTGTTAGCCGTTCGGTTGGATTGGCACTTGGCCTCATTCGGAAACCAACCCTCGGTTCAACTTTATCATTAAGGTTGAGAATTTTTGGACTAAAATTATACTACTCACTCTCTTTACTCAGCTCTGGTAATTTATTATAATTTTTAGATTGCATGAAATCTTTTTTTATTTTTTGGTTTAGAATATTACTAATTACAAAAAATAATAGAAAAAGAAAAGGGGAAAATAAAATAGAAGGGAGTATCCAGTAATCTATGGATCCCTGACCCCGAGTACTCGACAGTTAAAATAGTTGTAGATAGGTGGTATCTGAAAAGAGCATTAGCCTATGGCTATGGCTATGGCTGCGCCTGTTTCGTCTTTGTCTTCGCAGTTCTACTGTCGCTCTGTGCTTCTTCCTCATGTCTCCGACTTGTTCACTGCTCAATCCCGCTCTCATTTTCATCAAAGAGGTCATCACTTTCTCTAAACCCCACCCCTTTTCTTACCCCAGCCCCCAATATTAGCTATTCAATATGCATATTCTTTCTTCTTTAATTTGATTTGATATAGTTCAAAATAAGTAATTATTCACCTTCGCCGTTTCTTCAGGCTTCAACAAAAACAGGAACCTCAATGTTTTCTGCTGCCAGAACAACGCAATAGCTCAAAATCCATGGTAATCTCGTTTCAATTTCCATCTCCTTCCTCTTCTATAATTTCTTATCTTTGCCCGTCCTTTATAATGAATTACTCTTCTTCCCACTAGAATCAATTGTTTTCCTTGGTTTCTTTTATTACTTAACAGTCTAAGCACTGAAGATCATTCTCAAACTAGAAGGAGAGAGATCTTGTTCCACACGGTCTTCACTGCCATTTCTCTCCATGCCAATTTTTCAGTTGCATCACCTGAGAACGGTAACCACTCCTATGTCTACCCCTTGTTCCGGACATTTTCAGAATTGTTTCTTCTTCTTCTTATTATTATTATTGTTTAGACAAAATCCTAATTCATCCATTTTTCCCATTCCCAACACACGAGTTTCCAGATTTGCAGGAGGATTTCCGCATGTACTCTGATGATGTAAACAAGTTCAAGATAATGATTCCTCGAGGTGATCCAGCATCAATCCTCCTTAAAGCTGAAATAATTTTCTCATCTTCTCATCATCCAAAGAAAGATCATCGTTTGTACTAGTATGCTATTAATATTACTTCCTCGCTTGTTTCATATCTATTGTCCTACTCCGAATGTGGCTACACCATGAGCAATCAAAACAGATGGGCTAAACGTGGGGAACTGGTTAATCTACTGAACTGGTGGACTTCCATTGCATTTTCTCTTTTTTGGCATTAGGAGGCTCTTACTGATTTGTTAAGTAGCACGTGAGCATGGCAATGTGTTTGATTGTTGGATTGGATTTATGATACAGTTATGTCAATATGGTTCCATTCTGATGCTTATGATGTGTATCTTTTAGCAAAGGGCACCTAGAATAGATGGCAAATGCAAGAACCCAACTTCTCTCGACTGAGATGATAACAAACAATGAGTATTTGTTTTTGCAGATTGGCAAGTAGGGGCAGGAGACGGCAATGGAATTAAGTCAGTAACTGCGTTTTACCCTGAAGAAACATCAAATTCAAATGGTATTAATGGGCATTCTGTCCTCAGACTCTGATCAAAAAAAAAATGGGTTTTCTGCTGGATCCATCCCTGCATGTTTGTTTCATGAATATTAAACTTGCTCCTTGGGTTGCTTCAGTCAGCATAATAATAACGGGGCTTGGTGCGGATTTTACCAGACTGGAATCTTTTGGCAAAGTTGATTCTTTTGCGGAGACTCTGGTAGGACTTCATTTATCTAACAAATTTCTACGGACTTTAACAAGCAAATTCAGAGGGAGAGAGAGAGAGAGACAGAGAGATCATAGTTTTTCAGTGAGAAGTTTAATCTGCTTATCATCTTCTTCTGTGTTTTTGTGATTGCCTTTAACAGGTTAGTGGATTGGACAGAAGCTGGAGGAGGCCCCCAGGTGTGGCAGCAAAACTCATAGACTCTAAAGCAACTAATGGTAATTGTGTCTTCTTTTGTGGCTATTCCACTGTGACAACAAATATATAACAACCCTTGGATTTGCTGACCTGTGTGACATAATTACAACTATAGAGATTGCAACTATATTATTGATAGATGATCAAACCAAGCAGATCCGTTGGCTTTGTGTATATAGTTTCTTGGTGTTTGGGAAAATAGAGAATAAATGTTAGGTGAATGGCTAAGATCAGCCATTCCTCAGGTTTGATTGACTTGTAATCTGCACCCATATACTTTTGGTATGAATTGATTACGAGCTTGAAGAACATTAGATCTAAGAGTGAAGAACTTTAGATCTAAGAGTAAAGAACAAACGTAGTTCATACCTATAGACACATGTATACATTCGTGTATTTATAGTGATGTTACTTTCAACAATTGGCCAGGGTTGTATTACGTTGAGTACACGCTGCAGAATCCTGGTGAAAGCCGAAGGTTCTTATTTTCAGTGCTTGGGATAGCAAACAACGGTTGGTACAACAGATTATATACAGTGACCGGACAGGTTGGTTTAGCTAAAACAAATCCGTCGTCTTTATTTTTCAAGTGCTAGTGTCTTTGCTGTATCAGTTTTGCATCTATACACAGCCTAAATATCATCATTGCAAACTTATATATGCTGCAGTTTGTTGAAGAGGAGGCAGAGAAATATGGTTCGAAAATTGAGAAGGTGACAAACTAAATACTGTTTCAGTTTGCAGGAATGTCTGGACACAAAAATTGGTAGTCTTCCTATTTGAATTTTGGATATACAACAACATGGACATGTTGGGGTTCCAACTGCTTTTACCTGATAGTTCACAACATCGCTTTTAAGTTTAAGGGGGTTAAGGAAGACAAACAGAAGTTTTTTTATTGTGTAACAGCAGCCCATCTAATAGCAACATTTGATGCTAGAATATAGATGGAAATTTTGTAAAATATCTTTTTGAACTGAATAAAAAGTTATGCTCGATTTCCAGACCATCTATCTGTGTATTTCTGCATGACAAATTCTTATCTGATAAAGCTTTGGATAATTTTGCTCTAGACTCGAGAATATCTTCTATGGACTCAAGAATATCTTCTATGGACTTTCACTTCCAGTTCCTTTGTGTGAAACTTATGATATCTGACCGCCTTGCTAGGACTGAGTTTGATTGGCAACAGCTGGCTTATTCTGTGACTGATTTTCCATATGACTCCCATAAATGTTTCTTAATATCCCACACAATTTTCTCTAAGAAGCACTTGTAGTTTTTCAATTGTGGGATTCTTTGGTATTGCTGCAATGTTGTTCCTGAGTTGCAAGAGTTGAGATTCTGGATTGGAGTGTCCTTAGAAAGATGGTCTCTCAGAGTGGCTTTCCTTGTTTACCTGAATTAAAAGGAGTGGCTTTCCTCTTTTGGGCAATAGATATTTGTGGTCAATTGAGCATTTTGTGTGTTATTTCCAGTGCAAGTAGATCATTCATGTTTCTTTGTGAAACGTAGGTTAGTCTTTATGGAACTGGTTCAATTATGGAATCACTTAATGTATTTTGCCCTTTTCTTGGTCCTCGCAGGTAGTTGCTTCCTTCAGATTGTTGTGATAATACCGTTACAAGAAGTGGCATATAATGAATAGGCAATTCCAAAATCCAGTCAAGTAAGCAACCTTTTGATGACAATTATCTTTCTAGTGCCTGTACACAGAAACTCTTTTTGCATCCAAGCCTAGTCGATAGACTCTTTTTACAGGGTGAGCATTGGAAGTACCTGCAGTTAGACAAGCAGTACAAATTCCCTTAAAAGGATCCTGTTCTCTTGACAACCCTTCTTAGGGATTAAATTTGCCTTCTCTTTTGTTTTTTATTTTTTGGGTCGAGGGGGGCTGGAATCAAACTGGGTTGTTGGGGGAGAAATGTCAAGTTCATGCAGGCTTTTATTTGTTTAGCCCCAATTCACTTTTGCAACTTCTTTTCGATATGATCACGTGTGGATTCCAGAAGCAATTTTGATATTCATGTCACAAACTTCTGTCTCTTCTTTATGCTTGCTGCTACATTTTTCAGGTGAGGAAAATGATGCAGATGAAAAATTGTAAACCATGTTGTTGGATTTTACCAGCTCTGGAAGAGGCAGACGCTGAACTAGATATTGATGGAGTGATCATTTATGTTACCATTGTCTTTTAGAACTACTACTTTTTTTCTCAAATTTTCCTTGGAAATGCATTACATGATATTGAACTAACAACCTCTCGTTTCTTTTATTCTCAAAAAAAAAAAAAACCTCTCGTTTCTTTAGCTAAATTGCACTTATACATGATGAGAGATTTGTGTAGTGGAAGTGGTTGAAGTACAAAATCACCCACTTATTCATGACGACTGCCTAGCATGTAGAATGTTTTTTCCTTTTAGAAAATGAAAAGGCCACTCGGGCAGCTCATTTGGAAAAGCAATTATTTCACATAAACATTATTTGTATACATTGTTTTTCAGGAATTTTGAAAACCACGAGACATAGCTGAGAGCTAGAAGATGAGTTCACCAAATCCTCCTCTTCTCATGAACTGAGATTAGGCAATCTATTGATTTTGTACTGCACCTCATTTTCAAAAAAGTTTCTTTCCAAGGCCAATTGCAAAACGTGATCCTCAAACATTTCTTCTCGGTCGGGAAACATCTCGAAGCCAAACAATTGGTATTCATTCTTTTTCTTTTCTCAGAGCCAGTAGTAGTTCTTAATTTAACCTAAGAAAGTCTATCCTTACTATTATTTTTTATTTTTTTTTATCATTTTTTCCCCAGACTGACTGCTGAAATCAAAAATATAAATAACAGCCCAACGACAATTGTAGAAAGGCTACAATGGTTAGCATTTTCGTGACCAAATATCCCCCTCCCCTCATTCACAAAGGAGACAAATTAGCTTATATCTAAATACACATGGAAAAGTCTGTGCATGTACTCCTTCGGATGACTATTTCTTTTACTTGCCCAGTAACTGGAGAAAAGAAAAAGGAAGCAGTTCTTTACTTCTTTTAACTATGCCCCCACTCCCCCGCGATACCAATTTCCTAGAAATGGCGAATATCATTACAAAGTGTGGCAGATCTCTGTGCATCTTACAATAAAATTTCCACCAATAAACAGGTACTTACTTCCTAAAACAGAGGTTATCCCAGTGGATCTGACAGGAAACTATAGGCTCCAAAGTGAATCCTGAAAGGAAAATATAACAAATTATAAATTTTCATTCGGATTTAATAATCTCCACAGTGCTTTCTCCAGTTTTTCGTGCAGCAGTTTTATGAAAGAGTAGTGTGAGCTGATCAACAAAAAGCAGATTCTTCATCTGCTGCAGATGTTGCCACTCTTTCTCCATTTGTAATTCAAGCTCCTCAAAATGAACAATCTTGTCCTGAATCTCCTTGGTCTGCAAAATACATTGAACAACAAAACCATCCAAATCAACATCACAGAGAAGCTCCTACTATTAGAATTGCAGACCATGAAAACTGGAGCCTTGCATACCTGCACTTCAACAATACCAGCAATTGCTCTCTCTACGTCCTGTTCTTCCTTTTCAAGCTGCAGCCGCACCTCCACATGCACCACTTCTAGTGTTTCTCTACTGGAGGCGCCATTGGGTTTTACATCAGATTCTGCATAAAAAAGGAAGCCATTATATTACTGCAAGCTCATGGCAGTCAAATTGACAAAAATACATGCATACAACAACATTAGTCTTGGGTAGCATGCTTTCTTCACAAGGGCCATGTATTTAATTATTTTTGGTTTTCGATCTTTCTGTTATTTTTTCTGCAATATATTGAGGACCAAGACACCAGGTAAAAAAAGCTACAACTCCATCTCAATGCCATTTTTTAAAAATTTGAGTTTTGTGTGCATGCACAAATGAAAAGAATAGATTAATAGAACTCAGACCAGACTCCTAATCACAAAAAAACCAAATTTTCAAAGGGTCAAATGGGTTGATGTGGAATTTGGGCATTGAAATCCAACATAACCATACCCTGAGTTATCGGGCAAGAAAACTTGTTTTCACACCTGCTTGCTAGTAAGCAAAGTCTCTTTGAAGCTCGTTAAGAGCAAGAAAAGGCTTGCCTCAGAGTTTCAATTCGATTTCACTAACCAGCAAGACATTCTATTATTTCATGCTTATATGTCGTATAATTTTGAGTCGTTGCTAGGCAATGGATGGATTTTTGCCAATCATAGCACATCATTGTGCTGAGAAGGTCTACCATATCTGTGCATTGCACCCTACTGTCCAGAATGTTGTAATCATTTTGCCTGAAGAGAATTATTGGCTCTTTAGTTGGGTGACAACTGTGTCACAGAACCATAACCTGGTGCACCGTAGTTGGTGATGAGATAAGCAGTCAAAAGACTCAACAAAGAAGTGGATATCCAAGAGTCCAAAAGAAAATATTTAAAATCTACAAGCTACTTATATGCTTGCAGTTCATCAACCACCAGTATCTAGGTTAGAGAAAACCATTCAACACCATAAAGTACTAAAACAGATGTGATATTATGCCCTATAAGAGTAAGAATGAATTTTTAAGCAATTTTACACCGATGGGATCCCAATGTCCAACTCATGAGTGTGAACGTGAGATAATACCTTTTAAAAATTAACAAAAACTAACACCAGGTCTAGAAATTTGCAGAGCCACAAGAGGATCCTAATGCCAACAAGAATCTTAACAAGAAGTATCTCATACCTTGCTGTCTTGCACCAGCAGTGAGAGATCTAATAGTATCTTTTGTCATCCGGTCACTGACTTCAGACAAAGTCCACACAGCAGCATGAGCCGCTGCTTCTGCAACCTCTACACCCGCCAAAGCCGAGAGGAAAGCAGACTGAAAATTTTGAAATGACCTCAATAGGAATACACCACAACAGCAATATTTAAATTGAATACAGAAGGAGACATACCCAAACAACATTTCAAATTTGGTTAGTTGATTGGAAAAATCAATCTAACACTATTTAGAAAAATACAAAAAGGGTATCTTTTCATTCTGATGAAGTATATAATTCATTCAATCATTTTAGATCCATTATAAAATTAGGCAGAGCCAAATTTTACAACATCCTGTACCCATGAGAATAAGTTATTAAGCAAACTCAGAGGCTCATATAGGTTTCCTGCAATTATTCAGAACCTATATAAGCTCAACTGCTAACATTCGCATTGCTGAGGAGTGGATGGCCGATTGGCCCTCTAGACCTTAGAGCTAACTTTTTTCGTTATAACTGGTGTTTGCTTCAAATTACTTGTTTAATAAATATGGTGACAAGTGAAAAGCAGGACTTTTGGGTCAACATAATGGTCAACTGGGCTGTCAAACTTGCTCATGGTGAACTCAGGTACCAACAGAATTTCACCATGTTTTAATTGCCACTGATCTGAAACCCTTTTCTTACATAATTTTCAGGATTGCCCAAAAATGTGTTTACCTGAGCCATAATCGGGTTGCTGGCATCAGCAAGTGGTGTGAGACACATCCTTTTGGTTGGAGACCCAAATTCACTGTCATTCTGGTCATTTGATTGATAAAACTTAAAATCAACCTCAGCAGAATCTGGAGGGCCAACAAATTGCTCCCTGAATGGAAGCTTTATAAAGCGAGCAACACACTCTCTCTCACTTCTACCACCAACATGCTCTGCAACCTTCTTCCAATCATCACCATAATGCATAATGGCTTCTAGAAGGTGCAAAGTTTCTTTATCAGTCCAATCTGTCTTTACCTCTTCACTTATCTCAACCCGTCTGAAATCAGTGGAACTGACACCAACACGATAGTTACCACGGACATAGCACCTCGCACAAAGGGTCAAATCAAACTGTCCAAAAGTAAAGCAATTATCAAGATCAATTGTGACCAGCATCATAGAATATATATAGCAATATATGAACTGTCTGTTACAATAAGTAGGGTGGATGAAGTATTAACACGATAATTTGTTTAGTGTGGAACGCAAAGCATATACATGTGTTTGCCTTGGAAGTCATCAAAAGTTTTGACAAGGAGCAGGCAAAATAAATGTTAATTATGGTATACTTATACAGAAGACGAATAATGAAAGACTGATTATACCTTATCACAAGTAAAGCAAGCAATGCTACAAGCAGATTTGCATCCATTACACAATCTTTTCTTGGGTGCCGCAACATCAGCAGCCGAAGTGCCCCCTGGATCACCACTTTGTGAAGACGCCGCGGCATTGGACTTGCTGCTCTCCTTGTCTTCCCACTTCAACTGCGGCTTGGAGCCCGAACCCGAGTAATTAATCAGACCCCAGACCTCCAAGAAATCGAACACCCTCCGAATCGAGCCTACGTCTCCAATGATAGTCTTCCGAGCCTCGGTGAAGGTGATCTTTCGCGTAGGATTTTGTCGAAACCTTCGAATTATAGTGTTCCTGAAGTACTTGTAAACTCTAGGGGTCTTTGAAGGCCATCTACCGTCGAAAAACTCGGGGAGAAATCGGACCTCACATTCGTGAATATTGTTCCACGAAAACCACCCTAAAAACAGTTAAAAGCTCAACAATGAATACTAGCAACACACAAAAATCGTTAGAAATCAGTGGAAAAATTTTAATCGGAGAATTAGGGTTGGGGTTTTAAGAGGTGGAAGAAAAAGGCAGTTAAAATAGGAGAGGGTTGATGCGCTTACGGGAATAGCTGGGGATGTGAATGACGTCAGAGTCGGTGGAGGATTGCTCCTGTGGGCGGGAAGTGACGGTGGTGGCTTTGGAAACAGTAGAAGCTGGAATGTCGGACGTGAGGGTGGTGGGAGCTGGGGAAGGGTGTAGCTGCTGCTGCAGCGGTTCTTGCGGTGGTGGGGGAGTGGGAGTCGGAGTGGGAGTGGTCGTTTCTGCGGAAGATGAGGATAGGGAGCGAGAGGGGGAGGAAGACGGTCTGGGTCTGGGTCTTGGGGGCTCTTGTTGGACTGGGGACTTCTCGTTGCCGTTACTACCCATTTGTTTCAGCCACAGAGAGAGAGAAAGAGAGAGAGATGAGGGTTTTCAACTCGAACGGATATCAAAGTACTTTCTTTTTCTTTTTTTTTATTAATATGAATTGGACTTTCAAAGCCAACAGGCCACCTGACCTGCCATTCTCAGGCCAGGCCTGCTCCTGAAGGAACGACTTAGCATCCAAGTTCAATGGGCCCACAACAACAATCGTAAATAGTAGCGTAGGTCAGGGGGTGTTCATGTGACGAATTATCCACGGATCTCATTATTATGCCTAAAAAATAGATCCGAAATTTGATAGACCTGAAAATTGGTCCGTCCGATCTTATCCCTATAACTTTAAAAAAAAGATTTGAGTTTGCCCCAAACTCATTACCCAGCCCAAAGGCCACATGAAAAAACCTCTTTAAAACTCAGCCCAAAAACTCACCCGCCAAGCCCAGCCCACACCACCCTTCTTTTGAAAAAAGGGCAATTTAAAAGTCAGTGCAATTTTTTAGATTTATTTAGGCAAAAGTACAACTCAAAAACTTATTTTGAGTAAAGTGCATATTTTTTTAAAATACTATTATTGTCATTGGTAGACAGTAAACATATAAAAATTCATTATCTTCTATCCGTATTTTTTGACTAAAATCAAGTGGGAGGTAAAATAGGAGTTTTAATTATTAAAACTCATCTTCTTCGGCAAGAGTGATTGGAATGTCCGAACTATGACTGTTTATCATCTAAAAAAAAAAAGGAACTCGAGTTATTGTTCATTATCCAAAAAAAAAAAAGGAATACAAATTACTATTCATCGTCAAAAAAAAACAAAAAAAAAAGGAATTCGACTTACTGTTCATCGTCTAAAAAAAAATACGACTTATTGTTCATCGTGTTCTATGATCAAGTAACTGTGAATCATCTTCGGCAACTTCTTCATTAGAAATTGCAAATGACATTCATTTTTGTTTTTTTGTCATTCATTAATTTTTTTCCCCACAATCTGTGTTGTTTGATTTTTTTGATTAAAAATACTTACGTAACTGTTTTAAGTAATTATTTGTGATCACAAATTGTAAACAGTTAATATTTAAAATTTAATGGTTGAAACTGTGTTGACACAATTACACCAATTAAAACACAGTTACGTCCATTAAAACATAGTTACACCCATTAAAAACACAATTACACCTATTAAAACACAGTTACACCTATTAAAACAAAATCAATTTCTTTCCTCTTCATTCCAACATCGAGCAAACATAAAACAAAATCTAACATAAGAATTTTTCAAAAAAATTATCGAATAAAAGAAGAAATATACTTATTATGTTTATACAAAAAAATAGTTACACTCATTAAAAATAATTACACCAATTAAAACCAAAAGTAATTTTTTTCCCTTTCATTCTAATAACGAACAAACATAAAATAAAATCGAACAAAGTCATTTCCAAAAAAAAAATGGCCGAATAAAATAAGAAATATAGTTATTATATTTATAAGAAAAAATAATTACACCCATTAAAATCAAATACAATTTTTCCCCCTTCATTCTAACAACAAACAAACAAAAAACATAATTGAACATAGAAATTTAAAAAAAAAATGACAAAATAAAAGAAAAAATATAATTATTAATAACTAATCTTTAAACCAATGACAGCGATTTGTATTTACAGTTTCTTTTTTCGAATAAATCTACTATCGAAAAAGTAAATTGACTATTAAATAAGACTCTTACTGTCGAGATCAGATGAATACAGACGTTGAAGAAGACTCATATTGCAAAGATCAGTGTTTTTTTTTTAACAAATTACAGAGATGTTTGAGGACTTTGTGTTACTACATAAATTTTTTGTCTTATTACAGAGATCAGTTGAACACAGACTTTTACTGTATACAAAAATGTCAACGATGGCTGCATAAATTAACGAAGGGTGTTTAAGTAAAAAAGATTTTAATTCATTTGAATTTTGTACCTAATCACAAAAATTTTTATAAAAAATGTACTTAATAGAATAAACAATTTATCCATACACTTTTGCCTAAATAAGTCTAAAAATTTATATCCACACATAAAAAACTTTTGAAAAAAGTTATACTTTTAAATCATTAAATTTAAAACTTTGAAATAAGTTTCTCAATGTCGAAATTTGAAGTTTTAAAAATTTAAATACTATAAATAATGTATTATTTTCTTTTTCATATGTTAAACATACAAGTTTTAAAGGGTGGAGTAATATAAATGATAGATAAAGTGAGTATGTGTCAAACTAATTTTGATGTATTAATTATATTGGATATAATTCATCCTCTAATCAAAAATAAAATATTTCATTATTTTATTTTTATCTATTTTTGACTCTACTTTTGATTCAAAAATATATTTTATACAAATATTAAGTTACAAAAAAATTTATTACTTTTAAATAAAGATGTATAGAAAAAAAACCCGAGAAAAGGCCCACCTAATAGACTCGTGAGTTGGAGTATAGGTAACCTACCACTATCCAAACCTCAGTCCGATCCGTACGATGACTCAATTAAATAAAGACTTTGCCCAACATTGCCCAAGTGTGACTCAAAAAAAATTCACTGATCTAACCCAGGCCCAGTCCTTAGACACCCCCGGTAGGTAATGATGGAGGTAAAAAAGCAAGTTAATTACTTTTAAAACAACCACATATCTGTCGAGCAAACCAAGTTCATTACCCAACACTGACAACTGTTCCCAATTTTGGGTTGATACTAAAACGAGCACATAATTCACTTATTAATTACCATGTTTTACCTTCCAAAAATAAAATAAAATGAGCACATACCCAACTTTACCCTACTTTGTTAAATCTAAAAATAAGGACAACAAAAAATTGACAAGTGGCATTAACCGCACTGCACCGCACCAATTCTTTTTTTTTTTTTGTCAGACTATCTGGTATCCGAAAGTTACTTTAAGCTCCGACTAATCTGAATTCGAGCCAAGTAGAACCACAAAGACGGCAAAGCTCTTCCTACCGAACGCAGCTGCGTTTCCAAGACTCAAACTTGAGACCTTGGTTAAACTAGAGCAATCCCTCACCAACTGATCTAACGTTCGGTGGTGCACCGCACCAATTCGACCTCTGTAATTAATTACCTCCTGACCCTGATTGCGAGGCCTTCAGATCAAGCATGTTATACATTGCAGTCAATGTTCCATCAGGATCCACAATAATAATAATAATTAAAAAAAATACATAATAATTCCACCTTTTCCCAGTGTATGATTTGGCGCTGCTTTGCTTTCATTCTTTGAAGTAGAAAGACCCTTAAAATAAACACCGAGTTTTAGAATTGCGTATCAATAAACTCCAACTATGGCTATGCACAGGACTCAAAATGATGTCTATGAATACTATGTTGGACCAACCAACACACACACAAAAAAACACCCGACGACGACTATCTACAGAACCATAATTCTGGGACATGCTATAAAAGAATCATATTTTGATTCTAACATGAATTTTCGTCACTCTGTCTTTGGACACTAGAAACCGATTCCAGCTTCCACTAATGCATCACTCTCTCTACCAGTCATCCAGAGCACTGGCAGAACGTGAGGGTTTAAATACACAATGCTGACGGAGATGCAATCTGCATCTTCCATGTTCCTTTCTCCACCATCAGGAGCGACTCAGACATATATGACTTCTCCGGTGAGCATCATTATGTATGACCTGCGTAATAACACACATTACAAATGCTTCAAATTAGAAGAATGCGACTTCCTACAGCTCAATAAAACAACGAATGAGTAAAATGGGGGAGACATACAGTGCAATCCCAATCCACAAAAACCAAACAGAGAACAACTAAATGCACCAATTACATTTGCCAGTTCCCCTTGACAAGGTAAGAAACCTATGTACCACTACCTTTAATTGAGTTTCATGGTTTCTCAGTGTTCCATTATAAATTCTCAGTGCATTCACATGTTATAGTGAGAAAGGAATAGGGAAGAAATTGTGGGGTCATACAATATAATAACTGCTTAGAAGTTAGAACCAATGAATATTGCCTTATGCGGAGTTCAATTGCAAAGAAAGTCCCAAACCGTCCCATGAATGCGGAATATAACATGTTTCTGAGGTGCTTCCTACACAATTACATTTCAACTGCGTCTTGCTTGTTTTTATTGTAAGCCAAAAATCCCAAAACGGGGTCAGCATCATTTAATGGTAAAGATGCACCAAGGCTCTAATATCTCCTGTGGATCGAAGCGAGGTTCATTTTGCAGATAATATTTAAAATGAACAAATTACACTGCAAATGCAACTAAAAATAATAAATTTTAGAAAACTTCAAGCAAAGTACATCCCATTTCTCGAAACCAAAGGCCAATCTCACATTACTAAAAGCTACTTGAACCAAAAATGAGGTTAATAGATTTAAAAAGGGGGTTAATTTCAGTTTACTAGGAGCTAGACAAAACAAAAGGATAGAAAAAATATCTTTATACTTGGAGTTACATTATAGTGGATCTGTAAAATTCACAAGTGGAGTCTAGATTTACACTTAGATATTTATAGTTGGAGTGTTGGATTTCTAATGTGGTTATGCAAATCAAACTTAATCAACATTCTAACTAAAGTTCACGCCTTGACTGCGCCTCAGCAAAATCGCCCCTCCCCTTGGGCTCATTGAGGCGTTTCAGGTGTGCTTGGCTCACCTCAGGCCTATGTGTGTGCCTACGCGCACTTCTTGAATGAAATGATGAAGAGAATGCTAGGAACAAACACCTACACAAATTTTTGAAGTATACCTTCATGAACACAACATCTGACAGATTTGGGTTAAAGTTTTCCCCAAAAGCTCATACCCTACCAATCCTAGGTGGCTGGTGCAGCAAGGTATAACCTAAACTCGAAAAGGTATGCTGAATTACCAGACAGCATGAAAAATCTAGAAAACTCATTACCTACTTTGATATGATTTATTGAACACACTTGGCTTCCTGCCATTCTGCACGCATTACTTTAGAACAGAAAGGATTGAAAATTTGTGCAAAATAAAGAAAATAAAGATTTCATAAATGACACACCAACGCGACCCTCCACTCATTACCACAAAACTCGAAAGGTAGAAGACATGCGGCCAGCATCACCAAGTCATATTTATGGAGGATCAAAATCATGAATAGATGTTTCAAGCATCTTCACGGACAAATTTAAAACATTGCCCACCCTTAAAAATATGGACACTAAACTAGAAGAATTAGTAATAATCCAAGCCTTCCCCCCTCCCACACTTTTTGTGGTTTTTAGTAACTGACCCGGGTAGCACAGGAGAAAAATTGTCAAGATACAAAAAGCACTAACTTGTACTTTGATTACACGTACATCTTACAGAATATGATGCAGGTCTACAAAATTATAATTTTAGTTCCAAAGAGCTAACTGACAATAAAGTACTTCTCAGTTTAACCTAAAGTGTCTCCTAGATGAGATACAAAATTATATCTCCCATATATTGCTAGCATGAGTAAAGCTTATTGAATGACATGTTGAACATTGGGGAAAACAATCAAGTGTTTTTCAGTCACATAGATGAGATAACATTAGGCAGATTGAACTCTTCATGTTAATTTCCCCATCAAGTCCAAATTTTCAACTTTTAGTGGTATATCTCCAAAACTGACAAATGAGAAACAGTAGACCCATATAACGTGCTCCACAATACGTATCAAAGATTTATTTTCTTTCCCATTATTGTCTTGATGTCAACTTAGATCTCATATGCAACGGGGAATATGTACCTCTAGAATGCAAAATGAACCATTTGCAAGGCTAGATCCGAAGCCCGCCACTCAAGTAGCAGTACCGGTGCTCTTAGTCCTGCTGCAATCTAAGGGTACCTGCAAATAACGTTAGAACTGGATCGGCATTTAGAATATCAGACTGGCGGCAAGGACAGGCAAAACGACACAGAAACTCCCACATGCGACCACCATCACTAACCTTGATCAACCCCTCACCCAGCATTTTGGTCAGAACCGCTACCTTGCATGAACTGAGGAGAATGAGCAGGAAGCATAAACTGTGGCTGTGCTGGAACAGGTGCTGCCACACCTAATGATGCCAAAACACTATCCTCATTAGATCTGCCTACTAGACAATTCACCTAATTTACAATATAACATTTGATGCAGATCATTTAACTCATTTTTATCCTTTGTTATAAATAGGCCCATGTGAGCTAAAGGGACAAAGAAACAACTAGGCTAATGAAGTTTTTCAGATTTCACAAAAAATGTAGATAGAAAACAAACTCTCAAAATTGCCTTGTAATGAATTGAGACATGCTCAACTGACATCAGTTGTCAGTTGCACCTATAAATATAAAGGCACATGCACATATATGCCTACCATAAGATTACGATACTGAAGGGTTATGTTTAGGTACCACACAGAAAGTTACTACTCAGTCTGGTGAAGTTATGATAGAATGGGATCATTTGGGATCCATTGTAAAATGTTAGGATCGATCTAAATCCAAACATTTTATGATCGATTCTAACTGTTTTTAACTAAAAATTTTGGGGTTGCGACGTGAACCAAATTGTGTTGTAACTAACCCTGTTTTATAGTTACTAAACCCCTTCTATCATTCCCCTACATTTAAAGACATTACTTAAGAAACAAAAACTTTACCTGTAGGGTATGGTGCTTGAATACTTGGTATAGATGAAGTTGTGATTGCATTGACACTGGGCCCACCAAACTGCACAATCTGATGACCAGGCACAGTATAGCCCTGCAATGTTGTGTAACCGTGACCTCCGGGAACTGTCTGACCCAATTGACTGTATGGATATATGGCCGTGTTAACTGTCCCTGGTACACCATATATGTGCAGGTACTGCTGACTCGCATAAGGGTTGTAAACACCCTGCCAGAAAATGCCAGCAGAGAAGCATTAGAAGCTGGTTATAATCTAAAAATAAAAGTGCTTATGAAACTATGCATATGGGATAAGCATAATAAACTTCAACAAAAGCTGTCATCATGGAGCGGCTTTCACCTGCGGGTATAGGTACTCTGGACCATAGGGTGCATACCTGCACAAATATAAAGCGATTGCAACATGTAAGAAATTTATCGTCTGAATGTACAAGGGCATGCATTTTGGATGCATTATATGGGATGAAGAAAAATGTCAAATGAAACCATGTCTCGTCACACTGTTAGGACTTAGGACCCATGTTCCCCGATTAAACCATAGACTAGGGAGCTCATAATCAGATCACAAACCGTGTCATGTCCAGCATGTGCACAGAAGACAGATTTAAGAGGACGATGAGCTTAACAACCCAGTCATGGGATTTTTCTTATCCTTCTTTCCAAAAAGGGGTGCTACTCTGCAAAAAATGAACCATATCAGGCTAGCATGTGTGTGAAAGGCATATTTGCTCCTCCCTTTCCTGTTTTCTCTTGTTAATCAAACCACTGGGAACATATTCTCTGCAACTACCACCTCATGCAGTCCCACAGTTTCCAATCACATCACATAATGATCACCATATTTTGGAAACAACACTAAATACTTGAACGTGAGTCACCATTTCAAAATTACTAAACAATCCTCAAGTCATGTAGAAAATGGTGACTGATACATGCAAGATTGTCACAAGATTAGGGGAGATATGAACCCCGCCACGGGGGGCGAGAGAGATAAAGTAGTGCTTGCAAAGTCAAGCTCACTAATCTTCCATTCTGTCAAGTTCATGGTATACCAATTGACGGGGACAGATTGAAGCATCTCTACATTGTAGATGGAAGTAGAAGAGCAACTACTGTTCATCAAACCTTAAAAGGAGTACCAACTATTTATATGTATCCCACCTATATAGCATGCAAACATCTGTGTGTATGCATGCTATTTATTTGGTGTTCATGAATGTAACCAAATAATCAAGTGTAGGTTATGCATGCAAACATCTGTGCAAGTAGGTGATGCATGTAGCTTCATGGTAAATATGCATTTGTCAAAAAAAAAAAAAACATTGGAGTTATATAAAGGCAGAAATAAATACGCCAACAATAATCAAGTGATTAGAGACTCCACTTAAATGGGAATTGCACTCATCCAAGCAAGGCCAGCAATAGTGTAACAAAGGACAAAGCAAGGCTTGAATATTGGTAAAAAATAAAGGAGTACATGTGATGATGCATCTCTCACACCATGAGTCAGAACATTGCTGAGCCAGCCAAACCATTACATAAATTATGCTCTTGGAGTGCACAACTAACCCATATGGAGGATACATATATCCTTGTTGGTAGCTGTAAGAAACTGGTTGTTGGTAACCAAATCTTCCAACATAAGCCCCTCGGGCAGTTGGCACAGCTCCAAGATAAGGTGTCGGTGATCTAAGACGTCCTGCAGCAGATAAAAACAAGAGAGAAAAAATATTAATTCTTTTGAGCTTGATTGGAAGACTGACTAATGAGGTCCATACAAAGACCTAGAAATAGTTTGTTGTCTACTAAAATATTACATCATGTGAAAAGCGCCTCCCAACATTTAATACTTACTTGAAGGATTGTGGTCCATGGAGTACCTAATCATAAAGGGGAAATGCCAAATTCCACAGAATCTTTAAATTTGAGCATTTGGAGCAAAATCCATCTAAACTAGGGGAACTGATTGAGTTAAATTACTGACTACAATTAATTATTCTAGCACGTTTTAACAGTTGTCCCTTTTTTCATTTCTAGACAAGATGGCTTTTATTTGCTTTATGCCTTATTTAGGCACTAAGCAAGCGTATCCACAAATATGTGGCTTCAATATTTGGCAATACATGTATCAGTGAGGGGCTCTTAATCCGAAATAAAAAGATCAATGCCTTACTAGGCCAGAGCTCATTATGTGCAACTTATGGGATTCTAAAGTACTTGAACATTCTTGAAGGCATACATATGTATCAATGATTATTCCATGTGTACATAAATTGTCACTATTGAGCCGCTCAGTACTACTAGGTGCTTTTAAAATTCGCTCTTGCCCACTCTCACACACCCATGCAGTCTATTACCTACGTTTTATCAATCCTCTCTCAAATATTCCCTTTAAACTAATTTGGACAGTGCAGCTAATCCCAAAAAAAAAAAAGAAAAAGCAAATTGGAGTGCACTTTCCCTTCTGATAAAAAGAGTCTTCCATCATAACATCGGTCCAACAGTAAACCATCACCAGCTCAATAAGTGAAGAATATTCACGAGAAATGGGCATCTAAATGGTGTCATCATCTTAACAGGGATCAATAAACAAAATAAAAATCCATGCTTTTAGTTTTAGCCAATGCAGAAGAAACACCCTAGATAGTAAGTACATGAGTAGTATAGAAGATGGAACAGCAACAAGCTGCCTATACAAAAAGAAGGAAAGAGAAAGCAAGAGTAAAAAAGACAAGTTCCTGATTAATGCTTTCCAGGTTTATGATCAAAGTTTTCCATTTCCATTTCCAGCTTTTATTTTGCATTATTATGAGCTAGTTTTTGAAATTTTACCTAAATGACTGCCGATTTAAAAACCTGTGTGTTTTGAGCACAATGAATTTTAGAGAACATTCTCGAGGCAAATATTGTTAACCACATATCTAATTTGCATGTAAAATGGGGCACCACACAACAGTGTATTACCAAAAGGCAGAGCAGGCCGAGGGCGTCCAAGTGAGGCCAAATTACAATTAGCCCGCCTACCATCAATAATAGGAGCTGGATCAGCACATGCTCTCCTGGCAGATTCGGGGTCCTTGAAAGTCACCTAAACCCTCCATAAAATACCACAGGAAACCAAGTCAATCAATTATTGACGCCTCTGATATGTCAAAAAGATCAGATGAACAATAAATGGATAGAATAGCCGTGCCAATATGTATGTATACACTTGTGCAATGAAGGGTAATGATAAAATTCAATAAACATGTAATGAGAAGTCCAGAATTCCATCCATCAACAGTCGTTAGGATCCAAACCTGAGATCACTTTAGAGGAGAGGTTCAAACTTTCTCCACAGTAGATAGGTTATAAACCATCTGAACCTAATTGAATGAAAAAAGGAAAAAAAAAACAAATAAACACTCACAAAACCGTAGCCTTTGGATCGGCCAGTGTTCTTATCGGTGATGACAACAGCCTCAAGGATGTCACCGAATTGTTCGAAGTAACGTCGCATAGTCTCACTGTGAGTCTCCCAAGCTAGGCCTCCGACGAAAACCTTTGTGAAAGTGGTATCCCCAAAAGGAGAGTTCAATAATTGCAACCCAGAAGTCGAACTCGATCCCGAACTTGGCCCTGGAATCGGAGGCTGATATGCCATGGCAAAAGTAAAAGGGTTTGGTATCGGGGAAGGAGAAAGAATATGAATTCGATGCGAAGAAAAGAGGAAAAGAAAGAAAGCGAAGAAGATTCTGAGAACAAAGAGAAGTATATAGAGAAAGGAAGGATTTAAGTAATAGTACCCTTGATCCAATAAACAGTTAACCACATCTTAGAAGGAGAAAAACCCTACAAAAACCCTAGAGAGAGAGTCCATTGAATAATTAGAAATTCGAAGAAGAGAGAATGTATGAATGATGAGTTAAATTGAAAAGAAAGCGATGGATGGAGGGAATAGAGAGAGGTAGAGGATCATGTTAAGAAAGAAAAAGGAAACCCTAGAATGGAGGTGGGGAAAAGCAGCAGCAGTAGTAGGTCAAAAGAGAAGGTCGGTGGTGTGGGTCGGCTTTACAACAGAGCAGAGTGATGTATGAGGTGTGGTGGGGGAAAGGTGAAGTTTGTTCTCAGCATTAGATGGGTTGGTTATGGTTATGGTTATGTATTAGAATTATTAGGATGAAATTAACGAAGAAGGAATAAGGGAGGGAGAGGAGGAGTAGGAGTAGGAGGTGGAGAGGAGGGATTTGTTTTTGATTTATGATGATGATGGCGACTGATGAGGCAGAGAGAGAGAGAGAGAGAGAGAGAGTTGTGATTTTTAATTTTCACAAAGGGTGAAAAAGAGCAACGGTACAGTACAGTAGAGTACAGCAGCAACCCGCAAAAAGAAGTTGGAAAACGGCTTCTGTTTCGTGGATTCTCATTTCTACCTAATCTAAACACCAACAAAGGGATACAATATACATCAAATCACATCACATCACAGCTTGGACGGACCGGTGCATTGCATGTATGGGACCGGACCGGTGCCGGTACCCCCACCCTTCTTTCTGTTTTCTAACAAAAATAATCTCACACCAAAAGTCGAAAATCCCGACTCCTTTCTTTGAATTGAAAATTTCATTTCACAAAAAAAAAAAACCGTTTTTCATTATGATTTTTTAGTAAAGTTGAGATAATATTTTAATTAAACAAAATTAAAATTTTTAATTTCGACCGATTTTAATTTTGTATTTAAATGATATGTTCACAATTGTAATATATTTAAATTTCACTCTACAAGTAATAATTATGAATATGATGCTTCATTTTTTGTAACACAATTTACACATTTGACCAACACTAACAAAAATTTGTACATTTGAGCATATTTTTTTTTAGATATAATATTTAATATTCTATTTAATTCAGATATAAGTAGCAGGTGCCAACCAATGGCCTTATTCAATGTGCATAACCTTAACTATAGTAAAACAAAAAACAGAAGACAGTGTAGATAAAAAGGGTTGGTCTCCGTTAAAAGAAAGATACATACATTTTTATACTATATCCACACTCCAGAGAAGCAAGACATTGTCTTGCTGTCATGTCTTGGCTTTTTTGCTGCCGGTGAGTTGTACGTTTAATGTAAGTGAAGAGGCTAGTTTCTTATGTCAATATGTCTTTCTTTTTTTTTTTTTTTTGGGTTGAATGGTAAGAAATATTTGGACGTTGACGTGACGTGTATTTTTACTAATTTGTTCCTTAGTTTTTTTTAAAATAAATCATTAAAGTCGAGACTAAAATATTCACTAGTAATAAAATTATCAAAATTTAAACTCTAAATATCTAAATTTACGTTCCTTTAAACTAATCTCTACCCTACCCTCGAACATTTCCGTATTAGAGTGGGCACACCACTTAGTTATAATAGGAGAAAGGGTTAATTTTACGTTGAGTTTAGAAAATTGGGAGAATGGATAAAGTTAAGGTCATCAGTCATCATGTTGTTGTCAACAGAAGCTAACATCCTTGGTCCACGGGATCATTTTTTTTTTTTTTTCTTTCATGAACTGAAAGGGGTATTTTGTCATTTACTAATTTCACCTACTTATAATTTTTAATAATTAATAATCCTCTGCTCTAAGTTTTATCTGTATTGAAGTGAGATTTTCTCAAATATAATTTCTCTTCAATTTTTTTTTTTAGCAGTTCATATATCATTCATTCAAGTGAGATCCATTATATACAGATAGATTATTTACTCATTTATAGTAGATGATTCAGCAAAAAGAAAATTAAAAAAGAAAATATATCAGAAGGGATCTTGATCTAGTCCATCTTAAACTTCCCAACTCCATCTTCACCTTATGTAAGCTTTATATGAGAAGATGCTAATAAACACACGTTTTTTTTTTGGCTACACTGCAAAATTTCATTTTACGGGACCAAACCAGACCAGACCAGACCATACCGCTACTTCTATATACAATGCTAATGTTCTGTGGTTTTAAGAATAAGAAACGAACCGATCTGGTAAGGCACAGCATCGATCTCCCTACAACCAAACAAAAAATGAAAAGAACAGAATTTTTTTTTTTTTCTTTCTATGTCTATGTCATGGTTTGTTTTTCTTGTTAAAAAACAAACACAGGACAAGGCTTCTCTGTCCAAAATAAACGTTAAGCTAGAATTTGAAAGCAAATGGCCAAATATGGTGAGCATTTTCATAACAGGCTAGAGATGCCCACTGCATAAAGAATCTATGCAGCGTACAATTTATTTAATAGGAGTACTTGTATAAGCAGCGTACATAAACATTGAAACATAAGTTATAAATATGCCCAGTAAAAACAAAAGGAAGAGGAAGAAACAGTTACTTGGCTACATCTGATATTGGTTTATTTAACAAACCACTCTCTTCGAAATCCTTAACAGCATCAATTATAGTCTCTTCCAATGGCCTATACTTCCATCCCAGATTCTGCAACTTCTGGGAATTCAGCTTCACACCGTCCTTTACCTCAGTAAATCTGGCATGCATATATCATAAAATTAACATAGCTACTCCATGAGTAAATAATCATAAAGTGTAATTAGTTCATATCCTTTATACCAACTGGAGGACAGCAGAGACAATGGGGGCTTAAGGGATCAGAAACCCTGTCCCATTGAGGCAATAGGGTCAATATATTTCAGTGGATTGAATTAAATATATTCATCTTTTCAAAAGAACATCATCGGAAATGTTCTGTGCTATGGGACAACCTACATTGACTCCAGGATTTTAGCTCTCATTTTTTCTTATTGCTCAAATAGTAAATAAACTTACTTCGTGGGGTAATTGTACTCGGGAAACATGTTCTTCAACTTTTCAACCAGAAGCTGTGTTCGAATCTTGTGTGATGAACATATATATCTCCCTTCTGCCTTGGGATTTTCATATGCCAGGAGGATTGCCTCAGCAACATCACGCACATCTACCATGGGACGATCTTTATTTTCCACTGTATCACGTTCACCTGCTTGCCATGGCAATCCAAGAAAATGAAGAAAAATTACAACAATACCTTAACCACATATAGCAGCCCAATGAATACAACTGAAGTCACCCTTTCTACTTTCAATTAGGGGGGATCGGGTTCTGCCACAATACCAGGATTGATGTGATCTAAAATAGCTTCCTTTTCTTTGCAAAATATACCAAAGAAGGAATAGCTATAGAATGAGTGCAAACCTTTCATGTAGTCCAGAAGAAGTAAGCTACTAGCATTAATTGAAGATTGCAGCATTGGCCCGATGGCATTGGATGGACAAACTGTTATGAGGTTGAGTTCACCTCTCCTTGCATACTCCAATGCCTCACTCTCTGCTATAGTCTTCCCAATGCGATACCAGAACTAATTTCCCAAATGAGCTATTAGCGCAGTATATATTTCACGAAAAGATTTTATAATGAAAAGTGCAAACTGTAATGCAAGATGATGAAATTCCCCTTCCACTAAACTATAATGATGAAACTACAATTTTATTGTGACAGTAATATGTAAGTTGTAACTATTACTCAGGCAGTTAGGCAATGTGCATTTGCAAGATGCCTCAAAGTCATGATACTTAGTGAAACTACAAACATGATAGTCCATAAATGGTGTTGATTGCTGAACATGAGATACCTTGGTTGACTCGTGAAAATCCCCCTCCAATCTACACTTATCATTTGTGACCTGAAAAAGAAAAAAAAATAATCTTTGACCTGATGGTTGGCTAATCAAGGAAGGTGTGTTTGTGAATATCTCGTTAAAAAAATATATACAATAGACAACAGTTTGAAATACCTCAATTGATTTGCAATATTCTGTGTCCGTCCAACAATTTTCATCCATTGCCTGATCCTTGGGCCAATAAGGGTTCATCACAACAGCGCTAATAGACGATACAACCACAACCTTTTTCACTTTAGCCTTCATACAAGCATTTAGTACATTGCGAGAGCCAGTTATAGCTGGTTCAAGCAGTACAACCTGTGTGAACTCTTTCAATTTAATTACCATTAATTTAAGACCATAGCAACTATATATTTTCACATCGCAGTAGGCAAACTTCAGTTCAATTTTATATTCATTGTTAACAAATTCAGTTTAACTAGCACGGGAATTCTTCACTAGATGACCCTTATCATTGGGGACTGCTGATTAAAACAAGTGGCAGATAGTTTATTTTAAGTTCAAATAAAAATGAATTTGAAGGTTATTCTATGAAGTATATCTCGCCTCAGGATTAAGCACAGTACTGTGAATCGGTACTGGAGAGGCGATGTGGAAAACCCCAGTGCATCCAGCAATGGCAGCAAACAGACCTTCGTAATCCAGCAAGTCCGTCTTGAAGAGCTGCAGATTCTCTGCAGCATTTTCCAACGTCTTCAGATGAGCATTCTTCTTTTCATCGCCTAAAAACCATTTTCATCGAAAATTTAAAGAAGACAGCATAAGTACACATAAGAATATCAATTCTCAAAACAAATCGAACACGAAGCTCTGTTCATTCTTGGAAAGAATAAGACAACACTAAAAAGCAATGGCATTGAGTGGCCTCTAACCATTTTTTTTTTTTGGGGGCACTCAACGATGTAGGGACGTCGTAAGGAGGCGATGAGATTCGACCCAAGTCACGCACGGGTGGGGGCTGCTTCTTAATCTCTTGCTACTCTTTCGTTGGGCACACTTTGTTTCTTCCAAAGAACCAAAGAGCTTCGAGTAGTTTTACAGAATTTGGGATGTCAGTTGTCTCTACCAAATTCCCACCCTATTGAATAATGCACACGTGACGGTATTAATGATGTTGAGATTTGTCATACGAACGGCCAAAACTAAAGATATGCTTGAAATGAACCAGCAGCGATGGACCAAAGTTTCAATTTCTTATCAATAAATTCATCACCCAAGGTAGCTCAATTGGAAATGATGACGATGAAGCAACTTTGTCCAAGGAATTGTGATGGAAAATCCAGGAATTTAGGTCCTTCAAATGAAAAAATAATACGAGCAACCAAAGCATGCAATCTAATCTAGTCTTCAAAATTTGAAGAAGCTAAAACATAATCCTGGTAAATTAAATCAACCCGCAAGTAATTTTTGCATTTCAAATTAGTAAAGCTGAAAAGAATGGAGGAAAGGTGAAGAGGAGAATACATATTACATACAGGGGTCTCTGACAGTTCCATGGACGACGTAACCCTTTGAGAGAAGGAATTTCACAACCCACGATGCCAAATACCCTCCTGCACCTGTTACACACACTATTTGTTTCTCTTTATTGATCTCCTGCATCTCTCTCTCTCTCTCTCTCGGGGTAAACAGTTTTCTGAAGCGGTCTTCTGAGACAATTGTTGTACTCGGCCTACCACTACTATAACGAGTCGTCAAAGTGGACTGAGCCAAGAACGCAAGAAATATATAGGGTGTGTTTGTTTAAGTGCATTTCAAGCGCAACTCAAATTTGATTTTAAATTTAATTAAAAAAATTAATTTAATATAAAATATCTATTCAATATTTTTTTTAAAAAAAGATTGTTGTTCCAAAACTCATTTTTTAAAAATATTTTCTACCAAAATATTGTATTCTCTCTCATTTTTCTGTCTTTATTCCTTCTCCAATATTAAAACAGAAAAAAGGGTCCCCCAATATTAAAACCTACTTATTACCAATGTTACTAATATTAAACAAAAGAAAATTGGAGAATATTAACCAATTGTGAGTTTTTTTACTGTTTAAAGCAATTCTATTTAAAGTAAATAAAATTTTTAAAATATCTGCTCAAGCTCAATATCAACTAACAGTATTTCTTGTTTTCAATTCCATCTAAAACAATTACATACAAAAGGCGAGAGAGAAACAAAGGTTTTTTTTTAGAATGAGAGTTCATGAAAGAGAAAAATGGAAAGGAGAGAGAGAGTAAAAATTACAATTATAAATTTGATATAAGATTTGAGTTGCCCACAATTATAGTTCATAATAAGTTTTGTTTTAATTTGATATAAATTTGGGTCTAAAGTTGGAAAAATATTTTAGATCATTTTAATTCAAATTTAAATTTGAATTAAAATTAAAGATAATTTAATTAGGTTATAGACAAAAATATCCTATGAAAAGTGATGGTGGATATCCTATGACAAAAATATCCTATCCTTGACTCGATCTGTATAGTATGTTTTTTAACTTTTATACACTGGTTAATTGAAACCCACTTCCACAGTGGGTTACGAATTCATGTCGACAGGATAAAAGGGGTACAATGATAATTTTTCGAAGTGAAGCTCTCTATCTACCGTGTTTTTGGGTCAAGAAAGCTCTATCCACCTTTAGTAGATCTTGTGTTTTGTCGGCTGATTTTGAGCGCCGCTGCGTTCACACCATGCGACGAAGGTGGATTGTGTGGACGGACGGACGGACGGCATGCCCATCTCCTCTTTCTCTCTCAATTCAATAACGTTATTTAAGTAGGTCTCTAACATTATCTCAAATCTTTTTCGTTTTGAAATTCAAATTTAAATAAAAATAGTCTAAAAATTTTCTTTAATCATTAGTAGTCAAATTTTCACTGGAGATCAAATATTTATTCAAATCTCCTTTAAATTTTAGGGGTGTACTTCTTACAGAACGTGTAGAGAGAGGTGTTGCTTATTAATTGATGGATTGCCTTGTCTTTAGTACTCAGTTGTAGTTGTAGGAGGCAATGCAGCATTCACGGATCTTTTTCAGTTTTTTTTCCTGATTTTCACGTTTCTTCAACCATCCCATCATTTTTTGATTGAAACTTTGAGAGGTGTGTGTTATTTATGGTATTTTCAGTTCGTCACACAAAAGACATGCACACAATGAATGGTAAGGCTATGAGAAAGACACACCCCCACCTGCACAAATCCAAGAATTTGAGAAATTAAGCACTTCCATTCTTTTTATTAACGCAACTCCATATTTGTGGCCTAGGGTGGCAATTTTTAACTTAACAAAACGGCACAACTTGAATTCGATAAAAATTTAATGACGTGAACTCGATTATAACTTGAATTTGAACTCAAAAATGATTTAACACACGAACACGAAATACAAACAGGTCATATTTTGGTTCAATTCACCAAACTCGAAATTGACATGATCAACCCATTTATTTTATCATGGCGACACTAACTCGACAAATGACCTGTTAATGACACAAACGCGACTTGATAATTTTTTATCCAAAAATGACATTCTCAACCAATTTATATATAGTATAAAAAGAAAATATGATCTCAATTCAACAATATAGTGATTATTCTTCCATTGTGGGGTTTGAGGAAATCTATTTTAAATCTAGCAGCTTCAAAATTATAATAACTTTAAAAAGACTTAGTTAAGAATGGACACATTATTTATCTTCTCGTTTGTATAGTAACAAAAAATTAACATGTTTAACTAGAATTATAGAAATACAATATTAATTATTTTTATCTATTTATTAAGCACTGACATAATTATTGTATGAAAAAAAAATATTTTTACTTATTATTATTATTATTATGTTTATTAAGTTGAATTAGAGTTGACTAATGTTTGATATAAACCCATGATAATTGAACATGACACGACTCGATTACCACCCTTACTTTGATCCAATGCGCAGTCATATTATTCACCCTAATAAATTCTGGTGGAATAATTGTTGATTATCCTCACTAATAAGTACAAGTCAATCGATCAATGTGCTAATGCCTAATGCTCGGTTTAATGCGTACGTTAGCTGGAATGGTTGTGGTGGTAGGCAAATATGACCCGCTTAAATCTTAATCATTTTTTGTTTGCAAGAGTTTCAAGTAATGTTGACTTCAAAAACCACACCCACAGGGAACAATACCGTAGGCTTATTCCATCACGTCTGTCCGTAGTGCGATGTAATTATTTTAAGGATAAATATACTGATGAACTTGTTCTTGTGAATAATATTTTTTTTTTAATTTAACGGTGTGGGACCATCAATCATTTAATTTACACAGATTTTAATTAATTTTTTTGGATAAATATCTCTCACACGTCTTGACATTTAATTTTATTACACAGACATTTCCTCATATTTTAAATATGACACTGAAACCCTAATAAGTGAACGATGTTGTTAACAACGTTATTAAAAATACTATTTTATCCTTAATTAATTGATCAAACTCAGGCCCAGATCTATACCCATCGCCCTATATCCAAGACAATACTCCATGATCCATGACCTATGACCTAAAACCCTTAATGCCCGAATCCCTAACAATTAGGCACCACCCATTTTCCCTTTTTCCTTGCACCACCCCCAACTTCCACCGTTTACAGTCACCACATATGAAGCATGGATACAAATACGAGATACGAATACGATACGATATCAGTACGGAGATACAACAAAACAAAAAAAATAGAATACGGGTACGGTTAGAATACGTCTATAAAATATTTATTATTATATTTAATATAATAATTATAATTTATAAAGTAAATCACACTTCTATTAAAGATATATAGTAATAACTAACCATCAGAGTCAGTCGATCGTCAGTGTGAGTGAGTGGAGAGAGAGAGAGAGAGACGATCGTCGTCGAGTATCGACTGAAGGGAGTGGGGGGCTTAACGGGTTGTGGAGGAAAAGTGTACAGGTTTAAGTCTTTTAGACTTTTAGTTTAATAATTTTTTTTTTACAAATAAGGGCCTAAATATATTGCTCTTGTGCCCCTATACTTTTATAAAATTAGAGTAATACCCCCGCCGTATCCTAGGCATATTTCATGCGTATCCGGCCGTATCCGAAAATCAATTTTTTTTTTTTAATTTTAGGATATTTCTCAGACGTATCCGGTACGTATCTGACGCGCATCAGTATCCAAAAGTATCCGATACGAATACTTTGACTTTTTTGAAATATTCATGCTTCATAGGTTACCACACACTCTTTCTCTTTCTCTCTGTGTGCGTAGTCTTCCACACCTCCAACCTTTTTTCAATCTTATTCTACCTCCCTATCACAGTCGCCTTAGGAGAAGGCCACACCACCACTAAACTGACCCTCCATGATTCACAGCAAAACTCTCCCAAAACTCAAAAAATAGATCTGAGGCATAAATGTGATATCGAAAATATAGATATAAAAAAAATTGATCAAATCAAAGAACAAATTGCAGATCGCTAACAAAGCTTGCTCAAACAAATCATATAGCACGCGCGCGTGTGTGTGTGTGTGTGTGTTTATGTATGAGAGAGAAAGGGGGAAGGAAGGGAGAACTATCGTGAACTGTGCATATATAGTTGTTGATGGTGGTTTGGATGCATTTTGTGTGGTGGTAATGGTGAATAAAGGTGGTTGTTGGCAGTGTTTATTGGCAGTGGTTGATGATGGTATGAATCTAGATGGTTTGGTGTTGATTGAAGATAAGTTGGGTCCAAGTGGTGGTTTTAATGATGATGGAGACAAAGGTGGAGGTGGTTTTCAGTGTCTTTCTCTCTTTGTGTGGTGGTTGAGGCAGAGGTGGTTTTTAGTGGGTTGTTTTATGTGTGTGTGTGTGCTCGCGTGCGTGCGTGCGTGCTATCCCTTGTTATGATTGGATTTAGGCAGTTATGTAGGTGGTGGAAACGATGGTGATGGGAGGCGGCCGATGGGGGGAAGAATTTATGTAATTAAATAAATAATAAATAAAATTAAAATTATATATGGAATAATTGAATAGGTAGTTATTAAGATTTTAACTTATTAATTTGATAGATTTGAAAATTAAACATTTAAGGGTTAAAATTCTAATTTATATATGAAATAAATGAGGGGTAAATTTGTAGGGGAAGAAAAATATATATTTAATTCTTAAGCCTAATTTTGGAGGGTATTTTTGGTATTTTAAGAATTGTTATTAATGACATCAACTTTGACTGTTAATAATTCTAAAGTCTGTTAGTGGGAGGGGCGGTGGCTGGTATAAGTTATAAATGTTAAGGAAGGTCAGTGTTATTCTTAAAATGTGAGGGTGTCCGTATAATACAATCAAATATTAGGAGGTGTAAGTGCTATTTACCCTAATTTTTTTTTATCCGATCAAACAAAGAGACAAGTTTTGTCCCTATTGTCATGCTTGGTTTTGTGAATGGTAACTTAAGAGAAGCAATGGGTGCACCTGTCTTCATGCCATCGCATCATCATTCTTATACTCACCCCGCTGGCTTGGCTCGGCTTGGCTCTTCCGCTCTCCTCTATAAATTACTCTCCAAATTTCCCGAAACCTTCGCTCATCCGCCCCTTTCTCTAAAACAAACAAAAAACCTGTCTCTCTCTCTCTCCGCTGGAATATACCCCTCTCATGGACGTCCACCGGAGACTCCCTAAACCTCCCCTTCCCACCACCCCACACATCCAGCCCCACCATCGAGATACAGCCGTTGATCGCAGTCCTTCGCCTACCCCAAAGGCATCCGATGCACTTCCTCTCCCTCTATACCTGACCAACGGCATTTTCTTCACCCTATTCTTCTCCGTCGCTTACTACCTCCTCCACCGCTGGCGTGACAAGATCCGTACCTCTACTCCCCTTCACGTCGTCACTCTAACTGAACTCACCGCCATTGTCTCCCTCATAGCCTCCTTCATTTATCTTTTGGGCTTCTTTGGCATCGATTTCGTACAATCCTTCATTGCACGTGCCTCTCACGACGCATGGGACGACGTCGTTGACGACGAACGCTTCATCCTCAACCAAGATCGCCGCCGCCGCCGCAGCAACCCTTGCTCCGTCGCCCTCGATTGCCCCGTCAATATCGTCCCTACGCCAAAACTCATGGATCCTCCGATCCCTCTGTCGTCCGAAGAAGACGAAAAAATCGTAAAATTAGTGGTTTCTGGGATAATGCCCTCATATTCGCTCGAATCAAAGCTTGGGGACTGTTATCGTGCGGCCTTAATTCGGCGCGAGGCGGTGCAGAGAATTACAGGAAGGTCCCTTGCAGGATTGCCAATAGATGGGTTCGATTATGAGTCTATTTTGGGTCAATGTTGTGAGATGCCGGTTGGTTATGTGCAGATTCCAGTGGGGATTGTGGGTCCATTGTTACTTAATGGATGTGAATTCTCAGTCCCAATGGCGACGACTGAGGGATGTTTGGTTGCAAGTGCGAACAGAGGTTGTAAGGCGATATATGCATCAGGTGGTGCCACGAGCATTCTTCTGAGAGATGGGATGACCAGGGCGCCGGTTGTGAGATTCCCGACGGCGAAGAGGGCTTCGGAACTGAAGTTCTTTTTGGAAGACTCTGTTAATTTTGATACGTTGGCCGTGACTTTCAACAAGTAAGGCTCTTTTTTCTTGATTACTGGTTGGCGCAGGACCATTTGAGTTTTTTTTTTCCTCCTATTTTTATGGAACTTCTTTTTTTCTATTAAACCAAACAAAAAAGCTATTTCCATTGCAATCAGCAGATTGCTTGTGTTTTCCAACAAAACAGAATAGGTTTTAAAACGATTTTGTTTCTCAACCATAAATATCTCATCCCTCCACTTGAAGGATTCCGGCTGATCTGGCGGCACCGAGTCCCAGTAGCCTTTACCTCTCAGTGCCCGCAGGAGCTTCGTCTCACGTCGACTGAGTCGTCTCCCCCTCGCATATAAGCCCTTTCACTCAAAGGAGGAGGTATCCACTAGCGACAGGGGCTCGGTGCCGCCAGGTCAGCCGGAATCCTTCAAGTGGAGGAATGAGATCCGTAGCGATTTCTACCCCTTACAAAAAGTCGCCTTTTTGTACGGATCTCTTCCCTAGAAGGATTCCGGCTGACCTGGCGGCACCGAGCCCCAGTAGCCTTTACCTCTCAGTGCCCGCAGGAGCTTCGTCCCACATCGACTGAGAGTCGTCTCTCCCCCCTCGCATATAAGCCCGGCTTATATGCGAGGGGGGGAGACGACTCTCAGTCGATGTGGGACGAAGCTCCTGCAGGCACTGAGAGGTAAAGGCTACTGGGGCTCGGTGCCGCCAGGTCAGCCGGAATCCTTCAAGTGGAGGGATGAGATCCGTAGCGATTTCTACCCCTTACAAATTGGTTTAAATTTATTGTTACTACTATTGCTAATATACGGTAGTGCTTGTTTATGAAGCAATTCTAAGTCATTGTTCGGACAGTCTAGAAGATGGAACTGCCTTTATATGTAAATTTTTATTAAATCGATTAGCCAATTATTCTCTCGAGGTTCTAAGGCTAGTATTCAAATATGCAACTAAACCAAGTTACGAAAATAACAGCACCAATAACTCCTCTAATATAATGATTGTCTTAAAAATTGCAAGTTACACTAGGCTATAATATCCGGAAATCAATCCTGTTTAATAAAATCAAATTAGCCTTTCTTATCTGTCTTGTATACCCAACCCAATTTGAGAACAGCTTTTTTTTTTTTCCCAAAAGAGTTTCATTACCTTCATAAGATTTGTTTCTACTTTCCATGAGTACATTCACAAATGAGCAAAGCAAACTATTATTCTATAACTTCACCTTAACCACTCCAATGCTCATTTTCATTTTACACTTTTTGTCCCCAACATTTTGCCACATTTTCAACTTTGGTACGATCACGCAGTGCAGGCAAATGATAACAATATTTTTAACGGAATTATTCACATCTATTCTTTCACCTAGAAGTTGCCATTGCCTACGTATGCCTATATATTTCTTCACTTTGAACGTCATGAATTTTTCTAAACCATACAAGGCAATCTAATTTTTTTGCATCATTTTTTGGTTGGCATAGTTGTTGTCAGCTGGGGCAGTGGAAAGATGATCAAATGAATTGTGGTGCAACAATCCTTTAACAAGAAAAAAGAGAAAGTGTATAGGTTGGACTTATGCTGGCGTGCAATACAAATTCTAATTTAATTTTAAATTTTCAAACCTATTACGATTATTATTCCTAACGTATCCAACACAATTTGAAACTTTGACCTAAAATTGTTGAGGGGAAAATGGGTGAAAATAAAGCATAAATCAAATCCATGAACTAAAAGCCAAAGCTTAGGGAACAAATTTTCTTCCGAAAAGTAAAATGCCTTGCATAAGTTTTTGAACGTTAGCAGTGTATTGATAAAATTTTGAAGTTAAAAGAACTCGGAAGAAAAACAAAAATACTTCTATGAAGTATCAGTCAATGTTGGTAAATATTATGTTCTTCTGGTCCAAAAAGAATAAATGTTAGGTTTTTCGTTATTAAGTTTTCTATATCACTGGAACCAATTACTAGTCGTGCAAATCTTGGCCAGGCTTCCAAATTTAAAGGTATAATTTTAAGTGCTCATAGAGTCTGTATGCCTAAAGTTTGCTGATCTCCGTGGGCATTTTTGTTGATTTTACCTGTTAGATTTTAGGTTCGTGCTGCAGATTTATCAAAAAGAATTTATGAAGAAGGTTAAAGTATTATTTGTGAGTAAAATTTTGGCATTTTGAAGTTTTATAGGGTAGTCGGAGAAACAGTAACCAGATATTTAGGCACTTGCTAAAGATGGTTTTTGTACTACTGCTTGTGTGATGATTTGGACATTTTTGGCATTAAATGGTCAGCAAGTTTCTTATACATTTGATTGGGTTAGTCTTACATCATTCTAAAAATATTAAGCACAGCGTTTGGATTGATGCCTCAAATTTTTCCGTAGACTGTGTCCATATGATCACGTGCTTATGATTTTCTTCTTTATGTTCAAATTGCATAGTTTGAGGTTTCAAGTATGCCAGCATTGATGGTTTCTTCTAGAGGAGTGGCTTTTTTGATGTTTCGATAATTAGGATCTAGGATCATATCACTTGTTGCATATCAGACCAGCTTCTAGGATCATAACAATGTGTTTTCTGGACAGATCGAGTAGATTTGCTAGGCTCCAATCTATTCGGTGTTCTATTGCGGGTAAAAATCTTTATGTGAGATTTAGCTGCTTCACAGGTGATGCAATGGGGATGAATATGGTGTCCAAAGGTGTTCAGAATGTTTTGGACTTCCTTCAAAATGATTTCCCAGACATGGATGTTATTGGTATATCTGGTGAGTTGTCATTCCATCTCAACTTTGATGAAAAATTGTGATTCCTAACATGCGAATTTGGCTTGGGAAACTTATAATGTTGTCAATCTAGAATCATCTAATTCTTGAGGCCTTGGTGATTCTGTCACCATGCTGCATAGACGTTCTCTTATGGCCATCAATTTTTTGTGGCAAGGTCATAAAATACAAATGTTAGTGTCAATTTTCTAAATTTTGCTATTTGTGTGAACTCAATTTTATCATTACAACAATTCAGTTTGGTCATTTAAATTTTCACCTGCACTGTTCAAGGTAATCAATTTTTTGCTTTCATCATATTCTGTGTTTATAGCAACACACTTGGCATATTATATGCGAGTGATTGTTTTGAAAATGCTATAATCTTTTGGTTCCGGTACATTTCATTTTTGTTTTCGAAGATACATCATTAATTTTGCTGAATCCATCTTTCTATGGGAAAGTTTCCTCATGTGTAACTCTTAATCACCCAGGGAACTTTTGTTCCGATAAGAAACCAGCTGCAGTTAATTGGATTGAAGGTCGTGGAAAGTCGGTTGTTTGTGAGGCAATCGTCACTGAAGAGGTCGTACAGAAGGTTTTGAAAACCAGTGTCCCTGCCCTTGTAGAGCTTAACATGCTGAAGAACCTTACTGGTTCTGCTGTTGCTGGTTCTCTTGGTGGTTTCAATGCCCATGCTGCCAATATCGTCTCTGCAATTTTTATAGCCACTGGGCAAGATCCGGCACAAAATATTGAAAGTTCTCACTGCATTACTATGATGGAAGCTGTCAATGATGGGAAGGATCTTCACGTGTCTGTCACCATGCCTTCAATTGAGGTATTTAACATTCTATTCAAACTTTTCATTTGCTGATACTCTGGCTGACTTCTACTTTAGCCAATATTTTTTCTTATCCTTTTAATTACCAAATAAAAGTGGGATAGAGGGATTGTATGTGCTTGGGAGTAGACTGGTACTCATGTGGGATGGGCGGTGGCTTAGTCAGGAATTTGTATCCTTTGGTAATTTAAAAACCTAAGCTGTACAATTGCTATAAAAGTCGATTTGCACACTTACCAATAGCACATCACCTAGCTTAAATTTATACCAATATTAATTTAAGATTTTCAATTCGTAAGTAGAAGAAGAAACCCAAGTTTTATGGACTGCAAGAGTTTGTAATGCAAACTCAAATCTACGTTTTCCTCCCCCCCCCACCAAAAAAAAAAAAAAAAAAATCCATTGAATTTTTGACAGTTGATCCCAATGACTCAACTTACTCAATCATCTCAATGGGAGCTGTATAAGCAACCCACTAAATAATTACTAATAAACCATGTACATCAATTTCTTTCCAAAGTTGATGTGGGACTGAATGTGCTCAGGAGGATAGGACAGTGCTTTAAGAGTCCTACTTACCTTATTTTTAACAAAAGAAAAATTATATAGAAAAGATGGGTGGTTTCTTTCATTTTGATACTTTTGAAGACATTGTGGTAAACTTTGCATATAGAACTATGTTGAGTGCTGAGAACCTGACGTTTCCAATTCCAATAGCCATCTTTCAATTTCAATTGGAAGCATCAAGTGTTAGGTACGAGTATATTTAAAATTTACTATAATGTTTGTTAAGTTATCTTCAAAAATTTGATGTTCGCTTATTGATACTCTTTCCAGGTGGGTACTGTCGGAGGTGGGACTCAACTTGCATCTCAATCTGCTTGCTTGAATTTGCTTGGGGTGAAGGGTGCATGCAAAGAGTCGGCGGGATCAAATGCCAGGCTCTTGGCCACCATTATAGCTGGTTCAGTTTTGGCAGGAGAGCTCTCATTAATGTCTGCCATTGCAGCTGGGCAGCTTGTTAAGAGTCACATGAAATACAACAGATCAAGCAGGGATGTTACCAAAGTTAGTTCTTAGGAGGAGAGAACTCGAATCAAATATTTTGAAAACAGTGCCAGCGCTGGGGAGGAAAAAGGCAAACATAGCCCATGTGAGGTTTCTTTTTGTCATAGCTGTAAAGCTTGTAATCATGTGAAGTTGATAGATGAAGCTGACCTGCCTGCTCTTTCTCTCTCTCTCTCTCTCTCCCCCCCCCCCCCCCTCCTCCGTGTGTGTGTGTGCGTGTGTAGTCAATCCCTAGCACCTTGTGGCCATTATAGCCCCCAAATATTTATTCTTTGCTGTCCCAGTTGGGAATTTGGAATCATTGTCCCCCCTTCTTGTTGGTTCTGTGTAATTGTTTGTCCTCAAGAAACGATTCACAGGGTTTCTTGTTTTTATCTTTGTCACTATATGTACAGGTTGAAAATTTCCCGGACTTGACTTCAGATGGCTCATTTTTTTGACTTTAGCTCATTGGTTGTAATCATTTGAATTATTTGCTGGGGGGATAATATGAATGTTCTTTAATGATTAAGTTTTGCTATCTATCTGCATCAAAGCAGCTGCCTTTTTGTGTGTGAGCTTGCTGACCTGTTTAATTTGTGGAAGATCAAAATGGATGTTGTGGTGGTGTACAAGACATTGGCACCTTGTTGCATCACACGCATCCTGTCTCTGCATTGATACTCGGATCCTCTCTCATGCTAATGTTCGCGTTTATAGAGAACCAGATATCGTTTTGCAATTAATTTTGAATAGTTGCAATAAAATAGCTGAAGCAGAGATTATAGGCTTGGCCAAAGCGACCTAATTTTTTACTTCTCAAGCACCAAAGATTTCTGGCCCCAAGGGTCACCTTAAAAATTGTGCCCAAACTCTTATGGGTTATTGTAGACCCTAGCATGTATATAGCTATAACTCAGCCATGTAGTTGAGGATGACAATTGTTGGGATTGTAGACACCAAACCAATGTATGTATATTGTTGTGAAAGTCAGTTGGATTAAGCAAAAGCACAGGCCACGGTAGTAGGTAATGCTTGTTGAAGTTGATGATCTGACCAAATATTTTTGAATAAACTCTATTTAAAATGACAGGACTTCAATAATAATACATTAAAGGAAAGAAGGGGCAGTAGAACTGAGAAAAGCCCAAGAACAACCCAATCAAATGAACTCTTAAATGGAGAAGAAGCAGAACGCTGCACAATGCGCAAGTGTTTCGTAGGCAATTGTATGGGAGGAGGAAGTAATTTAAGCTCATGGGTCGTGGCTGGAGCTCTAGCTATCTTATTTTCTTTGGGTCAAGCCCTCTCCACATCTCAAAAGGGAGCAACCCAAAAGCTACTTTTTAATTCCCTCCATTAATTACACAGTAATGCATCTCTCTCACAGGATCGATATATAGGAACAAGAAGAGAAGCAACAAAATATCTGTAATTGGCTTCACTGGGTCGCAAACTGCTGATGTTGAGTTGGGGTTTTACCGCATCCATATTTATAATAAAGAATGATTTTCCCTCTTTGGAAGCAAATGCAACATAAACATATTTTTGAATTAGAAATGATGGGTCAATAAGCATGGTAAACAGATTTTTGTAAACCTTTTGGTTGTCTATTGGACTGGACCGGACTGGACTGGACTGGGTTTTGAGTGATAGTGGTACTTGACTTGAGGATACTAAGTTTGTGCAAATAGCTGGGGCCAAACCCTACTAGTAGATCAATTTTATTTCCTGTTTGACTACATGTAACTTGTTATGAGAAAGAGAGTTCCAAATGTATGTATAGTGGTTTACGCCAGTCGTCCCAGTTCCACCCATACTGATACTGGATGGATTGGTATTTGTATTCTATTCGCATGGCATGGCATCTTCTTGTCTGTCTCACCCCCAAACCCAATGTTTGTACGTGTACAAGGGTGGAGGCTGAGCACGTGAACTAATAATAATCCCTGTTGCTGTTGGCTGCTGCTCCACGACGTCCAACTGCTAACAATATCCATCACAAATTGAATTGGTATATAAAGTTTTACTCCTCCCCATCTATCATCAGTCCAGCAGCCGTGAGTTCAGGTGAACAAAGAAAAATAGCATTGGTCTTTGTGAGACGGGGTTTGGTATTGGTATTGGTATTGGTATTGGTATTGGTATTGGTAGACTACTTCAACTCAAGTGGACTGGAACTGTTAGCAAAGTAAAGCAGGCCAAAAACACTTATAAATAAATAAATTCAGTTCAATCATTTCCGCTCACTGTCATCCACATCACATGTATTATATAATTGAGCATTTAAGGCCGAAAAGCTTAATTAGGGTGGCTAAGTGGATCCAGGTTGGGGTGGGGTGGGGTCAACCCAGCCGGCCCCGACGAAAGAAGATTCGTATTACAAAAACGACAATGCAAGTTGGGGCCTGGTGGCTACCACATGGACACATTTCCTGTTGCTGTACTTTCATAATGAAGCCATCTGCAACTTGCAAGTAGTGAGTGGCGCAGCGCTTAATTAATTCACCCTTAATTATTTCATTACTATCTGATCCCCTTTTAATGTTTCAAAGTTGGATATTCTTTGTGGGTCTTCCCTACCTAGTATTTTGTGACTTTATAATATTTTTGGACGCAAAATGCAAATGTAACCACCTGATTAACCCAAATTTAATTAATACCTTCCTCCTCTTTTGTTAACAATACATATAATTAATACTAGCTCTAGCTGCTACTTACCAAAAAACAATAATACATATAATAATACTGAATTTTCCAATATTTGAAGAAATGGATGGGTGACGAAAATAAACCTAAGAATGTCACCAATAGCATCTTATGGTTTTAATATTGTCAACCATTTCGTTCATACACAATTTGTATCATCTGGTCGAGTAAGAACGGACGCTAATCACTTGATCGAGCAATTGAGAGTATCTTTTTACTTTCTTTGTATTTAGTGCGTCATGCAGACTAAACTAAATACAAGAACAAGGACGAAATATATATATTTATTTATCATACAAATCAGGATAAATTATTAATACATGGGATGGATAGCCTACAAATTAAGAAAGGAATTGCTTCGCAAGAAAGAGAGAGATCACATAGAGACCAGTGCCTAATTTTGTTTCTGCACATGTCAAGGCATTAGAATAGGGTTAGGGTGAAGGTTTGGTTTCTGTTCTGCATGTTGCCACTAAAATAAATAAATGAATAATCAAAATGAAATTAGATCATACTCGGTGCACAAGATTTTCACTTCACTCTTAGTAGTGTTTAGAAGAGATAAAGTGTTAAATTCGTCCAAATATTTAAAGATTCATTCTCAAACATAAACCAGCAGAGTAATGCTAGCAAAAATAGACACTTATTATTGCTCAAAATCTGGCCTCTTAGAAAAATAAAGTGTAAGATGCTGCTGGCTAAAAACCATCTCGACGTAATTAACTAACTACCTTCCTTTTTGGTGGCTTGAAAAGAGATTAGATTGTTAAGTAATTTTATTTATATTGAGAATGAAGATGCTTATATTGCATGTCAAGTGATTCTTATCTTTGAGGTTGATATCATCGATGATCTGCTTTAAATAGTTGATGGATGAGTTTTTAACAATCAATGTTGGTTTGAAAAAGCTCACTGGGAATCGATTCCAGACTAGGTAATATGATTGGTCACGGATTGATCATACAATATCAAATATTGGATATCTATATAAACAAGATGATTGTCCGACCGACTCACCTCACCTCAACTAATATTGAAGAAGTCTTTCTTATTTTTGTATTTATTTCCGAATCCTCCAGTCCTGCCTTAGTGTAAATCTTGGATTGGAAAAATAGTCCCCCGGCCGAGACATAAAAATAATATAATCCTGCCTATTTTTTGCTTATTTCCTGTTAAATAACATATAATATTAGGATATATTTGTTTTCAATAAAGCTCGTTTATTCTTTCTTTGACTTCTCTTTCTTTGTATATATCCGCCCCACCTTGTTTCGTAAAAGATGATAATATGATCACGTACAATTAATATTGAGAATTATATGGGTAAAAAATCTGCATATATAACTAATTGGAGAGATGGTGAACCATGCCTCTACTCTACTCCCACGGGATTTTGAGTACATGTACACCATGCCACATGTTCCCTTCGCTCACCCTCTCCTTGAATTAACCCCTCATGAAAGTACATTATTGAATGAAATATTTAATCTATTTTAATTAGAGATAGTGATCTCCATTCAAACCTCGTCATATAGTAAGTTTGTGCATTCAATTTCAATCTAAAGTCGCAATACAAAAAAGGAAAAATTGGCTTTCCAATCCATGAACTTGGGAAAACAAGTAGGGTAGCGATGCAGCCGCCGATCCCAAATGGGTGTGGTTCAATAGGGTTCACTAGACAATAAAAGCAGAATAATTTTCACTTGAGACTAGGAAATAATAATCATAGCTTACACTTAAGAGTTCCTTCGCCGACCATTTACGCTATAGTCTTCGCTTGGTTTGGTTTGGAATTCAAAGCTACCCTTCATGTGTTGCCTGTGCCCTAGCTTATGAGTTTATGTTTACGTAGGGGGTTTAATCTTTTTTTTTTTTTGGGGAAAAAGAGTAAGATTATTGGACTAGAGGCCTGTTAGTACGTAATGGGTTTAATCTAACTAATGTCGTCCATTAAAAATATAAGCTAACAACATCTTCTCGACTTATAACTGAATTTTAAGAGTAATCTTAATATTTTATAATTGATCTCAATCTCTTTTTTTATTATTAGTTGACTCTTTTTTATTTATTAATATCTTGACCAAAATAAGTTGCAATCAACTGACACCTAATATTTAATGTGTTCTTACATACTGAAATCATATGATAACTACAAACGTATCATCGTGATGTTGAAAAAGAGTGCATAGCATGCATATATTTCAAAAGGATTAACACACCGAAACAAAAATATATAACACGGAGAGGTTCAAATTCCCTTGGAACAGATAGAGATAGAGACCAAGTTGGATCAAACTTCTCATATATTAACAGACAGATCTCAGCCGGTGTGTGGCATCGGGTGGAATCTTGTAGCAGACTGAAGAGTTTTACTTTTTGGCAGAGTGAAGTGACTTGCAGTGGGGCCTTGGCCTTGGCCTATGAGGAAACATTCTAGCACAAGTGGGATGACAAAAAATTTGGGAGGTGATAGGCCTGGGTTGGCATTTACTAGTCTAGTCTAGTGCACCATCACCCGAGATTCAAACATGTCAATCCAATCCAACCCAAATCAACCATTACCCCCACCACCCCACTTGAGTGAGTGGGTGGACTCGGTCCCATTCTTGGTAATGAGTTGGATGCTGACCTGGTACCTAAACCTTCCATTTTAATTTTGTTTGCATGTAGACATTCAATGCAGCCATGACATCATTTGACACGTATAAAATTAGTGAATCTTATTGATCTAATGTGATAATTCTCTTTGTATCAATTGCATTCGGAAAGAAATCCTGCAGGATTCCATCGTATTTATCCATTAATGGACCATTTACTCTCTCTCTCTCTCTCTCTTTATTTTTGGTTATATGAGGAGCTCAAACTGGATTTGCATCCTCCCTCATAATTTGATGTTGTAAAATCATACCTTTGTTCTGCAGTGACCACAGCCAGACAGCCAAAACAAAAATAAAAACTCAAAAAAATAAAAAAAATATTTTTTGGGCCAGAAGTCAGTAGTTGCCAGGTCATCAGCTACTAGGCTGACATGTCAGATCCTTAATGAATTCATAAGCATTCTATTGGATCCTCAAACGTACATGTGTGGCCCGGGGTGGGCGTGGGAGTGGATATGAGTGGGGACAAGATGGTGGGCGTGGGGGTGGGAGGTGGTTTAATTTGAAATACTATTTAGATTTAATTTAAAATTTAATCAGGAGATTTAATGGAATATAACTATTGGATTGTAATTAAATATTATTTAACAATAAAACTCACAATTAATTTAATAAATATATTAAATTAAATCTCTAATTAAACTCTCAAATTAGATCTGGTCCATAAAATTTGGTGTACGTGGTATAAGCTTATTATTAGGGTTTCAACCTACACCATTGAAACAACCACCTGGACCAAATCCATCATCAACCTACACCAATACATCGTAGATGTTAGGGTTTCAACATCTGCTTGTAACCACCACCAACAAATTTCACCTGCAAAATCCACCCATTACCACCGGTTCCACCACCTAGGGTATTGATCATAGAGAGATAAAAGTGAGAGAGATGGAGATCACAAATCCTAACCTCGTGATGGTGAAAATATTCGGTTGTAGATACACTACTGGGTGTTGGCATCGGTTGTTAAAGGGAGTGATACGTCTTTAGAGAGAGAAAGACGGTTGTTGAGGCTTTGATTCATTGTGAGAGAAAGAGATTGTGTGCGTGTGTGTATGAATTGGGGGTCAGTTTTTAGGGGAGGGGGCTTGGGGCTTGGGGCTTGGATCTTGAGTTTTGGGTCTTGGATCTTGATAAATAGTTAACGTGAGGGTAAAATAGTCTTTTTGTTTGTGTCGTTAACCGTGTTCATTTTGTGGGGTCTTAACATAATTTTGAAAACGTGAGAGAGTGTTTGCATAAGAAAACTAAATGTCAGGGTATCTCAACTCAATTTATTATTATTATTATTTTCTGTAACAGATGGATTTGATAAAGGGGTTTAGATAAGGTTGACCAAGTTCCGATGTCCCGACAGCCTCCACGTGGTCTGACAAGTCAATGTTCAGCCATGCTGCTTTGACTGCACGTGACATATCATGCACACGTGTCGACGAATCTCAAACAGCCAACAATAATAATGTACGACCACGATCACGTATGGGGCTTAAACGCAGTTCTTTCCTGTTTTTGGATTTTTGACATGTTTCTTGATCCACATATTTATTAATTACATATTATATATTTATATTTTTTCTTCTTTCTATTTTTTATTAATATAAAACATAAAAAATTAATCATTTCTAGTTTTTATTCATTCTACTAAGAAAAAAATGTATTTTTTACTCTCTCTCTATCTTTCTAATTTTCTACCTTTCCTACTAACGAGAGCATTTACTGCATCATCAGCATGTTTGTTAGTGGGTTGTGATTCAAGAGACTCTTCTCTTCTACATTTCTGAAATCTATCAGACTTTGCACCTCAGGGTTGGGTTGGGTTGGATTTAGGTCAACGTGAAGACATTATTTCGTATATATATATATATATATGCATGTGATGTGTATCAATTAGAATAACGATCAGATTAATTAAGAAAAAATAGTATGTTATAAATAATGATGAAAAATCAAAAGGGAACCACACAGAACAGAACAGAACAGAACATGTCTCAAATAGTAAACGACCAACTCCCGCAAATGACTCTGCATGTCTAAAACCATCACATAATTAGACTTTGGATGTGTAATCCTCGCACTTATCACATTGCTTTGAGCAATTATAAATGTTATGATCAACTCAACTGGATTACTCACCTCCAACATCCATCTCACTCATGTATAACAACAACTCCACTCGATGAAATGTTAAAGGTAAACCTTGCCCTAAAATGTCACTTGCAATAAGGCTCAACAACTTGAAAAAAATAATAATCTTGTCTGAAAAGTTTAGAATTTCAGATGCCAAAAATGAGCCATTGGGTTGTTCATATTTTTTAGGGTAAACCCCACTTCACCCCCTCCCTCCCTCCCTCCCTCTCGTATACTTTAAATGTACTTTACTTCCCTGCGTTTTATAAACTGATACATAACTCTCACATATTTAATGTACTAAACTATAAAATTACATTTTCTGTCTAATTTAACCGACCGTGCTCCTCATGCTCTAGAAGTGAGAGTTTGCCTTAAAAACATATTTTTAAATGGCCAAACTACCATCCCAGCTGACCCAAAAAAAAACTCATCACTTGCACCCAATCTCTCTCTCTCTCTCTCTCTCTCTCTCTCTCACTCGCCTAAAAAAAATTTCGTCACCTGCTATCTCTCTATCCCTTCGTTGATCTCTCTCAATCACCCCCCTTTTCTCCAGCGACCCACACATACTTACACATACACAGAGTAGGCAGCACATTCTGGCGACCCACACACAGAGCACACACACACACACACATCTTCCACTGCAACTGACCAAAGTCCAATAAAAACCCACCAAATATTTGAACTCGACCATCTTTGTAGTCTCGGATTAATGGAGGAACAGTGGTGAAGGTGCAATAATGGTGCAGAGAAGGCCTTGGCGTTGATGATGATGTTCTGATTTTGATTTTTCAAATTTTAACGAAAACCCACGAAATCTAATTTCACTGATAGATTTTGACCTCAGAATTTGATTTGAAATGTTTTCCTTTAACTTTGATTTGAAATTTTTTGCCTTCATTTTGGATAATTTTTCTTTGTTTCTACGTGTGTTTGTGTCTGCGTGTGTGCTATGTGTGTGGATCGCCAGAGTGACGTGGAGTGAGTCTAGTATGGTGGTGGAGATAGTTCGCCGGAGTTGTGTTGGGATTTGTCCTCCACAGTTGTTTGCCGGAGTTGGGTTCGATTATCACTTAATTGTTTTGATTTTGGGTTTCAAGCAAGAATGGCGTTGGGAGGAAGAAAAAGGCGATAAGGGTATAGAGGTCATTTAGAAGGAGGAGATGAAGATAAGGTCATTTTAATTTTTTTGTTAACGGAGTTAGTATTGCGGCTTACTCCACTAAACGTGTGAAGGTTGCGTGGAAGTTTCTAGATTGCAAGGAGGTAAAGTGCCCTACAGGGGTAAAGTGGAGTTTGCTCTATTTTATTCTGGTTTTAATAGTGACACATGTTTCTCACGTGAGGGAAAACCAGCTCTCTTGACTTTTGACACATGATGACACGGGTCGAAGACACCACTAAATAATTTTAAAAACTTCAACTGCTATATTAAAAAAAAATTAAAAGTTTAAGGACCATTATAAAGCATTTACCATCTATGCTTCTTCAATACTGGCACAAAGCAGCTCTAATTGTTAATCATGTTTTAAAGCCATTGAAAAATGGTATTTGATGATATCAAAAATTATCTAAAGTTAAGTTCAGTTCGGAAGCAGCTCAGGTCTTCCAACTCAAACCTCTTTGCTCAAACCTTCCAATTCAGGTCTTCCACTTTAGGTCTTCTAGCTCGGACCCTTAGAAAGTCATGTCACGCTTAGGGAATATAGTCTCAAACGGTCAAAGATTTTCGACACTTCAGTTGTAACAACCCTAGAAGATCAAGTTGATTACACAATAATACATACTGTTACGCAAGGATCACAATGGCTACCCAGGGATCACGCTGATTACGCGAAGCTCTTACACACTATAAATAAGGACCGATTCCTTGCTTTGGGAGGGATTTGAATATTTGTGAATAGACTCTATGTAGCCTTGTAATATTCTTCTCCAAATAATAAAAAAAATCCTAGGAGAAAGAAACTTCATTAGAGTATACTAGCCAAACTTTCAAGCAGGTGAACCACTGTAAATCTTATGTCTATCGATTTCAATTGATGGTTGTTATCTTTGTGATTGGTTATTCACCACTACAAACCTAGTAGCTCAGACTGGATGTCCCATTGAATCTCCATTATCATCTCTAATAGATCTTTAATTCATTTCCTCCTTTTTAGCCCCCAACTCTTCTATACAACCGCATAAATTACATCATTAGTATTCATGTTACTATATAATAAATTATGGTGTATGTCAATCAGGAAGTGTGAATTGGGAGAGCCCTTAGAGCTCTGTGTCAGGTGTATGAGTTGTGTGTATGTGAACAAGAGAACGAAAAATAAGAACACTAGGAAATAAGTGGTTGACCAAGTTGAAATGCTAGTTCATTTTAATGGAGGTACTTGCTCCTCTATTTTCGTATTACGTGAGGTAGAAGAAGAGAATTACAATAAAGACTCTTAATGGCCCATTGCATAGGCAAGGCATTAGCTTGGCAATTTATACATAAGGGTGGTGGGGTCCTCGAGCCATGATTATGTGGTCCCCTAGTCTGCTAAAATATTTGGAGAGAAAAATGTAATTTAGACTTAACTTAAATGACTTAATTTGGGTACTTAATTCAATGCAATATTGGATTGAAGGTGGGTTCTACGTAACATCAAAATTCATAATTAATCTAATAACTGTATTGAATTAGATCATTGATTAAGTAATTAAATTAAATTTCTATAATATTACTCTTTAAGAGAATATTTAGCCATTAAAGATCTTCTCCCTAAATATGATGTGACATTCGAAAAGCTATAACCTGACATTCTAGAGAGGTGGTGGCTTCTTGCCTAAACTAGGGTTTGGTAGTGTAACTCCTATTCTGTTCTTCTTCCAATGCTTGCTAAGGCGCTTTGGTGATTATTGAACCCTGATGGTTTTGGTTAGTTAACCTTCAATTATGTTTGTCAATTTTTTCATTGCTTTGTGGACTTGTTTGCATTGCAAATTTTTTCTTGGTATCATCAATAACAAACTTGTTATGGATATTTTATATTACGTTCTTTTGAGCGTATGTCAAACTATCATCATCCCTCACAATCTGAAAAAGCATGGAACAAGCATCCTTCTCGCCAAAGAAATTAAAGTATTTTAGTTGCCTAACATTTCTGAATAAAGCACTATTCTTTTTTATGGTATTATTGCAGCGAGATTGTTGTTTATTGATAAATTATGCAAAAAGAAATCAGTTTATACATGCTTTTGGTGTTATTTTTCGAGTGTCATACAACTACAAGAGCGTTGTCACGAAGATTTCATTAGAGTCAACATATTTGTATTAGATATAGTACTCATCGGATATTCGAAGATACATATTGAATAAACGCTAAACATATATAATAATAAATAAAATATATGTATATTTCGCAAACATTTCTATATGCTGAGAAGTGTTTATAATTTTTAGTTTTAATATTTATCCCTTCTTTTAATTTGACATGCAAAGCAATATATCACAAAAAATTCATATCACTTCAAAGACACATGAATATTTTTCAAGTATTATCAGATATTACATGTTCAAAAAGTATCAATGAGTTGATTACATTATAATGTCAACAACAAATACTTCTAATCAAGTCGTTGCAAAATAATACAAATATAAAATATATATTTTTTTATAAATATATCCTAGCTATATCCATATTTTATTTTTTAGAATTTTACCGTACCTCTATATCTATATTATATTGTATTCATATTATGTGTCTGAATTCCTGATTCCCAAGTTGGTATGAGTAATATTATGCTTCCCCAGTTTTTTATTCCAAGTAATTTAGTATAATTTTTAGGTATTTTTACACTTTGTATTTCAAAAGATATCTCGATTGTCACTTTGTATCCAAAAAATTATGTTTTCTACATTGTACCTTGAATTTCATAAATTAGATTTAATGTGGCCCTCAGACAACATCCATTTCAGATTCCGTTAATATTGATGTACATGTCACTCAAGAATATGAATGATAAGTTTACATTTTTATCTAAGAGCAATACCCGTGAATGGTAAATGTATCAATTTTTAATAGAATTCAAAGCGGACGTTAATCCAAAGGTCATATTAAAATCAATTTACGATATTTATGGTGTAATATAAAAAAAAATAATTTTTTAATGTGTAAAGTGGGAATCGAGACATTTTTCAAGATGTAAAATATAAAAAACCTTAATCTTTAATATTAAATATTAATGAGTATCAGATAGCGAAAATTATGTGGGATCATTTGTGTATTTCCCTGCTTTAAGTGCACGCTTTTTTCCACTGTTGCTTCCTCGTAATAACAAACCAAGATGTTTTCACTTCCTTTCCATTATTCAAGCGCGTGGAGTTGTGTTTGTCACAGAACTTGATAGATTCCTATATTTTCTTGTCGTTTCTTTTCCTTTTCTTTTTGCCCTTCATCCATATCTGAGCAGTTGGACTTGTTTGGGGAATGTTTCTTCCCTCTCCATCATAAGCGGCTAAGTGCATCTTCTTTCTCCCTTCTCTTCGTAGCGAGCAGTTCTGGTCTTAATAGTTTCTATCTTCTTCTTGAATCCAAGGACCCGATTCCAATAAGCTGAAATTAATCTGCCTGAAACTCATGTTGTATTTTAAAGTATTGTTTTTTGGTCTCATATTTTTGATTTTTATTCATTTTGGCATGAATTAAAGAATTAAGAAAGAAAAATAGAAACAACAAAAAAAATTTCTCTCAAAGAAAGCAGTTTCTGTTTTCAGGTTTGTTTTGTGTGTGTGTGTGTGTGTGTGTGTATATATATATCTGTATCCAACTTCGTTTGACTGCTTAGTACTAAAGTGATCGAGCTTTGAGCGTTCTTGTTTGAGCAGGTGGAAAATAAATAAGTAACCAATTAGTGTCCAATCAACTGCAGGATTCTGGTCATTTAACTTACCGCAGGTAGAACCACATTTGGGTGGGTAAAGAAAAAAGTGTGTGAAGGGTAGATAGTGTAAAAGCAGTTTAGTTGGGTGATTACTCTGTTGATCGTGTGGTATCACTTCTTTATATTGAATTATACCTGCTGAGAAAACTTTATTATGTGTGCTCGCAAAAGAGAAGATCATTATCAGATCATCAAGAGTGAGAGTGCGAGTGAGAGAAGAAGGAAATAGAGAAATTAATAAGCTGGCAAACAAGTGGTGGGAGAGTGTAGGTGTGGCGATGGCGGGGGGTTATGAACCAGGCCCAGGTTCTCGCTACGTTCACCAGCTCCTCACGCCCGATCTTCACTTGCGAAGCCCATCATCCCTTTCCCAAAACCAGACGACAATAATCCAACCCTCCTCTGATTCCAAAGACTCTCCCGACAGAGATCATCAGAAGGTTGACCTCGACGCCACCGCCACCACCACCTCTACCTCTACCCGCCGCCCAAGAGGCCGTCCTCCTGGATCCAAAAACAAGCCCAAGCCTCCAATAATTGTCACAAGAGACAGTCCAAATTCCCTTCGATCTCACGTACTTGAAGTCTCAGCTGGTGCCGATGTTATGGAAAGCGTTTCAAATTATGCCAGGCGAAGGGGGAGAGCAGTATGTGTTCTCAGCGGCACTGGCACCGTCGCAAACGTCAGGATTCGTCAGCCTGCAGCTCCAACTGAAAGTGTTGTCACACTCCATGGCCGATTTGAGATACTTTCAATTTCGGGGACAGTGCTTCCACCGCCAGCGCCACCCGGTGCCGGTGGTCTGTCCATATTTTTAGCCGGTGGACAAGGACAGGTAGTTGGAGGGAGTGTGATGGGTCCGCTGGTGGCTTCAGGTCCGGTGGTTTTGATGGCCGCATCGTTTGCAAATGCTGTGTTTGAACGATTACCGTTGGAGGAGGAGGGTGTTGTGCAAGTCCAGTCTGCTGCATCACAGTCGTCAGGCGTGACAGGTGGTGGGCAAGTGGCTGATGGTGGCGGCAATAATGGTGCTTCTTTGTTTAATGTGGGGGTGGGAGGGAGCGTGCCTAATTTTCCTTTTTCATCTGATTTGTTTGGATGGGGAGGGAGTGGTGCGACTGCGAGGCCTCCATTTTAGGAGTTATGAATAGTGACAAAATGAGAGGGACTTGTTGTTGTCTTGGTTTCATGGGTGTGTCTCAGTTTTAAATTGGTAATGGAGGACAGGAGGAGGCAGGCATAAGATAAGACGATATGTCAAAGCAAGATTTCTTGTTATCAATTACGGTAGTATTAGGTATAAGAAATAGTAATACTCTTTGTGGAAGGAAAAGAAATCAGTCTGGTCTTCTCAACATTTATTTGGAGGACAAGAAAGATTTTTGTTGAAGCTGAAGTCGTAACCTTATAATCAGTGGCCTGGCTTTCCTATTGAAAGGGAGGAGTTTTAAACCTTGTGTGGAGCAGAAAAATTATTGGAAGACTTCCGGAGGTCAGTATACATGTAGGTTCAATACTTCACTTCTTCTTGTTTATATTAAGTACTGTCTCGTCTGGACCTGTCTAATATTTTTTCGTCTCTTCAACTTAGTTGATTGTAATCTGAAAAAGATAATGATGTGCATAGAAACAGAGAAGTTTTCTGTGTATCCAACTGATCTCTTATGCAACATCCATCCTCCTATCCTATCTATGCATCATATATAATAACATATAAATATGATCCCCAGAATTTGAATGGATGAAATATTTAATTAGGACATGATCATGCTCTCAACTAGCAGCTACCTAGATTATTCCTGAACTAGGAAAGTAACGTTTCTTTCTTATATATGTTTATGCTAAAATTTATGTATGTAAATAATTCTTGTACATATATACCACCCTGTTCAAATTAAACTGCGGATATCTATCTTGCTTGGCTGTGTGGGCGGTTGATTTGTGTCCCTTAACTTCATTTTCTGCCCAGCCTAAAATAGAAAAAGTCACGGTGAAGAGCCTGGGAGCAGGCCTGTTTATCTCTCCAGGCAAAAGAAAACCCTATCTGTTCTATTCTAGCCTCAACTTGTCAGAACCAAACAAAGATCTTTCTTTCTGTCAATTCTCTTGGCCTCCAGTCCAAATTGCTGAAACAATACCTTACAGAAACGGAAGCTAGAAAAAGAAAGGTACTAGATCTAGATCTGATTGTTAGTTGGTTACAAGCAAGATATTAAATAAATAAATAGCGGTTGAACTGAATGAACTGACACAAAAGACGCATAACAAAATTAAAAATGTCCGTCCCACTCTCACCTTGCCAGATATCTACATACATCTATCTGTCTCATACTAATTTAGATTTACGATAAATGGATTCTAACCTATAAACAATTTCTTCTAACTAAAATATAGGTAACAAAAATAAATGAGTAATGCTATTTCCCCCATAAAAGGGCAAAAACAAACACTTGAATAGTACCAGAATCTTGGAACTGCGTGACTTTGAAACTTGAAAAAGAAAGAAAGCAATTCTCCTTGGAACTTTTGTTTGTTTCTTTCTTTGACGTATATAGATATATATATGTATATAGGTCAAAGAAAGTATATCCATTTATCCCTATCTGGTAACTAGAACTGGTGTTTTGCTTTACTTATTCGTGGTTAGTACCAATACCGCATGCATTAATTATGTGATTAATTACTGGCATTCTATTAATTACTATGCGCCGTTTTTGTTGGATAGTCAATTAGCGAGATCACTTCTCAATAACAATTCGCATAGATTTTCCTTTAGTAAATGGAAACCACCAGTCATATGCATGCACTTATATAGTAGAGTGACAAAGCTTAGCCCAAAACAGTCATATACATGTACATAGTGTAACAAACCTTATTTCTTTGCTTGTTTTCCTTCTTGTTTGTTTAAATATTCATAGATGACAGTATGCACATATCTACATTAGACAAATACAACAACAACAAAAAAAAAAAGAAGAAGAAGAAGAAGCAGAGAGAAACCATATATAGCAGCAAACCTTCACCTTTCCTTCAAATGGATAGAAAGGAAGTCCACATCTACTGGTTATAACAGTTCCTTTCCAATGGAAACCATCTCAATCATCTCGCCCATCTTTAACATAGTTTCAACGTAACAAACAGACTATTTAAATTGGGTGGGTCTTATATAAACATAGGTTGAATAGAAACCAAACCTAAGTTTTTGCTAAGCAAAATGATCACTGATATGCATGGTTGTGCTATGTAAAAGATTCTTTTTTTGCGACCATGAGATCATGCAGTAGGGTGCTGTCTATATATTTTACCAAAAATTGTGCATAGACAGTTTAAACTACAATGTCCAAATATAAGTGACTGCATTTTCTTGTATCCAAGCACCTCTTTAGTCTACCCACTAAAGTTACACATCTTAAGTAGTGCTTGATGCTCTTTCATGTAATAAAACGTATTCTTGATGGAAACAGCTCAAAATCTCTAGCAATATCTTTCTCACTGTGTGTGACCAACTTGCTAGAAAATCATCATTCACCCTATTACGTAGTTTAGTAGTGATAATTGTCATAGTTGAAAATACCCATTTTGTTGTCATTGTTAGGCCTAAAAAATCTTTAAATATGAGATTGATAAGAGGATAAACTACATCTCTGGCAATGTCTTTCTCTACTCTACTTGTGCGATAAGGTAACTTGCAAGAAGATCATCCTTCATCATATTAAGTACTTTAGTCGTGACAATTGTCATAGTTGAAAATACGCATTCTGCTGTCACTATTAAAACTAATAAATCTTTAAAATACGATATTGATAAGAGGATAAACTGTTGTATTTCTTGTTTTCATCGGCACTTGGCACATAAATTGTTAACTTTTGAAAGTCAAGATGTTTAAGAATAACAAGTTCGTCATTTTACCGTTAGAATTTCAAATGTAATTTAGGGACTTAATGATGTGACTTCAATGTAACTATTGGATTAGTTGTAAGTTTCGATGTTAAATGGAGATCACAACTAATTCAATGATTATATTGAATTAAGTCTTTAAATTAGGTCTAAATAGCATTTTCCTTTCTTGTTTTGTGTCCATGGGATAAAACTTATTTGTAAGCTTGCATATATCTTCAATCTTGAATGATGTATAACCATCTCTTTGATCTAAAGCTAAGCTAAAAATGAGCAAATCCATAACATCCTCCGTAAAGCTATTGTTCATTTCCTGCAAATGAGAAGCAACAGGTAATATGTAGAAACATCAACCCGAAAATGATGCTCAATAATAATGTCATGTTTTTTGATATCTGTCTAGATTACATCTTTTAAATTTTTTACTTTATATTTTGTTTTTTTATGTGACTTAAACTTTTGTTTGAAGACTTAGTAATTCACTATTTGTTTATTATAATGTAGCAAATAGGAAGTGTTCTTTACTTTATTTTGAGCAATGATGCATGTGTCCTTAAAATTGTAAAAATTACCAGTGAGGACTTAATATTGGGCCATATATATATGGTTATAATTATATATGCTTGGCTAATCGATCATTTTATATGGGGGAGGCTTTATAATTATATATGCTTGACTTTTAGTTATATCTAATAATAATACATACATACATGCATGCATCTCAACTCAACAATTATTTTCCTAATTTATTAGTGGAACCTGGGAAGCCATCACCGTTGAAGTACCACCAAACATGAACTATCAATGCCCATGAATTTGGTTGTTCAATACAATAACCACCGTGCCACTGAATGAATGGAAACATTAGCAATCACAGCTCACAACTGGATGAAATCAGACGAGTACTGTTAATTCCATCGGGTTTTTAGTACCTACTCCAATAAAAGAATATTGTTGGGTTCTTAAAGATCAAATCCAAAAACTGTCCACATTGTTTGAGCTTGCGTTATAAGCATGTTGGTGGAGTCGCACAAGACATACCAAGTAGCAACGCCTGTCAGGTTGAGACACAGGTCACTGAATTGCTCCAAATTATCCACACTGATCAATTTGCACGCAACCAGTGCATGAAAAATATTTTAGGGTTAATTACAAAATGCCCTGTTCAAGTTTAGGTCATGTTGTAATTAATTCTCTTAGGTTTTAAGTTTAACAATTTTCCCATTGAAGTTTTTGCCGGAATAAATTGATTGACATTCATTTTCCTTTTTCGTTCTTCTCCAAGCAGTGAACCACGACAACTAATTGATCAACCGTGTGTGTATATATAAAAATTCTCTCCTCCCCCTCCCCCCCCCCTCCTCTCTCTCCTCTCAGATGGGTAGTGTAGGGTGGACTTCTTTTAGGGGAGTTTCATTGGGGGAGGGGATACAGTTTGGTGTCTACTATTGTTTTTTTTTTTTTTTGGGGGTGGGGGGGGAGGGGCGCTGACGGGTCTCACCGGTGGAGGGAGGGAGTTTTTTTTAAACAAAAGGAAACGAGGATAATTTTGTAGTTTTGATTGACTTTCAAAACACATGGAATTTCCGTGAAAAATTTGTCATTGTTAATGGTTAATAACTAACGGTAAGAGTTAAATAAAAAATATTTGAACTTTAAGTAGATAAATTATTAAAATTAAAACTCAAAGTCGATTTATACTTGAAGGAGACATTTTATAATTAACCCGACATTTTACCCTCCCGGCCGCCCTTTTTTTTCCCTCATCCCCCCCCCCCCCCCCAAAAAAAAAAAAAGCACACAAATAAAGAATAAACCTAGTAAAACAAAAAAAAAAAGAGAATGAAAACATAGAAAAAAAGCACGACACATCAATGGAGATCCCAGCAGCTCCTTAGATGTGAGTTTCATTACCCAGGTAACCGCGTGATTAGAACTCACAACTCATATATTCTAATCTCTTTTATTCTGCACAACCCTAACCGCCCAAGCAATATACAAAGACAAGACTGAGGAGTTTTTTGTCAACAAAACATGAGAAGATGCTGCTCAAAGTTAAAAAATATTTGGAATCGTCAATACGTTTTCAATGCAATGATAACTGTCTGTCATTGTCTAAATTAACTGAAACAGGAACAGGAACAACTGACAAGCCTACATTAACTCCAAATATAGATCCATTTGTCCTACAACGTTAGCCATCAAAGCTATTGCTGCAGCCTAAAACCGAAAAAGCCTCCTCACTATCTAACTCAAATTTTGTCAGTGCAAATGACCTCTAAAACTAACGTGTAAATGCTGACATGCACAATAATAAAACAGCAAAGCTCAACATTAAGGACGTTACGTAGCTTCTGCTGATTCAGCAACGATGGTTTTGATGATCCAATCCCTACCAGGAACCATCTTTGCTCAACATCGGTTTCAATTTACATATTCGACTGCTCAAAAGGAACACGAACAAAGAGTCTTCCATGCAGGCTGACAACGGCAGATGTCTGAAGAGGATCAATTCTTCCAGGTAAGCTGACTACCTACAATTACATACCACGGTGCAATTGTGCTGATTCAAAACAATCTTCAAGAATATAAAAGAAAATTAAGCACTAAATAGTTTGCCAGATGATAAAAATTGGGAACAAGGCAAGACAATATTTTTATTTTGTCCTTACTCTCATATCACCAGATATTCTGGCATAAATTGCAGGCTGTGAACAATGCTAAATATGTCACAGATTTCTTCCAGCTAACAATTACATGTCAGATATACCTTTTTAAAGGCACTGATACCCCATGGATTTTCAGGCTGCTCAGGTTGACCTGTAATAACCAGGCGTCCAGCTGGATCCGATTGAACACGTACCTGAGTACATCAAGAAACAGGCCATAAGTGCCACAGAGCGACTCATAAATCGAATCTCCACCATTAGGGCATTATATCACAGCAACTATCAACAAAATTCTTGCACAGTCATATTACCCCAGCAAAAATATAATTGAATTCCACCACAATTGTGTTTCAAAGTTCTCCAGATGGAAAAAATAATGCAATAAAATTCTACCAATTAAGGGTGCATTTGGCAACATTTTCATTTTTATGTTTTTTTAACAAGAACTATTTTTTTTTTGTGATAAAAAATAAAAATATAAAATATATTTGGTAGTCATTTATATTTAAAAAATTGTGAAAACAAAAATAAAAAACCGGGTTTGGTATTATACTCAAACCCCACCACCCAACCCCACTGACTATCAAAAACCACCACCGAAACCCGCCACCACAACCCCCAAAACCCAACCCCAACCCCGCCACCGAAGATCGGTGATCTGAACCCCTTCGCATGCTTCATGAGAGAGAGAGAAGATGAGGAGAGAGTTGCCTTTTTATATGGTGAGGGAAAATGATAGATTTTTTGTTGGTATTGAGGTTTGAAGTCCAGATCTCATTAATTGGTCTACTTCCTTTCGCCTGTTTTGTTTTTTGGATGTTTTCCATAAGGATCAACAAAAAAAAACGAAAACATTAACCAAACATATTTTTATTTTCATTTGTCCCAAAAAATGAAAACAAAAACACGAGGTTATCAAACGGCACCTAAAACTGTAGAGCTATATGTGCGAGCACTAAAACTAAAACTAAAACATTACTTGCCAACGCCAAAAGATAATTGATATAAAGTTCACCTACTTAGGCCAATAGAGGTGAGGATATATATCCGTTAAAACATTGAACCAACTATAATAGTAAAAACAGCAGCAGCAGCAGCAAACCAGATGGCATTTACAGCTATACTGGGGGGCCTAGAAATAAAGAGCTTTAGCATAATGGCTTTTCTTGATAAAAGCACAAGTGCAATTAAGAAGCCAATATCGTCATTGCCTAATATAAAAACTTCAAAGCATATCCAGCACATCAATTAATGAAATTTTCTTTTCCTATCAAAGCATATCCGGTACGCGCACATCAGACAATATTTACTATTTACTAAATCATACGCACGGGTTCTGGGAAACATATCATATCCAAGTACAATTTTTATCCGTAACTGAGTGGGCTCCTAACTGCAATCACTGCTGACTGTAAATCCCTATTGCGAAGAGCACTTCTCCATAGCAATTGCTTTCTTTCTGATCTACTAGACTGGTTCTTTCCAAATGAGGCCCTTATTAAGTTATTTTATTAACTATGATGATACCTCAAAATAAATCTCAAATGCCAGCTCAGGAGGTCAGACTAGATGAACAGAACTCGGAAGAGTAGAGCTGGAGGTCCCTTTCAGATAAGCAAGGGCAATAACAACCAAGGCAACAGCTGGAAGATCACGAGAGCTTCCTAAAAGCGTTAGGAAGCTATAATCAAGGCACCGAATCTCAACCAACCAAGATCTTCTCCTAGAATTAAGGAAAATCCCACGAAGTAAGGGCAAAAATCTCGGCTAAGATCCCACTGAATAGGGAACATCCCTATAAATACTATGTAACGCCCCCAAGAAAAAAGGGAGAACCCAAGAGGCAAAAACTAGCCATTGTACTCTTGCAATCATCATTATTGAAAGACAAGGAGCAAGAGTCTCCATTAAAGAGTGGATTAGCTGAGCTCCCGAGCTGGTGAACCACTATATTTCTACTGTGTTAATTCCCCAACTCCCCGCCAATCCTCAGTATCATTCACTCGAGTCTAGTAGCTCAGTTCCTAACAATTCCAATATTGTTTCTTTCATTTACTCGTCATCACAAATTTGCATCACGTTGAAATACACCATCAGTTTGGCGCTGTCTGTGGGAACGACTGTTCCTGTTACATATAAAGCTGATTTTTCAGAGATTGATGGTATCAACGCGGGACATGAGCCGAAGTCAGACCAATCCTCTACGGATGCAAGATCAACAAGAGGCCGCAAATAACAGACAACCCGAAAACACTCAAGAAGCAGATCCCCGCATGGGGGGCCTTCCCATGAATAATGAGATGGAGGCCCTTCGTCTTGTCAATGAACGTATGATAAAACAGAACGAAGAGCTCTTAAAGCTCCTACAACGCCCACCGGAGGCACGACCGGCCCAAGGAGGCCAGAATAACCCACCACCAAGAGAGCAACCGCATCTCGACCCCCTCAGAGAAGTTAATGAGGTGGAAGAGAATAGTCAGACCTTTGGGCAAGAACCTCGCCTACCCCCTAGGAATGGTCACAACGAGGAAGTGCAAAGTCAGTATAAGGAAGGGGAGAGGAGCGACTTCTTCCCTTATCAACAGGAGAGAAGAGAACACCACTAGGAGCAACGTTTCAAAAACATCCAGCAAGAGCTCAGCCAGATGAAGGAGGCATTGAAGAACAAGGCCCCAGTCACTATGAATGTCTTGGTGCAGCAAACCGAATCCCCATTCACTGCTGGGGTGCTGCATTTCCCTCTCCCGCATAAATTCAGAATGCCGTAAGTGGATGCTTTCGATGGGACAAAAGATCCCGTGGACCACCTCAACACCTACAAAAACCAAATGGAATTGCATGGATATCAAGATCCAGTGAGATGCAGAGCCTTTGCTATCACCCTGAAGGGCTCAGCCTTAGCATGGTTCAACAGGCTCCCCCCAGCCTTGATTTCCTCTTTTAAAGAGCTGTTAATCTCGTTTGTGTCCCACTTCATTGGAGCTCGGACCTATAAGAAACCGAGCTACTATTTGTTAAATGTGAAACATGGACCTGATGAGAACCTACGGTCTTATGTCCAACGGTTCAACTCAGAATCCTTGAAGGTAGATGTCCCAGACGAAAAATTTGTTATTACAGCCTTCATAGCAGGTCTGGGGGTTCAGTCAAAGACCTGATATTTTTTATCTCAAAGAACCCCCAGGCTAGTATGGCGGAGGTGCTCTCCAAAGCAGAAAAGTACATAAATGGTGAGGAAGCGCTCCTCTCCAAGGTCGAGAGCTCTTCGTCGAGAAAGGAGAAAGAGAAGGAAGAAAAGAAGAGAGAACGAAGTCCCAGAAAGGAAAGAGAACGAGGCAGGTCTCCAAGAAGAGACAGAGAGCGTTCCCCAAAGAGAAGGAAAAATGTCAGAGATCACCTCGACCCTCCACAACCAGAGCTACAACCAAGGTATGCACCCTGGCAGCTCACCCCCCTGACTGCTACAGTGTCTCAGATACTGTATGAGGTGCAAAATGAGAAGTTCTTAAGGTGGCCACCTTGGATGAAAGCAGACCTGGCAAAAAGGGATCCTACGAAGTATTGTGACTTCCACAGAGACCATGGTCATCACACTGACGACTGTATCCAATTGAAGAGGAAATAGAATTTCTAATCCAGCAAGGGCACCTGCGACGCTATTCGGCCAATGATAATTAAAACCGAGCTCTCCCACCCCCACCCCCTCAACGTCAAGCACCAGAGCCACACCAGCAACCTATAGGCGAGATCAAAGTGATATATGGAGGATTTGCCGGAGGAAGAGGGTCCAGCTCTGCCAGAAAGGCCCACTTGCGAAAAATCAGAGCCACAGAAGCTCCCGAAGTATATACTGTGACTAAGTCTCCACGCTTAGACACGACTATCACTTTCTCAGATTCAGATCTGGAGGGCTGCCAACATCCCCATGATGACCCTTTGGTGGCCAACAGGACTATCCACCTTGTTTTGATTAACAATGGCAGCTCAACAAACATCATTTTTGCTTCTGCTTTCGACAAAATAGATATAGGAAGGGAAAAGCTTGAACCAGTAAGTGCCCACCTATTGGGATTCTCAGGAGAAAGGGTGCTGCCCCTGGGGTCAATCCAACTCAGCTTGACCTTAGGTGACCCACCCTGTCAGACTACAACAACTGTGAAATTCCTAGTGGTTGATACACCTTCAGCATACAACATGCTCCTTGGAAGACCCTCGCTCAATTCTATAAGGGCTATTCTCTCTGCCTATCACCTTGTAGTGAAGTTTCCAACAGAAAACAGAGTTGAGTGATCCGAGGAGACCAGCGCCTAGCACGGGAATGCTACATGGCATCCATGAGAAATAAGGAGGTTGAGAGCATCCAATTGAATGAGCTTGACATGAGAGATGAACTTGAGACTAGGCCAACACCATCAGAAGAGCTGGAACCTGTTCAAATCGATGAGGAGCCAGAGCATCTTGTTTACGTTGGATCCAAGTTGAGCAAGGAGATCAAGGATCTCCTCATCCAATTCCTGAAAAGAAACAAGGAAGTTTTTGCATGGAAACAAGAGGACATGAAAGGGATTGATCCTTTGTCATCACTCACAAGCTCAACGTGAATCCAGCCTGTAAGCCCGTTAAGCAGAAGAGGAGGAGCTTCGCCCCGGAGCGTCAAAAAGCCATCAACGAAGAGGTCGGCAAGCTCCTTCACGCGAAAGCCATTCGAGAAGTGGATTACCCAGTCTGGCTAGCCAATGTAGTCCTAGTCATGAAGACAAATGGCAAATGGCGTCTTTGCATCGACTTTACAGACCTCAACCGCGCTTGCCCGAAAGATAATTTTCTTTTACCTCGAATAGATTTGATTGTAGACGCCACTGCGGGACATGAGCTTCTCAGCTTCATGGATGCCTTCTCTAGGTACAATCAGATCAGGATGGATCCCAGTGACCAAGAGAAGACCTCATTAATAACCGAGCAAGGGATGTACTGCTATCAAGTGATACCTTTCGGGTTAAAAAATGCAGGAGCCACTTACCAGCGCCTGGTAAATAAGATGTTTCAAAAACAGATTGGGACCTCCATAGAGGTCTATATTGACGACATGCTGGTCAAGTCACTAAAGGCAGAGCTCCACATTGGGCACCTAGCAGAGTCGTTTCAAGTCCTGAGAGAATACAAGATGAAGCTCAACCCTGCTAAGTGTGCCTTTGGGGTGTTAGCAGGAAAATTTCTGGGATTCATAGTTAATAGCAGAGGGATAGAGGCTAACCCAGAGAAGGTAAAAGCAGTGTTGGATATGCAGCCTCCCTCCAACACGAGGGAAATATAGCATTTAACCGGGAGAATAGCTGCCCTGAGTCGCTTCGTTTTCAGATCAAGCGACAAGTGTCAACCCTTCTTTCGAGTCTTAAAGAAAGCTTTCCAATGGGATGCTCGGTGTGAAGAAGCCTTCAAAGCATTGAAAGATTATTTGAGCTCTCCACCTGTCTTGGTAAGTCCGTTAGAAAGAGAAGTACTTACCATTTACCTAGCTGTCTCAGAGTTCTCAACCAGCGCAGCGCTAGTAAGGGAGAAGGACAGAGCTCAGCAACCAGTTTACTACTGCAGCCAAGCTCTGAGAGGGCAGAAGAAAGGTATCCTAAAATGAAAAAACTCGTTTTAGCCTTAGTGACAACTGCCAGGAGACTAA